CTTCAAACGCACGAAATTCAATCCCAAAACGACAGCAAAACGTGGAGAATTTTCGAAATTTGAAGAATGCAAATCCAAGCACGAAGCTGAATTTCAGCGGAAGGGCTTAAAGTCCAAAAGTTTTGGGATCTTAGCGCTTGACTTCAAACGCACGAGATCCAATCCGCAAACGATGGCAAAACGTGGAAAATTTTCGAAATTTGACAACGCATATCGCTTACATCTTTGCCTTGTTTATTTTCTTATTTTGGGGAGGAGGAGGATCCTAGTGGGAGGGATGTTATCGGACGCTCCAAGCTAGTATCTATGATCTTGCCTTTGGTGTGTAATTACCTCACACATAGCAGTCATACAGGTACCTAGTATTCGCATTATTCTCCAACTCATGCTCTGCGCGACCCATAAAGAGAGTATATTCAGCTATCGGCAAGTCCTCTGGCAGTACTGGTGAGCAACTTTGTGCTGCCAGCGTTGTCAGTGTGATATTTTTGAAACTTTGCGGGTAGAACCTGTTGCAACGCAAGGAAAAAAGTTTTCGCCCTAAGGTTTTCCAGAGAGACAGATTCAAAAAATCGACTGACTATTCATTCTGTAGCCCGCCATCACCATCTACTTGTTAACTACACTACTATTTTGTTTTCATCAGGATCTCCGTAGCTGCTGATTTTGAAAAAAGCTCGAGTGAAATACTCTGTGGACAATCGTAGTGCGATGTCCATGTAGGTTTGAATATCCTTGCCGGCCAAGGCATCAGCTCCGCTCTTCCCAGCAGATGCTGCCTCTCCTGCTGCCAATTGTAAAGCCGTTTCCTCCAAGCAGAGCTCTTGCACAAAAATTTTCGTCGCTTTGCGGTCTATCAATTCCAGCCTTTTCTCCAGCACTCTGAGAGATTCCGTGCCGCACCTGCAAACCACCACGTTGATGGAAAGATCCTCTTTTTTCTCAGCGAGACTCTTGTTAGAGAGGGGGCCCGACCTAGACCTAGACGAGGGTCGTGATCTCTATCTTCAATATCAGCATTCATCTCATCAATTACCGTTGTGCATTCTCTACGATTAGCGAAAAAATTGGTCATACTTTCACAACCAATGAATAGTACGTAGCAGCACCACTGTTAAAAAACACACCGCTACGGTCAAAAATGACACCATAGAACATAGATACTCACTACATAGATGCACACTAGGAGAAGCTGCTCGAGCCTTAATCTCAGTCTGTTCCAAAACAGCGTTGTGGAGTCGCTGGTAGGCATGGAAAGCGGGATTGATGCTCCAACTCCTCATCACCGTTTCTTGATACTTCATGGTCCTCGAAATCACCGCCGCATCACGAACGAATCCGGTAGCTAACTCGTTTCTGGTGGATTTGTTTAAGGAAATATTATGTGAAATACCTCGATGGATCAGAGGATCAGAGAGGGATCAAATAGTTCTAAGGTAGACAAAATTGTAATTTTTTATATGGGTTTGATGCAACAGTATTGAAACTTTTTCTTTTTCCATCTACTTCCAGTTCCACACATATTAGAAGTGTTTTCAAGTAAGTAACTGTAACAAGTTACTTTGGCCCATGCAAGAACAAAGCTGCTTCTGCGATTACGACGTATGATAGGATCATGATTGCGGGACACTCTTCCATAGTCCGGGTTTGGAAATTTTCCGGCATGCCGATGAGCCAAAAAGCTGCTTCGATTGGTGGTGGTGCTTCTCCAAGCACATACTTGTCACTCTCAATCTGAAAATTCGCGCCCATAGAAATTAGAACAAAGAAACATAGAAGATACAGTCATGATCGTGAAAGTGAATCCTGGTTCCTCGATCTGCTGCTAAGTCAATCGCCATCTCATCAAGAATACTAAAAGACCAATAGCAAGATCAACATTATACACTTTGTTACACATCATTCATCTAGGAATCTGCAATTGCATTTTGAAAGAGACATAAGTACACCATAAGATTTTGTAGTCAGAGTGGCACTCGCCGCGTTTAATCGCTTGCGCCGCCTCCTCCTGGCTCAGTGTCTGGTCGCAGATAATAAAGTTCATTCGGTAGGTAAAGTAACACGTGTTGGCGAGCTCATTCTCAGTCGGGAGGCGCACTCGTGTTATCTTCCCTTCCACTCCTAGGCATGCACTCAGAAACAGAGCTGCGACAGCCGCAAAAACTGCGGCAAGGATCGTAGGCCATGGCGCTCTACTTGCTGAGCTTCGTCCCGACCTCAGCATTTTTAGTCCCGAGGGCATGCCAATACGATACCTTGCTGTTGAAGTCTCTCTACTTTCGGCCTCATCTCGAATGTTACCCGACCAGGTAGTGGTTGTTCCCGGATTCTTGTGCTGCTGGCATTAGAGTTTGCAGGGTGATAATTATCCATCTTGTATACTGTTCTCGACCTACTTCAAAGGTGACTCGTTATTTACTTTTACACAATAGAATTTTTACAACTACGAAAGGCCTTCTTAAGTATACGACGGAGCATCGTCGGACTTGGTTCGTATATTTCTTGTTCCAGGACACCAGACCCGGTTACCGAACTGCTTCAGATTTGACTTCGCCCTACGTGAGTCTAGTACATGCCTACTCAAAGCTCCGCGTCTACGTACCATTCTTTGGATATCAGAAAAATAAAAAGTCGCAGCATCGGGCACCACGTTTCCCGCAGGCTGAGTAGAGCCCGCCCTCGCTTTGTCGCAACTCGACGACGAAGGAGTAGGCAAGATCATCGCAGTCGACATTTCTAAACAAATGTCGACAAAAAGAGGGGTAGCTGTGTCGTACAATGCTGGAGCCCTCAGCCGTTCACTCTATTCTTCGTTCTCTCGCTTATGCGTCACTCTTCGCAGAGAAAAATATAAGAGAAGGCCACAACCAAGGTTTGATAAGATATGTATATGCCAACTGTACACTCACAAACACGATGACATCATGAATAGGACGGGTATCTATAAGGATCCGCCGCGCTAGCGGAAAGTAAGCCCCTGAATATATTTCCGTGATGAATTATCGTTAAATTTAAAACTTTTTGAAATCCGAGAGAGCTGTCTACTCGAATGGCGTCTTGATCTGGACAACCTGAATCAGGTACTAATCTTGGTGCTCTTGATTCGTGTAGCAATGCATTGATGTCCGTTAATGTGATGACTGATTCAAGCTCCAACGTAGTTCACTTGTTTCCCGCCACCCTCGCCTGAAACAGCTCGATTCTCCATCTTTCTAGCGCTGTCCTTTTCTTGTTCTACTATTCTACTACCGTCCAACCTGCGTGTTTCTCGAACGATCTTGTCTAGTTTCACCACTGTCGGATCTATTTCTAGGCTCTCCGGGTGTCTCCGAATCTCCCCAGTCTGAGCCAGCTCTCCGCAGACATCGCGATAGAAATACCCAGGCTTAGAAATGGATGATCATGATGCCTTCTTTTTTCAACAAGTACTTAGACACACAACATCCATCATGATGCTCATGCTAAGTAGTACGTAGACACAAAGAACTTGCAATGACACTAAGTCATCATTCAAACAAACGAAGAGGCAATCCTTAAATGTGCTTTTCCGAAAGAGTAGGAAGTTGCGGATTGGCGGGGCCAGAACATGGAGGCAGAGCTGCTGGTACTCGCTAGGGTAGGAAAATCCACACAAAAACTGTCTCTCGATATTGTAAACGTCTCGAAGATGATGCACGCCACGTTCATACAACTGGCGAGAGATTAGAATTATTTGTTTGATTCTTCAGGTACAGAGAGTGGAATGATGCGGTGGCAGGGCTAGAAGTGATTGTTGCGAGCAGCCCGTCCCTTATATATTGCGATCATCAGCTCTTGACCATGTCGATCTTTCCCAGAAAGCCACACATTGGGAATAAACACGCGCTGTATGATCTAAGATGTAGTCTATGTTGTTTTCTGTAACTAAGTAAGTAAAAATATCCATAACAATAGCGGCAAGTGTCGGCGCTCGCATTTCAAGAGGTCCTCAATTCGAGTCTTCGGAAATATCATCAAATGCGCTCGAGCTGCTGGAAAGCGTGATTCTACGGAAGTCCTTAGAATGCAATTAGAACATAGATTTGACTACTAGTAATCGTCGGAGCCGATAAATAGGTATGCATTTCGTGAACGACTTCTTTCTCTATGGGGTGATAGATCTGTGCTGGTTCTTGGAATGTACGTTTCTGCCGTGTACTGAAACTTCATCATCTAGTTGAACAAGGAGTTTTCATAAAATCACATCCCATGTTTTTTCTAAGACAGGACGGCCCCGATATCTTTCAGTCAGCACGGCCTCGACTAAGTCACAGCGCCCAGCGTCTCGAATCAGACTGTGGAATATGAAAGGTGTCTTGTATTTGATCAAATCTGGACCTGCAGAGGTACAACATCAGAGATCCTCGTTTTCCTCTTCAGTTGAAGAATCCTCCTAATACAACCACATCATACTAGTAGCCCAGCTGAGAACCGAGAGCGGCCGCAGTAGTCGTCTACCCGGCTTGAAGTGGTATTTTACTTCTGAGCAGAGATAGAGATTATGTCCTATACATATTGCGCGAAGGGAGAAGCCTAAGATTGACAGAGGGAAAACGGACCGGTTGTTTTAGTTAAGTATGTGCTTTAAGCGTCGCTGGACATAAGCCTCATCCTTATAAAAAGGAAGAAGCCAGTCAAGATTTGCAGCACACCTCTACGCCAAAGGAATTATGTCCTATAGTACATATATTATAAAAATACAGGTGAAGGATGAATGAGATTGATTTTTTTTGCATAACACAAGTGATATCGCGATTGCAGAAGCTACACCGTGGTAACCACAATAAATTCGCTTTCCCACATCGCGGACACTGCTTTTGATGCTTGCGCTGCGTAAAATACGTTTCCCTAGCACTGCTCACGTAGCTACGACGAGGCATGACGTTTCCGCTCCTATGAATAGAGAATGTGACACCTACTGCTGATTGTGTTTCTGAAATCGAAGATGATATTTTTGCGAGCTAATATTTATAATAAATAATAATAATAATAATCTACCCAGTCATTATATGTTAAAATATAATCACCACGTCTCTACTAACTTCGAAGGAGGATGTACAAGTAAAAGTAGAAGTAAAACAAACTCATTGGATTGTTAGTTAACAAACATGCTAAGTGAGACGAGTACAAAAAAGAACTTTCTCCAAATGGTGACCATAAAAACAGGGCAAGATGGCTTTAGCTCTTCTTCGTGCGATGCTATGGCGTATCTTCCCCACTAATACGCCGCTGCTCCTGTTGACGCAAGAATGCTGGTGGGCGCACCTGAAGGTGGCTCTTGACGATGACGAAGGCGTTGCTGTGGATCCGGCGAGGAGAATCCATGCTGGGTTATTCATTTTCTCGAACCTCAAGAGGAAATCAACTGTTTAGAAGCAGGCACAGCAGAGTTCCGCTTCGTAATTCGTATGTAACAAAATACAATCTCTCTGCCAGTATATTCTGCTACCGATGCAGAGTCTTCGTACGTCTAAACCTTTTACAGGGAGACAAATCAACTTCTTGGCTTCCCAATGAATGTCTCCGTGATTTATCGCGCCACATCTCATGCCTCTGTTGTCGCGGTCGCAGATCTTTGAGTTTGTCCAAGTAATCAGATCACAACGGAGGATCATAAAAGAGAGAAAATCTCGAAAGACCCGACCTCTTGCGTCCCAGACCTTAAAGCTGTTCCACCTTGATGCGCTTTGCTTTACCGATTGTAACCACCGTGGATGCGGAACACAGAAGCTCATAAAATTGTAGACGGATGTAGCAAGTGGTCTTACTACAATCAAACTGGTGCGATCAAGATGGACCAGCAACACCAACTTATATCATAAATATATATTTCATGTCTGTTGTACTGAAAAATCAAGTTGTGATGCTCTAATTACGCGCTGTTCGTGTTAGGGGATTCCTCTGGAATCCGAATTCGCGATAGTTGTGGGTTGCACATAGTTTTATGGACCAATCAGCACATCATCTTCATGCCTGAAGGATATTCCTAAACCTAGACTATCCTTGAAAACCGTCAATCTTCATTCTTTGAAGAGCTTACCACGGGAAGCTTTTCGTCTTTTACTTCTGACCTTCCGCGCGCGAGAGAAGCCGCGAACTCAGCTTTTATCCCATATATTGGGATGCAGTTGGTTCGTCAGGTTTAACATACTGGGATCGAAGGGCTGTCCACGAAAGGGCGAACTTTCTGCGTTCCAAGCATCCTTCATTAGTTCTGCGGTTTTAATCTGGTCACTTGTTGGCTTCCCTTGATGCTTCTGATTCTGATCGAAAACGATTTTACCTGGTTGTAGTTCGTGTGGTGGTCTTAACTCCTGAGAATATAATTCAACCATTCAATCATCATTCGTCAGTGAAGGTGTCGAAACAAATAATTGTACGAATCGCCCCTTGCGTTTCACCGTCATAGTCTTCGACTTTTTTTACTGATTCCACTTTTGTAGTGTCGATCTCGGGTCCATCCTGAAAAACGGCCTTCCACCAAGTCTTCCGTATCTGATGATGTAAGTTGTAGATCAACATGGTCGTTTATTTCTATCAGAGTATACCGTTCCTTTCGGGTCCCTAATTCAATAGTTCGGAGAAACCCTCCGAGCAAGTCATGTAGTGAGTGTTGGTGTTCGGCTCTTTGCTGGCTCTATTAAAGCATACAGGCAGAAGCCCAATTACAGATGTTCTTGAGTTTACCATACATAGACCATTAAAAACCTACATTCACTATTGAACAGTGAGAGTGGCAGAAGTACCTTCTCCAAGCTCAGCACGACTTTGTTTCCATCCTCGAGGTTCCAAATGCTTTGATTCGGTTCGATCCGTTCAAATAGCTTGTCCTCTATGATCACCGTTTCTAGATATTTGACTTTCACGCGCTCAGACTGGATGTCGAAGATTAGATGAGTTGAGAAGAGAGTTGTGGGATAAAAATCGTACACCAGGAGTCAGAATACTCGTTGGTCAAAAGGACTAATCGATGCTACCTGTTGAAAAAAATACCACGTTACCCAATGAGTACTACCATGATGAGTAGTTGTAATATGGTCTTCATTTCAGTGTATATGCCAAGCACTTGCGCACCAGCTAAGGAACAGGTTGTTGCCATAAGATTTTCAAGTCTTTGCTCTTCACCTTTTTGTCTTTATCGTCTGTCACTAGAAACTCCACCGTCACTTCCTCTAGGCTCTGGGACCATCTGTACCTGAGAGGATTCTTGTGGATGGAAGCACTACTTTGACTCAATCGTCCACAAGAATGAAGATCCAAGACATCCTTTCATCGCAATGGCAACATGTCGTATTTGATATAAGAAACTAGTACCTAATTCTACTTAGATGCAGAACAAGAATTGGAGACGAGCTTTCTTAGGAATTAAGAATCTTACTTATCAGTAACAGCTCCATTCCACGTCGAGATATGATTGAATTTTTCCATCTGAGCACTTGTCTTCTTCGGATCTGCGTTCTCTTTACCTTTCTCATTAGGGCGGTATAATCCAAAGGGGGCCGGCGTTGTAATCATCTTCATCATAATCATCGTCAGCGGCGTGCTGTCTTTCATAGTATTACTTGACTCCGTTAGCTGGTTCGGGTTGGACCTACGACTTCCCTGAATTATTAGGATGCCGGCGGGATGTCGATCTCCAAACTATGAACCAGCGCAAGCATGAGCATAAAGATCATCCTGCCAGTACTCAAATCAACAGCGTAAAGATTCACGAGCATCATGATCAAGGAAACAACAGGAGCAAGAAGATCAACACGACAGCAGCACCAAGATCAACATCATCCTCATCAACATCATCAAGATCAAACTGCTAAGATCCCTAAGGTCTTTAGCGTGTAAGTAAGTGACTACGTAGATGACTAAAATAGATGGTCGCGATCTAGTTAGACTAGTCGGATGAAAGGCATTAAGCCCGAGGGATCTTCATACATATATTTATGAGATAACAACAACAGAGGCTACTTTGTCTTCGTGTGCTTGTGGAGATTAGCACTAGCCCGCGGAGGATGATGAAGCACATCATCCAGAACCGTAGCCACTGGGCTACCTTCAGCCTAATCAAATTTTGATGCACTCCTGGCCGCAACATGAGACAAACGCTTCATCTTCGATGCTTTACCTGCTTTTCGAACTTCGCCTTTTTGATTTCTGATAAAAAGTAATCCGATCAAAATCTATTCTGTCTTGAAGTAATCCAGAAGAAACTTGTCGAGAATCATAACAGTCGGTGCAGGAGCAGGTGGCATGGACGAACTTGAGGCCCCGGCAGTCCCAACTATCGGTCCTCGCGATGACGACGAGCCCCCAGACTGCGCAGTGCCTCTTTTTGAAGTACTTTTATCAGCCCCGGAGGTAGCAGCGCCACTACTCTGTGAGGTTGTACTACCAGAGCGACGTATTGCAGTGCGTTCGAGCTCTTCTGCGACGCGATTGCCTGTCCGCTTTTGGTACACCTCTTGATACCGTTCGAACTGCTTTTCGACCTAGTAGATTGATGCATAGATCTACTGAAGATTGTGTTGAGGTATAGTAGTTGCAGGCGCATGATAATCTCTATGTAAAATTTGCAATCTATGTAAGTAACAAAAATCATGGTGGAACTTTGACAGAAAATTAAAACTTAAACTTGTCAAATGATACAGAATTTCATGAAACCATAGTCTTCGCGACGCCGGGTGGAAAGCCCATGCGGTCTGTCTTGCTCTCCATCACATGAAACAAGTCCGTTCGCCGCTCAAAGAAACTGAAATTAGAAACTGAGCTTCTACGTGCTAAGGAAGTACCATGTGGGTGCCCCTGCTGGTAGTATCAATTCTTGACTTAAAAATTCATATCATATATAATTATATTTTGAAAGACTGAAGCGAACTCCACTAAATTCTTAGCCTTAACAAAAATTGAACTGAGGAAATCTTCGAGGCCTTCATGCTTCTGGGCCAAACGAGAGAGCATCTCGTCAGTATGCGGATCAAACGACGCCATTTTCTTGTTCGTGCTTCAGACGATTAGCAAACAAGGTGAACTAATTCTAGTAGTAAAAAAAAGTCGTGTACTTAGAACAGCACTGATGGAGGCAACAAAGAATGATGTTGGAATTGCAGTAATCGTAATGCAATTGTAATTCTTTTTTGAAGAAATAAAACTGGTGGAGCCGACAGGGAGCAGACAGAATTATGATGATTGGTATTCTGAAGGAGTTAGGATTGGAGCTCTTCCAGATCCAGTTCCACATTTACATGAAAGCACACATATTTCTTGGTTGTTCTATCACAAAAACGAAGGGTTTCCCTTCGCAGAGTGCTAACTTACGCATCTCTCGCAAAGCATGTCCTTGTTTTTACTTCAATTATAGGCAAGGAAACGAACGCAGATGCCCGATCAAGGTGTAAAAGTTCCTCAGGGCTACAATGATCGATAGCCTCAGCTTCATCTTTTTCTCGCTTTGTAAAAGTCGGAGTCGGAATCTTCATTGTAGAGTCAGACTAGCACTGGCAGCAACGTGGATCACGATGGAGGAGCTTTCGTCTTTTTTACTCAGTTTGTCATATGTGTCTCACGGTCACGACTCTTCTGCTGCAGTAAGAATTCATCGTTGCTACCTACGTTAGAATCCGATGGCGATGATGTATTTGATGTTTCTCGAATGTATGTCTTAAGGAGCGCTTCCTAATGCGTGGCCTTCTTGTTTTCCAGAGAAAAGTGTGGCTATTGACGTAAATCAAAAAAGAGAGACTAAGCCACAGCGCGCGCCGGTGAGCGCGTAACAAGGATTTACAAAGAAATACAAGGTTCGAAGAGGGCTCGACTTGCACTCGCTAAGTTGTTTGTTGTCAACGAACAATGCAGCTACACGCATAGAGCAGGCACGACCAGTAAAAAAAACACAGACTCGTCCAAAATGGGAGTCATTCTTCCTCCATATAATACATCTTCCAGCTCTGTGGGCCAGCAGAGCGGATGCTCTGTTTCATAGGCGAGACAAGTTTCATACAAGGAAATCATAATTTTCCGAAGATGATCGTTCCGGGGTGTTTGCGGGGCAGCAATCATAACAACATCTTTCCAGAAGAAAGCAGATCGATTTTCCATACATTTTTCCTCATAACACGGATGACCTTCATAACGGTGGCCATAATCATAAACTTTGTCAAAGCTTTCTCGTTCTCGTTGGGGGCATAGAGAATTCATGATCTCCATGAAAACCCGACACATAAAAAACAACAGCTCCGACCATTGCTGTTGCAGTGAGCATAATCATATCATAGACATAGAACTACAACCTCGGATGAATTCACAACACCAAGATGCAATCTTCTTGGTGATTCAAGCAGCACACATGCATTCTTTCCCGATGCCCTAGTACCGCGAATTCATTCATGATCTCAACAAGTCGTACAGTGGCATGGCCGGTCAGCTGTTCCTGTCTCTCCCTTGTAGCTGCGATTCCGCACTGATATAAGATGCAAGAAGATTATCCTCGAGGAAATTTCAGGGGAGCAGTGCGCACGATTCAAAAGCGGGTGGTTGATCAACGCGTGGTGTATGAAGATGTCCGCTTTCTCTATGTAATGCTTAAAAGGGGACAGGGATGAGGCTTCTGCTGCGATCCTCGGCGGGGGTTGATTTCCATCATCAGCCTCATCGCATAACTTTGTCTGCATGCACAAAAACGAATTGCTGTGAAGCTGCTCATAAGAGACACGTAAAGGTTCCTCCTGCTAGTTGTAGCAACTATTTCTCTCTCGCGATAACATCCCCTGTCGTACACGCAAACGTATTTTGATAAGACCAATGCGACACCGCAGCAGTTGTGTTAGAAGACTAGCAACTTCTTGCACTAGATTGCTTGAATAGGACTTCCTTGAGGACGCGAATACTTTTCTTCTAACACCAAATGAAAGATGACGAGGAGACCGCGTAATATTGCACAGGATCAGCGACGTAGTTGATTATCTTTTTTGATGGTGAAGTAGATGTTCTTCATGATTTCCATGATTTTTGTATCTTGTAGAAAAAATGCATTATCATATGTAGTCCATGCTGATACTTCATCTTGTTCAATTTTGCTCTCGTACCAGCTCAAAAGGAACGGGGCGAAACATTCCACGAGAAACGCACTTATTCGAATTGTCTTCCTAAGTCAGAAACTGCGAGTACAGCAACACCAAATCTTGACTTGTCCATCGTCGTTCGTTCCGCTAGACGAAGATTGCTCCCCAAGAAACTTGCTTGTTGAACATGATCAAGTCTTCATTATCAAGTTGTAACACCGTAGCACTACAACTTTGTCTACTTTCTTATCTCGCGTAATTCTTTTGGCTCTTACTCCAGGTCCTCAGCGCCTCTGCGGCGCTCCCGTTCCCGACCACGATCGCCCCGACCTTCGTCGTCACCACCTCGGCGGTTCTCCTTGAGCACGACCCTGTCATCATGTCTGTCATCGTGATGATCTCCTCGATCACGTGTCCGTTCCCGGTCTCCGCCGCCATCCTGGTCTCGGCCTCGGTCCCGACCACGTTGCTCGCCGTCGTCCCGATGCCTCATTTCGCGATCACGGTCCCTTCGGTGATCATCATCACCACCACCTCGGCGTTCACGGTCACCACGATAATCATCGCTGCCACGGTCACGACGGTCTCTATCATTGCGATCTCGGTCGTCACGACGGTCGTCATAACGACGGTCCCGATCGTAGTCGCGACGATCGCGGCCGCGGTCATCCCTGCGGTCGTCGCGCCGTCCACGGGAGCGGCTGCGCCGCGGACTGCGCGGGCGTCGCGGGGGGGTCGTGGACGGCAGACCCAGTTCTCTTCTGCGTTCCTTCCTCTTGAACGCCTCCTCCTCTGCCTTTTGTTTCTTCTCCTTCTCCCAGAGCAGCTTCCAGCGCGCAGCGACGCGTTCTGCCTCGAGATCAGCCGCCGTCTTCTTCCCGTCCGCCCCGGATGCAAAGACTCCATCTCCTTTTCTGGGGGCTTTGCCCTTGCCCTTGCCGTCTCCCTTTCCTCCACCTTTTTTACCTTTGAAATCTAGGTCATCCTCAATCACCTTACCGTCCTCGCCTTCCAGCTGTCCAAGCCCCTTTTCCCTTGCGCGTTCCTTCGCTTCCCAGGCGTTGCGCTCCAAAGTTCGTTGACGTGCTGCCGCTTTCGCCGCAGCGGAACATCCACAAACCTTAGGATGTATGACTTTCAGGAATGACATATTTTGTCAGGGAGTGCTAGTCAAAGAGAAAGACTCAAACTACTCTTTGCATTGATTGTTCAGATTAAAAGTATATCTATAAGGTACAACACAGTGTCCCAGGATAGATTTTTTTTTTCTTCGTCAACATTACAGACGAAAAGAAACATGCTGCATGAAATTGAAAAATAGAAGGAGCGGAGCAATAGTACCTTAATCCTGTTCTTTTCGTCAAAAACACGAAGCTGATCCATTTCCTCGATGACTTTTTGGGCTTCGGCAAACGTCTCATACTGCAAGAATGCGAAAGGAGGGCCTCCACCCTGTAAAATCAGTGAAGTTGCGATGTCATACTTGTACTTGTAAGAAAGCACATGCGCGAGTAGAAGATAGAATGAAGAGTCGTGAAAGTAAATGACACAGAAGGAATGCCAGTGAAGCTCCGAGTACTTTTTCTCATGGCACCAGGAGCTAATACAGAGTAGGCTCTTGCATGTGCACCCGCAGGACGAGTAAGTAACCTGTAAAAGTTACCTTTTCGATCGGCTGGTACTTGATATCGATGTCTACGAGCATGCCAAAGTGGCCAAATTTTGCTCGCATGCGGTCCTCCGTGATATCGTCCGGCAGGCCTCCAATCCAGACGCGGGCATCGGGATCGCCTCCGGGTCCTTTCTTCTTGCCTTTTCCTTTAGCCGACGTTCGTGCCCATTCCATATGCGACATAAACATTTGTTGGTCCAGGCCACGGTTCGGCGGAGCGATCGCAGATCGGTTATCAGCATAAAGAGCGGACGCAGGCTTCAGCCCAGCCGGTGGAGCAGCAGGAGTTCCGAAAGTTCCGCTATCTGCGCTGTCTAGAAGGACTCCGTCATTCATCATCATCATCATCCCCGGTGGCAAGGGCGCGCCAAGTTGCAAAGTGTTGATTGCAAACATCAAAATTAGAGAAGACAAGACCAACGAAAAAACAAATTATATAAATATATATCTACAGCTACACTGCCATGGACAAAACCAAAAGCCTGCAACGACGGACAAGCTTACTTAAGTACAAGCATGAAAACGAGCAACGTTGGACATTGATCCTTTTATGACTACAACTGACTGTTGAGATGTGAACGCGATCGATCCATTTCCATATTTAGTCGACTTGTGACATAAGTTCGGCGTCATGTTAGCTTTTGCGGCAAACGCTGGGTTGATCGCGGCTCCGGTAGTGTCGTAGCGCACCTGCTCGTTGTTCTCGATACGGCCATCTTCGTGATAGATCACATTCCCGAAGTGAGACTTCATGGATTCTTGCATCTTCTCGAAATTATCTTGCATTTTCTTGGCCTGATCCACCTCACTCCCCGTATGCTCGTGCCGAAATTCGCTGTCGGGAGCCTGCTCCAGGTGCCACGAGTTCACCTCCGCATTTGGCGTCTTTTTCGGCGCGGAGTCACCACTCAAAATTATTAGACAAAATAACACGTATCAGGTGCAGAAAGAAAAACTTGACCTTCCTACTCTCCACGTCCCCTACAACTTCTACTATCTTCAATAAAGTAACCAAAGACTGACACAGATATTTCGTTTTTCCTTTATTCACGTCCGACTTGTAGCAACATCCACAGCGTGCTACGCTAAAACTAAATCAGTGTCAAAACACCATGAAACTATCAGAGAAGTAGTGGCTGTTGCTAGTGCAGAAGAAAATCATGAAAAAGATACAGCAGCTGCTGAGGAGAAATTCTGTTGTAAATGAAAAAGAAATTCAAGGATGGAACATGTTTCAAGGCCCTTAACTCTGGCTTGGATAGATCTCCACTGCTGGACGCCGGTTGCGCCTCTGTGCTTTTCGTGGTCACCTCTGGTTTCGAAGCTGGCGATGCCGCCTTCCCAACAGGAATAGGCAAGGGCGCCGCAAAACCATCATCATCTCGAGGAGCCGCAAACGGATGCCGGATGATGATATCATCGGGGTCTTTGCCCCCGAACAAGGCACGATCAACGTCGTTCATCTTGTTTGTTCTTCTTGATAGGGGTTAAGATTACTTATTTTCAAGACACTCTTTTGTTGTTGTTCAACCAGCACTTGTATGTACAATACGTTCACGCTGACGTCAGCCTGCTGAAGAAGGTCGGATACACAAAATGCTCTTCTACTAGAAATCCATACGGCAACCTAGCAAACCGAGACTCACAACAAGAACAAGGACAACAAAAAAAAAACATCAAACACAACGAATGTTGAATGATATTCATTCAAGGGAAGGGGTTATCTCGGCGCACTTAAGCTAAGTAGGAAACACGAAGATCAAATTCTCGGATACGAAGACTGACTTGAAAAGAAATTACAACCACTGAAATTCAAATGTAAGAATAAGATCGTTTTGAGCAATAAACGTAAACACCAATCATGGAAGAAAAGACAGCAATTAAATAAGACTGTTGAGAGTGACGCGCGCTTGCACATTGAGACTGACTTAGCATGTGGGGAGAGTGACAACCTTCAATCGAGTCTGTTCGGCCTCGGATTACAGTCTAAGAATTGTGCTCCTTGAGAATTTTTCTCGATATTGAAGGAACAAGTCTACAATTATTTTTTCCATTTCTGCCAGTTTGTCTGGTAGGCCCACATCTAACCTAACCTGACTTTCCAAAGCCGAGAACATCAACTACAACATATCTATCACTTTCTATTCCATTCAGACGCCGATTGATTTCACTTTGAGTTGATTCATTCAACAGTATGAACAACTCCCCGAGATACTAATTTGACGGAATAGCGCAAGGAAGAAGATTTGTTTTTGGCGTGCATCCATGTGAAAATTAGGACGTCTTTGTTTTCTCATCTCTCTATTTACTTCATTAGGATTTGGATGGTTCGGAGGAATATGCCGTGATGAGTGATTTCCCACTGCCAACGAGGACATTTTTTTGCTTTATAGCCTAGTTGCACTGTTTCCAAACGAACACGGATTTTTTGCCCGCTGTGGCGCGCGCATTGATACCACGCACTGAGGGTTCGCTCTGCGCCTCCCGAGTTGGTAGACCCAACATCGAGTTTTTTCATTTCATTCAATATCTATTTCCTCAAGTTTCGCATGTATTCCGAGTAGTTGCGTCTGTGGAGGGCTAACCAGCCACAATCTATGTTGCACTAGAGCCTCTTTCCGCAGAATACAACGAAGTACATTCATTATAGACATAGAGGAGTACTTATGCCCAAGAGATCAATTTGCAGCCATTTCTTTTTCCTATCCCTCCCCAAGAACAATTTATTAACAAGATAATCAACATTTTGAGAAGAGTGTCAACTCCTCAACCACTTCTTCTCCGCCTAAGAGTTTGCGTGCCAGAAAAACGAAGTAAAGCTTTTGAGATTTTTTCTGCCTCGCTCTGTGTGTCGTACACGCTGACAATGCTGGCATATTAATACATCCCGATCACAATGCGTGATCTAAAAAACTAAGTACTTATGTAAGCACTACTTCTATTGATTATCGTCTAGAACAGGTGGCCGAGCGCTCGTTTCTAGATAATATTTTCGTTGTCGCGTTGTAAAATATAGCTGCAGATTTACATGAGTATCTAAAACGAAGAGTCTTTCTAGGAGCTGCCATAACGAGAGCTGAGGTAGAGACGAATAACAACCTTCACGTTGATTTTTTGCAACGCGATGATACGCAGAGACAACATCGTCGAAGAGGAAGAAGATCCTCACCTTACAATACGAGATAGCTTCTACGCGAGTATCAGTCATTATCGTCGGAGCATCTTCTCACTCTAACGACTAACGTAGTATATTAATATAAGAAGAAAAAATAACGTCGTGATGATCCTGTTTTTAACAATAAGTCGATCAAAATAAACGAGAAACAAAAGGAAAAGATAAAGAAGTAAATTACCCGGTGAAGATACCATCGAAAAATAAATATCTCGTGTCTCTCTCTCGCTCGGGAGTACCCTCCAACAAAGCCGTTCCGAAAAACCAGAAACCGAAGAGAAGAAGGAAAACAAGTCTCGTTTTTCTAGAAGTTCTGCTACGTTGTATAACAGGTTTCAATTGTATGATCTGGTGTAAATGAGTGCGAGATAAACATTTGTTACAGGTTGAATCCTTGCTGGTATCACTTACGTTGTAGGTAGACTGGGTTGGTCACGTTAGTTGAGAAATGGACACAAAAAGGAGATGTTCAGAGAAAGGGAAAAAGAAAGATAACTCAACCGTAAAACGATATAAGTGAATCAGTAGGTTAGGTATATTAAATTCTTCACATAAGGAAGTCACACCGCCAAAGTTACGCAACGCTGCGAAGGCAGACGCGCGATCAGAGCGAAGTCTATGCACCAACGTGGCGGCTGAACAAAGTAGAAGAACTGGGTGAGGTGGATCTCTTATTTCACGAGGACCTTCTTGTATTCCTATATTTCTGTCGTGATGTGGGTGTATATAATCTTCATCGTATTCAGAAGATATAATTATACTCAATCGATTTTCATTTTGATGAAACAAACTGAAAAGCCACTAGCCCAAACTTGCGTCCAAAACTGCATCCTCGTCGCGGTATCTCGAATATCGCAAAAAAGTCGTCATGCGCCATCGCCTAGCACTCCCGCAGTGGGTCAGGTCCACTTGGGTTAGTGTCTTATGACTCTCTCACATATCAGTATCCCCGCTCCTTCTACGGCATTCAAGCCGGCCCGACTTCGACGACGGTAGACACAATGGAACCAAAGATCGCTTGTCCATCGAAAGGTGAAGATCGCTGGAGAAAAAGTTTTTCATCTGGCCACCAAAATTTCCTGCAATTCCTTATGTTTTTCATTTACGCATTGCTTCACCCGGCATATTCAACATCATCGTGTTTGCGTGGCTCAAAATGCTTCCCGGCGCGAAATTGACCTCAAAGATTCCGCTGCACGACGCGAGGCACTGGTTGTACGCAAGACATTTCGCGTCACGCTTCACAATGATTCCTGGTACGTAATCTGCTTTCAGGTCGCCACTTTTCCCCGGGTATTTCAGGCACTGGAGGAGCATACCGTCAGCGCCTTCCGGAGCACTCTCCTGGGAGAATTTCTGCACATATCTAATCGGTTTTTGTTGTTCGTTGTTCTTGTCGTTGTAGAGATCGTCGAAATTCATTTTCTAAACTACCATCGAGCTGAAGAATGAAGTTTAGGGCAGACCCAAGACCCAGAGAACATGACACATGAAACCAAGGTTGCGACACCTAAACTGGTGGACATTATGGTGAGTGATTCAATTATCCTAAATACTTTGATATCTTGAATCAAGTTCAAGATCGAGGACTTCATCTACTTAGATACTAATCAATAACCAAAGTTTCTTGTCATATTCCAAACTGAAGATGACTTCCTTTGATACTCACAAGTAGTACAGCTACATATTTATTTATATTTGTTTTTATAAAAGTGTACCCATTCTGTGTGAGGGGAAACTCGCCGAAGATAAACATTCCCCGTGTCAAATGCACGAACTGCTGTGCGCTCCAAACAGCCGATTCTCTGAGCTCCGACTCTCCGAGTAGCTGAGCCAGGGTGCGGTCAAACATCCCCCAATCGCTCTCTGTGATAGAAGTCAAGGAAGTGCTCGAGAAAAGCAAAAGTGAAGATCAACTCATTACGCAATGCATACGAAATGAAAAATTATACATTGCAAATAGGGTCAACGAAATGAAAAATTATAATATAGAAGAACATGCATCATAAAAATGATGCATCCTTTCTAATTAAATGCCCTTTCGTAATTGCGTCCTTAAAGAAGTCAGGTGCAACATGGCCACAGTCCTGAAAGGACTACTAGATGAAAAAATAGGCAACCTGAAGATCGTGTAGAGTGACTGAGGAAACCTAAATGTAAGCCAATGATCTTAATATATTGCTGGAAGGGCTACACGCTAGAGGTAAAAACGAACCGCTTGTATAAAAAATGACATATAATTCGGCATATTCATGTACGTAGTGAGTTGTACTTTTGGTGCCCGTGGTGGCCTTTCCGAGGTTGGCAAGGCCTTCCGTCCCGAACCCGGCGGGTGACTCTTCTTCGTCTTCAAAATCCGCAGCACTGAGTCGTGTGTAGCTGCGATTGAGAGGCACCACGGATGCCCGCTTAATGGCCTCCTTTGGGGGTCGAACCGTCCGCAATCGCGACGCCATATTCACGCAAAAAAAACAAATCTCATTCGCCTTCAGGGTGCGTCCTCGCCGCGCGGGTTCCATGCCTGCAACCTCCGGAAGACCCGGAGTAAACCGGACTTCAAGTGTGCGGGCGCACATTTTGTTCTTTAGGAAGAAACAGGCAGTCTTCGATATCTTCATATCCTGTTGCCCGCTCGCCGACATGCGCGGCACCTCAGCTTCTCGTGCGTACACGAGCATTGTTAATGGCGCGTGCCGCTTTTTCATCACGCAGACCCTGCAAAGTCATCAATGGATTGAGAGGTGAAAAACTGCATTTCACCCTGCAATTAATGTATGCTTCTGGTTCTGAAGAATCCCCGAGTAAACTAACGAACAAACAAATTACGATTAGGCGCTGCAACAATACTATGTACAATATGGTGATCGCCCACTAGACGGGAACGGTCAAAGGATAATTGAATGGACAGTAAAGGTGCACTCAGTTTTACCAACTCGGACGGATCTTGCTTTTCCCATTTTCGTCCTTCTGATGCCCGTCGAGAGCCGTACGCACTGCGCTATCGTCGACATAATTAGAAGCATTACAACTTCATCCACATGTGTTTGAAAAGTGTTGAAGTTGATCTGTTGTTGGTATTAATTCATTGTCTAAATCAATACAGGAAATTCTCCGTCGGCGCTGATCGTAATCATGCTGTCTAGTACTATGCAGTAGTAGTAGTTTACCCATTCGCGGGGTAAATAGAGCCTCAGATAAGGGAAAAGGGGGAAACGTCTAGGTACAGGGAGGGGAAGTTCACTGTCTTTGCACAACTCCATAACTACAAGTAGTGGCTGCCTGTTGCCTAAAATACTAAACCTTTTTTACTAAATGCAATCCCCCTGGTCGTTTCAAACAATTAGCTTACTATGCACCGCCGGCCCAACACGATTGGTAGATGACTTTATATACATATTTAGTAGCTAGAGCTGAACGAAAAATAAGTTAGAGCCCTAAATGTCTCATTTAAATAACAACTTCACTATAAACAGTTCTTCATGAGATAGAAATTGCAGAAACCAGAAAACATAACTTTTGTTGTCTGGGCGTTCTGACTTGCTCGCTCCTCGCTTCGCGGCTTCTCTGCATCCGGCTGGGTCAGTAGAGGAAGATCGGTGAGGCCAACAACAATGATGCTGCACTTTTCCAGTGCCATTTTGTCACGACGAATGTAGGCCACGAAATCGTCTTCCCGATAAAAATAGCCACAAAAAATCTGCAGGAGTTGTTGATAATGAAGTCGACAATTAATTTATGAAGTTGGAGACCAACTTCTAGATGGAGAAGGTCAAATGAGCAGCAGCTGCTTATTATAGAATCGAGCTAGTCTCGCGGACAGGTCGATGCATTCATATGCCCTCCTTGTATCAAATAATAAACAAAGCGTCCTGCGCCATGATTTACTAAAAGTGTACTTCGTACGAAACCATTCCAGTGCGTCCATGATCATGGACATATTCATTGTACTTGTTAAAACAACTACTTAAGTACAAACAGACTCCCACCAATCAGTCTGATGGTACAGTGGACACTCCGTGACGGCCATCCTTCGGTTCTTTGTGACGGATCGTCTCTGCAGTACTGCATGACGCTATCGCACCTCCATCGGTCGTGACCTCACTCCCGCTACGCGAGGTCGGCAGGGCAGACGCAGTCTTTTCTTGAGACATGGGATCGCAGTCCAACAAGGGGTCCTGCGGTTCAGTTTTATCCACCTCATCCAACAGCACCTTTTCCACTTCTCCTTGCATGGCCGCGGACTTTTCCGCGGCAACGCCCTCTTCCGCGGGCACAGGACACATAGACAATGTCATTGTTCTCGCGAGAGGAAAAGTCTAAGTATTTACAAAAGTAAGCAGGGATCAGTCTAGTACTAACTATCTAGTCACCGACGAAAACGTCCTCGGCAACCGCTCACACACGTCAAAAGTTAAAAATATCTAGAAGAGGAATCCGAACCTGTATCTGAAAAGGAAAACTCAATAAACAAAAGTGGCAATTATGCCCTCCTGAAGATCATTCTGACAACGAAGATGGGTAAGAATATTTTGACCTACAACTAAATCTATATTTTGCGATGTCTTCTCTGTACAATCTTGAGACCAAGCAATACCCACTTCTACAATAGGCTTCTACGTCTGTCGCTGTCCACGGCTTTACACATTGCCTGCACCTTTAATCGCGACGCGAATATCGGTAAAACAAACAAAGTTCTCTATTCAACAACTACTTTTCTTTCTAAAACGAGCAGACGCGAGACATGCTCAACCTGTCTGCCGTTGCAGGAAAACGTCTGACGAAAACTCAGTCAACAAAAATCTTAATCTTTCTAGATTGATCGATAAAAAAGGTAGACTGACTCTTAGAAAAGATGAAAGGAGACCAGAAAAGCTGGATTAGACTCAGCTCTGGATACGACAATGTATGAAGATGAAGATGGTAATATGTTAATATCCACGATTCTTAAATATACAACTTACGAACCAAAACGTCCTACGGAGGAATCGGATCAACTCAAGTACTAATTGTGCTCCCGAAAAGATCAGAGCGAACCTCACTCTCACTCACTCAAGAATACTGAATACTTACTCGTGACTATGAAAACACGCATCAATCCTACTCGATAATCGGATCTACTATTCGATTGACCATTACAACGTACAATGAAAAATGAACAACGAGAAATCGATGGAAAAAGGAAGGGAATCAACAAAAATGGAAGTGTCTCGAGTCGCGAACGCCAACTCGTGTCCGCCACGCCAGGTTGGAAGATCCCCAAGCTTAACTAAAATGTATTTTGCGCTGACGAGTACGACTACGAAAAAGACGATTACAAATGAAGTGTAATTCTAAAGACGACTATTGTTTTTGTTAGCACGGCGTTAAAAAATCACTAGCAAGGCTGAACACAGTCAGAATCTTGACCTAAGAACGACCATTAAAATATTCTTATTCGATAAGCAGGTCACTTTACAACGATAATTCTTTTAGTCGCAGCTGCCTTGTATCTTCTTCTTCTTCTTTTTGAATTGAATGTGCTTGATGATGAATTGAATCTATTCGGCGAGCTGCCTAAGATTTCCCAGACGTATGACTTTGAATTGAATGTACTTAATAATGTCTTGATCATTCATTCACTCAGTCACGCTACCCCCCTTTTTTTTTGGGGGCCTGGGTCTATATTCCTCGCAATACGAACATTTAATTATCCTGCGAGAATCCTGAAGCACAACGGCCAGGCACCTAAACAAACGACAAGCTGGAAGGCAACCGATTTTCCTGCGATGGGACGCGTGACTCGCCAGTTTTGCCAGCAATGGGCCTTCGAAGTGAGGCCGATACTTCGGGGTGCAAGTTTTCCTTACTTAGGTTATCATACCGTAGTAGCTACAAATAAGTACAAACACTAAATCGTGGTTAAAAAACCTGAAATCAACATTACACTGAGAAGTAACACACGTGAAAACGTTATTCCCTGCCAGTCTTCTGTCAATTCGATAATTCATTGGGGCGACGATTTCGTTATATTAACAAAAACTCTCTAATAATTCAGCAATAGTATGCACCTGCGTCGCTCCCTTGTCAAGCAGTGAAGCATCGACAAATCTCGCCAGATCGTCCAGATCTTCCTTGACAGAGGCTTACAATAAGTCGGCAGGCAAACATTCTGGAATATCACTCCATCACAGAGGTCTCGTCTGCTTACACGACAGATTATGTGCTGCGCCTTGGATTTCATATTCACTCACGAAAAAGAACATGAACAACTACTTTCTCTCTATATTCCGCATGATAACTCGTCTATCTGATCGTTTTGAAATGGAATATTTGCTCTCGTCAAGTCTCAAACTCGACACCACAAATGAATTTGTTAATACAGTATACGGAGAATGGAACATTCACGTTACGGACCATCTCAAAATTTAGCCAAAGTGAGTTCGGTTTCCATCTGAACGCCGCCACGAATAAAGTCTACGGTAAGTGTGTCATGTTGTGGGGTCGAAGACGTTGACCCGTCAAGATCGTGGTCGCTTTGATGATAATCATTCTCTTTGTTTAACGAGCGAAGACTAATACTACTCGTGGTCTGTTGTTGTAAGGATGTGTCGAAGGGACTCCTCTGACCTACTCGTTCTAGAAGGTCTCCCACTCGGAGGCCCGCCTGGTGAGCCAGCGACCCCACATCAACGGAGCGCACTGTCCGCGTTCCATCCACCTTCATGCCGTAAAGCCAGGTCCCATTTTTTATTGAGCTTCTTTCAGCTTTGCCACCCCCATCCTCCTGACCATCGCGCATCGCCTTGTCCAAGATCTGTTCTCGCCGCTTCTCCACGTAAGGATCAAAGCACACACACCACATATCAGCGTCCTCACCAGTGAGCAATCTAGTGATACGACTACCCATCATATATTAATAGTAATAATTTTGGTCCTGTTTAGAAGCACCACAGGCACAGCAAGAGCAACTACGTGGTAGTGCTGCGCAATTCATTGGTGTATCTAATGGTGGTGTCCTCAGTAAGAGTAAGTAAGTAGACATTCGCGTGATCCGCAGATGACCGGCGAACGCGCAAATAGAATAACGGCTTAGTCAGATGATCGAGGCAACGTAGTGGAGATCCCGACACACCCGCGATATCTAGGATCCCTCTGAAGCGCGTGGCCATGCGTTTCAAACTCGATATGCAGTCCTAGCTCTCTCCCTACTTTGCCCTTGCAGTGATGTCTGTGGCTTACGAGACGAATTCAGAACCAACATCAGAATCAGTGGTCTTCAAAGAACAGCACGACTATTTTCCACGCTTCAAAGAACAACACTGCTAAGGGCGTGGTACCAGGTGCGCGGAATCGATTTGTTGTGAGAAGATGCAAAAATTTCTTGCCATGGATTGTTGCATGGCCACAAAAATTTGTTTATGATTCGAGGAAACGGGGCAAATCATCGACAAGATGCACGCCCAAACACGTGAAAAACCCCAGGAAGAGCGCAGCTGGGACAATCTCCGGTCCAACCGCTGTTTTTGCGCCATAGGCTGTATGCTTCACATCTATATCCCCTCCTCCACTTTTGGCAGAAACAGTACCACCTGCTGTAACCAGTAAGCTCTTGTCCCCGGTGCGCCCGAGTATTGTCAGTCGAGATTCGAACAAGACGTAGCTCCATAACACAACGAAAAGCGCCAATGCAGCAAGAAGGTAAGAGCATACCCTCGTCGCAAAGCGCTCTGGCGTGAAACCACCAAAAAGGTCCTGAAAAATATTGCCTCCAGTCGGTGCTGCACCCGGCTTAGGCGATGTTCTCCATTAGATGTTGTATGCTGGCATTTTAACGACAGAGGCTCGTGAAAGGATGAACTCAAAGATGTTATATATTTATAAAACACATAGACGCTGATCGTTCACGCCACTGTAGTACAGGTTAGCTCTACTGGCGGAAGCCGATGTATAACACTGACGTCTCCAGTGATATTAGCGGTGGAGCACCTAACCACAAAAACCAGAAAAAGAAAGGTAAGGAAAATGAAAGACGAATTAGTTTAGTAAAAACTTCGTTGAGCGACATGTTCGATGATCAATAATCAAAGGCCTAATGAAGCAGGAGAACCGATGTGACGGAGAGCAGCACGGCGATGTGCAGGTACCGAAAGAAGGTTCGTTCGTTCGACAAGTACGTTTTTGGGTCTGTTCCGATCACAACATCTTCTTCCTCCTCTGCTCTTAGTACCGCTAATTCTTCATTCTTGACCTCCGTAGCCTCGGCCGTCTTCGTTGTTGCAGACGTGGACGAGCTGGCCGATGGAGTTAAAAATGCTTTTTGTGCTTCATGAGTCCTACTTCTGGAATCATCGACATAAGCTATCTGAAGCTGATCTGTTGGTGACAAAAACTGGTGGGAAGTGTAAACGCCTGTTTGTCCTCGTCCACCCACTCCGCTTACAATTTCCGAAGTCTTATCTGGAACGAATTGCAAAACGCGCGATGCAGCTGCAAACTCCTCGTGTGCATCTCTTTCGCCGACGTTTTGCTGGAAATTTTGTATGCCCTGTCGGATCTCTTTAAGGTGATCGCTGGTAAACGGTCCGATCGACTCGCCTTCAGACTTTGGTAGCTTCAACGAGGGATCTGCTGCAAGCGGAGAAGCTATCATATTCGGGGTTGCCGCCTCGAGTTGTCCATCAGTGCTTAGGGTAGTAACCACTTGCTCGTCCACGAGGACGTGGCCATGTATATTTGTTGCACTAGACGTCACTGATTCTCTGCCCGCGCTGCTCCGATTCCTGTAGTATTCTTGGAGAGCGTGCGTCCGTAAGTCGAAACCAAAGAGTTCTTCACCAGTCCGTTCCAAAAATTCCAGCATACTACTTAGCCTTTTTCCTTCATGTTGCGGCAGCGTGACGAAGAGAAACTGTGGCCTCATCACCTCGTCGGGCATCATTATTTCCTCAGAAGCACTAAAAGCACTTGTTCGTGGAGCAAGGGAGTAAGCTGCTTCCTCTTCCACGATGATTCGCGTCAATGTCGATTCTGAGGTGGATGTGCTTGCAGTCGGCGAGGGCAAAGAAAAAACTGTGCGCACAAAATCTAGTTTGCAAGTCCCCAGTACTGGCGTGGTGGTGCTTGTGCTGGATTCTGGTCTTGCTCCATTCCAGCCGTGCTTCCGAAGATAGGACTGCCATTCGCCGATCCGCGCTCCCTCCCGCCAATACGGTACGTCTGACTCCCCTCGCGCTGCGAGGCGGTCGAGTGCAGATCGATGTGCTTGCCAGTTCTCGACATCCTCGGTTGAGAAGGCATCGCGCTTCAGGAGCAACGCACGCGCGTCGGACCGAGACACACACGCCACATTGTGGTTGTTCACGCGTAAGACGACACGGTCAGTAGATGAGGATCCGCGGGAAAATGAGGGAGAATGCGAAGGAAATTTCGTTTGCACGAAGGTTGGTCCATGGCTAGGACTCGCGTCATCGTCAGTTGTAGCCTCATGATCTTCCGCGTGATCGGGATAAAGCGACGGTAGCCACAGTGTTGTAGCAGCTCCTGGAACTTGTAAGTTGTGGTTACGAGCATTGTCTGGCGGCACCGCCGCCCCCTGTTCTTGGACACCAAGGAAACCCAGCAACGAGCGGACCCGCTGCTTCGCAAGAGTTGCTTCTGACCGAGGAGCCAGCCATCGCATGCTCAGAATAATGTCATTCGCTCGGTTTCCAAGATAGGCACTAGGTGTTCCGCTTGCCCCGACTACGGCACTGTCATTAGTACTTGCCTTGTTGGGCACGAAGAGCAGCTCGTTGACACAGTTTGGAGTCTGCATGCGCATGGAAGCGAGAAGTCTCAACTTCAAATGCGCACTTCGATCAGCTGGAATCTTGAAAACACGACTGCCTTCTGCAGACATTTTGTATCCTTGTTGCTCGTTCAGAGTTACCATTCTCGGACTCTGATAGCTGTCAGGCGTCTCACGCATCGGCAGTTGCCTTCGTTGGTCCAAGCTTCTTCCGACGTCCACCTAAGGGAGTTGCAAAACATAAAGTAGAAGTTTTATCTTCCTTAAATTAAATGACCCCACACGAATCTACGAGCACGACAATCAATGTAAGTAGTTGAGTAGAATGGCAGATGTTAAAAAGTCAACGTACAACAAGTGAACGTACCAACTCAAGCCCCCCAACGCCTGGCAGTATTGTGCTTTGACCAGGTATAATCGCTTGGTTGTTCGTAGCGTCTAATACGCTTCGCTCGCTTGCAGGACCCAACAGTGGAGACGCCAGGTCGGTATCGAGGCTCATCAAACTGGACGCTGAGCCGGATGCGCTAAGGGATACGCGGTCTCCCCAAAGTTCTGCCCGTCCGAGTGCGGTCGCGGGGGTCCAGAACTGCCCTGTCACCTGCTCAACCAGTGCCGCAAGTCCGCCACTCGACGAACCACTCGAAGATCGCTTGCTCGATTGCCAGCTATTAGCGACAGGAGAAATTTCCATTTGCGCGACATATGAAATAAACATGGATCAAAAGATTCATCCTCTCTAACCATGCCTAAGAACGCTAGCGGTCTTGTTCTATGCTCTGCAACTACTACTATCACAATCACTTGAATCAAACTTTATCTTTACTCATAGGAACAGCATAAGCATCGTCCAACCTCTCGTCGTCTGATTTTTCTGATCCGGTAACACTGCTTTGTCTACTACGCTGTCGAACCAGCATCGTTCCAGATCCTGAGCGAGATTCACTTAGTCCTCGTCCAGCACGTTTCTGCGCGAACGTGTCCCCTGTTTTTTGTTGCTCATATGCTACTCGTTTCCGCAATGCTTCGCGCAGCATGGACAGCTCTAAAAGAAGCGCGTCCCAATCAATGTACCTCTTGAGCACTCGCAAATGTGAGGCCCATTCAAGCGACAAAGAGTCTTGGCCGCCGCCGCCGCCATCGGAAGCCGCACTACATGCGAGAGTTTTCTGTTCGGGAAAACTCGACCGACGGGAACAACCGCTGCTAGTATCAGAAGGCGGCGACTCGCGGCGCTTAGCTTCATCCTCATCGTCGCTGCTTTCGCCGTCTCTTGTGGCTGTCTTGTCGTCCTCCCGAGTAGGGCTTTCCAGTACACCATTCTCGTTGATGCTCCTTAAACTCCAACCTCTACTGCGTAGCGGCCTGCCTCCATCGCCCCGGCTGTGCTATGAATGAAACAATCTCTTAATGATCTGATATTCTTGCACGACACAAGGAGGGCCGAAAAGAAACACTACATACACAGATCAGGAGTCTCCTGTCCTCCTGCGACTACGACACAAGACACTCAGAGCAGACTCTAACCGTCTTTTACCTAGAACATGATATTGTTATTCGCCACCACCTCTCATAATTTGCTCGCTCCCGCACGTTTGTCGAATTTCTTTACGATTTTTCGTACGCCAGTCCAATTCAAGGAAGCGAAATCGTTGAGGAACGTCAGTTGCTCTGAAACTTTCCGCAGTTCTCGGTCGAGCTCGCCGTCGTCGAATCCATCAACTTGCTCTGGCTTGGTTTTGCCTGTAGCTATTCTTAACGCGGAGGTACCGGTCGGCTTGTTGTCACCGGAGCCCACCCTTGCCGACGAACAAGCAGCAATTCTGTCTCGTAATTCTGCACAGCGCTGAAGAATGGCAACCTCCAATCGATCGAGGACGATGCAAACACTCAGGACTTCCTGCTTGACCAATCCATCGAATCGCTCGCGTCGCTCAGCCAACTGCGTTGGGCTCAATGTGGAAGCACCGACTAGAATCGCGTTGATCTCCTTTTTCAGAGCCTTGTACGCCAAGAAAGCGACTTCGGGGTGAAGCAGAGCCTCGTGAACTAGCTTTTTTCCAAACTTCATCCTGTTGTTCTTAGTACGATACCTACTCTACACGCAAAGTGAGTAAGTAATTTCGCTCAGTCGATCTGTGGGACAAGTACTTTCGTTGAGTTAAGCTTAACAATACTTCTCTTTCCTCGATAAGCATGAATGATAGATTTCTTGGACGACAGCATCTAGTTCCTAGCTAGATGCTTCTCTATTTGGGTACCCATAACGAAGAGGCTCGAAAGACATCGCGGAGCTATACCGAAGTTTGATAGAAGAACGACCCACTTACACTTCACACAACATGACGCGTTTGGATGGTTCGCTCATTTTTGGTTTCTACTTCCAGGTAGGTAATTGGTTCTGACAATTGATCCTCCATCTTCCATGTCAACATGCGTTTGCACCGATACGCCGGATGGTTTCACGTTCGGGACTCTCGACTATGCTCAGCCGCCTCACGCAGTTCCTTCCTCTTCTGATCAGTCTGCCTATACTGTGATTGACACTGATGTACTACTTGGAAGTAGAGCGACCACCGATGCCAGGAAGGATGTGGTCTGTCCCATGACGACCACGCACTAGTACTGACCGACAAGGATCATGGCTTCATCATCACTCTTTTGACCGCGAACGTTGCATATTTACACGAACGTCAGAGGCACATGAAACAGCAGTGAATAAGAATTGATTCGATTCCTGTGTAAGTGTCAGTGTAGTTGGAAGTAATAAATCAGTGTTAGGGACGTAAAAATACATCTTCCGTCTGCGTCAGCGTGTTTTTCTACGAGCAAAATATGTCTGCAAGCTCCAACTAAGTTCACTTTTCATAGCAGCTGCTCTAACTCTATGATGGCCTTGTCACTTTCGCAAGAAAAGCGCATCGTTTTCTGCACACTAGCAGCTGATGCTGAATCATAAGCCAGAACTGTACAACGAACAGCATATGTTCAACATGTCATCATTAATTATGCCATATTGGTGGATGTTCGTGTTTTATGGACGGCCGACTGAATTCTCGTAAGCCGGCACTCGCTGCTTCGCTAGATCCGCAAGTTCAGCCTTTGTCAGCCCTATTGTTGCTTTCCAGGTCCCACCGTAGACGTAGTACGGATTTCCAAGGCCCCCACTGGATCCACCACCCTCATTTCTCAGCGTTTGTACAAGCGCTGCAAGTCCGCTACTTCCATCATCATGTTGAGAAGAATCTGCATTCTTTCCACGCTTTTTATTTCGGGGTGGCGGAGTGAAAGGCGTTGTTTCAGCTCGAGGCAGTTCTTCTCCTGCAGGTCCGGCAGAGCTCTTAGTTTCATGATGAGCTCCTGTTTCTGCAGCATTCTTTTTTCGCCGTCGCTCCGCAGCCATCGACTCGAGGTACTCCACGTTGCTGATGTTTGGCCAGCATGGTCGACACACGAAACGCCAGATTTTTGACTTGTCCCATCGACAGCGGTAGGCTAACAACACTGCTTCGCCGCACACTGCACATTCCTTCGCTCGTGTAGAAACCGCTGAGTGCTTCGTTGATGCGGGAACTGTAGCATGTTTGGGACCACTTTGGGTCTGTACTGCCTGCTCGTGGTCGGGAAGTTTGGCAGGGACCGACAGATCCCGTGGTGCCTCAGATGATTCTTCAGGCGCTTCCGTAGCCGGAGCTTGCTTCTCACATGATCCTGACACATTACCCTCAGCTTCCACAGCGCAATCTACAGGTATGTCGCCGTTTTCCTCCTTCTCCTGCGGTGCTGAAGCATCAGCAACGACGCCAAAAGTGTTACCACCGCGACTCTGCTGCTGCTGCTGCTGCTTGCGCTCGCGCTTACAAGCGTTGCTGCACGTCAAGACTTCGTCCCAGCATCGTTCCCACTTTTTCCGCCATGAGAAGGGTCGCCGACAATGCACACATATCTTTGTTAGCTTTAGCGTGCCTCGATCCATAGCAATTGAACCAGTTCCACCTGTGTCGTGACCACCCACACGATCGTCATCGTCATCCTCATCGGTGTCCTTGTTCTCGTTCCCCTTGGCTTTGTTCTTGCGTCGGACCATCCTTATTCCTATACTGTGTGGTAAAGCAGCTCCATATGGAAAATGAAAAAACACAACAAGAGTCGAGGAAAGGTTACCTAGTCGGAAATATCAGGAAAAACTTGCCTGTGCATGTCCAAAACCAAAGGAACCTTTCGCTCTAATAATGGTGATCGAGACTTGATTCTTGAGGGAAACTGTCGAAAAGACAGGTAACAAGCAACAACATAAACTTATGGGAACAAACGAGCGCAGAAAAAACTTAATGAGTCAATCTGAATTATGGGGAAAGAAAGCAGGAACTCAGGTGGAGAAAAGGGCATATTAGAGTCACCTGGTGTAGTACGAAAAGTGGAGTTTTCTGATCTTGCTAATGCAGTTCAAGCTAAGCACCAGCTTCTTCGAGCGCGATGCTCCGGATTGAAACTTTCCAGAAGTACATCGTTTAGAACTAACCGAGCCACTGGTGTTGGTTCTACCACCTCTCGTCTCTCGTTCAATTCCGAACACAATGACGATGCAACCACGGAAAAGCATACACATTCAATACGCATCTTTGCTTTTGCTGTTGGATACTTAGACGATCTACTAATCTTGATCACATTGTGGGAGGAGTTTTTGTTAGAAGTTTTCATTCTATTTCTGTACAGACAAAACAAAACTGCCGAAATCGATACAACAAGCTGGTCGGCAAATACTACATGAATTCATTCTTATATTTTCATTTTGCGATCATAAAGTTATAAGTTTCATGCTATTTTCGACTATCATCGGATCCGATATCCCTTAATTCTTATGAGGCCTTTTTCTCCCTTCAGCCAAAACTCGTCCACTTTCTCACCGCGTGCGCGAGCCTGCTCATTGGGGTGCGGAAATAGATAAGCAAAGGAAAGGGTAGATGAGAACAACCTTAGATATACAAGAACGACCCAGTAAGTTGTAAGTTCTCTGACAGATTTAGAATATTATGGTAGTTCACATGCTGCGCAGCTTCAACGTGACTGTGACTGTACAAGTACGAATAGAAACTCGCGGACAAGCCCCAAGAAATCTATCGACCATAAGACGACTGAAAGAACGCACAAGGATTTCAAGTTCCTGATGATGATCTTCATGCATAGCATACCAAATGAATCAAGTAAGTAGACAAGTCCTTAGTGGACTTCATACCTTGATTATAATTTCAACAAGATTTTACACTTTATACATAATTGATCGTCCACACGACAATAGGTCTATCCTAATTCTTTCTTGAATACCCTGCCCTAACCAAAACTTTTGATGCAGACAAACTCAGATACAGCGGCTGTTGAAGCCGGGTTAGCATATCCCACGATTAAATCACATTCTTGAATTGAAAATCATACATATTTACATGCTTGATTCATCATTTGATTACTCCATGCCATGACTTCGTTGATAATTGAATGCGGGTATGAATGTGTGACTAGTCTACTTCTCAATTTCATGTAAAATTTCACTTCTTTACCGAACGAAAAGATGTTTACAATAGACTGATAAACAGGAGCCAGGTTCTACTCGTGAAGTACATCTGCATGTGCTGCCATGCTCGTGTTTTTCCACATGACAATGAATAACGTCGATCTTTTTCCGTTAAACTTGTTTCGAAATACGGCGCGTTTTGTTTGTTCCAAAACTGAGAGAAAGAGGGGTGCACTTACGATTCAGCGACTCTCGTCTTTCCAAAAAATTTACGATTACTATGTGGTAAAAGCGATGACAAGCAACGCACCCATACAAGCTAAGCGCCAAAATTATGTTAGGATGATAATGATTGAAAATCGAAATTTACTGTGAATTTTATCGGCAGAGTCAGAGAATGATGTTACAATCAAGAAGAAGCTGCTAATCAATTTTAGTACTTACGAATTAAATCAAGATGGAGTCGTTTTCACTTTCAGAGTCTGAGTCATTTAATCAAATACTTAAAACAATCTGCATTTCAAGTACTGCTGCATACAGCAGACTCCTCGCCTTAATTAGCAAACCGGGAATATGAATTTTCTTAATTAGCAAACCGGGAATATGTTCTTTGTTTGGAAATCGATTAAGTACGAGAAGCGACGCGATGCAGTTCGGTCCGCCACCAAGCAAACACTTCTATGTCTATCACTACTACAACGAACTACCGATATAATAAACACTAACTACATGTACATGGTTCTAGGTAGACATGTAATACATTCGCACCTGGAGTATGCCATCATATTCTTCATGAGGAAGCACATGCAAACAAACAAACTCAGATGATTTTCACAATCTTCAAAAGCACGTCAAACAGAATAAAATGATCAAACATTTACCTATGTGGATGTACATCCATCAACAACGTTACCCTACACTAAGTACTTTCCTTCTCCATAACAAATGTCGCTGAAATGTCCATAAAGAACTTAGCGGTATCGCTTCTGCTCGCCAGTGGATTGCTTGGTGCGCCAATCTTCCTGAGAGGAAAATTGCTGGGAGGATCGCGGTCGGTTCATGTCGTAGTAGCTCTTCGGCTTGGTCGCGTTGGCGCGGAAGCTCTGCAGGTTCTGCTGGTAGGCCTCATTGCTCAGCTGACCCACTCCCTGATCCCAGCCACCGGCAGCGTTCATGTTAACAGCACCGGAGTCCACATTCATGTTCACTGCACCTTGCAGGATGATCGGACGCGTCTGCAACGACGTGCGCTTGTTGTTCATCGCCAATCGCGGGACTTCCGTCTGCGGTGCTTCACCCCGTGCCGAAAGCGGCGGTCGCGCGCTGTAGCTTCCATTTGCAGCCTGCTGTGCAGCAGCGGCGGCCATCTGCTGCTGGTAGGCAGCTTGGTTGTAGTTGTACGCCGGGTTTGCGGCGTTCTGGTACTGCTGCGGTGCCATGGCGACGTAGCCAGACGCAGCGTCTTGGTAGTAAGCACGGTTACCCGGTTTGTAAGCGGTAGCGTCATGACCTGGAAGTGACGGGCGCATGGTATGAAATGACTATGAGCAAACGATACTAGTGATGAAATCATCTATCATCTAGCAAGTAGCTCCATGTTGATCAACAAAGGTATGCATGGTCAAGGGATTCATTACTATTACAGTAACTACAACGAACTACTACTCCTTGCAAAAGACTAACTTCTTACCTTGCTGAACCACTGGTTGCTGGTATTGGTACGTTTGCTCTTGCACGTAGCAAATGCTGTTGCTGCGGCTCTGAGCAGTAGACGGTGCTGCTGAGTTAGCGGCGGAAGTGGCGGTAGAGTTTGCAGCCGTGGACGCCTCAGCTGGCGAAACCTGCTGCTTGGTGCTGCTTACCTTTCTAGCCGCATCCTTCAATTGGGCCTGCTCCTCGGCCGAAATCTGCGCACGCGACGCCCGACGAGGTCTGAAAATAAGGTAAGCACATTGTCAGGTGACTTGGATTCTTTCAGACGCGAACATGTCCGACTTCGATGTCCTTCAAGTTGTAAGTTTCGAGTCAGTGATGTCCACAATCATGAACCATGACCGACGAAATATAAATGCGTTAGGGCTGCACGGCGCCCCCCCCCCCCTTGCGGTATGGTCTGCCGTGTCGCTCGCGCGCTCTTTTCTCGCGGATTCTAGTGGTGGAAGGCGTCAAAATTGGGCGCGGGCGTCCCCTTGCGCCTCTCTGCATGTTCCTCAGGGACCTCCTGGCCTCTGCTGACCCTCGCAGGCTGGAGGTCTCGGGGGAAAAGGCCGCCGAAGGCGGCCACGGTGTCAAGAGCAAGCAAGCCGATGCCCAAGGGTCCGGAGGGTATAAGCCGCACGGCTCAGGGGGTCCAATCCCTCGCCTTTTGGCGCCTTCGGAGGCCTTCCAAAACCGGCGCACTGCTGCGGCGGCGAAGCATCTAGGAGGCACGTAGGGAACAGGCAGGCACCTGGAAGGGAGCGCAGGCGGTCCCGTGGGCCCCTTTTGAAGCCTTCCACCTACCCCGGAGGCCTCGAGGGAACAGCTAGGCAGCCGGAAGGGAGCGGAGGCCCCTTGGCCCCCTTTTGACGCCTTCCACCCCCGGCAGACGCCTTCAAACGGGGTCCGGGGCCACGGTACCCCCCCTACGCTAGGGGGGGCTACCGTGGCCCTGAGCCCTGGATCATACATCAAACGAGTAGATCAAGATTTAAAAAGATTACCGTTCCTGCTGATCCTCAACGGCCTTAGCCTTAGCAAAGTCATCGACTTCATCCAACAGCTGGCGTGCGAGACGATCGCGAAACTCAGCTGGCACGTTCTTGCTATCCATGGAGCGGTTATCATAGCCCAAATCGTACTGCATATCGATTGGCGTCACGCGATCAATGCCCTGTCCGCAATCGTGGATCAAGCGGCAGCCTTGATGAGCGGATCCCTAGAATTGTTGTTTTTGGAGAAATGAAATTGTTTGATTGTGAGGAAAAAAAAAGGGTCATCCTCTAGAAGTAAAAAAGGAGATACAGACAGATTTATAAATTAAGCAATATCAACATCTACTGCACATTGCACGACATCAACAACAAAAACTTCTCCTCCGAGAAAGATTTTCCTACCTCGTTCTCGCTTTCCATGCGCAACCATGGGTGGTCCAGGGCCTCGTCGACCGTGATTCTGGTATCCGGGCTGAACTGCAACATCTTCTCCATCAAATCAAAGAGACCAGTATCGCGGTCAGCCAGACGAAAGTTCGGGTTCCACCTGTTGAGGTGGTCGTAAGTGAGATTACTCATCATGTAGGAGGATCGGGGGACCATTCTTTTGTCACTGTCATCAACGATTTCTTTTGGCTTTTTTTTAAAACACCATCTTCTCAGAGCCAGACGCAAAACTTGCACACCATGGAACAATAAAAGCCTATCAAAACAAGATGATAATATTTACCCTGGCTTCGTAACAGCACGAGGAATCATAATCGGCTTGAAGTTTGTCCTGGCGCCCGGGACAAGCGGCCACTTGTTGCGCGGGCAGGTAGCAGGGTTGCGGTTATTGAAGCATTGACCCTCGTACTTGTTGTGAACGTCATCGGAGATCCTGTCGATAACCTTCTTGGCGTGCTCAGATGCAGCTGCATCAATACGAGAGCGGCGGATCGCGTCGTTTGCCGGGTATTCTGGGAGGAGTGAGGAAGGATGCAAAATAGTAGTACAGAGATGACGTTGTACTTACTGTGTTCTTAAAAACTTTGAAACCCCTGTATGCTGACCACACTGCGCCTAAGCCTATGGTAGAACTAGTTCTCATTAGTAAATAATGGCATCAAAATCAAGTACCGACAGTGTTATCGAGCCACTTCGTATCCGGGTAAGTGCCGCACAGTTCCAAGATCTTGCAGACCTGATCGTAGCCACCGCGACCCGGAAGCAGAACGTCACGGGAAAGCATCTCCGCGATAATGCAACCCACAGCCCAGATATCGGAGACTGGTCCGTAGCATCCTCGCAAGACGATGATCTCCGGTGCTCGGTACCAACGAGTGACGACGATGTCTTAGAACTTCAGGAAGGTACAGTACCCAATGATTCTTGTTTTGCAGTTTTCAGGTAACAAGGATCTTCTATGCTACTCTTCATGCATCACATTCTTCTCATCACATCTACTTAAGTAGATGAGTACACCAATTAGCTGACTCAATTCAAAATCATGATACATCAAACCCCCATGCATAATATTCTGTCAATGCTTCGTTGGCCGGGTAGAGCGGATCACCCTGGCTGTCCAGCTCGATGGCCCGCGCCAAACCAAGATCTCCGATCTTCAAACTTCCGTTCTTGGCGATGAAGATGTTGGCTGGCTTCAAATCTCGGTGAATAACGTGGCCTTTGTGCAAGAACTTCAAACCCGAAAGGATTTGAATCACGAAAGACCGAATCCATCGAACGTGGTCCATGCGCTTCGAGCGAATCAATTGATCTGTTTTTGTTTTGTGATGATGTGAATTTACTGTGAATTAGAGTGAAGGTTGTACGTACCTTTCCTGATGAAATTGAGATCATTGAAGAGAACCACGGTGGACAACAATTAGCAAAAAAACAACACTACAACTCTAAAACTTCAACAAAAAGACTAGTTGTATTACCCAAATCATAATCCATCACTTCCGTGAGCATGTAGATGTCTTTGCGTGGTGCACTGTAACCAATCTTTGCGTTGCGCTCGATCTTCTCCTGATCCGACTTCTGCGCATCTTGAGTGAAAACGTCGACAATGTTGATGATATTTCGGTGACAGAAGTGTCGCATTAACTTGATCTCTCGCAATGTGCGTCGAGTAATCAGGAAATCGTCGAACGCATTCGAGATACGCTTCACTGCGACGTTGGCACTGAGATGGGTGGGTAGTCAAGACGGATCATATTATTGTTGCATCTCATTTAAAAATTCAACATGGATTTTTACGTACCATTGACACCAACTCCCTAATCATCATAAGGCTACAAACGAGCTGAAAAACCACAAGTCACCAAAGTAAGTCGTGATGGACACCCCCCTCTTAGAGAAACCAAAATGGAGTACTTAGGATTGTTGCTGCTGACTTGGAGGTTTTTCCAGGCCTGCACAGTGCCGTACGATCCGGAACCGAGAATCCGGGTAAACTCGTACTTGCTCGTATCGAGCGGAAATGCCGGAACATTCTGACTCTTTCCCATCTTGATTTTTTCTGTACTAATAAATACGACCGTATTGTTTTTGTGTGGCTTCTTGATTGTTCTTTCTTTCCCCTACAACAGTGGTTGTGTCCTTTTGACGTTGGTCTTGGTTCTTTGTATTTAGAATGTTGAAATTGGAACCTGAAAAAAGTGGTTGCCACATCTCATGCACTTTACAAGCCTTTTTTATCTTCTTCTGCTGTAAAATGCAATGAATCAGGCTGTAGTCTATGAATCTATGGTCAAAGAAAACCTTTAGCAAAAAAAACGGTGTTATTATCGGAATAACCTTCTTTCTACTCTGTTTTTTTTGTTGGGTCTAAAAAAAATCGCGTGAGATTTCTTTTGCACTGCATCCAACGTTTCCTTGCTTTTAAAAAAAGACAACAGGAGGAGGGGTTTCAAAAAAATTCTCGAACGATGTGCCTGCAGTTTTCATGAAAAAATTGGGAGGATCATACGAATGCGATGCATATCAATTCTGCGAATGCCTCATGTTATGCCGATCACGACAGACACTTGAATAACCGATACGATACGAAAGAGCCATGAGATGAGGACAGAAAGATTTTTAAAGGACGATGATCATCTCAAGATAAGTACTACATTCCATCGAGGCCAATGCTTCTCGTCTCTCCGAATATTCAATCTCTTGTCTCTCACTCTCTCAGCAAGCTCATGATCCTTATCAATTCGAAGCAGCTTCCTGTCATTTTTCTCTGCTCGTCTACTCTATCTGTGATCATTAGTCTCGCCAGAACGGTGCTCCTGCAGTGAAACTTCTTGTAATTGAAAACTTCCTTGCTAATCTAGTACATTATCTTCTTCAGAACCACGACGGTCGTTGCGAACTTCGGACCAATAACTTCGAAACACTGCATCTTTGTCTTTAGAGCCTGCCGCAACTTCAACTATCAATACTGGCAGAAAAAGATGAAAGGCGATGTAACAGAATGCGAGCATGTAAAAATGAATCGGAATAGATACTTTTTCAACGAAACGAGATAGCCTTCGACTTCGAAACATCATAGTACATAGTAATCTTTCGTATATCTCAGTCACGGAAAAGCACTTGGGATTCTTTCCTGTACATACAACGACCTCGTTGATCGCTCGAAACACCCAAGTACTTCAGGATTACGTAGAGAAACGACCCTCACTTTGCATCAGATAACACGGTGCGAATTACAAAATTATCGACGTGCATGCAGAGAGTAGGAGCGGTGGTTCTAACTCCGGTTTTCATTCCTCCCCAGCGATCGCCTTCGAGAGCTGGCGACTGCTATGCATCCAGCTTCCGATTCTATAATTTGGTCCATTCCTTAAGATTCGGCCAGCTTTTGCAATCACCTCGTGTTGAGAGCTTGTGCTCCCAGCCGCAATTGAAGAATCTGTTACCAAGCCACGAAAATCGATATAATACGGTAGCTGCCCCTCCTGTTCTGTTTTTCCATCACTATATCTCGGGGTCACCCATGGCGGGAACACTGTTAGCGTATGGCATCCGGGCGATGTTTTAGACGTGAATACCGTTTCAATCGCCTTGCGCGGAAAAATGAAGCAGCCACAGAGAGATGTCGTCGCTGCGCTGTCCTTGATGAAGACAACCAGAAACTCAATGTTGTCGCTCACTCGATAAGGCCGCATCAAACGTTGTCCGTGATGTCTCACTATTGACACACGGTACCCACATTGACTCCCGCAGCGTCCTCCAGTTTTGTGAAGGACCCGATAACCAGCAACAGTGCTCGGACACGGGTCAGTGCTTATTGTTTGCGCCAGAGAAAGTCTATTCGGCCGGTAAATGAGCGAATCAATCTGCCCGACAAAGCGACAGTGATCTTGATCAGCTTGATTTTGCGTTGCGAAAGACTCCACCCACTTGCCAACCGCTGCCTTTTTCATAAGACGCACCAGACTGCAAAGACGCTGCGCAAAAGCTGCTCTTCCGGTACATTCGCTCCATGCAAACTTCCCATGTCGCAAAGAGTAAAGAGTCATGGAGTGCCGATTTAAAAAATCCGCTCCGCGTAGCGCATAGCGGCGACTATCGTTGGCAGAGACGAAAACGTAGACGACACTCGGGTGCACGCTCGCAAAGTCAAATTCACCCTGTTTGTGCAGTTTTCTGCCTGGAGGCCGTGCCTCCGGGTCGATGGAGCTGAGCCGACTCCGGTTGACTTTCACCCGTACTGGCACCCAATCCTGGGTGGTTGCATCCGGTTCGCCAGTCAAAGGTAGCGAGCGTATGCGAACAAAGACATCGGCCGGCAATCGCCGCGGGGCCCGCACAACTTCGAACGTACAAGGGGGACATTTAGACGTGCTTCTCGTGCGCGTACTTCGCCCCTCGCCTCTTAGATCAGCAATCACCTCTTCAATCACGTCCTCCCGCTTCTGGAGCAGTGCCTGCGCTGTCTCTGTTGCGCTGCGCCGTGATTCGTCGAATCCCTTTCGCGGTGCCGGTAAGGGCTCGCCAAGAAAATCATACCAGTTTGTCCATTCCAGTGTTCGCCGATAAAAAAGATCCGGTCTAGACGGGATTCCTGGCGGCATCTGGGGTCGCTTTACACAAAAATCGCGATAGGTTCGGCACATATAACGCTGCACGATTTCCCTACTCTCGTCGAACTTTTTGAAGAAGTCTGGAGGGATTCCCCTCCCGTATCTCCGCCTCTGGTAGCCTAGAAAGTCTGGCCATCCTTTCCAGTCCCCTCTCTTTTTGTAGAACAGGTAAGGCTGGCGCGGCAGGCCAGCGGGGTACGTGTTGTTCGTAGAAGAGTCTTTCACGAATTCAAAAAATTGGAGGGGATTCCGAAGTTGAAGTGCATGCACCACGTTACGCGCGCTGTCGTATGATAGATAGTCGTCGCCGTTCCGAGAACGGCAATGAAGCGGATTACCAAGAAACTCCGGAAAACCGTGCCACTCACTGGAACTCCGATACACAAGGTCTGGTCGCTGAGGGACATTCAAGTGCGGGTGCTGTCGATTCCAATCCTGAAAGTCTTCGACTGATGTCAACTTGACGCTGCGAACCAGATCAGCCGCCTCTCTGTAGGGAAGCAGAACACGACGGCCGGAAAATGCGCGGGGACGGCGCATCGTCGTCCGACTACTGGCTGTAACTAAGCTCGACATTGGCATCGTGCGCTACGCGATCCACGAGAAGACTTTATCAGCAGGCGCCGGAGGTACGAAAGAGAGCCGCATGAGTGGCTCTATTTACATCGCATTACTTTTCATTCGTGTGTACGAAACTCTATGACGACATTCAGCTAAAGAACAATACCGTATCTACTATCTATCACACGGCAGCAACAAATACCGACGCTTGTGCACTAGCTTCATCGATCGCAGCTTTTTGCAATTTCGATTTGTGTCCTGCGAAAAGAAAGTCACTGCGTGCTGAATAGGACACGGACAACGCCTCCGCAGGGTGCGTGTTGCTACTTCCAACAGGAAGTGTGCTCTGCATGGCCTAAACAAGGTCCGTCAGAATCAGATATGAACTTGCAGCCAATAATTTGTATGTTAGTCTATATCTCATGTTTTGTAAAAATGCTAGTATGCAGTCAGTGAGTGTGTGAATCCCGTAGATCAAATCAACCGGAGGGATTGGGAGGTATGTTAGATAGATTACGCAAAATACTCAAGGCTAGCAGCAGGACATTGGGTGCGGCGCCCTCGAGCACTAAACATCTTTCGTCGAAAACACTGCAACATCTGCAACCGGAGCTGTGTTTGCTACCAAATCCAGGTGCAAAACCGGATGCAGCGTCCCCATGTTCGCTGGAAATTTTCGAATGCTCTTGCTGTCCGCGACATACATCGCCCCATCGCCGTCCCACGTGCAGCCTGCTCCTGCGGATAATCCGTTTGAAACCACAAGCGGAGTTCCGCCCCACTTCTTAATGGCATAAAGGTTCGATATTCCGTCCGTGTAGAAAACGTTGCTGCGAGAAGCGCAGACGCCCTGGACCGTCTCCGTAATTGCCTTGTTTGGGAGCTTGTTGACGGTGGGGACAGCGCCAACGGTAGTGGTTGCGGACATCTGAGAGCAAGTATTACAAGAATTGTCGTTCCGGCTCACTGAACCAATCCCCTGCTAGCCATGGGCGCAGTCCGTGAATCTCAAAACTACACACAACGATCTACAATAACCTCTCCCACTTTCTCGAATATATTTGCAGGAGAAAGTTGATATAAATCATAGATGTGTGGTTCGCGGGTCACCGTCAGGAAACATCGAAGCCAATAACTTGTAGCTTAAGTACAACACTCCCCTTAGTCAGTGCTTCCTGGCCATTTCCGTAAAATAGTTTATGACCGTCGACATCTATGCCAGCCGGACTTTTTATATTCGCCAGTCCTTTCGGATTTTCCGCAGTGTCTCCTTGGTATATCTGTGTAGGAGGTTGTCGTGTGAAAATGGAAATAAGCAGATGAAGGACCATGTCCTTACAACTGTCTAAATCCTGAGGACAATGTGGTCTGAGAAAAGTTTGTAGTGTTGAAGTCTGCACTCTAGCAAAACGCCGCTACCACATGGCACGCTCCATCCTGGTCGTCGAGATAGACGCTGCAAATCATATTACTGGTCTTGCTCGTGAGATATAAGGTGTTGTTCCGTGGATCGACTGCTAGCCAATGCGCCTCGACGTTTCCTGAGTTGTTGACATTAAGAGAGAACTTGATCTACCTTCATCCCAGTGCTGTTGTTTGTAGCTCCAAGTCCAACGAGAACCATCTGCAATCGTCTATCATGATTCTCACTCTCCAACTACATCTTAGCCAGACACACTGAAGCAAACCAAAAGTACTTGCTACTTCGCGCTGCGCCGTCGCAGTGAGTTCCTCGTTTGACGCTGCTGTGATGTCGTATTGATAGACCCGCTGCGCTGTGCTGTCTGTGACAAATAGCGCTTGCGTGTTTCGATCAAAAGCTAGTCCATGGGGATGCTTCAGCCCGTCGTCTATAAGCACTTTAACTTTCCCTCCTGCAGCATTGGTTCCAGAAACGTCCTTGTGGTTCGACGGAACAACGTACTTCACCGCCTTTTCTCCTGGAACCGTGAAAATGACGAAGTCCGACGGGAAGGGCTCCGCAAGAGCGCTATGAGATATGAACAACGACGATAGGATCCCGGCAGTGGACAAAAGGATCCTCTTCACCGTGGTGCTGTGTTCGGAGGATACGTTGTTTCTTCTCCTTTTCACTCTGTTTACGTCGTGCCGTCCTCCACCAACTTGTTGATTCACGTGCTTGTGGTTTCTTGGTATCTGCTTCTTCGAATCCAGGTGTGTCGCGTGCTCGATCACATCGCATGCGGCACCAGGCAAATTATCATTTGTGGCGCATCCACTAACGCACATCCGCCTTGACTTTCTGCATCTTCGCCGCGCACTCCTCTCTTTGGCCGCTGGGCATTTCCGCGAAAGCCGCTTGCTTCGCCTACCTGCGTACGAGCTGCATCCGGGCTCGGGAACAGCCCCACTTGTCGGAAGGTACCCGTCTCCTCGCAACATGATAGTCGCCTGTATCGGTCCGAGCACTGAGATCAAATGCGTCTCCCGAATTTTGAGCGGAGTCGAGCAGTCGTGAAAACCAAAAGGCTGAAGGAATTGAGCGCTCTTGTTGTACCGCTTCACGTTCACGTCGTTACGAAAATCGTATGCGGCATTGCGTCATGCAATTTCCATCTCCGTGATCTATACATGGAAAATCCAAAATTTCTTGACGAAGCCACTTCTTCACAATTTTCGAACGCGACATCAATAGAGGTCACTGTTTCCACTTTGGCGGTCATTTTGACCTGAAGCTCTTCCAAAGGGATATACCTTTTACACTTTTGTCCGAACACGTTCAGTCTCAGATGACCGAGACGCAAGTTGCGTAAAACAGAAATCAATGGTGCACCGAGCACACTCATAATCGAAGTCTTCTTCTACGGAATCTTAAGTCATAATCATATCGCTCCCAAGCCCATTTTTTCCGCTTTGAATCTATGACTTGACTTCCCTCTGATGTTGGAGCAAGTCGTTGCTGTCTCTCGAAGCTTTGCCAACGCGGTCACGTACCATTTTCTGGATGGCCTAGTAGGTCTCTCTCTCCTGTTGCTGATAAGACGGTCATGATCACTTGCGCCGTTTTAGATCCGCCTTAGCGTGTACTCCGACAACGCCTAAATCTAGACCCCTGGCGGACTTCATTATATAATGTGGTTTCGTGTTGACCTGAGGTCGCAACAGCGCTTTGGCTTGATGGACGAAGTTGAGCTAACGATGCAAAACGAAAATAGACGCAAAAATGAGGATTCACGATAAAAGGAAAAAGGATCGAATTTAATATCACGAAATGGAATTGTTTGAGCTCCTGGTACACGCAGGCAGCTATACTAGCGGCAAAGCAATCTCAGAGCGACATATTGTTCATTAAACGGTCACGAACACGCAGCCTCGCCAGTTGTATTCACTTTGAGAACGTCATTGGTAGCGGTCCGCGGGCGCCGACCGGTAGCTGCTCAGCAGCCGCAGAAAACTGCCCAGCTCCGCGACGATGGGCGTACGGACCTCGCTATCGACGGCCAGCTTAGTCACGTACGCCTCCTCGTGTGTATTCGCTTCAGCGGCGGCATGGCGGTCCAGAAGAAAGAGACCCAACTCCTGCTCCTGCAGGTTGATGTCTCTGAAATCTTGCGGCCTGCGCGGGTCTTCACGGTCATAGCCAGGACTGACCCAGCCCGCGACAAGGTTTTCCAGGTAATACTGAACGTCCTGAAGGCTTTCGCTTTGTTTCAGACCGTGCACGTAGTGGCTGGATTTTCTCGTCGTCACTCTCGTCCGCTGCATGGGGGTGCCGCACAAACGTTTGACGCAGCTCCTCGATCCTTGGCACGTCGGACAAATCAGCAGCGCCGCGTTCCTGGCCTCCCTGCTGAAGAACCCAAATCGAATACACTCGCCCGGCCGGCTTGCGAACCAGCGCGCCGCTTGCTGAAGACCGCGTTACCGTATGCTTATCGATGGCGAAGACGTACTAGCCATAGTTTATGGTATAACACGGCTCCACGAAATACAACACGCCGTCGCCCGCCACCTCCTCGACTCTCTCCAGAAACGGCGCCACTAGCGTGTCCCGCAGTAACGTATGGAAGCCTGCATCTTGTCCACTTCCTGCGGCCATTTTTGACGTTTGCGCATTTCGATCTATGTATATATATATAAGTATTTTCTGTCTGATATCGTGTTATGGAGCTTCGACTGTCTCACTCGTCCGTCGCGAAAAATCTACTTCAAGCCTGAATAAGAAGCTGAAGCCCTGGTCCCTGGTATAATTATAACTTATCGTTATCGCAGTCCTCAAGTCTCATAATTTATGAGGCAGAGGCTCATGACGCTCTGCTCTATTCTAACACGCCTTCCTTACTCCCATTTCCTGCAGCGATAGAGTTTGGTTGTTTCCGACCAGGAGTACGAACACATCCAGATGTATGAATAGCGACATACTGAAGGTGAAGCGCTGCTCCAAAACTAGAGGGTTGCTTGAAAAGTTTCTGTGCCATCTTATCAGATATGGACGCTGGCGCAGGTAGCGTCCTTGACTCCAAATTCTTGAAATTCGATCTTTCAATTTAAATGCGTTGGATTTCCTACCATTTCGTTGGTATACATCTTGATGACGCGCGATCATCAATGTCGGTATGGGATGCGTGGAATAGGTACACTGTCACTGAATGATCAAGAACAATTTCAAATTGCAAGACGAACCCTGGTTTCCTATCTCTTCCATCGAAAGAAAGATAGACACACCGTCGGCAAAGAGACAAGACTCACGGGCACACCTTTTCTTGTTCAAGAGTTGCTTTGAACGCATCTAGTTCTAGTACTACTTCTTATAGTATACATAGATGAGAGATTGCTGCGACTAAGTTGCGTGTACTGATATTTCACTTTTCAAATGTACGACTTGCCAAGGGGAAAGGAGGGGGTCTGTCTTCGAAGGCAATATATGATTGCTCTAGTATTCAGTAAAATCACGAATCCCGCCGTGTGTATTTTCTGAGCGACGGAACAACAAGGTTCTAAGACGATTGACAAGGCAACTGCAATATCTCAGCAGCTTCGTTGCAAATCTGATCCTATTTTTTCTCCTCCTCGTGCGGCTTGAGTATCTCTATCAACAACGCGTATGCAGTATCGAGGTCATCATTTACTAGGACCATATCCCAGAAGCCCTTTTTCTCCTTGTACCTGAACAGATGAAGAGACGATAGAGAACGGCTCGTAGAAAAAATAGCAAAGTGAATGTTTGTGTCTGAACTAGAACTAGGGTGGAATAGAATCAACTGTCAGCACCAATCTCGGTTTTTTTACTATTTCAATTACATAAACATGGGAAATACTCCATTTCTTTCCGTGCGTTTTTGAGTCGAGTTTGTATCTTTTCTTCGGTCTCAGTCCCTCGTGACCGCAGTCGCGATTCCAAAGTGTCCAGATCAGGCGGCGATATGAAAATGTAGCATGCACGGCTGTGAGTCAAAGTCAGGGGAAAAGGCGAAATTAAGAGCATGCTCAGTTGTATCTTGTTTCTTAACCATCTTTCCTTTTTAGGCATTACTTTTGCTTGTAACTCGAACAACAAAAACATATCCTTATTTTCCGGAAAGCAGATCCACGAGGTACCTGTCCATGTGTGTCTCCTTGACAGAATCGACGCCCTGCACATCGATGTCGAGGATACAGCGCATGTCCCTCATAACCCTCTCGACTGCCTCAATACTCGTGCCGTATATGTTGCTATGTACATGTGCATACTCCAGCATCTCCTTAGCCGCTATCTTCTGTTCCATTATCTGTGTGGTCGTTTTTCATTCACAGTAGACGAGCCGATACTTCAGGATCACGGACAAATTTTTTCGCATGATCAATTTTTAGATCAGACGCATCGAGAGTAGGAAAGTCTTCTCAACATAAATCTTCCTATGTATTGAATGCACCATCGCGCACATCGATATTCAGAGCAATATTAACAGTGGTACGTCCTTCGCGACGTAATGGTAGTCGATTCCGTCCTTCTCGCCAGGTCTTGGCGCCCTTGTTGTATGCGAGACACTGAATCCGTACTGTCCTGGGTAATCCTTCATCAGCTTCTTTACCAGACTGCTTTTCCCTGCGCCACTGGGTCCACACATCACGATAAGGGGTCTGGAAGCAAGCTTCTGCCGACCGCTCGCGGTGATCTGGTACATGCTCTGCTTGAAAGAGGAAGAAGACGAGGAGGAAGATGGCGTGGCAGAAGAACCAAATACGCGCTCCCACACACCTTCCGCTGTGCCGCGGAAGGCCTTCGTGCTGAACCAACCCTCGACAGCACCAGGCATCTTGGCTATGCTCGTTTCTACAACGATCGACTGAGGTGGACTACGTTGATGAAGATGGATAAGGGCGACAGCGCGTCGACCGCGAAGACCCAAGGACGTTCGCTGTTGCGTCTTTAGGTAACGAATCGAAGAGAGGTTCCGTGTACTTTTTTACGTGTGTGACTCGGAATCGAAGTTCGCCTGCTGGTGCCGCTTAAGCGAGTAACACTACCCAAACCGTTTCTGGTGCTAGTCGGAGAATATCAGACCGTTGCGTCGAGTCATACTGGGCATCGACGTGTCTTGCAGGGAATCAATGGCTGTCGTATTCGAAAAAGACTAATATCATGCAACCAGCCAGGTCGTGGTGTCGAACTTTCAGAAGTTTCACACTTTTAACACCAAAGACCGATTCTCGGGTACGCCTTCGAAATCGCACTGAGTGTGCGTGGACAACGAAGTGCACGTTGATAAAATACAACTATGAACTTGTTCGTAAACCTTCAATCACAAAAACTGCACAACTGCAGCAAAACAACTTCATACATGCATGAATTTGAAAACCCTGTCGTGTTCGAAAAAAGATTCTTTCACACAATAAGCGAGGACATCTACATATCTTATACTTCTGACGTGAAACGAACACAGCAATGAAATTGAACTTACGTATATGCTAGGAAATTTCCTGATGATCTAAGTTTTTCTGTGGCGGTCAAACAATCCTATTAGTGCGCACAGTCGAGTCACTTATAGCAACATGATCTTGGAAGTAAATTTGGAAATAGTCGTTTTGAGCTTGCCCAAAGAGAACTTGCCTGTCGTCGTGAATGCACTGTCTTCCCTAACTGACACAACGGATCTTCTACCTAGTAATAACTAGGCGAGTCTGATGCGCATCTGAAGACGAACCATAGCAACACAGCGCGTTCATCACGAGGCAAAAGGGTGATGAAGATCAGGAGATGGATGAGAAAATTTTATCTTCGTGGTTTTGATTATGCAGATTTGACTCAATCAACAAGATGATTTCATTTCGCGGGAATAGAGGTTATCGGAGTAAAGCATGTGAAATCGATGTCTCCCTCAACCTCTAGTACTACGGGCACAACATACCGATATTGTACTACTTAAATCGATTTCAATTTTAAACTCTTCATCTCAGTATTCAACGATGCCCTCAAAAGATTCATGGCCGTAACGATTTCGGAATACCTGGTCTTCAAACAAAACACCTCTCATACTCATACAAAGCGCTAAGTATAAATGTAGATAATCGACACATAACACGTATACCGACTCTGTACGGAAACTGAATGCGCTGCTTCCAATGCAGCAAGGAGTACCAGTGAGCAGTTGCAAAAACGTATTGTATTTCAGTGCAAACTACCTTTCATGAATGAAGGTCGTCTCCCTCAGGAGGTAGAACGAAAAGGGAACGTAGGATCTCGATGGTTTTCACGAGTAGTACGTTTCGTAGTCTGAACACGAGAATGAGTTTCGCGACAAGGGTAGCGAGCACAGTGCATGCGCTGAAGTCCGCGTCGAAGTTCCAGCACTGACAGCGATGCTTTAGGACAGCGATGCTTTTTTAGTGCATGTTGAACGAAAAAACGACTGAATCTGAAACTCAAATTGACCTATTGTGTGTATCTACATTTAAGAAACTCTTGTCCCTTCTGCTAGGCCCGCAGTACAAGAAGAAGCACTTCGAATCTGATCTCTAGGAGAAGGCTTTTTCCATCATACTTAAGCCTCTAACGTCCGTAGGATACCTTCACGTCCGCTTTACCTTTTGGACGAAAAGAGCATAAGTAGCTGTTTGCAATCAACAATTTTGAATGCTGGGTACATTTTCCTGAAGACTACTCTTCACTTCTGTTCTTCACGCCTTCATATCTAGGGTCGTATAGACCTCAAATGACACCTGCGTAGGAAGATGAATTTCCCTCAGACACCAGTTGCATCCGCTGGAGCGGCGCCCGCCGCACACGCATCGATTTCCGGATTCGAGCAGACGCCGGGAACCTCTGGATTACAGTTTAGGAGCGCGGAGGGGGTGGTGACCATGCGTTGCTGCGTGTCGGGTCCCATGTATCGAAGCGCCATGGTTTGTCCTACGCCGCTTTTGTGCACCCGTACGAAAACCTGTACACAGTGACCGCCGGCTGAGAGCTCCAGCGTTTTCGGCGGCGATACCTGACAGGTCATCTGATCAAACTCCGGTTCCGCTTTTGCACTACGCTGTTTCTGCAACAGCGAACGGCGTGGCTGTTCATGTTTCGACTCAATCTCAAATGAGGCTTCTTCAGAGGTTAATGAAGATGCTGTCCTCGTTGTAGACATCCGAGAGCTAGAGGCTTTCGCTCCCAGAGATTTTCGCGTCTGCAACAAGGAGGCGGCCTCGTCTTGCGCAGCAACGGCCTCGAGTCCACCCGATATGACCTGACAGCCGCGATCCTCACACGCTTGCTTACTCGTGAAGACGCGGCACTGGCCATGCGTCAGCACCTCCTCGCCGTCCACGATCAAAGTCGCGGGATTGTCGTCTGTGCCGAGCGCGAGGTCGAACATGTAGGTGCCAGCTTGGAGTACCTTCAACGTTCCCGAGAAACGGCTCCACCAGACCACTGGCTCAGTGTTTTTCGCCTGCGGCCACAACAATTGGTTGCTTTGCGATCGAAAGTCGAGGAATGGCGCAATATTCGTGTAGGCCACGTTTTTCTGTGTGGAACAAGACAGGTAGAAGTAGTAATTGTAAGTAAGTATGTAAGAGTGTATCCAGTTTTCTAGTGGGGGTGAAATGAAGCAAGAAGTGACGAATAAAATCTCATTTCCAACGTGATGAGCAGTCAATTGCAACGATTTTTGTTCTTGTCAAATAAACCGAGGATTTCTTATTCTTGTAGGGCGCCGTCCTATAGCACGAACACAACTTCGGAACAATTCATTGAAATTCCAAAGAACTTAAAATACATGTTGAATACTGGCTGCCATCCCTTAGTCCAGTCCGTTGGCGTGTTTGCGATGCCGAAGTACTGCGCTGACAGCCCTGTTGCACTTGTGGCGTGCTCGCGATCGTAAATCTGGGAGAAATAGATTTTATACTTCTCATCGATATCATCGGCAGGAGCCACTGCCTCCTTGCTGCGATAAGCCTGCGGAATGTTGCCGTGACTGCTGTAGCCTGTTCGCGTTCGCAAAGGGTAATAGTCCAAAGGTAATTTGTCCATCGGTGCATGAATCTCCCGGTGTGGCGTGTCCAACCCGATTACAGGTGTGCCAAGGAAGTTAGAGAAAACTACAGTCACCAGAACATGAATACTAGTAGTCCTATTTTCTACTTCAATTTTCCAATGGATTAAACTTAGGTCTAATAAAAGTGATCATATCCTACAGACGACTCTTTTGGATCCGCCACCGCATATGCAACACGCTTGTAGCGCATCTAGGCTGTTGTGTGCCAGGTCTTGGATCGTAGCGCCACCTTCCGCGTCCCAGCCGTCACCCACAGCACCGTCCTCCGTGCAGTATTTGCGGACCCGGTAGTGCTCGCACCCTCGGTTCGCGGCATCTACCCAGGTAGCAGGTAAGTCGCGGCACACGAGACTCGCTCCCTTCGACGGCTAGAGTGGGCGACATTTGTGCTTTTGAGGAAAGGAAAAATTTCCGAAACATGATAACAATGCTGTGTGTAGTTCTACTTTTTCCTGCATCGATCCATTCATCTTCTTGGAAAAAATGGCTTTGGTGTATTTTGAAGTTCTTCGAAAAAGCGAAACCTCTGGTTGCGGCGGATGTTCTTCTGGGAAGGGTATGCCGTACCGGTACTTCGGCAGAAAAACATAGGCTCCGCCAGGTGCGGAATGTTCTTGCGGGTAGTGCTCCTCCTCGTAGCCAGTGGCGGAAAGCGGCGCCTCCGGCTCAAGATTATCCAGTACTCGAAAGGGTCGCTCCGGAATGTACGGATTCGATGTATGGAATGTCCCATCGGACAATCGGATCAGTCTGTACCTAATAAAAAGAAAAACGATAGCTGCTTAGACGTCATACTCTTGATCCGCTACTACTTCGGAAGCAGTAGCTGGAAGGTCTAAATGAAGAGTCTATCAAAGTTCATCTTCTTTGAACACGGAGATTACCTGCACGATTAGAATGTCTGTAGTACTACCAGCAACCCACAAGCTAAATGACGAAATCAAAGAAAATTGAAATTTAAATTACGTGTTCCATGGATTTTCTCCCTTTCTACTGGAACCGATCTCCGGCTCGATCGCTTGTTGCCGCGCAGCAGCGACAACGACGCCCGCAAGCGCCACTGCGCGCCGCATTTTCAAGTGTCTCCACTCAACACGAGTGTTGATGCAGATATGATTACACTAACATAATAAGAAACTTCCTCAAATAATAAGGTAGCTAGTAGCTGCTACCTAGTACAAACTGAACGCAAAACGCATGATTAAAGATTGATTAGGATTGCACAATGTCGGACTTCTCCAGCTGTCACTTTTTCCCTACACTAGTTGCCTTCTTTGCTCTACTCTCTGCACTTTTAGGGTACTGTGCTCACGTCTCTCTGCAGCGGTATCCATCCATATATATAATATACTCTGAATCACTCCCTTTGGAAAAATCTCTTCTAAATAACTCCCATTGGGATTGGAGTCTCCCACATCTCTTCTAGATAATTATTCCCGCGACCCCAATCGCATGTTGTTGAACAGCTTGACTTCTCAAAATTGTGTTTGTGGGACACTGTTTACAAAAATCGTGTGTGGGGTAATATAGGCGTGTGCTTGAGCACCAGGTACTTTGTCACACGATTGTATGAGATAACACATTGCGCGCCAGTGTCATGTCCATAGTCGGGCTTGAGGAGTCATCATTCAGTACGACAGTGTCTTTTCTAAGGTGGCCATGTGTCGCAAGGAAGTGCGCGAGTCAAAGGGGGAATTGACTCTCAGTTCCCTTACAATCGCGTTGTAGTCGGTCCGAACCCATCTTCACCTCTGTCCACTAGAACGACGGGCCATACTTTCATACAAGGATCAACAGCGGATGCCACATTACTTAGCCGTTCGTGGGGACAAACAAGGCAACATGCAGTAGTACCCGTGGCTTCTAAAAAGTATACGTGGGGAAATGCCATTGGGAGGGGTGGGAATATTGGTGTAATCGACACGTTGTGGTTTAGTCCATGCGTCCCTTGAGTGATCGCGTTCGCACGCCGTCGGGTGTGATTACGTGCACAATGCCACCCCACCTGAGATTACGGAGAAAGAAGCAAATACAATATGAATCTGAATTAACAAGATGAAAGGAAATCCAAAATGTTGATGTTCTTCGGATCACCCCGTTTCTATTAACAGAAGAGAGTTATTGCGATTTTGAATTGCTACAACATTACGATCTGAGGTAAAACAATGAATAAGTTGAAAATGACGAAAGTACCCTGCCAAGCAGTCCCTGTCTACGGCTGAGAGCAAGCACTGAGAGATAGTCTCAAACAACTGCTCTGGGTCCATATCGGGTTTCCAAAAGCTCTCACATACACCCATCAATTGGTCTGATGTTGTCCCGGCGCAGGTGAAATCGTGCCTGTTTTGATTTGCGGGAAAGGTCCCTACAAGGATCAAAATCATGAATAGTGTGACGTGCCCAACAGTGGGACAAGTAGAGTAAAAACTTAATAAAGTTGAAAACCAAGAAAGAACTCAATTGAAAAATGAGTCTACCACCGAGTAGAAAAAACCAAATTCAAAATTAATACGATATTGACTGTGCGCCTATGAAATCGTAGCTGCAGATTCTTGGATTGTTATCTGCATCCAAACCGGCGACCACTGGTTCTACGAAATACGGTCCGAACCTTCGCTCGTACCTGACAAGCGGGGTGATCTTTGTCTTTCCAATTTGATCTTCATGCCAATAACAAAACTGCTTTTGTTATTCACATTGTTTTAACTACTTACTACTAACTATCTGTACCATAAGGATTTCATTTTGTTGGTTAAACGCCTCTACTTGTGGCTATAGTACACAGACTTTCATCCTCCAAAAAAATTGAAATACATCGTTGTCGAGATGAGGTTCATGATCGTTTCGGTCTGCATTGATCGGTCCTCTCGAAGCTGGTAGAGTTTCATCTTGAATTTCATAAGCTGCGATACTGTTTGCACATCTGTCGCGAACCCGGAGAGGCCCATAAAACACTGATCGGTTAGCTGAAACGCCTTTGGAAAGTTGCCTGTGTTGGTCCAGGAGGTAGCAGAATCCCTGTCTAATACACTGAATGAATCGTGTGGTACTACATGATTGAGTTGCAATGTCATTTTTGTGCTCACATGAGGGTCGCTTCTTCTCGAGATTAGAGAATTCGTAATAAATTAATGCTAAAAAATCTATAGTACAAGAGACTGTTGTCAGCTGTCGCACGCCAAGTCGTTTGTCTGTCGCTATCGCAACGCAGTTTTTCCCTGTCATTGCCACAACGGCTGAACCGTTGTATTCCATAATCCCCGACATTTTGTCCTATCTTCTTGATGACAAAGAATTAACCTTCGAAATTTTCACTTTTGCTTTTTTTTACTCACGAGCTAGCTATGAAAAACAAAATCAATAAAAATCTTATCGTAGAGAGAAAACACGAATGATGGCCACAATATATAGTTCGAATCTGTAGTGAGAAAAATCAACAAGAAAAAGCCTGCGATAGAACTTATTTCATTAAGCAAGTCATTCAAGAACAGGCTTAAAATTGAACTAGTAAGTAAGAAATCAGCCGACCTCAGTAACGCATCATAAGCAAGCACCATTATAGATTGATTTGCATTTTTTTCTTCAAGAATCGGACTTGTCTTCAACGTCCTTTGTTGTACCAGGCAGGTTGCCAATGCACGCAGCTAGAATCGGATTCTAACCCTGAATCCTTCACCGATTTCACTCTTCCTTTCTTACCTTCATTACATCACAATTTCTATTATAGTGCATCATCTTCTAGTTTTCGCATGACAGAAAGATCGGCAACATGTTGTTTTTTGATTTCAACCACAACAACTTTGAGCGCGTTGCATTTGCAGCGCCTCTTTAGCTCCGTGTGAGGCGAGCACATTAAGAAAAGCGAGAAATTGGATTTTCTTGCGCAATTTCAGTATTGTACTCGTGAATTGTAAAGTTATCATATGTAATACGCAAGCTCCAGGGATCGATAGAGACTTTCAGGGTTGTGATTTCACGTGACAGAGCAAGTACGAGGCAGGGAAAAGCCTTTGAGAGTGTCCAAATTCATAGTGTTGGCGTTCTTAATTCCTTAAAATTCAGTGTGATTCAACAGGATCATCGTCGGCGGCGACTACGACTACGGCTGCGGGATGAAGATGATTCTTCCCGCTGTTTCTTTACCTTTTTTTCTTCCCGTTTTTCGCGCCTTCGATCTTCGTCACGGTGACGCCTTCTGTCGTCGTCGCGTCGTCTATCCTCGCGATCTTCGCGTCTCTTGTCCGACTGCTTCGCATCTACTCTAGAAGAACCTCTTCTATCATCGACGTCTCGACGCCTGTCGTGCTGCTGCGATCGACTAGAGGCCATGGCCTCTCTAGCCGAATCTCCTGCCTTCGCCCGTGAGGAATTCCCTCTATCTCGGCTCTCGTCACGCCCGCCTCCGCGTTTCGAAGTCGAAGTAGAAGACTTAGCGTTTTCTTGCCTTGTTTCTCTATTAATAGTATGGTTTTGGTGATGGTCCCTTGTTCCGCCTCTGCTAGAAGTGGCTGCGCCATCGCGCCCCCGCCTCCCGCGACTTGACTCATCATCGCTATCTTCGCGCCCGACCCTGGCACTTGCGTTTTTACTGGCCTTTCCGCCCCTGGCATCCGAGTCGTCAGAATCGTCGGACGAAGATGATGATTCCTGCTCTTTCTTCTCCCGCACCTCAGTTTCCCACGTGCTTCCATGCTGCGCATACAGCGGAAAATGCACAGACCGCAAGAATTGGCCCTGCTTCGATGAAAAGTACCTTGGTAATGTAGATTATATGTCGTTGAGCACGAATGAAAAAAATTATCTGTGATATAGTACATACTTAGATTGCGATGAAGAAATAATCAACGCCAAGCCAAAATTCCCAATCAATCTTTTGTCCACACGGCATAGAGATGATGATTTTCATTTTCAACGTAGTAGTGATTCATCTAAAATCATCTTCTAAGAGTAGTACTTGATATTCCGCATGATTTTCATGAAGATGATGAGCGATTGTTTTTCATTGCAGTTGTAGACGAACTGCTTGTTGGTCACCAATTGGTAAAACTGTTCCTGCAAACTCAGTTTCCCCATGGAGGCTAGTTTCAAACATTTGTCGACCCATTTAATCCGTGCGTCTGGACTTTTCGAGTAAACTTCCTGTGCGTCTAAGGACACCTGGTGTAAGGCACAGTGGATGTAAGATGCTGATATTTGAAGTGAATGGAGTTTTCTTTTGCAACCAGAACATTCTAGTACAGTCGAACCTCACAACATGTTTTTCGTGATCGTGATGTACTTCTACTTAGACTCGAATTCAAGAACACTGTACCTGTGGTAGACTATTGAGCTCCTTGTTTAGACGCTTCTCCTCTGCCGTATTAGTTTTCGGGCCGCGGGTAACTGCCTCAAGGCCGATTGGAATGTCCTTCCGGTTTCGAAACCACTGTGTGCGCGCTGCTTGAGCTAACGCAGCATTGTAATGAATCGAAGAAGACATCACTTCCGATTCTCTCTCGGCGGGGTCCGCGTAGAAATGATTGAGCCACGTTTCAATTTTCTGACGAATTCGTCCCGGAATAATAGAGTTGTAGAAGCCGCTCACTTGAGTTTGCTGTCGTTTTCCGAATACAACCTGGAGAGTTGCCCGATGTAGTAGATTCCGGGGTCACGCGTTCAATTCCAAGAATGAAGAAATGCGGCTTTATCTTTGCTTCCCCTTACCATACGAGGTATACTTTACGGGCCTTTCCGTCTGAAAATCAACTTGTTTCCCGCTAACAACTGCGAAGATTTGTTAAAAACAAAAGCCAATGAAGAATCGGTGAGTCTGACACGATAAGATAGCAGCCTTCTAAGCTATACACAGTAGAGTGTGGATGAGATTGTGGCCTTGAATATTGATATTCATTACGAACCGCGAAATCCACTCGACAAAAAAAATCAAAAATCATCAACGACGTACTTCTTCAGTCACTGTTCACTGTAGCTCTTCATGATGGATTCCCGTCAAACCAACTCGGTTGTACAACCGAATCAAACATTTACATTTCTTGAAAAGATCTGTTCTCATCATCATCTAAAATTTGATGCTGAAAAAAATGTAATAAACAGCGAAGAAATACAGGCTTTTGTCGATCGATGGCACTTCCATCACAGAACGTCCTTCGTGTCAAATTAGAAGCGCCCTTCCGTAATCGCAAAAACTCAACACCCTCATCTGTGGTGTTCGTTGCAAAACACTTCTAGCAAGGGCAAGTCAGGATGCTAAAAGCGACAGAACGATCGCTCGAAATTTGCATTCTTCACCTCTTGCTCTACTTCTTACACGTTTGCAACTGCTTTCTGAACATACCAAATTCAACATCTTTCAAACGTCGACCAATTTACTTATTCGCAACCCATTGAAATCCAGGAAGATCAACAGAAGTGTCATGGCTTTTAAATCAATTCTCAAGGAACAACTGAGAATTTATTTGTTGTATAATTATTCCGTGCTGTCTCTATTGTATTCCTTTGACTTGTTTCTAAAGTGCGTCAGCCTACAATAAAACCAACGCACCTCATATTCAGATCTATTAATGAGCCACAGATATCAAAAAATTTTGTAGCGTGCAAACGGCATCATCATTTTCTACTTGCGTAGCAAGAGCGCTGGTAGTTCTTATTGCGGTTCTGGTCTTTATCTTGATCTAGTACACTTTCTGAGATGTTGTACTGCCTGAAAGCAAACGGCTTCGACTTTTGTCGTGAACAGAAAGAATACGACTCCGTACGCAGCCTCATGCAAGCATCCTCTGTAATTCTTCGTCTGACAGACCGGCAAAGGGGTCCTCATTCTGCACTGAAATGACGTCACCGTCCGCGGAGATAGCAAAATCTTCGTCCTGCGGACCCACAATCTCCGCAACTTCCTTCTTGGTTAGAATGCGCAAGGTCTCCATGTCTTGTCCTTCCACACTTGGCATGTAGATCTTTGCGCCTTCATCGCGCGCACTCTGATCTGCTGCCGAATCGTGAAGAAGGGGTCTCTTTGAGCTATGATTGTGATGCTCAAGTTTCTTCGGTCTCGTGTTCGTAAGCGTCCTTGAAGTTCGGCTGCTAGCAGAATGTTCGCCAAATCGGGCGATCATGCGCTGCAGATAGCGCGCGCGATCTCGACGCGCCTCGGGCCAATGAAAGAAGGGTATGTGGAGCACACGATGGCCCATCTTCTGCAATAAACGGTCCCTCAAAATAGCACGGTGTTCATAAGTGACCTCCTCACAAATCTCGAACTTCTCAGCCTCGCTGGTGTCGGCCTCCGTACTTCCGAGGTTGTTATCCTTGACTTTGTTGTCCTCGTACCCGTTCCTTGCTGTTTTTGCAGAACAATTGTAGTTTCGGAAGTGCATCGGGCCTTCCGTTTCAATAATCAGGTTGCGTTCCGGAAGCCAAACATCCGCTGTGTAGGGACCAACAGGAACCTCACTCTCCCACGTTTCACCAAGATCACGCAGTGTCATGACAACCTGATAGTGGAACAATGAGCTGCGATTCGACTTCCTCTCCTCAGAAGATGCAGGACGTTCGCGGTCATTGGGTGTAAAAGACGAGGCGGTCCTAGTGCTTTGAAGTCCTCCTTCTCGCCTTTCACCATAAGTTTGTAGCAGCGACTCATATGCGACCTTTCTCAGCCTGGCGAGATTTGCTCCTCGCTTCGCTGCACGATTCTGCGACAGCAAGGGGGACAGCCTAGCGTCAGCTCTTGGAAATCGCATACCTGGAACTAGAAGTCCAGCGCCGGTCACAAAATCCGAACGAATTTCAACCGGCCATCCATCAAGCCTCAAGGCCGCTTCGAATTGCAGCAGCTGAGAACGTAACTTCTCATACCTTGCATCACGCCTACAATCTGAAAGGCTTCGATGTGCTTCCATCGTCCTTCTTGCTGCACCTGATGTTTTCGTGTCTGGATGATCGAAGCGCCTTTCGAGCTTCTCATCTCTATCCTTAACAGACCTCTGCTGACTGCCTTCCGCGTTCTCCACATTCGATATCTTCATGGCCTCCACGACCGCGGCCATCGTGTCAAGCTTCTCCGCTTTCCACACTTCGGGTCGGGCACACAACGGCAGAAACAACTGGCCCAGAACGATTGACGGTAAGGCACAGGGCAAAGGACGATGCTCTTTCCTCGTAAGATCGCGGACTGCGTCATCAACTTCCACAGCTGCAATGCCGCGATCATCTTGCTGAAGTTCCGACGTCGAGTGTGCTATCCTCGTATTCATTTGCTTATCTATAAGTGCGAATGTAAATGCTGAGCGGCGCTCGACAATGCGCCTTGACAGTACACTTCGAACCTGGCGCAGCAGCCAAATGAATTCTCCGCCGCGTTCCTCTGCATCATACTTCGCATAAAATTGAAGCAGAGAGCTCAAAGTCACCAGGTCAGGCACCCTGTTAGTCGAAATCGCTGTGGATTGACACCCATGTCCCAGCAGGCCAAGACCTCCTCGCGATATAACCTCAGTTTTCTCAACTGGAAAAGGTGGTTGCTTTCTCCGTGGTTCACCTTCTTCTCTTACGTGCTTCTCCGCAACCTCACATGCGGCGGGACAAAATCCAAGGCTGCTGACAATGTAACCCGCAATTTCTAAGGGGAGGACGTCACCATTTATGCTCAGCTTCGCGCAAGCCTGCAAATATTTCATACCCGCAACAAAGTCGTCTCGCGGCAGGTCGTGCATCGGCGAGCAGACTACTTTGCCACCTGCAGGTTGTACATGTGCTCTTCCTCTTGATGAAAGCTCTTGGCGTAATCTCAATCCGACAGTGCGGTAAAGGGCTTGGTCCTGGAATCGGAGCTGGTGGAAAAGCTCAGCTACGTGGCCTAGGAGGACAGAATTGACACTTTCATCCTGCTGGCGTTCCACTTCCAGCAGCAATCTCGGATTATAATTACCTTTCTGGCCACAGCCACTCGAAAGCGCGACCGGCTCTTGAACTTTGACCTGAATCGAGCCTTCGGGAGCCCGCAATGGCAATACCCAGTCGTCGGAGTTCATCCGGAACTTCTCAAGAGGACCATTATCTTCTAGTGTTGCTTCCAAACTTTTTTGCGGAGGTGGGAGACCTTCTTCTGAACCTTGATTTCGCTCCTGAGCAGCAGCCTGCTCCACTCCTGTTTTTAATGACGTTGATTCGCCAGAAGCACCCAGCCGCAAAGCGATTTCCGTGCTGAGCCGCTTGAAGATGTCGAGATCGCTCGCGTCGTGTTCTCGCACACGGATCTTTGAATACGCTCTACCTAGTTTGAGCATGTGTACTATCCGCATCTCGTGCAATCGGCTAGGCACGCACCATAGCAGCTTCCGCGCCGTCTCGCGTCGCGTTTCGTAATCCCCGAGAAATACCGATGAAATTTTACCAAGTGGAACATTTTCCTCATGGGTACCGCTGACACCGGACGCAGTGCCATCGCTGGAATTTCCGCTTGAGTTCCTCGTTTTCTCACACTTTTCTGCACGCTCACGTTTTGCATTTTCAGTTCCAATGCTCCCTTTCGTTGAACGATCGTCATGATTTGCGAGCGCATGGACTATTGCCGCTAGCTCAGGGCCCGTCCACAAGCTACAGTTTCGTGTGATGCGCTCGCAGAAACTTGCACATGGGAAGGGATCATCCAACAACCTGCAGAGAATGACGTCCTCCCTATCGTCTAGGCAAGCTAGGGAGTAATCCCTCGTTCTTTTGTACAAAAAGTTACAGTAAATTTGCTGTTGCCAGATCAAAGCTAGGAATCCTCGTGCCGTCGAAAGTGCGTCAGCGTTGTGTGATGTCGACAATGCTTCGGCGTTATTTGATGATGCACCGGCGGAAAGCGTCGAAGACGCGGCCCATACATATTTCTGTTGAGAGTGGTGCATGTTCGCGGCTTCTTCAGATCGTCGACCACTGTATCGTGGTAATTCCGCCAGTGAGTGCTCATATCGTCGGGCAACACGCGCACAAGCCTGAGCACACCTCGTGATCACTCGAGTGCACGACCAGAGGCTCCGAAAGGTTGAACCCATGACTTCACAGGCACAAGGTGGGTCCCTACTTTTTCCTTGCGAGGCATCGCGATTCTCTGCATTACGATCGATTCGATCCGAAATTGTTTTTGTCTTTCGCCGTATTATAATATATCATCTTGGCTTGTCCAAAGAAATTACTAGCACAATGAAAATCTGATGAAGAATTGAAATGCTGTTGACATAAATGATCCCGGTCGTAGAAAAGGCTTGTCCGCGTGGAGAGTTGGGGTTCCATCGATAATGAACTCGCAATAAGAAATGAAGCAAGTAGGAAAGCAAAAGTCAGATTTCAAAAATCGATGACAGGGAAAGTTAAACGACATTTGCGCTTAGCTGGTCTTCTTTATAATAGACCTCGTAGTAATCGCCCCAATATTACCGAATTGGGCCTTTCCGAGGTTAGTTTTTTTCTTTGTTCCGAAGAAACATAGTGGAACAGACAGCGGAAATCAAGTATTCCCGATATGAATTACCATCGTTGGCAAGGCTCGAAGCAGCTGATGCCAAGCAAGTTGAATACGTCGGCTTGCTTCTATTTCAATATTGCGCAGATATTGTCGTGCATTTGATGTGCGTACTCATATGCTCCATAGTCTAAGCATGGCGTGCTTAGATCGTCATTTAAGAACAAGAACAAAAAGGATCAGTCATTGCGAAACAATAGCTTTTGTATTAGTCTCCCGATGTCAATCCAAACCTTTGCACTGCAAAATACCAAGTCACGTCTTGGCTGCTTTTTGTATCAAGTTCAAGTATATGTAGCTTTAAATGGACATCAAATGTGCAACCACAACTATTCTTTTACATCATGAAAATCAGCGCATTGTCCTACTTTTTGCGCAGCCAGAACATCAACTTTAAGTTATTTCTTGTTTCCCAACTTCTTTTTGTCACCTTTTGCTCCTTGCGTATTCTGCTTTGCCGCCGCGATCTTCTGCTTCTTCGAAGCAGGCGCGACTTCTTCTTCTTCTTCGCTGCTCTCCTCCTCTTCTTCCTCCTCCTCTTCCTCCTCGCGATCCATTTCCATGTTCATCGCCTCGCTTCCCATGAGGCCAGCATCGGACTCACCGAGAGCTTTCAGGCTCATTTCGTACATCGCGACCATTTTTGGGTCGACCGGAAGGCCCCGTCGCCGAGCCTCTCTGACCATGGCAACAACTTCTTCCGGATCGACGTCCTCCTCCTCTTCTTCTTCCTCCTCCTCATCTGTAGGTTATCATGTAGAAATGTACGACAATACAGAGGCATACTGAGCTTAGCCTTGTTGAGGTCGTTGAGCTGCAGTAGCTTGTACTGAAAAGCAACAAAAAAAGAAGTTCTTGAATCTATTAAACAGACACAGCTCGTCTTCAAAACTCCTGACACCAAAAAAATATGATCGGCACCATAATGTAGGCGTACTTATAACTCGTAATTATTACCTTCGGACAAGTCTGATTCGACTTGCGTCTCCGGTTGTGCTGGTGCCTTGTCGTTCTTGAGAGTAACTGTCTCGATTGCTGGCTTCTTCTTTTCTGTCTGCTTTTCCTTCTTAGATTCGGAGGCCTGCTCCTTCTTCTCCATTTGCTTTGCGGCTTCCTTAACGGCTGCAAACTTTTTCTCCATTTCGTCGTCGGAATCAATGTCCTCTTCTTCGAGCTCTTCTTCTAGCTCCTCCTCTTCAGAGTCAGAGTCCACCAGCCCCGTTTTGTCGCTCTCTTTCTCGGCAGGAGCAACCTTCTTCGTTTCTTCTGGTGCGCTTGACTTCTTAGCAGTGGCGTCTTCCGCCTTCTGAGTTTTTGCCGCAGTAGAAGTCTCTTTCTTCTGCTCCACTTTTTTCTCTGCCTCCTTCGAGTCCGCTTTGCTAGGGGTCTTGTTTTGCGCTGCGTTAAGCGCCTGAACGGTGCGCTCGAGCTCGTCGTCAGATTCAAGCTCGTCTTCTTCCTCCATTTCTTCCTCGTCTGTCGTGTCACCCATTACCGGAACCAAGTTGCTCTTCTTTTCAATTTTTTTCAACTTTTCGTCCGCCTTGGGCTCCACGTCCTGCAGAGCAGATCAGAAGTTCGGATCACCATAAAGACGCTTCAAATATCATAAGAAAGGCACAACGATAAGGTCGTCTAGTTCTATTTTTAAGTCTCCAAGAATGTTATTAATTGAGAAGCCCATCACTACAAATCAAACTTCATCATATGTTGACTCGTATAAATTGAATTCAAATCGAATCAATGTAGTAAACTAGAAGATTTGCAAGTTGTAGTACCTCCATCTTCTCGTCTTCCTGTTCCTCATTAAGATCAACGCTGGACATGTCATCGTCCTCAGGATCACCAGCGCCGTAATAACCAGTGAGGTGCAGGTCACATGCACCTTTTACTTTGAATTTGGTGGTCATAGGATCCACGAAAAGATTAACTGATGCCATCGGCTGCCCCGCGCGCAAGACCGCAGCAATGTAACCGGTGCTGTGTTGTATAAGTAGCTAGAATTCCACAACACGCATAGCAATCTTGAATGATTCTAGCTCCCGTAGTTGTTGTCTATTCTTTGGTGTCATTAACTTCGGTGGCCGCGCAATGCTTCAGCTCTGTACTGGAGAAATTACAACTGCATCAAAAATCAAAAATCCATGATCGAAACTACAAGTAGAGCAAAATTTATTCGTATCATGAAGCAAAGCTTCTTACCTCTTTCCCTCTTCAGTCGGAATGACCCATAGCTCTGCTCTTTCTGCCTTTTCAAGCTCCCGGGGGGCGCATACCTGAGAAATGTAGAGCTCCGGAGAAAGTGCCTCCTCAATTTCGACCTCCTTGCCGGCCGCAACTTTCAATCCAAAAAACGCCATTGTCGCTGATTATAACCTCAAATTTTACTATGACGAAAATATTAAGTGGAAATTCAATCTGGTGGAGTAAATGGGAGCGAAAATGAATTAGAAATATAAATTTCTTGGTAAACTTTAAATCTTTCTGAATCTTCACTAGTCTTGGTTACGTCCTACGATCTCGGCCTTCTATGCAAGAGGACTCTTTAAAAATTCAGTGCTGGTGGTGAATTGCGGGTAGAGGAAAGGGTTCTTTGCCCAAGGGAACAAAAATACCTAGCGCACAACTTGGAGAAATAAGCTCACTTCTAGTTGTAATGTTAAGCTAGAAAGTGCTCCCCGTTATTCGACAGTAAAAATGTAGTTGTCAAAGTAGAAAAGTTCAGATCTAGTTTGAATAGCTCGACCATCTTGAGTGAGACCATCGTGTGAGACCAAGTGGAACCCTTTGCTGATCTTCCTTCTTTGTATATTTTCCTGATTTTGCAGACCTATATACACGGAGGACGAACTACGCCCGGATCTTGCAATAGATCTTGACATTCACAAGTCATGATCTTTTCCTCTAAGAAAGTGGCGCATCTTTGCAAACGCGAGATCTTTCAGCGGGTTCCTTTGACGTCTATCACTTTTTGATCGTCTTTCTTCAGAAGATCTCAAGTTCGGCGCCGCAATCAATACAATGATGTTGTATGAGATTCGTTAGATCTGGTATTGCACCTAGTGCAAAAAACGACGACGGATGTTGAAGACATGGAAAAGACACGAGGGAGCATCTTGATAGAAACGATCTACTAGAATGAATGAAAGAAAATGGTGTTGCTCGATGAATTCGTGTCGCAATTATGAGGGGAGAGATATGATAAATATGAGAGGAGGGACGGGTTTAAGTACTCATCATGGCCTTTGGGGTATCTTCGGAAGTGTGAGAATCTTTACTCTGTTTCGGACACATTCAGCCCACTCATTCGAAAAGAAACCAGAATATTTGTCCTCAACGTCTGTCAAAGACGCACTTATTACCTAACGAAATCAAACAACTTCTACATCAGCTGCATATCTAGTAGTTAGACACCAAAATTGAAATTCTGAATGATGATGATAATGGAAGAAATTAGAAACCAGAAGAAATCAGCTATGTAACTCGGACCCCTCTTTGGAGCTCCTCATAAATATTTATATCATGACAAATCAACGGGATCGCGTTTCTCCTACATACTACCTATTACTTTCCTTTCTTTTGTAGCTCGACTACTTTACTCAGTGCCATCTGATTGATGATGGACACGAAGAAAAAGATGATGACGCCCGCTAAAAAAGCGTCCCATGCCATCTTTACTATGCCATCGCTGGCTCCGTCCGGATCCAGCGTCCCCAATGAAAATTTGCCGTCCGTTCCGCTTATCGTCTCGGCCAGCTCCACCTCGCTTAATTTGCCGTCCTTGTTTGCGTCTAAATTAGAGCAAATTAATGATTTTTTCACTTCTCATCCTATGCTGTGAGCCGCAAGTATCAATCCCTTGCCTATTCTTGTTGACGTCCTCTCTCATTGAGTCCCAGTTATAACTTGGTAACAACTTGGTAAAGACAGGGAAGACAGTGACAGCATCATCAAAGAAAAGTTGTAGCCTTAACAAAAGTAGTGAAGATGCGTTCGACAATCTCCTTTTTGTCGTCGAAGCTCTTATACAGCTTCAGCAGTGCTGGCTTCGTTAACAGCGCCGCGCCACCTAGATAGTGGTTACAGAAAAACAAAATGTAAACTGGAAGGATATGAGCTGGGACTTCATAATGATGATCGATAGGGTGCTGGGTTAGAATGGAAAGCAATGGTGTTGTGAAATATCCACTCACTCGCAATTGACTATTTGAGACCACCAAGCACGAGTGAGCTGTACTAGCCACATCAAAGTAGTACCTGTTGCCTCGGCGAAGCTAAATCTTCCCTCTTTGTGAAATTTTCCGATAATTTTCTTGCGCTGCTTCGTCAAAAATTCCGCCACGTCCAAGTTTGCAGCCGACGCCGGGAGAACACCTGAAAGCGCCTTCAGTACCTTCTCTGCGCCATGAGCTACTGGAACCAGCACTGCTTTGAAGAAAGCTCCACCAAAAAGGCAAATAAAAAAGATCGCCTGTCCGTTCACTTTCACTACTCCCTTGCCCAGGGCTGTCGCAATGAAGAACGTCCAGAATGGCATGTCCAGGTACCTAAGAGTAATACAATTCCAAGTTGTCGGCGCGCGCCGGTCCACAAAAGGTAATTGGGGAAAAAAAAGGAATGCCCGCCAACATTTTATTTTTAGCTGCAGGAGCCACATCAGGATTTTCAGGAGGGTAAATGAAATAAAGGAAAACTTGATGAGTCATTTGGTCAGGGACTTGATTAGGAAGCTTAGTACCCACAGCACATTCCACACATGTCGAATGCTGCGTTTGGCCAAGATGCTAGAAGAAAGACTCCCCAAAAGCCATATCTCTCTGTAAAATCGACCGTCATTTTCTTCATCTTTGAGAAAGCGTCGGTGCCTTCCTTCGACTCTTGGAGCTCCTTTTCAAACTCCTCATCCCGCTTGCCCTGTGTTCGGCTCGCCGTTCGGGAAATGAAGTACCTGCTCGAGAAGGTCGAACAATGATTATCGTCTCCACGGATGCTTACTGAAGAATGACACAAACGAAGTACCATCAAGTCGACGAGGTCATGGAAATCATGACTACATCTTTTCTGCCATGCATCATTGCTTGCATCATTATGGTTTTACTTCAAGATCATGATGACCTCCATCTTCGTGTCTCAAACAAGAAACAAATCCTATCCTAAGAAAATACGGTGGAAGCTCGCCTATTGCCGTTCCGAAGCCCCAGGCCATGAGTGGGAGAGCGCAACGCAACCAAAGGTCGAAAAATGTCGCTGGGCTTTCTTGGCCAGCTTCAAGAGGAGTCACGCATTCGAATTTGCAGGGATGTAAATACATGGTTTTCATACCGTCCAGAGAGCAGCTTTCACACGCAAAGACGACCTGAGGTGCGTCGGTACGCCCATGCATCAAAAAACGTCTTAAAGGGACACTGACACAGGATGAAATTTTCCACAGAGCAGCTGATGTAATCGTAGACAACATAACTCATCAACTTTAATCAAGTAAGGTATCAAATGTTAAATCAAGGCTCCTCTACTACTTCAAAGGTACCTGCATAATGTGCGGGAAAAGAAACATAATCCCGGAATGCAGGCCGGTGCCGAAGCCGACAGAGGAGAGGATACCCAAAAGGACCCACCACGCGATTTCTAAACCCACTAACTCGATCTGCCAGAGGATTCCCCCGTCGAAGTCTGCTGCAGTGCAGCTGCTCTTTGCCGGACATTTTCGGGAACATATCTTCGGCGATGCATAGAGGTCTGCGAACAAATACAGTGAGGCTCCGTATGCCAGGATACACGGTAAATGGATTAGCGCTAGTATGTTGTAAGTAAAAAATTGCAAGAGATTGATTCATTCATCCCATTAAGTAAACCCAATCAATCACAATTTATCAGGAGAAATCCTTTCACTTTGAAAATATCTACATAGGACCAGGACTACCCACACTCCTCTTACTATTGGCTAAGAAAACAAATCTTGAATTGCGATGGCCTTAACAGCAGGAATTGGAAGAATTTGCTCCGCACGAAATCGGCTAAGAGTGCTACCACGGTTTCATACGCGGACCAGCTGAAGTAGTAGAGAGTGGTGATCGGTGCTCTTGTGAGCGTGACATCATCTTCGGCGATAGACGGCACTGACGACGCTCTGCCTGCTTTGCTCGTCGAAGAAGCGCTTTTACTCGCGGCAGCACTGCGACTAGCGCGCCGCTTGCTTGACGAAGCCGCCTTTACATTGGAGGATCCACGCTTTTTCGAACTGCTTCGCTTGCCTTGAGACTTGCTACGGCCACGGCTCTTACTCTTTCGAGGCACCATACTCAAAGTTCCCATTCTAATCTTCCACAACTACACCGAAGTTTATTTTTGATGAAACATCATCTACGCGCTGAATTGTGTAAGTGTGTGATGAGGTAGAATTCTCTTTATTCCAGGAAAGGCGATACTACTTCCAAGATCTAGAAGAAATGCAAAATGCAACCCGCTACCTAGCGTCAAAATTTCCACGTCGAAAGAAACAGACCGAGGCAAGAAGATTCTAAAGACAGCCAGCACAGAACAAGCATTAGCGTACTCTAACTCATCTATTTTGTGAACAAGAGTGGTGCATCAACATACACTGGCTTACTTCTGGCAATCAAGCAGACTAAACGGAAAAATCCAAGAAGGTAGCACGGTGTTCGTTGGAACATAGGCATCTTCCCTGGACGCGAGCGATCCCTATTTCTTACGGAAATTTTAGATGACGCGGAATCCATTTCTAGATAGTGGTGGTCTTCGCGGCTGCATCATTTACATCGCTGCCTTGTTCTTCTTCTAAGCGCTTTCATTATAATTCTCGAGCAAAAACAGCATCTAGAAGCAAGACGCAAACTGTATTAGTCGTCGTGCCGAATCTTCAGAGTGAGTGCGCATTTGCGTGGGTGAACCAAGTCACCGTTGTTGAGACGAATCGTCTCGGCATAACAATGCCAAGCATTCGTCGAGCCAGATGGAAGTGTAAATAAGGAACGAGATATTATTTTGTATCGGATTCATTTTTTCATGGAAACGGTTAGCGTCAAAGAGAACAGGAAGGCACAGTACCAAGCTGCTAATGCTTGTCCAATGTGGTCATCTTAAAGCTAGTCATAAGGGTAAGAAGAAGTAAGATTGATGTCGCTACTTCTATATTGTCGGATTGAGGAATGGTCATTCGGTTTGTCGTAAAATTTCTTGCAAATAAGTGGCTTGAGAATGAGACTAGTAGTCTCAGGTAGAAGCTGTAGTAAGTCTTAGTAAGTGAGTCTGATAATTCCTTGTCGTGGCTGATGTGCTCTAGCAGGCAGTTCATTCATTCATGTGCTCTACCCAGGCCTTTTTTTTGGGACCTGGGTCTAAATTCCTCGCGATACGAACATTCAATTACCCTGCGAGAATCCTGAAGCACAACTTTTTTGGGGGGGGGCCTGGGTCTACAGTTTCCCGCTATACTTCCACTCAATTATCCCGGGGGAAGCCTGAAGCACAACGGCCAGGCGCAACGACTACGCAAACGATTAAGCACGACAGCAACCGCTGTAGAAAAGCTAGAGCCCGAGCCCCACGGGCTTATTAGACGACGGCTCATAATTAGAACAATGATGGGCCATGTCTGAGGTCCCCCGACAGACAAAAGCTGAGCCCTTGCGGATAAAACACGGACACAGCTAGAGCTTTGACGTGGCCACTGACTAATTAGGGCCTGAAGCTGCAAGCTGTGGACACTTGGCACAAAGGGCGGCGCCACTACTGAGATCGAACGTTTCTAAGGTGAGTCGGCCCACGTTTTTTTTTGCCTGGGTCTACATTTTCCCGCTACAGTTCAAAGGCGAACATTAAGCCTTTGGGCAGTATTCAACCACCTAACGGATGCGGAACAAAGAAAGTAGTACTTACTAGCGCAAGCTTCCAAAAGCGTGAAAGGGATTGTCGCGCTCATCAGGATACACCGCACTCGCCTCGGGCGTCATAAAATCCACATAACGTCCACGCAAACATTAGAAACTAATACTCTTCTCAGGGAGCACGGTCTTAATAAGCTTTGAAGCGGAGAGAACAGTGCTTGAAATGAGCGAAGACTACATCTAGAGGTAAGTACCCTGATCCACACCGCATCCCATGGTCTTAATAAAACAAGTCGTCAAGTCAGATATTAGGTCGTTGCTAGAGAAGACCTACCTAGCACTCGACAAATCCAGGGAACAGCAACTGCAACCACGAAAATATGATATTACTTACTACATTTACACTGTAACTAGTCATAAATTGGCGCTTTTGCTTGTGGGTCCACGAACGCTTTACCGGTCGCATCGAATTGGATAAAAGCACGCCGCCTCGGCGAGAAGTCAATCGATATTGCCCTGTCTGCTATGGTGAAGTCTTCGAGCAAGCTTTTTGCAAATCTCGCTTGTGCGAAGTTCGCAAAGCGTAACGCCAAAACGCCGTCGTTATGGTGCTCACCTGACATTATAAATCAGGCCGCACTGAATCTAGTACTCTACTCTAATGCGTTTTTACTACAACAGAAACAGTTGTTCAGTCATCTATTTTCTTCTCAGAATAAATTTAGTGATTAGAAGAACGTAATGAACAGAATTAAGAAATTGGTGTAAGTACTCATGTAGCGCTTGTTCCCGAGGATTTCATGAATGTCCATCCCGACATCCGAAACGCAAGTTTCATCCTCTTCTAAATCTTCATCCGTATCGTCCTCATAGGTGTCTATATGTTGTCTCTCCTCGAATTCGGGGCTCTGCGCCACCTCAGTATACTCCCCTCCTGAGGATACGGTAACCTGGTAGTTAAATTTGATCATCGTCACTGATTGGTGAAAGTAACTAATGAATTTGAAGCACCAGGTCGGTGAGAACAGAGTATCTAAGTCTACATAATTGATAATCGTCTGCGAATGAGTGGAAAAAAGAGATAATGGATACGATAAAAATGGATATCTTCAAGACGACTTCTGCTCTCTTTTCCAAGCATCGTTCAGAAAAGAACTTGAATTATATATACTGATAACCGCTCAATGGGTTTCGTCGTGGTAATTCCAAGGGTGTTCGTGCTTGGAAAGTCGTATATGCCTGGATTCGATAGACGCAGACACACATCGGACTTCGCAGCTAAACTCAGTTGGCGACCAATGTCTCGCAGAAGTGCACCCAAAGGAAACTGCCATGGCAAACCGGTAATCAGTAGGGTGTTCTTGTGTTCCGCTCGCTCGGGATAGGTCGCTCGATACTCTTCCTGATTCCGATGGAGGGTCTTCGAAAGCTACAAGCTAGTTGATTAATTACTGTATGCAACCTGAAGGATAATCAACTACTTCTAGAACGACTATTTCTCAAGAGTCACTTCGCGATCGATGTGGTTCCGTCTACTTGCTTTTTCACCCGTCAGGCACATGGTTTAGCACAAGCATACAAATGTCATTATTCTAGAAGAACGAATTACCTTGACGCTTTGTCCGCCCTTGCCGGTCCGATACTGCCGCGTGACCAGTACTCCAAAAACACGAAAAAAATCTCGCGACGCATTTGCCACACCATTTTCATCAGAAAAAGTGACGATGGCATATGCGCTACTAAACCTGTTGGAATTTATTCGCTCTTGGCCTGCATCGAGGGCACTCTCCTGGTCTTGTAATGCTGCTTTTGCTCGAACGTTTTTATGCCTTTCGCTGAATATCTCCACATGCTCGATACCTCCAAAAGCTTGGTAGGCTCGATACACGTTTTCGTCGGTGCATTCAAACGGAAGGTTGGATACGAAGAGTGAGCGGCGGGATTCCTGAGTGATTCGCTCGACAAGCTCTACGTGTTCGCGTCCAATAGCTGGGTAACCATTTCCGTAAATTAGAGGCGGTCCGATGGTTTCGACGCTATCGTGTTAAATCTTCATTATCTTCTCATGCTTGTTAGAAGGACGAGACCTATGTCGGAGACTATGTGATTCGAAAGCTCAGCAGTTGCTTATTAAACTTGTCATTGCATATCTATGCCTAGAAAAAAGCCTCATAAAATTTCGCATCTTGTAACCATAACTCAGTCCTCTGCAATAGACGCCGTGCTACTGCGGCCTCGTTCGTTTCCTCTTTCCAGCCAGCGAGCGCTGGAAAAAGAACGCGCACGTCGCCGCAACGCCTTTCGCGCAACTTTGTCGCGACAGGGGCCCGTGTGCAGACTTTGCCGGTGAGCGATGAGGGCACTTCCGTTTTCTTGCTCCACGTCTGCGGTATCACGTCGGCGTCGTCGTCGTCCCCTCGCGTATCTCCAAGCACGCTCTCGAGATCCGCGTTCCCACCTCCTAGCCCTCGTGACAAGAGCGGCAGCAAATGTGGCAACCGGAAACAACTACTCAGTGCCTGAAGCATCTTCGGGACCTCGCGCGCCTGCTCCTCTCGACCTAGCATGCGCAGCCACCGATCCGAGTGCTTCCACAAGAGGCTTACCTCTTGAGCAATCGCACAATTCGGTGGTGGCACCACATGATCCAACACAAACTTAGAGATCAACTCGGGGTGGCGCTCCGAAAGTGTCCACATTTGCTCGCAAAGCTGCTGCGCGTGCGGGATCGACCGTGGATCAGTAGATCCATACTGCTGATACAATGCGTGCACGTAAGCTCGGTTGATCTTCGCGGCCGGCGCGACACCTTTAGCTGCAGATGCTGCAACATTCGCCGCCACGGCTTCGCCGAATTCACGACTTTTTGCTGCCGCTGCCGAACTCGACGATGAAGTCGGTACTACGCCAGGTGGGTTCGAACCGGGAGAGTTCGTCGCTAATACCGAACCCGTCGAACTTTTGGCTTTTGCATTTGAGACAGAGCCGGTAGCACTTCCCTTTGCTGCAGTTGCACGCGCTAGACTTGATACAGCTACACTTGTAACTTTGGTCCGGGCAGGTGAAGCCTGAACCGCATTTAAAACCACAGCTGCAGCGACAATATTCCCAGGTGCATGTATGTAATTTTGATTTTCTGAACCGAAGTTGTTTCTTGTGAGGTTTTGAGCCACTACGCCACCTCGTCTCCAGCCAGTGTCATGGCCCTCTTCCTTGCTCAGCGGGCTACTATTTGACATTGCTGCCGCAGCGGCGCGATAACAGTTAGAATCTCCTCCAGTAGAATGCAGCCCGACTACCAAGCTTTGTCGCGTTTGTGATACTTGATGATATGGCAATCCTGATCGCACAGTACTAGAAGAAACCTTGCTTCCATTGACACCAGGAGGAACTCGCCGACAACTCTCCAGCATCTTTGCGTCTAAGTGCTCACCCGCCATGAATGACTGCGAAAAACTTTCTCTAAACGGCGTGGTGCTGCTGGTGCTACCACCATACTGTGTCTTGTCCAAGAGCGACCCAGCAAGCGCACCAGTCGAGGAAGCTCCAAACAGTACAGAACTAGAGGAAGTACTCCTTCTTGTCGCATTGAAGACAACCTCGAGACTCGGATTGCCGGTGTTGTGGCCTGTGCCGTGGTCGCTGAGGCCTCCAGGTGCGGTGGCGGAACTCGTGGAGGACAGTGCACCCACACTACTCCCAGTTCTCGTTGTGGGCACCCTCGCTCTCGCGCGTCGCTGCAGACGCAAGGCCATCGCGTTGTACCAAGACTTGATCGTGGCCGTCGATGCCCGCGACCTCGGAACAAAAGCACTGCTACAACTCATCTTCTCGTTCTCTCGTTCTTTGCGCGTATTTCTTCATCCGGAGTAAATAAACATATGTATTCATCGCTAGGTGTAAGACGTACTTCTTCCGCGGCTCTTTTCATGTCTTCCGTAAATAATATCGTCTTCGACTCGCTCGCAGTCGAATATCACGCTCGAGCTAGAGAAAAGGATCCGACATTCATCTACAACTTGCAGACTCGGAGGACCCACTGAGGTACCACGACCCGCCCAGGAGCAAAGAACAACTTCGCTCGTATCATTCGCCTTGACCGTTGGCGTTTTGGGCTATGATTAGTGATCTTGTTTTCTTTTACGAGACCTCGCCAGCGCAGAAATCAGAACACGAACGAAGTGACCGTCGTGCGTCCGAACGAGCCAATGAATACTAGGATACTTCGCTTCCCCGGATGTATTCAAAGTGATGAATAAGTTTTTGCAAGTGTGTAGAATAGTTGTAAGTAAGTACGCGTCATTTTCCATAGAAAACATACGACCTTCCCAGCCTTTAAATATAACTGCAATAGAAGATGCCATGACTGCATGTCAATCTAGGCCCCAATTGCGATTTGCTGCAAAGATGCCTTTGCTGTGAATGAGCAGCCACACATTTCTAAATCTCTTCGCAATGAGATGATACTACAATCCAAACTAAAATTAAAGATTTATTCGTTCTAACGCTGGACTCATTTCAACTCCGCAATACAGCTATGCTCTTGAACGTTCATCGAGAACTTCAATGAATATGTTGTCCCAATAAATATGCATGGTCATCGATCTGATACATGCAGCGGAGTCGTACTCACGCGAACCTCTTGCAAGAGATCCGCTATTGCTCTGCAGGAGCGTGCACTCGCATTCCTCCCGATGTCCTGCGGCTGGTTGAGCCAGTTTTCTGACGCAGGCTGCTCCGCGGAATGCGGGGCGTGATTTCAGGCACAGCAAAGTCTCGCGGTGAAACCTGAGGTGAGGCGCGCCGGGCCTTTGCCGACGTCCCGCCAACTGGGAACGTGTTTCGAGTTACTTGGTTCGAGTTATGCGACCCTTGCAGATGCCTTCTGGTGCTACTTGCGGTCGCCCCCGGCGCTCGCACCATTCCTCTTTTGTCCCCCGGACCGCCGTTTCCTTCAGCCGCAACTGGTGCCGGTGGTTGAATAGCAGACGCTGCGACCGGTGGCCTCGGAACCGGCGCACTGACTGAGCCAAGCAAGTTTTCGTATATGTCCCCCTCGGCGCCTCCGCGCGCCGCGAAGAAGACACTCGCGTCCTCTTGTGACGCTAGCATCGACGCCACTGACCCTCCGAGCCGATCCGACCGTACAGGCCACGCATGTGGACCGACTGGTGAAAAAGGTGAAAATGCGGTGCTCACATTCCGAAATCCGCCACTGGTCGACGACATCAGTGACGGAGCTCCTCCCCCACCCGCAATGGACGCTGCGCGAAACTGCGGTGGACTCCATGCCAGCGCTCCTCCGGGAGCTCCACCCGTGGCAGCCGATGCTGGAGCATCCTCGTCTCCCGGCGAACCGGTTGAGGAGACCATGCGCGATGGCGGCACTGGCGGATAGTGCTGCTGGAGAATCATCGGAAACGAGGTCTGGTCGAACGTAGTACGATACTGTTGCAGCGCACTCATGTACTGTGCTTAGAAGATGTCGCTTTGCAGTTTTGTTCCATACCCCTTCCAGTGATTCTCCACTTGTTTTGCAGTGGACTTTACCTCTTTTACCAACCTCTACTAAACCTCTGGGAATCTGCCATAAGAAGAAAAAGCACCAAAAACATTATTCATTGTGGCACAGAGGTGACCTTGCTCACGACGTCGACATCTTCATGATAGGGAGGTATTGAAAACAGTAGAATGGAATTTTCTACTACGCAACCGTAATTGACATCGTCTTGTGACAAGGCGCTGGTGTGTACCCCCAAATTTTGAGGGCCTGCAATGCTCTGAGGCTCGTTTGTACTCCCAAATTCGCGGTTGCGGAAAACGGGGTCCGACGATGATGACAAAGTTTCATCGAAAACTCTATCGAATGGAGGGTCCGCTCGCCGACCACAAACCTCTGTGGCACAGCGATCTGACGGTTCCGCACAGCCGCTCCAAGTACCTCCCATGATGTTGTTCTGCAGGGAGCACTAATGGATTCATAATTGCATTATGGTCAATTTGTTTACCTTCATTTCGCAGCAATCAACGTGCCATTGTACTTCATTAGACTTGTTAGAACTTGATGATAAATCTATCATAAACAAGTTACTTGATTGAAATCAGGCAGGCGTCGTTTTCCAAATGTGTGTCATTCCTCTTGTTTGTTGAAAGTATGACGGTCTAAATTGATTTTCACGACCAATATAATTCAAAATATATGTATGGTAGGATTGAGGGCCGTTAGCTGGAAAGCAAAAAAAACTATTTTGACAATAAACCGCTTTTTGACTGCGATTTAGATCCACCGACGACCGATGAATTTTCTTGCCCGAAATCAGAAAAACGTACGAAGCTAAGATGGAGTGGAGCTTCTAGCGTTCCCCTCGATCTTCTTTGTCGGACACGTGTTCGGATGTGACAGATAAGGACAAAATCAAAACGCAAGCGCCACTCTAACAAGATTATTACGAAACCGATGCGCTATAGTAATAGTTTCATCTGCTACTGGACTCCTATTCATCTGGTACTGGACTTCTATTCATCTGGTTCATCTGATAATGGACTTCTATTCATCTGGTAATGGACTTCTATTCATCTGGTACCAGATTTCTCCTACTCTTCAACATCTTGATACTCCGCTCTCGCGTCATCATCTTTTCTCTCATCTGCTGCGCAGTCTGCTTAGCGTCTGGTCATTTGAACATTCTGAGCAGCTACGTCCAACAAGAAGATAGGGCCAATATTATTTCTAGTGCTTCTTCCCCAGGGTCAGTGGGAAGGTAGGACGGAAAATTATTTCAAACATTTTGTTTGCGTGCCTTTCGTGATGATCAAACAGCAAGGAAGCAAGGATCGAAAAAAAAACTTAAACGAAAAAGTTTGTTGTGTTCCGAACCACGATTCCGGTCACAGGTGAGCACCAAAATAAATGGCAAATTCACCTTCGATTCTTTTTTCCCTTCTTTTCCTTGCCACCCATGTGCTCATTCACGAACTCCAAATCCAAGAGGTATTCCTTGAACTCCGCATCGGTGAAAACCGGCTTTCCTGCACACTTTCTCTTCACATTTTCTTGGTGTCGTTCGCTCTTCATGTGCGCCCTCAAATTCTCATCCGCAAACGGCCCACATGTCGTACAACTACCTGTCGCACCGCTCCCAGCATTCGCACTGCTGTCCGCGGGAGCGGCGTTGGAAGCGCTGGAACCGCCACCACCAAAAAGTGCAGAGACGCCGTCTAAAAAGGAAGCTCCGAAAAGGTTCTTCGCCTCTGGCGTAGCACCGTCCTCTGGCACGACCAGCCAGTCCGAGCTGGGCGTCGCGGGATTCAAATTTCCATCCCGTCCCACGATGTTGTACGAGTCGCTGCTCAGCGGCGAGCCGCCTTTGATGTCTGGGTCGGAGCCTAGAAGAAGTTGCGCCGGCCGCCCAGGTGTGACCGACGCAACCGCAGTACCGGCCGACGCGCCACTAAGCTGGGCCACGCCTGTTGGTTGGCCTCCCGGATGCGCGACGACGTTGCCAGGGCGCGCGTTGTCAAGCCGATCTCGTGTCAGGAGGCCCCCGCTGCTTCCGCCTTTCGATGGATTTTCCTCCAACAGCATCTCCACGTGCCTGGACGCGCCGCCCTCGTCGTCGGACCCGAAGCCCAGTCGTTCAAAATCCTCGTCCTCTAGATTAGTATCACCCTCCCGAATTACTGCGGCGTCGAGAACTCGCACTTCCACACTCGATGCGTCAAGCGCGCGAAAAAAAAAGGGGTCGCATTGAAACGTGATCTCTGAATAAACACCACCGTCTACAAGCTTCACTGATTCAATTACAGCAGTGCCCTTACATGTTTCCTCGACCAGCCGCTGTGTGTCGCCAGCCTCTGCACCAAGGCAACGAGCACCTAGGAATTTTTTCAACCGATGAACGAATTCGAATTCCAAAATTCAGATTGGCACTACGTCACACCCGTCTTTTTTTTGTAGTCCTACAATTTTGTAGCGAAGAAATAATTTTCTACTTGTTGAAAATGTAATTCAATATTTAAATGTAGAACAGAAATACATAGTCGCATTTGCGCCTTTGCCACGAGGTGCGGTAGCTGAGTAACGATGAGATCAATCGCTTTTAGGGCTTGTCTTTTGGCAGTCATATTCGGTTTCATGACGTAGCCCGCCTGCTTACAGGCCGCCTCTGCCATCCCGATTGTCAGTGGCCTCCGTGTTTCCACGTTCACACATCGTCGGGTTATTATCGTGTACACCTCCTTATAAAGACTTTCCAGCGCGTTCGCCCGTTCTTTGTCGCTAACCTGAAAACGAAGTCGAATGAGGAAGTCAAAGAAACCTAAGTAGCAAACGTAACTCGATAAAAGCTGCCATAGACGATACTGAAGCATAATTTGAAACACTGTCCTCAAGCAGCAAAGTCTGGTATACGTTTACTTGAAGATAAAATAAACTCATCAGAGAGCATATCGAGAAAGTACTGTGATAGCACAATTTTTGACATCTACTCAGTATGCGTGGTCTCACTTCATCTACCTGAAACTCGCCTTTCTCAAGAATTTTCTTGCAAATGTCGAGGTCGCTTGTGTCTGCGCCAAACGCCTTTCTGAGGTCTTCGCTTTTCGCTAACACTCCTTGGGAGACGTTGGTGTACACCTGCGTGGTTGTCAGCACTTCATCGATATCTCGCTCTAGGCCGTCGCGCCAGTTGCCCACTTTATTCTTGTAACAGGCGATCTCAAACTTGCACCCGTGTGACCGCAGCCGCACGATTGCGACGTTAGTCAGGCGTTTCTGTCCCACAGGCTGATGCAACATCTTATCGATAAAGAAGGTTCTTTACGACACGATAAAAAAGCACAAACAATAGGTGGCAGTGGAGGCACAACTAAAAATTCGTGTAACTAAAAATTGAATTTATCAAACAATAAAAAAATTGGATACTTACATTTTCCCGTTTTCACGTCCAGAACGAAGTAGGGGTAAAAATATCGGTTTTCTGTACTTTAATTTCCATTAGCATCGCTAGATTATGTCGCAGCTAGGTTGAATATTGTAGGCGAGATGTAAGTTCTGGTCGAATGCGATACATAAAAAGCTGTGATTAGTACCTCTCTCACTTTATGAGTGTATGAAAACGGTTGAAAAATCTCTAACTTTTCAAGCAACTTCTCTCATAAAACAGCCTTTTCTTGTGAGTGGCTACCTCGTAAGCAGATATCCAAACAAGGTTGAGGTTGATGAAGCTCTATCTATTCCCAATATGTATGAAAATTGAACAAAATATGATGTGAATAACACCAGAATTTTCTACGGGGAAGTCGCGCTCGGGTATTTCTTGGGGAAGCTTTTCCCTGGTATGTGGGAGTGCAGAGGATGTTTTCTCTACTTTTTGCGCTTACCGACCGTCCAACAAATTTCCTAATTATACATCATCGCTCCGATCATGAACTATCTTCACACGATCACCCATGTCATTACAGCAAAATTTGTTCATCATTGCAGAACCAGATCCGTAGAACGTAAATTTCGACCAGTAAAGTCTAGACCTGATTAATGATGATCCTTTCTCATTCTTTTCCTTCGAACTCTGTATCTCAGTCAAGAAAATAGATCATACTCAAAGGCCTCCAAAAAGACAAATCGAACGAACACAAAAAAAAACAAGAACCTCGCCCCGTTTTTGTCGAGACACTTCTCTCCTACAACCAACTCGTAATTATACATAATTATTACACGTCTCACTGGATTTGCATTCAGCTTCAACGAGCTGCAAGCATTCTGATCTATTTTCTAATCAATCTTCTCTCAGCTGCGCATCCGCAACTACATCAATCTCTCTACCAGCTGATCTAAATTTCATCGCATCGCGTGAAGAAAGCCGACGCAAGCAGAAAAGATTCATACTGCGCTACTTTCGCTTTTGCAGCCACATGGACACAGATTTTGATTTGCTAAAAAACTAGCTGCTGACTTGCAGTTGTATTGTGTTTTCGCCCTTTTTATTTCACTTGTTGACTTGCAAATATTTTGAAGCACAGCCCTTCTCTGACGTTGTACACAAAACTCTGATTGTATTTGATCATGTGATAGATACCTTTGACTTTTCTGACTTGTAGTTCTACAGGCCGCCTATACTTCATCGACTCTCATCATAGGTACTGCATTTAGATTAGTTGCAGCACTGATAACTATGCACACACGACCTTTCGATTGCAGACTTCAATTTCAATGATACGCGTGTTTCGGTTATAAACAAATATTCCAGGGAAGAAACGAGTCACTGATACTGTTGCGCAGGTATTCAGAATGAAGAAGTAAAAGAGAATGGATTTTCTTCTATCCCAGCCCTATTGCTCCAGTAAGCATATCTATGTATATTTTTGCAACGTTATTGCACGTCCCTACTACTGTTCCTGTTCTTCTTTCCTCCTCCCATGCTTTGCTACGTATTTGTAGACCTCCAGATTATCCGTCAAATTTTGCATCCATCGGTTGAGCATCTCCACACGGCTACTTCTGCGTCTGTTGACTCCTTGTGACCGCACGATAGTTCCTACCACAGCCGAAGATGTCGCAGTATTTCCGACTACCGTACTTCCACGAGGAACCGTTGCTCTGGTCTTGCTAGGACTCGGGGAAGTAACTGCACTGTCCACGTCAGACGAGCTGTTCGATGGGATGATGTTGATACCACCTGGAGGCGCAGCAGGTGCCGCTCCTGGGGTGCCAGCACTATTGTAGGTGTAGAAAGCTGGAATTGACATTGCCGTTGAACAGCTCTTCCACAGAGGTAAAACAACGAACTCGATAAACTGCACTTGGCCAAATGCTCGCACTTTAGGGTCGTCTAAACCAGTCATGAAGGGTGTGACTGGGATGCCTAGTTCGGACTCTTTTTTGGCCTGTTCCGCGAACTCGTCTGTACAACGGATATAAAAATCCCAAGCAGTATCAATAGGAAGCGCCTGAGCTCCTAGGTCTGCACAATGGACACAGCAAGTGATGACGGTCTCGGGATTGTCCAAGGGCTCCACACTCTGCAAGCGCTTCACGAGTTCACCATGCTTCGACATGTCGGTTCCTGGTGTATTCTGGTGTTGTGGTTCGGGATGGAAACTCATCCGAGGAAAAAAGTAAGCAATCACTCAAGAGCTCAACCTGTGTATCATTACCTAGAATCGCTGACACCACCAACTTCCGGAACTGTCTCTGCAACGATGCCTGTCTCTGTTTTGTTTCCTCCTCGCCATCGCTGCCATCTGGTGACGGAAGGGGCACCAGTTGTTCTAGAAACTTCCTCTTCTGCAGAATGCTCCCGGTCAAACTCGCATGGTGATTCTCCAGGACGCTCAAATCGTTGTACAACAAAGCCAGCTCACTCGACGTCGCAATCTCAAAGGCGTTATTCTTGCCGCGGTGAGCCACGTCGTGGGCCACCGACGCGAGAAAGAGGGCTAGCAGATGGATGCTGTCCAATCTCTGGTTCAGAAACGGGATGTGCGCATCCATAAGACAAGAAGTGTGAAAAACTTGCAGCGCATGTCCCCAGTTGTGGAAGCGAGGTTCTTCCAGATACGAGTCTTTCAAATCCTGCAGCACTGCAGTCAGCGTTTTCGCAGGGATGATTTCGTCCAGCGCGAATTCGAATCCACTTAGCAGAAATCCCAAAGACTCTTCGGTTTTCATGCTGTGATAAGGAACGACCCAGTCCACGCGAGGGTCGTACCTGGAAGCTGCGAGAAGCCGATTCGTTTCCTTGAACGATGCACTGGCACCGAGTGCGAACGAACGCTCTGGACGTCGTGCCATATCAACACCAAGCGTCGATCCTCGTGGTACCAAGCTCGAAGTGGCACCGAAAGCGGTGCCGCCTCCTGTGGCGGTGTTTTGACTCGCTGCGCCGGCGGTGATTAGAGTAAGTAGGCGCCATGTTGATGAACTACGCGAAGGATCGCAAGTCTTCACAAATACAAATTATTGAGTCATTAAAGTTAAAGATCACCATCACGTGCACTCATCAGTAACACAATACCGTTCGAAAGCCTTCACATAATCCTCCTTCCCCACCACCATTCCCCTTTTCCTCATCGCCGCGCCCCACGCCCTTGTAAAACGAATTCAGCAAAGCTGTTGTCATCTCGTACTGATTCGGTTTCTGCAGTTTCGCTCGCTCATGCAAAATCGTGAATGCTAATCGGTCGAAGTGATTCGCAATCTCGGTTGCCAAAATCGACATGATCTCGACGTCATAGCGGTCGAAGTCACCGCGTTTGTTAGCTGCTTGTACAACGGCAGTAACCTGGAATCGAACCTTGGTCTGCGTCTTCACTGGTACAGTGAGCAGGTTGTAGGTTCGAAAGTTTTCATCGATGTCGCCGAACCAATTGGGATCTCGTCTGACGTGGTTTGCAACGTACGCTTCGCCGGTTGTCTATGAAGGAGATTTCGTGGAAGAGGTGTGTAATGGCTCTAAGTTGCAAGGATACTTCTAGACTTACGTCGACTGGCTAAGCCTAGAATTTGAAGAGTCAATAGCCATAGCTTCGCCACAATCCCGACAATGCCACGCTCAGCCGAGACCAAGAGACCTTTAGGGCAATCGTGACTTGCAGGAGACCAGATCTGTTTTTGATCCTCGTCGACGAGGAAACAGACAGCACGTTCACAACTAAGGACGTCGCGCACTTTCTCTCGAATCGCCTCCAAGATACTCGGAACGTCCTCGGCTTGTGCCATAGTGCCTACTAAGCTGGCGGATGTTAGAAATAGAACGAAGCGGATGTTGAGATTTAGGAATGGGAAGCTTCTACTTCAAGTCTTGAAGGTAAGTAGTGAGAATCATCTTGCTGATCTGTTAGAATGCCCTTTGATCGCCCCAGACACGAAGTGTCCTGGGCTGATGGTTTTGGCGTCTTTGTTTCACTATCTATTGCACGTGTGGAATGCTGAAACCTTTAGAGAGAAAAAGAAAATCAACTCGGATTTGTGCGGAGGAGGGCTCAGATGATTGAATCTTGTAGCTGTAGATCTTGGGAAAAGAGCCAAGTGCCATGATATCAAGATGTTCAAGAAAGAAAATCGTCATAAAATAGCACTATTCTGCAACTCCCGCCTCTCGAGTTTACGCGCCAAACTCGACACGTGAATCCCAAGGGTCATCGGGCCTTGGCACAACTCGGACACGAATTCGATATCGCCATGGGAAAACAGCTGTTCTTGGTTCAAGTTGATGCTGTGCACCGTCATCGTGCTCCTCAAAGATCCTAGTCCTTCTTGTGATTCTATTTTTTGATCGACACCAACAGAATGAGATCCTGACGCAATCGACGTGTTTGCTTTTGATGCTGAGTCTGCGGTTGCAGATGTAGATGCTGTTTCGTTGTTCTCGCCAACCGCGGCTTCATTTGATTGCTTGATTACTGTAGCCACTCTTGCAGATTCATCTGGTTGTAGATCTTCTTCTGGCACTGAGGCGTGTTTGCCTACAGCGACTGACGGTGCTGCTCCTCCATAGATGAGATTGGCAGCTCGGTTCGCTCCAATCATACTCACCCGTCGAGAGACTGTGATGCTCATGCTATTTGACATCGGGCCGGCAGCAGCAGCAAGCATAGATGTGCGCGGGGAGATAGGATTAGACGTAGATCGTGTCAGGAGGTGTCTCGAAACAAAAGAGTGAAAGAGTCTTGCTCTTTTCGTACGTACGTATCCACCTACCGATACCTCAAATCCGTGGCTTAACTCCGTGAGCGATGGTTTTGCCCATGATCTGGTTGAAGCCAACCGTCGCAGCTGCGATCGCACCAGGCTCGAAACTGGCCAGATTCATCATCTTTTTCATTCGATGCCGCAGTCGCTTCTCGACATCATCCCTGGAGAGTATTAGAACAAGCCATCATCAAGACGTTAGCACGAGTTGTATAATCAGGAACACTTCCTGTAGCAAGTCTACTTTTCTTAATTGATGCACATTGCCGCCGGATCCTCCAGCTCCAGCATAACTGCCACCTCGACCACCTAGAACGCCGCCACCTGCTGACGTCCTGTTGCTTTTTGCTGGATGAGCAGTTGTCAGCGTCTTTTTCCACGTTAGACCCGTGCCTGTATCTGCGGAGCTAGCTCCGCTTGGCCTGGCCACTGGTACAACGGGACAACTAAACCCACCCTCCTCTTCCTTGTTAGCACTTCGACTCCCTGTGGATGCCACACTCGCTCGTGCGGACGGTACCAAGGTCAAGTAGCCGACCGATTGCAAAGCGGTTGCTGGTGGAAGCGAGGGAGAAATGAAGAAACAAAATTCAAATTTTGTGACTTCGAAACAACGCGGGCTCATTGAGCGAATTATGTAAGAATACGCCTATGTTTCTAGTTCTATTTAGGCCGGTCTACGACTAACTACACTTACACATCACACCTCATAAGCGTCGAAGCCGAATGTTGCGCTCCTTGTTCCCACGCTGTCCCGTGATCTGCTTTCAGCATGGACAAGTTATGAGGCGAACGCGACGATCTAGTGGAGGATGGTCGTGAGGGTCGCCCGCCGTGACCCGATGAGCTACCAGGTAGACTAGATTGTTCGAATGAGGCACTCCCACTGGCACCAAAACCATCGTCGCTTGAGAGATCCCCGTCATCCTGAGTCCTCCCACGGTCCATCCCATCATCACTATCACCACCAAAAAAGTCGAAGTCATCAAGCATAGCTAAAGCGTTTCCACCGCCACCTGCGCCGCTAGTGACGCGGGAATTAGAAGTAGGGTTTGAGCTCGCCACGCGCAAGTAGCAAGTTCTTGCAAGTTGGGAAAGGCGGTATGCGTTCCGACTGCGTTGGTCTTGAGAGAGGTATGTTGAGGTTGTTACCTTGAACCTTAATGTACCGTCCCCCGCCTGTCCCACTCCCCAGCGAAGTCGGGTCCATCTTCGGTAAGCGATTGACAAACTGCAAAACCCCCAGAACTTCTGATCGCGGATGTTCACGAATGGGAATGCTTAGCACACTGCGCAAACCGCCATCCTCAGCTGGTAACGAGGCCAGACCACCAAAAGCGCCACCGGATGAAATGACCGTGGCGGAAGGTGGCAGGTTCTCCAGCGTCGGTGCCTGTGACGCGGAGAAAGGTGCCTGTCTCGCCTCCTTCTGGTCTTGCCCCGACTGCTGGGAGACTGCGGCTTTATCCGCTACTTCTGGTTGAGCTGACGGCAACTCGGACGTCATTCCAGCATTCGTTGTTGCCATCGCGACGTTGTAAATGTCTTGTTCTTTGAGTGCTGAATTCGCCAGACACTCAAGTGTGTTGGGTGCGGACACACCTCCACTGGTCGTGGACGAAGCGCTTGCCGGACGTGAGTTTCTGCGAGACTGAACGGCCGTAGACATATTCCGGCTACAAGCGAAGATCTTTAGTTTTGGAGGATGAGATTAGAAGGATGCGGTCGTTGTAGATTGTGGTAGCATATGGTGAAGGCGAACGCGAAGTTGTAGCTATCCTATTTCGTAATTCGCCAAGCCTGATTGTTAAGCCATTGAATTTGAACACTCCATTCATAAGGTTCATCTCCAGATTTGTTTTGCTGGCATTTTCTCGTTTCATTCACTTTGGTTCCTGCATTCGAATGGGTGCTAACACGATTTGTAGGCGAAGCGCCTGCCCCCACTGCAGCAGCAAGCATTCCTGTCGTAGACGAGGCTGCAGAAGTGTCATTACCACTATCTATGCCTTTTTCTTGATCCTGTTCCTCATGTTGTTCCCCAGTTGTAGCAGTCTGATCTACTCCTCCACTTTCAGTTCCAGCTCCAATTGGCGAGTTAGCTCCTCCATCAGCACCAGTCCCACCAGACGTCGACTTCGTCAAAGCGGCTGCTTGATTCTGCTGTCTAGTATCGTTGTTGTAATCATCGTGGTCCAACATCCACAGAGTGACTTTTTCACAAGGCACCAAACTTCGCATCAGGTTGCAGAAGTACTCGAGGATGCTATTCGCGGAAAGCACGGCTGCGGGATTGCGACGGTCCTCTTCGTCACACCAGGGCTTGAGGAGCTCCACCATCAGTTCGGAAAGGGACTGTTGAGTGAAAGAGGGAATCACATGAATTACAAGGTTCTCTTACGTCTTCAGAACCACAAGATGGCGACATCAATACGAATACTCGTTCCGTTCACTTAATACGCTCCACTTCCGCCTCCTCTTGAAAGTATTAGTAGTACAGTAGAAATACGTGGTGAGAAAGTAGTGGGAATACCTTGACCAAAGTCTTCTTCGTGTTTTCTCTTGCCAGTGTCCAATGCAAAGACATTCCACTAGCAGCGCTTTGCAAAGCCCACAAGGCATTGTTTGCGTCAAAACGGGACTTGATAGCCTCTGCTTTTTCCGCCAAGATCGAGTTCTGAGGGTGTCCTCCAGCAGGGCTTGATATGGCGACAGTGCTGGGAGCTCCTGGTACTGGTGCGGGTGGTCGAGGGGATCCGACTCCTGCATCCCCTCCACTGCTGGTAGCTGCATTTGCATTTCCTACGTCCACGGCCGACACAACCGCGTCGCATTCTGGAAGCAGCTTCTTCTGTGTCTTCACGATAAACACCCCTCTGACACGACCTTGACAGAAGATTGGGGCATAGATCGTGTAGCGCTTCGTCTCTGGCGAATAAGCTTCCACAAGCTCGCGTCTCGTCAAAGCTTTGTGAAGGAAGTAGTCTCCTCGAGCTTGTTCTTCGTCTGTCTCAAGAAGTTCTAAGAGGTTTGAGGACCTGGAATTTGTAGTTGTGGTAACTCCATCAGACGTGGATATATCTCCACCAAGGGATGAGGACCCGGTGGGGCCTAGTTGGGCCCGTTCCAACAGGGTTATCTCCCATTCTATCTCGGGCTGCGATTCTTTCTGCTTATGCCTCTGTGACTGTGCGCCTTCAGATACAACCACTGTGATTTTCTCACCTAGAACGGAATTGCCATCTGGAGTGAAGACCTGGAGAAAAGTTGGTCTGTGTCAAAAGCAGAAATAAGGTCGTCTTCTACATAATTCACTTTCACTTGCTTAATGCAATGTGGTGAAGAATGTACCTGTTGTTTCTCCACCGGATACACCGAGTACAAATCCACAGCCATGCAATCGACAGACGTTTTCAGAGCCTGAAAGATAGCCCTTGTGCCCACACGACTTGCAGTAGCGACATCCTCAAACACATTGCTAGCGAAGTGTAAGAGGCTTTCCGAACTCGCAGATGCCATCAGCACGCTGGCTGAAGTAGCTCCTGTGCCTCCGTTCATGATGCTGTGTCATGCGGTCACAAACAGGTTCACGAGAGGTCTTCGCGGATGTGGCCGTCTAGCGGAAGATTGAATATGAATATTCCAGCACAGGCGTAGAGAGCAAAGCTGCGTTTCTTGATAAAATGCGAGATCCGAATGATATTGAATATATACCAGTGGATTACGGAAAGTAAATTCGAAACAACAAAAGAGATAATACAACTTGATAGCGTGGTCGAAAATGTTGGTTTACATTTGAAAGTCATCGATAGACTCAATGTGCTCGTGCTGCGGGACGACAACCTCCAGCATCCAGTAAACAGTAAAAATGTCTGATTTGGGGAAACAAGAAAGCCTGATACAGAACAACAACGAGACGGATCGACCGACGTCTAACATCATCTTCACGGGTGAGTTCACGCAGTTCTTGACAGAAAAAATCGCAGACACAGACACAACCACAAAAAACACAACTGATGCTCGTAGTGAGGCGCTATCAATGAAAACAACAGATTGAGCTCGTGGACACTAGGCGTGTATCAAAGCCCGCGCCTCGTCCCTGCTTTGTGTGGTCGCCCGCGTGCGTAGCATTGGCTGTGGTTACAACTATTTCGATTTCTGCAAAGCAATGCACTTATCAAGAAAGTATCATTGCTAAATCTTCACTAGATAATTGTTCAGTAAAAGTAGTGGTCTCGGTAAGTGATGTAATGCTCTTAGCAATCGTAGTTGGTGTCTTGTTCGCAATCTAAGATGGCAATATTCGGATTTACAATTTTGAAACCGAAGTAAAAAGTTTCACCCATAGAAGAATAAGCTTCTTTTGACATGACTTTATTCATGTCCCTACCATCAAACTCCTAACGGCTATTCTCCACCAAGGCAAGGATTTGCGTATTAAGTGCTCTTGCAACTCAATTGTCCGCTGCGAGTAGTGCTCGAACAATCTATCGTTGCCGCCTTTCGTTGCCGTGGCCAAATCGAAAAGCTCCCAGATGGATCGGGAGTTAGAGGAGGAGAGGAGAAGGAGAGAAAGGGATAAGTAAAACCATCTACATGTTGATCGTGTTTGAGGGTATAGATAAGCAAGTCAGAGGGTATTGCGTTGGCTCCGAAATAAATGTTCCATTTTCCAGTTCGAGTTCCTTCTTTCTCATTGCCATAATAAATTGTATCAACACTTCCCCACGTTCCTTCCACTCAGTGTACTGATACCAGTAACGTCGCTCCTCGTGAAATTTGTGGGGCCAAACCACTTCTGTACTTTGCCAATGGAAAATGTCGAAAGTGTGGATCGTATGGTTGTAGGACTGTCCCACTTGTTCCATTTCTAATTGATTTCTTCTCCCGATATCTTCCAAAGGATCTAGTATCCTGTCCTCCATCACAGTCTGCATCAAAGGCAATTTCGAGTCGCTGTGACCGCAATAACACCCAGCGAGGGGCCACACAACACGATACACGTAAGGCTCAGCAGGAATCAACATCGGTAACCCTAGAGCGGTCATATCGGAAAGGCGTAGTGCGTTTGGGACGTGAGGCATCAGAACTACTGCAGCGAAGTTTTCTGCAGGGATTAGACGAGAGAGGTGAAAGGTAATCGATATGCATCAAGTGATCGGGAATCTAGTCGATAGTTCAATGTCTTTTCCATAACATCTGTTTAAACTCCATGTTCGTCTTCTCCGGAAACGTGACAACTCTGCGTTCCCGATCCGGATATCTGTCTGTGTATGCGGCCAGCACATTCATCACCAGAGACTGATACGGTAAGCGTGAGCGAAACAGTAACACGTCCTTAGCCTTATTCTTCTTCTCTGAAAAAGGTCCATCATACAAGACTCGATGATCTAGAGAAGCGTGCAAGCCAAGCATCGGAATGTAAAGAGGTCGGCGTCCATACACAGCATAGAACATCTCAGCGGAAATGCGTGTTGCTGCACTGAAAACGACATTGCTACCGTCTTGGTGATTGAGATCGTGATCTTCTCCTTCTTCAGGATTCTCCGTATCTGAATGCCCAAGTCCATCTCCTACTCCTTCTCCGTCACCTTCCTCCAGCAACAATCGCCCTATATCTTCTCTCCCATCTTTCCGTGTATCTGGTCGAATCCAGCCTGTGTTGAACAGGATGTGCGACACCACATTCAGAACTGCTTTGTTCTGTCCAAAAAACCTCCAATATCCTAGCATAGCGCACATGTTCAACCGGAACAAAAAGCGTTTCTTTGGAAAGGCAGAAAACAGCAACGCTCCGAGCCAGAAGGGTTCGAAACCTAGGATAACATCAGCGTCATGAAACCAATCGTCTTGGGCGAGGTACACTTGCATGGCGAATGCAGCTTGTCGCCATAAAGGTAAATCGGAGGTTAAGTCTGCCAATGCTGCTTCAAATTCAAAAAGATGAAAAGAGTCTTGTTGTTCATCTTGGTGTTGGTCTTGAGCCTGTTGCTCTGTACTAGTTGGCCTTCTCCTCGTCCTCGCTGGTGCGTAGTACAAGGCATGAAACTTCTCTGTCAAGTACGCACTTCGCATGCCATGCCCGTCTTGGAGGACAACGGCAGTTGGTTCTGATTTCACCTCTGAATTTTGTTGTTCATGACCAATATCTCGCATTTTGACGTCATCATCCGTAAGCAGAAAATCCGCAGAGGCATCGGTTATAGCTGAGCGTCGTACTAAGGTCCCGGCTTGTGCAGCTTGACCTCGTGAAATGCCCTTCTCTCGCCACCAAGGGAGACCTGATGAAGCAGTCGGAGGCTCTTGTTCCTTTAAAGCATCTTCAGCGTCCTTGTTCTCATGCTGATCCTCTCTCTTCAACGTCTTTGTCGCATCTGCCGAAAAAGCTAGTGTGCTTTCGTCCGCAACCTCATCATCACCCACACTTTCATCATCGCCATCATTTTTACTTTGCCTAACATGAAGTGGGACCTTGCTTGAAAAATTGTAGGTATGCCATGGCGCGACTTCATTGTAAAACAACGTCTTGGTCACTTTCCCCGTTTGTTCATTGATAGTGAAGGCAGACTTCGGAAGCTCAGGAGCTAAATCTGGCTGAGGCACACCAAAAAAATCTTCCCAAGCGGCAACAACGCGCGTTTTCTTGTCCCAGGTGGTGCCTCGGAAATAGATTTTGTATGCGAAGTAATACACTGCTTCGACTTCGACATATTTGCTTCCGCGTTGCCCCCGAGAGTCAGAGTCAGCCTGAGGATTCTCCTCCCCTTCTCGCACAGCAGCAGCCTCATCCTTCGCCAACTGTAACTCCCCATCCAGATTATTCACCGCCGCAGTCAAGCTGCTTACGTACTCAGTACTTGTCATCAGATGACAACCAAAAGCGGCAACTCGGATTGTACGAGATCTGAAATCCTGTTCCTCATCGAAGAGACCTGGTCCGTTTGCACTAGCAAAGGTTCGAAAGTATCCACCATGCAGCCAGAGGGCACCAGGATCCTCAGCCCTGATATCCGCTATAGGCCTTCTTCTCTGATACTGAAACATTATTGCCGCATGAAATTGCTCAGACATCAAGTCAGGGAGGATCTTGATAGGATTTTTCTGCTTTGCACTTGCAGCAGGTTGGTCTCCATGACGATGAAGTTCATCATCTCCTTCTGCTTTCCCATCTTCGAGTTTCGTCACGTACAAGTCTCTTATCCCCTCCGGCAATCCTGCACCTCCATCTTGTTTTGCTGCTTCTTTCAATGTTTTCGTTTGCAAGTCTCGCCATTCACGTATAAAAGCCAGGTACGCACTCTCGACTGGTGAGAAAGTAAGAGAGCGAGACTCTACTAGTTGGACAAGGCCACCTGTGGAAAGATGCTCTCGACGCAGCAACGCTTTCTCCTCTGGGCTTTGTCCACCAAGCATTTCATCGACCCGATCCACAAACTGTCTTTGTGCCTCGTCCACTGTAGCGACTTGCGTCACACCACACAAGTCCGCTTGCTCATGGGAGCGCTTAGCGATTGCTTGTAGGAGCAGGAAGTTGTAGTCCGGCTCGCCGCTACTAGTTCTTGGATCAACTTTGATTTGTTCGTCACCTTCTTTACTAGAGCGCAATTGCACTTGATCCCTCTCCTCAACGACAAAGCTCAATGGACATCCAGCGTCCAGACCGGCACTCGATGGCATCTCAGGTGTAGGATGCATCAGCAGCCAGTTTTCGTAATTGCCGTAGAAATAGCGTCCTTTCTTTTCCATATCCACGCTAGCCATGTCAACGACCAGATCGAAATGGGATAAGCCGTATTCTTTTTCTATTTGGGAATTAGACGAGGAAAAAAAGATGCGGTCAGCTTTTAGCTGCAACTGGCGACTGGAGGTCCGAACATTAACTACTCTCAACAAGGAAGTGAGGCAGCCTGCTGAAATGTTGTAATCCGAGATCGCAAGATAATCATAACTTGCAACTCCCCAAACGCATTGTCCTCCATCGAATCGAACTGGAAATTTCCACTTCCCAAATCCCAAACCCATCCCAGAACGTTCGCGAGATACCCAACCTCATGTGCCAGCTCGTTGCGAGGTAGCATGTCGTACTTTTGCGCGAGAAACACCGTATGCATGATGACCGCTAATCCAGTTGGGCATACTAGAAGCTCTTCCATTTCAGAGAGGAAGGAACGAAAAAGACTGCCAGCGCGCGTCTCGATACCATTCTCCTTCTCTTCTTGGTGATACAGGTATTCCGCTAATTTCTCCCTAGAGTCCAACGTTTTTCGCTCCAAGAACTTCTGCCACTCGACCGTCCACGGGAAGCGAGGGTCAGTGTTTTGTTCTTCGCCTGCTTCTAGTGTCCTTTGCAGATACGCACGCCACATTTGATTTAGGAATTTGCCGCTCTCGTTCACAGCTCGTGCTTGGATCAGGCGAAAGAGATTGGCCAAATACGCATTACTTCGATCGAATTCTCCGGCGACATGTGCCTCTAGCATGGCCCGTTCGTGCGCGCTGTCCGCGAAAGTTGAAGGGAAGGGAGAGAGAAATGGGAAGCAAGTGCAGGAGCAGTCAGGATATTATTGTCAGAAAAGGCCATCATAATAACCCCGTCCTGGTCAGGTCGAGCCCTTACAATTACGAGGATTAGATATTTGTAAACAATCAGGTAGACCTTAGACAAAAAAAAGTTGAATTTCTCTGGAACAACAGATGACATTTTTTCACTTCTGCAACAACGATCCGGGGCGGCTTCGACAGAGAAGAGGCGAGAGGCGACATTTTTTGAGTTTTTGTGTCCTATTTTCAAATATTTCGATATTTGTATAAACAAGTTCAAATTTGAACCCTTGTCATAAACAATGCCAAAAAAGAGTCGTGTAAACGCTGAATCCGTGCCAGGAACTCGCCAGATCGATCGTTCTGAAACCCGAACCACATCATGTAGAGATGCGACGCCAGTCCCAATAGGATTTGAAACACCTCTTGTACTGCCTTCAGCTTGCCCAAACCTTTGATCATCTTTGCCTTGGGAGTCTCGCTCTCGTTATCGACCACCCCATCCTCGTTTGATGTCTCCAGCTCCCGTAAGAACTGCACAGCTGTGCCTGTTTGATTAGAGCTCCTCCATCAACGTGCAGCCATTCATTTCCATTCGTTCCCTGAAAGTATCTAAAATAAAGTCCAAATGATGGTAAATAGTACAACCAATACCATGCGCACTTTATCCAGAATGAATAAGACTATCCAGAGTACTTCATAAGTTTCAGCACCTTCGTCCTCTCGTAGATCTCTGGATGTTCTTCGAAAATAAGCCGGATGAGGTCACTACTGTAGATCCCATGCAGCATCTGCTGGAATGGACGGTAACGGATTCGGAGATCGAACCACACCCGCTCAATGCCAATTGCAGAGGGGATGTGGTCGCAGGGGGGATTAGAACTAACAACGAAAGGAGGTTTGCAGAAGAGATGTGGTCGAAGGGAGAGTAGTTAGTGTTAGAATTTATTATCAAAAACTAAGGGATGCGAGTGCTCCCCGTTATGATTCCTTCTAAGAATTCATGCGCCAGAAGGAAGAAGACTCGATCAACAACGATAGCCTTAATGAAAAGCGGCCCCTCATCGTTAGGGTAGACGTCGAAGGAAGGCAAAGCGTCGAGTAGAACGGATCTTAGCTTCTCTGATGTAGCGCTTGTTGGTTGCGGCGTGTCTGATGAAGATGCGTCTGGCGCTGCAACCTCTCCCAGACTCGTTCCACCCAAGAACAAGCCAACAAAGTTGGCGAAAAAAACCAGGTCACATAAACGACGCTTGAGTGGTGGTCGCAGCATTCTCCTACTGCGTACCATCAGGGCCGCAGTCCGACGCTGCTCAGCATTCATCTTCAGTCAGGCTATCGACCGAGGAGCATGACGCTTTTTGCCCCACTCTGCATCATCCTGCCTTGCCTGAAACAGGCCAAGGAAAGACCGCAGCACCTTTCATGGATTTCTCAGACTGTCCCTCAAACCACGCCTTTGCTTCTCATAATCCACTCAATTGAACTTTCTTTGACATTAACCGGATTGATCATTAAGGGACTAAGATCGCAGCATCAAGCATACATCTCTCTACTTCTCCGGGAATGGCGTAAATCAGTGGGGCATCACCTCTTTTGTGGAAGCATAAACAACGCATTATAATTTTATAGAAGGAACAACCGCACAAGAAAAGACGAACACCGCCTTGTCTCTTTCTCACTTCTTAGTCCGTCGCAATACTGCAAGTTTAACAAAAGCAATCAAAAGCAGCGAGCTGCTAGTCAAAGGTGACATCGAGATCCGGTTACATCATATAAGTTGTTGAGATAAAATTTGTGTCGCGTGTAGGATGCACTCTGGAAGGGTCTGGAATCCATGAGCGGACGATAGTACTTGCATGATGTTTAGAAATTTTGTCAAAACCATGCGAGTCGATTACTCTATTTTATCTTCTATGAATTACAGAGGTCGGGATCGGACACGTGAGAGTTTTCGGATGAATCCGTTGTGTTCGAACTTGCTTGAATCCTAGCGTTCCTGTTCCTCGAAGTCGCACCACCGAAGTATTCTTCATCCGATGACATCACCTCCAAGCCTGATGATGCTGAGCTCGAAGATGTGGATGACGGCAGCGAAGACGAGAGCAAATCAACTTCAGCATCTCCGATTCGGTTTCCGTCATGGACACGCACAACAACTTCGATATCCTCCTCATCAGCACGAAAGCGTTCACCATCGAAAAAGACTGGTAAAGCGTCTTCATCTTCAATTTCAACGTCATGGACGCCGAGGGTTGTGGCGCTAGTGTGCACCAGTCCCGCCTGGTGCATCTCCGGACTGCCTTCCCGGCGCGAAGGCACACCGCAAGCCCCGCCACGTACGTATCGAATGAAACGAGCGCCATTCCTCTTCGCGTGGCTCTTCATGCACTCGACATATACCGCGGAGTCGACACGACGTGCGCGCATCTTCGAACCTTGATGTTGTGTCCACATTCTGGCGTATCTGTCGGGCGGCGACGCTGCCATGCAACGGACGAGAAACTTCAGCAGGGAGCAAACATTTTTGGATGATCTTCACAGTGCTAGATTCAAGCGGGGTCAGAGAGCATCTTACTCAGGTAGCCATTTTTACGTTTTATTTTCATCGTGGGGACGGGGATCAGGGTTGTTTCTCTTCTATGTGCATCCCAATGTGTTGCCAGCAGCATACATAAAATTCAAGTCCACCGACCTATGATCAAAAACTAGAGTAAAGTCACAAAACCGAGTCAACGCATCATAATCTTCATCATCCTTCGATCGAAAAGACCGAACCGAAGAACGAATCCCAAAGGAGAAGGAGACAGAGAGAGTAGACGAGCCAGGTTGTATCAAGCGCCGGAGAACTGATACAGATACGACCGAGCTCGAGATAAATCCGACATACTGACTCATTACCTCGACCGAGTCGAGTCTTTTGCTGTTGACTTTTACTCACCTTTACCTTCATCGTGTTTTCATCGTGGTATTGTTCTGCATGTTTTCCTTATCAAGTTCCACCCACGGCTGGTTCTGGGAAACTGTGATCATCGCAGCCGCTCTTACATTTAGAGCACCGATATCGAATGCGACTGCAAGTCGGCACCTCCTAGGAACAGTGTAACGACCACGATGTTGTAGCGCGTGGAGAAGCTGCATCGAGTTTTGCAATACACCCTGGTGCTGTGATCGACTCCTCTTACTAATCCGTTTTCCAGTTCTTTGCGCGTCACGATCAGTAGTTCCAACATGACGTCACGATGATCAGACTCATCAACATACGACCACTCAAAGGGATACAAGAGAGAGAGTTCATGGCAAAAACATACCACTACCGGTGTGCTCTAATATTTGGGATACTCTATGTGGGATGCTCAAGGACAAGGAAACTGCCCGACTTCGACTTCGGAATAACCACGCTATGTATACGAGGCGGCTCTATGTGATTCTTGTGAGGAGGCGGGGATACTGCTTGGTTGAACCTTATCAATATATCATTTGACTTCTCGACGAGGACGACTTTCCCGAAACGAAGGAATAGCAGTCAATGTGAACCTCACTTGAAAAACTCTTAAGACAAGTGAAAGCCTTCACCTTGATAGATAGCCTGCAACAGCTTCTCCCGCAATCTGGTGTAACTGCTGTAGTCAGGTAGCTTCAACAGGTTCGCACACGTTGATGCGGTAGGAAGCCGCTCGTTATCTGGCACTCGGTGTATGCAGAAAGGAGGACCGATTAGAGTGCGCAACATCATCATACTAGGCAATCCAAAATATACTCGAAGAAGTTCTTCTAATGAATGACGACATCAATGATGTTCAAATTAGAAATGACGTTCCACATCTTCTAAATCTAATAAATGAACGTGATAGTGATCAAACTACTCTCCATAAGTGAAGGCTCGCGTAGCCTAGAAGCGGCGCCCTACTGCAACTGGTAACAAACTGAAGGAATTTGCCCTTCTGCTCATGATCAAAATCATTATGCAATATCTGCCAGAACCAGAGAATGACCTGATTGAAGGTAAAGGGTGAATGAATACAATTTATTACTGTATTTCCTCAGATTAGGAATAGCGATACGGATACCAAAACTTTCTGAAGGCTAAGCCTCGGTGCCACTTGTGACTAAGAAATCGTCAAATTTGTACTCAACTGCAATTCTCAAACTAGGTACCTCCGACCGCTCCGTATATCCTCCCGCGTACGTGCAGCAGCCTTCCAGATCCCCGAATTTCAGATCGGGTGTTCCAGATATCAAAAAATTCAACTCGTACGGGTCGAACTGCTGCAGCCAGTGTCTGTCCAATACGCACAGCATCCCTTCCTTGAACGCTCTCGACTGTCTCTCCAGTTCCGTCGTTGTTTTGTAGTAGGCGAGACGCTGTATATAGGAGATCTTGTTCTCCTCTGTGACCGGGATGTTGCGGCCGTTGGGCATGAGATCGATACTAGCATCCATCGCATTTGCCCCACCTGAGACGAGATCGCTATCGTCAATACAGAAATACAAACCCCATTCAGAGACGTCACTTTCCTTCGTTTGAATCAGATTTCTCGCAAAGTCTCGATCAAGGGCGAAGAGCTGACGTATAAGATGTTGTGGAAGTGAGTGGAAGACTGACGGTGAATACGAAAATGTAGAGGCGCTCATCATGGTTGAAAAGAACAGAGTCTAATAAGTGGTTGCGCCAAAGTCAATGACTAACTCATCAAAAGTAGTATTCTACTAAAATCACAAGAGCTGTACTAGCTTTAACACGAACACCGTAACTATTAAAAGTACATCGTCCAACGTATTCGGTCTGTTCAAGAGCAAGTTCAAGAACGTTCTACTAAACTGTGGCTCCAACAGACAGTTTTCGTAGATTGCTTTTCCTACGACTTTACCCAGAAAGTAGAACATCTGCAACGCCATATTCTCGCTATCGTACACGAGCGTGGCTTCTCGTAGAGGTCTAGGCGCTAACTTCCGTTCTCCTGTTTCCCGAAACAAGCCTCGATCGGGAGCAAAAGCAGTACGGCTCAGGTCTAGAAGGAATTCCTTGAATAGACCGCCTCCATCGATGCCGGACTCGGTTTCGCCGTTGGCATAAGGATTAGGTCTATCAGCATGTATATAAAAATGATGCAAATTTATCGTCTCCTTAAGAATTGTTGAGTTCTTTCAGAAAAGATTTAAATCTTTGTTCAGTCAAACTGTTTCTATTGGCCGAATTACTACTCATTTCAACTTTATGAATCAGAATGAGAATCACGCTCACGGCCTTTCGCCTTAACTATAAACACAACCCGAAATGCTCCTCTCAATTGGTCCTCGTTCATCATCTGAAATGCTGTGAAGCCATCCTCCACTATGTGTGTGCGCCGAATGTTTGCTCTTGTCCCTTGCATGGCAAAAAACGGTGACCGCACATTGCTACGGTTTTCCTGATCTTGGCGGATCCACTCTTGGAGGAATGAAACTCTGTCCTCGAATGGTATGCAATGAGGCAACTCTGTCAAGACCAAGTTTGAGCGTCGGCAACTACCACCACTAAACGCGATCGTCCATGAAGAGGTTGACGAAGAAGTTACTCCACCCCTTGCAGTAGTATAAGCACTCGTTGTGCTAGAAGTCGCGTTCGTTTGTAGTTCCCGTTCAACATCACGTCGTCTGAATCTGTCGTAGAGTGTCCTAGCCAACGAGCAGACTTTGTCCTGTACCAGGCAGAAGAGTGGTAACCTGCCAAAGTTACGACGTGGTTGGTTCTTGAAGTCAGTGAAGCCGAACTTGTCAACGACTGTGCCTAGTATAGCGCCTTCTTGGTCGATGTCCATTCTACTTGCGTCTTGAACAGTGCTCCCATCTCCTGAGGTTTGCGGCATCCCACTTCCTGGGCTAATACCATTCCCACTACCCAAACCCATACTCCCACCTCCTGCTTTATTTCCAGACAGACTCCTGTACAAATCAGCATCTTCATCCGACAATGACCCATCATGTTCTTCGCTATCAGAATCCCCACCTCCATCTGTCCAACTTCCACCACGTTTTCGTCTTGGAGGTGCTGGAGCGAACGGCCCTCCGCGACCACCGCGTCCTGAATCAGCACTCATAAAATGATTCTCGACATCTTGGAGAACCAGAAAAGCGAAGCGATTCACTAGTGTCGCCAACTGGTCTAAATGCGGAAACAGACAGTTCTTTTCAGCAGAAAAAAACTCGGTGTCATACATGACTGTTGCCTGAACGCGGAAAACGCAAGCGAAAGGAAGGATGTAGAGGGTGTTACTGGTAAAACTACTCTGAGTCATATTTTGTGCAAGATCTCGTCCCTGATGTCCACCAGCACCACCTCCGGATGAACTAGAAGAACTACCTCCGATCTGCAAATCGTTTCTAGAACCACCTGTTGAGGTAGTACCGACGACACCTCCTATAGTTGTTGCACCACCGCCGCCTTCCCCTGCTGCTTCTGCTATCTTCTGCAATACCTCCCTTGCCCACGTATCTGCGCTTTTCTGTAAAACTTTCCTCGCTAAATCCGTTACAAAGGACTTGCACGAAAAGGCTAGCACGGACAACACCGAGTCATGCGGAGGAGAAGCAAGGTCACTGCCGAAATAGCAGAGCAGAAAGTCATCGAGACTGCACTTTTCTGATAAGGATTTGACGAAGTCACGCCTTTCCTTTAGGGAAAGCTGGATTCGTAAGTCAGCATCCATATATTCGCCTATCTTTAGTTTTTTGCTGTCGTATTCTGGATCCACTAACAGCGAAAAGAGGTCCAGAAGATGGAAAACTCCAGTAGAGGAGATTGACGAGGACGACGAATTGGAGCTGTAGTTACCACCGGTAATAGGAGCTGCAGGACTTCCTAGACTAGGATGTACAGCACTCTGCAATACTGACCAAAGATTGCCTGTGGCAGCAAGCAGGACCAGTTTTGGATGGTCCGTTCCAACATTACGTAACCGTGCTAGCTGAGCAACAGCGCGTCTTGCTTTTTCCCTAGCTGCATTGCGGTTTAGTTCTACTCCGATATTTTCGTTGGCACGGCCAGACAGGTACTTGGAATTGACGCCAACCGCGCTAGTGCTGTTTTTGACGTTGTAATTGTGGAACGAGGATCCAGTAGAAGAAGTGGAGACTGTTACAGAATCGGTTGGATACAGTGAAGCTGTTGTCGATGGTGTTGCTCCGTTGCTGGCGGCCGCTTTAGGATCAAAAGGTGAAGGCGATTCTGATCCTGCAAAACATCCACTCGCCATTGTTCGTTGCAGCCATAAGGCTGACAATTGCGCAAGCATGTCCTGCACACCATGTGCATGAACGTACGGCTGTTTCACTACTGGTAAAAAGCTGTAGGCGACGTAATGGAAGAGGTATTCGCGCAAAACCGTTTTCGACGACAAAAACGCCCCATTATCCGTCAAATAGCTACTGAGCCAACGACACCCAACATCGTTGCCGGCGAAGAGAGTTTTTGAGAGTAACGCTGAGAAGATGAACTCACAAAAACCGACTAAAGGATTGCATCGACGTACTCCGGGATGTGGTCGAAAGTCAAGAAATGCTCTCGAAGTCGTCGCTCCCTGAAGATCATCAGTTGTGGCACTAGTGCCAGACATTGGCTCTTGTAACTCCGCAGCTCCTGTGCCTGTGGGGGTCATCGAAACATCTCCATCTCCATCTGCGCTCGTTGGTGCGGAGCCTCCATCTTCACGGCCACGACCAAAAACTTCTTTTACCAGCATTTTCTTGCTCGCTGTAGAGTAGTCCTGTGTTCGTGCTACAAATGCGTCATGTAGAAAAGCTAGACTGATGTTTGATGAGGCAATATTTGACGGCGCAAACTTCTGCCACAAGCTAGTAAGCCTTGCTCGGTCCCTCGCTTTCTTCCTCATTGGGTTGGTCCCCATGGTGATTGCTGAGTCCCGCAAGAAGTGAAACACAGCTGGAACGCGGGACAGGCGTTCAACAACCTTAGCAGATTGAACATGTTCGAGAAGCAACAGAATCTCCTCACTGCAACTTCTCTGAGCACCACCACGATCAGTCAAATGCGCCACAGAGAGGAATAACAGTTTGCTCCACCGAAATAGGCTAACTGAATCATCGGAAATAAGAGCCGGCGATTCTATTGCTGACGCTGGAGATGTGGTGTCACTTGTACTATTCCCATCAGGTGCAAATATCCGCCAACCACTGTCAGCCCACGAGGAACTAGTTGACGTCTGTGTAGACGTAGACGTGATCAGTTCTAGTAACTCTGCCAGTAAACCCGTATCTTCTTTCGACCGAAAGAACCACAGAAACGAAGGCAGCATCTTCTTCTGCAGTCCCAAAACAACCGCCGCTCTCATTTGCACCGTCACATTTGGCATACTCAGAACTCGCTTCATGTCGCCCAATCGCTTGCGAAATAGCGCTCGCTGAGAATCTTTCTCAGATTTGAGAACGACATAGCTGCGCAGACACCGCTTTATCCGCTCAGCTGCTTGTAATTTGCGTTGCTGTTCTTGTCGCGCCTCTTTCTCCTTCCTCTGACGCTCAAGGAACTGTTTGCGGTCGCCAGCGGCTCGCTTGCTCTTGCCGCCAAGGTCGACACCTCGCCCGAAACTTCCTCCGCCATCAAACATCTTTTCATCTTCAATGAAGTTTAAGGATCTAACCACTACTGAGTCCTCAGTCTTGGTTTTCAAAAAATCGAATCAAAAAATACCGTCTAGTGTAGACTGTAGTTTGCAGGAGTAGTTGTCGCTATTTTTCTAAAGAGGTCGATAGTAGTCAAGAGGAACACTGATAAAGGGAGTCGCAATCGCAAATAAGCAGTACTAAGGAACAAGGTTGAAAATATAATGAAGAGCCGACCTGCAGGTGAAGAAGTATGATCTTCTTTGTCATTTTGGAAGGAGTTCACTGGACACCAAAGCTCAGATGAACTGTCTACTTGGAGCACGCAGGGAAGATCAGGCAGATGCCGGCTCTGACCTCATACTCTTTTGCCACGCTAGGAGCTGCTCCAACCGATTTTCGGAACACCAAAAAATCGATTAAGTAGTTACGTCGTGTGCGAGGATAGATTCAGACTCATTTGAATTCACCTTCAATATTCGCAACATACTATTGGGTCTGTTCGTTGTTTTATCATTTCCCGCCTGGTCATGCGCTGTTCTTGGAAGGTTGCGCTGCTTGTGTATCCGCTCGCGGGACCGGGACGCCATCGTTGTTCTGAATAATTTGATGCGATACTCTTGACATACATCTGACATTACTTTAGGTGTCAACGAGGACATCTAGCGGAAACCGTCTGTAAAAACTTGCTGAACGACACGGCCTTAATGACTAACACTAAGGCAAAAACATGTTTTCATTCTCTACTTTCTTCGTTTTCCAATCGAGACAATCACAATTCAGGAATACTCCCCCATACTCTTATGTTGCCTAACCCTCAGCGTAGGTTCATTTTTATGTTATTGTCGTTCTTCCTTTCTTCATCGAGGAATAACAGAAGATTAAAAAAATCGCTATTGGATTTCTCGATGTGATTTGTTAACACAGCCTGTAGTAGTTCGAGCACTGGCACTCTTCATTTCAAAATCTAAGTGACGACCATGTAGTTTTCTATTGTTCATTTATGAGTGGTTTTCTCCCAAACGAGGTATCTACTTAGCTGCTTGGCATTTCTCGCATATGAGTCTATCTCTCGATCTTGATGTGGACGTTTTCCCAACACAAGCGCCGCTAGTACAACAGTGATACTTACAACCTGCCAATACTCGTCTCGATCTCTGCAAACTTATCTGACGCAATCCCGATTTCGTTCAAATTCCTCTCACTGGGCATCCCTGGGCAAGTCCTGAGTCGTGCACGATCTTCGGGGGATCTGGCTTTTGAGGGACGATGGCATTGCAAATTTAGAATTACTAGATAGATGTAACGAGATGAGCTGAATTACAAACGTGCTCTTGATGCCAGTTGTAACAGCGACACCTACAAGCCAACCCACATTGGGAATACCTCCACAACAATCTCGCTAACACCGCAGCAGCCGCACTCATTGCCCCACCACAATTGTACAGCAGACAACCGTTGACACCACCAGGTATGTTGGTCAGTATTTCGAGGATTGCTGTCCTATCTTCGTAAAAATTTCGCGCTGCTCGCGCAAGCGAAAATAGACCAACGTCCTTGCAATCCAAAAGGAAAACGCAACCGGTTGTTCCAAAGTCCCTCATGCGTTGCATCTTTCGCAATTGTAGAAATGTGAGGCGAGCGCAAACTGAAGCACGCGGGCATGGCTGCCCGACGGGATATGACCGATCGTTAGTACTGGCAGTTGATGATGGCCGCGCTTTCCTGTTGGTGCGACATTATTAGCGAGCCCATTCGGCAAGAAGGAAGAGGAACGGAAGATAGTGATAGCGGTTTGCGTCTGTGTCTTTCAATCTGTAGTCGCTCCTAGCAAAATGTAAGAACAGCCACTCTTTTACCATCCAACACTTTCGAGCATCGGAGCGAGTCTCGCTATTTCCACAGTCCCGCTTCGAGTCTGAAAAACTTTTGAACTCATCCAGTCCAATTTGATACTAAATGCGTCGAAGTGTGTGACCGCTGGGAAGGTTACAACCTAGATTCAGGGAAAAAGGATGATAAGAGGAACAGCACAAGGACCTTACACTTGTGAAAAACATTATCGACTATAAGAACTTTGCATCAGAACAGCTGTCTACTGCTTTTCAACAGTACATTGTTCCCCATCCCTCGCTCCAGCGAAATAGAACAGTCCGGATATGATATGATTGTCTGCGTTCCTTTCGATGCCATATACCTCCGCTGTGGCGCAGAGAAGGCCATCGCAGCCGACACATTTGCGCTACAAGATGCCGCAAGAAGAGACGAACTTAGCATCGCCTCTGATGGTGCACCAACTAATGGAGGACTCTCCTCGAAATCGAAGGACATGAAAAGGGGACAGGGTGGGTAAGATGGAGGATGAGCATTTTTTCTAGTTAAAGGAGCAGCATTCATTATGACCATGACGATCTCAACATCATAAAATCCAAATCGATTTTGTAGGCTTCCGCTTTCTTCTTCAATCGTCTGAAAGGCCGTGCTGGGGATCGCTGTGGCGTTCTATTGAGACCCAAAGCTTCAAGATCCTCCTCCCCTTTCTTGGAAACTACAGATTTTTCAGGTGTGTCGTCTTTCCTCTCCCGATGCGAATAGGTCCCACCAATCATCGTCCGCTGGATGGTCTGCGTTCCTGCAGATATCAACAATGCACGCTCCGGACTGTTCGCAAAGCCGATACGCTGGTGGGTTGAGAAAAGAACAAAGAAAGTGAAGTTGCTTGATAGAAAATAGTTTTTGGAACCATCATTGATCTTCTTCATCAAGCTGTACCCATATAATCAAAAATCAAAAATATCGGATACTCGTTGGAGTTTCATAATACCGCCCTTGCGCTAATTTCCGTACAGGCATGCTCGTCGTCCTGCGCATCGCCTGACACCCCGCACTGTCCGAGGTCACACATAGGCGCCAATGTCCTCCACATATCAACATGTAGCCACACAATCGCACTCGCCATCCGGTCCAAAGCTTTCTTACTGTCGAATCCAGCAAACCGTAGGAATTGAAAACAAGCAAAGTCAGCACCGTTAAAGAAGTCGCAACAGAAGTGAACTATCATCTTGTCAACTCGTGCTTCTCCCGTAGTCACAGCAACTGGAGGTGGAGTAGAAGGATATACCATTTTGCCGGCATCACCAGTTATCGCGTCTGCCGTCGGTGCAGTTGCAATAGAGGTAGATGCAGAGGAAGCCGTCATCTTGTTGTTGAGTTTTTCCATTATCGCCATCCTGAGATCGCCGCGTGCGATCTGTCGTGTAAACTCCGTCAGTTTAAAGTGGTTGTTGTCTTTCTCTAATACTGGCAGGATGTCGAGTTCTAGCTGCTCCGTGTTCAGAAAACTTGCCTCGAAGTTTCGAAACTCCGACTGGCTCACGAAAGCAGTGCAATAACTATGACTAGAATGTGAATAAGTATGTGAGCCTGGCTGCAAACAGGAAGCGTCCCCCGCTTCATCAGCATCGATGTCCATTCCACGCACCACTCCTAGCGGAAGGCTACTCGTCTCACTATTGCAGTCCGTATCTGCGTTCCGACGAATCGTTGGTGAGAACGCAAACGGGAGTGATGAATGTGCAGCGAGGTAATTGGTGCTGACCTACTTCGAGAGCGGAACAGCATGATTTGTGTGAAGAATGGATCTGTGATATTTACGTAAGTAGTTAAGTAGACACTGACTGGAACTTGGCCCGATCGCGTTATGAGGTGTTGAAGAATGCGAGATCTTTTACTTTTTCACAAACCATACATACATGACACGGTCCGAAAGGCCCACATTGCTCTGGTACGCCTAATCTCGTATTGCTCGTCTCGTTAGGCGATGTGCGATCAAGCGCTCCTTTTGCGTCACCGTCTACAGAAGCGCCGCCAACCTGAACTGCGTCAGCAGCCGTTCCCGATTTCTGGTCATCCTCTTGCGCGTCGACTACTACCACTGGTCCACCCTGTTTCGGACTTTCCGCACCTAGCATCTTACTCCCCTCCTTCTTCTTACTTGCTGACAGCAGCATCCTGCGTACGCGCGAAGCAGACGCTGAAAGTCGCCCTTGCGAGACCGCAGACGCTTTCTTCGACGACGCCAAAACTCCGGATGTAGCAGCTACTACGGTGCTCTTCAGAGACTCCGCACCTGGCGCAGCAGCGCTGTCCAAGAAAGTCAAAAGTGTCGTTGGTGGGTCCCCGAGGGGTAAGAGAGGCAAAGGCTCGTCGGGGTCCATCGTAGAAAGGCCGCCGCGGGCATCGTCGGAGACGCCACAACACTTTTTTGAAGTGCCCTTTCTCGCCGAGAAAATCATGGCTTCTTTCATGCTTGCTATGAGATCGATTTTTCTTCACAGAGTCCAATCGTCCGATTAGACTAAGAATATTTCTTTCAACCAAAAACCCTTCCTCGATCGATTCTTCAAGATCAAAATCTGCAGAGCTGACCCTGACAATCTTTCAGTCTCTCTAAGCAGTTGCCCGTTTCTCATATGCCAATTTGCTATATTCCTCACATGATGTCACATTTCTTAGAGCTCATCGTGCTCCTCACACTTGTTGGGAAAGCCAAAGGATGCTGCGTTCCAGCAGTTTTTCAACACGTAGTGCTCAGACGGATGAGACACCGGGCTGAAAATGCATTTTTCCTTTCCTCATTTTACACCTGGACAGAGCATGATATCTGTGCAGCAAGTGCAAGCAAAAATGATGATGAGAGAAGAACAAGGAATCATTCTGATTGCATTGTAGAGGTGACCTGCATATCGTTCGTCGCTAGCACTCAGCATTCTTGGAATTAAAAAGAAGGAAGACGAAATATGAGATCGAAGAACCAATTACACGAAGCTCATCATTAAATATATGACCTGCTTGCGCGGCAGCATCTCTATCGTACGTACTTCTACTCAGGAAAAAATCAATCCTCGACATGCCTGCTTGTTGTTTTCTGGAGAATCCAAGAAACGGTCTTTGCCCTGCTATGGCATCGAGTTGAAGTATTCAGATGACACCTACAAGAACAATATTTATATTTCAAGGTTTCCGTCACTGCGCATGGATGGATACATCAAGAAAAAAACTAGACTTATGTAACACAATACAAAGTTTTTCTACTGAATTCGTCAAATGGGTGTACAGTATGACGGTGATAGGGCAATCATGTACAACAACGAGTAGATCACGCGGAGAGAGAAAGTGGGGGTCTGCAGAGGAAGTATTAATTTAAAAAGAACAAGATCGAGTGCAAGGAAAAGAAATGACACACTGTCTTGCTTCTTCAATCATCTTTGCACGAAAGAAATTGCAACGATTTGCGGGTTCAACAAAAAAAGTTCTGAGTAGCTGAAGCCTGACTAGGCATTGCTGTCCTCCTAAACTCACGGAAGCTCTGTCTGCTGAAAATCTCACTTGACAATAGCAGGCCATGGCGTCTTTGGAGGACATCCTGATTGATTCAAAATCAATGGTAGACTCATAAGTAGAAGGATATCCTTCAATAAGGCACCGGCACAAAAAGCGTTGCACTAACGAATTTAGCGAATCAAAGTGGGTACTTCTAGCCCCCGATTTCCTCAAGAGGCGCACTTTCATTCTGACTTGTTCAATCACATCTAAAAATTTGAAATTTCGTTACTTTGATCTAGTGACATAAGCAAAGAGACGCACCAGCAAGGCATGAATGTCTTTGTTGTCACCCCTGCCTCTCCCATGCACGCTGCAATCATTCCTAGAGTTCAGCTAACAAGCAGAGGGAAAAAAGAGTTCAATGACATGCAAAGCATCTTCTGTGGTGATTACCACCTAGGAATCGGTATTTTGATCCGGTTTTAGCCACGTGCGCTTTTCTCGAAATCGGGACTAGACTTTCAGCAGGATCAAGAACGATAGTTCGCCTCCTTGGTGGAAAAGTGGCTCCCTTCGCCTGCTGCAGACGTTGAAACAAACTATTTCTCTCAGCGCCTGTGCGTCCACCAGCTTTTCTTCCTACTTTGTTTCAACGATGAATCGTACTCGAGAGTGCTGAACTGCTGACGACAAGAAACCGGATGGAAGGACTGCTGCTGAACCTAATTGAGGGCCCGCTTTTTGCCGAACAAGATCGCCACAACCGTGGTAAGAATGAGACCCAGCATAGATGTGCCAATTACGGACCACGTAGTGACGCAGGCTATGTAGACCGTCCAAAATAGCAGAGGCGCGGATTTGTAGGCCGTCGATTTCGACACGATCATCATGCCGTAGCTCAACCACGCTGCAGGTTGCAAATTGGAGATGAAATCCAACTCAATCAATGTGTGTATACACGAGAAGAAAATGATCTCATACATTCCTTCGTTGTACTTAGATAATGAGCATGCATCGTACTAGATGACCACTTTCATTGATGCGTAATGAACAAAAGATAGGAAGGTACCTGATGAAACCACGGTTGCGATGCTTTCGACGATAAAAGCTTGGCGGAAACCAACTTTCTCCGCCACGTTTGAAATGAGAAAAGAAGTTGGTAGTCCTAATGTCAGCGCACCAGCAAGCCACTTTCTCAGGGGCTGGTCAATCGGCAAATACATACTCTCAAGCAATATGCCTCCCATTATTCTGTAGTATGGGTACCGATAATGACCATTGCTCACGATTGAAACGAGGTCAAAGCATCGATAGTAGAAGAATAAATCTTAATACTAGAACTAGTACTACAGCCTTGCAAATCATTGTAAGTGGTGTTATGTTCTGATGAAGATTAAAAACATTAGAAAATGTTTTCAAAACATTGGGTGAACTAGGATGTTCTCAAAATATCAACATAGAAATAGCGAATCAAATAATTTCAATGAATGCATGGTACATGTCTATTGCGGTTAGTGCTCGCAGGGCTGTCGGAACGCAATTTGATATTCCGCTTACTGGTTCTTCGTCATCCTTTATTTTCGTTTTTCTTCGTCTCCCAAAGCAGCAAAAATAACGAGCTGTCAGCGGCTGCAAGGGTATTGTCAAATCAATGTAGATGCATGAGAACTCAATAGATAGTCTCAGATGCTGGACATGACTTATTTCCTTCCCGAAAATTGTTCTCAGGGTTGTTCTTGGAATTAGCTTGTTGTATTCTTGATGCATCAAGTTTCAGAGACAGGACTATCAATCCGACATCTACAAGGTTCTCGGCGCTATCTATTTTATAAATATAATCTTCATCGTCGTTTTCATCAATTCATAATCTTAATCCTGCTAATGATCCTAAGTAATCGTGGTAAGTGAAGATAAAGAAAATTATATAGTACCGCTTCTTCATCTCCGTCTCCAGTGGAGTCGCCGATGAATCCTCCGACGAGGGGCAACTGGGAGAGATCGAACCCGCTACGCTCTAGGAGTAAAGTTCCGACTCCTGCTATGACAATAGGCTTCGCCGCGTTTAACGCAGTGATTTCAAAAACCACCATCTTTGAGAGCAGTCTCGGAAAACGGTGGGAGGCCGCTGGAGCAGTAGGACGATCGTGGAAGTGGATGCGACTGTGGGTAGATGAGTTAGTAAACACTTCTACAGTGTGCGTGGATCGACCAAGATCGTTCCGTGGATCTCAACATGATCACGTTTTTTTTCGCATGGCGGGTTTGCAAACTCAGAAACTGAATAATGACAACTCAAGCTGCGCGCAATCGACCAAAAACAGGAACGAAGGTGTCCAAGTGAAAGACTACTGGATTGGAAGAAAAGAGGATGCTGAGATTCCTCCACGCTGGCGTTGCTGGTGTGATGTGTGGAACGGATCCGGATGAAGAACGGAAATCCAAATTCGCTATGATGATGCTGACCACGCACTCAGCACTACTCAGTGTCGACACAGAACATGAGGGAAGCAGCACGACGCCCCTAATTCTGAGACATTCTTTTTCGTATCATGGACGGAGAAAAAGGAAACAAGACTAAAAAGTTGACATCAGAGCACTGAAAAAAATGAAAATCTATACTGTGCTATACGGGAAGAAGGCATAAATCGATGCTTAATCACCCGATCACCTAGCAGTCCCGCTCCGAAAATCGGATTTCTATCGCCCACCTAACGAGGGATGAAAGAAGGATCAACTAATCACAACTACATTTGTCAATCTTACTACTGATGAACGATATCACGAGGATAATACACGCTATAACATAGTAATCCTGACGTTCAACATACTGTATCGGGAGCCTGGCGCTAACAATCAAATAAACCCACCATGCTTCATCTCTCACCATTGATGATGTCATCGAGAAGAAACGAGCAACCGAGGGAGCGATATTTTGCGACATGCACACGACACAATGAATATCAGTTCTTGCTGCACTCGGCGAAAAACTTCTTCACACCCACAATATATTCATTCATGGGCATGGACTGCTACGTTCTTCAAGTTTCTTTCTCCATCTCCTGAGTCCGGCATCAACAAAATGAGCTCATGGTCATGAACCTTCGTTCTGGTAGGATACGAAAATAATAAACGGCCGAAGGGTTGAGCACCACAAGTTCTGAGCTAGCTACTGTTTGCGTTTGAGTGTCTTCGGAGACAGACGAGGAAGAGCGATGCACTTTCATCGCAAATGGATAGTCATCTACCTCGCGTTTGCCAAGAAGTCAGCTATTTCATTTCATGATATCCGATCTTCACAGACACGAGTGCCTGTTGCAATTTAAAGCACTGGCGGCGGTGAGCGCAGACGCCAAAAGATGAGGTAGATTTTCAATCAGGAAGACGCCAAAATGTGACGTAGATTTTCAATCAGGAAGACGCTAACATGTGATGTAGATTTTCAATCAGGAAGACGCTAACATGTGATGAACATTTTCAATCGAGAAGGCGCCAACAGTTGGGGCGCCAACATGTGACGTCGAGGGCACCGTCTTCGAGCAAGAAAACAGCAAAAGGAAAATTTTTATTCAAGTATCCCAGCAATCGCACCCGTGTCATTTCCAAGTTATATTCCCAAGGCCTCCCCACGACCATCTCATTTCCAGGCACAAGTCAAAACAAGCCACTCCGTAAATAGAAGTGTGCCCCCTCCTCCACCACAAGTGCTAGACCCTTAACATGACCAAGACAAGCAAATATTGTCGAGGAAGGACCTTTATGAGCACGTCAAGCCACCATATACTATTTAGTATAGGAGTACCCTTTGTTATCCCCGGGTAATAACCTCTACAAGCAAGACAAACCCACCAGTAGCAGCACCCCTCCTCACCCTCGAGTAGAGGTAGGACCTTCTGATCAACAAAGTAAGCCGGAGGTCTTCAACTGGTTACAATCCAGAAGGAATACCCCGTTACGTCTCGTACAGCTTCAAAAAGTCGTAGATTCGCAACTCCTCCAAAATTAGAAGTTTTCAAAGAAAAATTAGCCTCCTTCCCACTTCCAGCCTTCACGATGCTTCTGAGCGAATGATAGCTAGAAGACAAGTCGGCAGATAGACAAATCAGTTGTAGCCAGGCATCAAATACGAAGCAGTTACACAAATAGGGAGCTGTAGATAAATACTAGGTGGTTAGACAAGTCGGTAAATAGACTGGATGGAGGGAGAAACCTAAGGTGAGGGAAAACTCAAAACCGATTGCTTTATACTATGTAGTATAAGTTTATCAGAAGTACCACTACTAATTAGATAGATAGTTACCTAGATGGATGAATTTCTTCACTGGGAAGCCTTAACAACAGTTTCGCACTCCACCTAGTAGGATGTCCGTCCATTGTCGGAGGAAGATAGGCTTCGGAAAGGGCTTCGCTGTGCACTTCATACTCCTTCTCCCAGTCCTCATCTTCGTCGCTGGTGTCCTCTACTTGGCCTGTATCATTAGAGGTTGAAGCAATTCACTTCATTTCAACAGCACTGTAATCTGGTCAACCTTACAGAATAATCACAAAACCTATTGCACGATAGAGATAAAAAAGAAGGCCTGCATCTTTAGAGCTCACGCCACGCGTGTGCCTCTGATCTGTGCCTCTGATACGCTTCAATCCTTAATATCAGACCGCAGATGCTGCTGCATGGTGCGCCGCAGCCATGAGGCGACATAAAACGAACTAGATCTTAGTGGTGGATGCGACGAAACCTTATGTAGAGGTGGAGCAATATTCTCGGACTTGGTAAGCTAGTATAAAGACGAAGGTTCTTAACATTGACGAAACCCTACAGTTGTGCGACAAACCAAGTAGACCAAATAAGAGTGTCAACCACTACGCACCTATATCATAGCGCAGCCAACTGCAAGAAAGCGGCCAAGAAGGCACTTGGAAATCCTGACAGGATAAAAATATTGCTGTTACCAGAATGAAGGAGATACAAAATGTATTCACAGTCATGCGTGAAGGAGAAGAGGTAGCATTAATACATTGTCTATTCGCATGTCTTGTACTGTTAGAATACAGAAGAAGCAAAACTCTTTCACATATCTAGTAGTCGGAGTCTGTCATAACAAAATGAGTAGAACGGAGGTCGCAAGGAGAGCGAGACAAGCTCGCACCGCTCGATGATTGACAATTTCAGAAGATAGAAACAGAGGAACAAAGCCGTGGCCGCTCAAGCTCAATATTAGAAGTAGATGATGCTACCTTTCTGTCCAATACATAGCAAAAGGGAAGTCTTGTTTGAAAATCAACCATTCTAGTTTGAAGGTTAGGTTAGGTTGGGGCCTACCATCCGATGTGGCAGACTTTAACGGCTGCTGAAGAGCCTAGTTTGAAAATGGAACTATCACAAAATGCATGAAAATCAAGCTAGCAGGCAAGATCGACTGTAGAGCATCACGCTGAGGCGAGTTTACCTCGGCCTGTGCATAATGGCTATGAAAATTCTAGTCCTTGGCAGTAAGTCGTATAACGAGTATTCCTCTTTATAAAATCTTCAATCGTAAGTAAGACGAGCGCGCTCGCACTGAGTCTGCATCCGTGTCGCTCTCGATAAGATTGTCAGCATCTGAAGGAGCCCCTCCGAAGCCGTGATTTTCCAAGAGCTATGAAAGAAAATCAAGAGTCTTGAAACTGCACTAGTAGAGCTCCTCATGAGATTCAAAGACCAACAAGGTGATATTCAAAGAGTACGAAGGTCTAGAATCTTAAGTCACTTGGGCCCATGCTCCCGGGTAATCTAGGAGTATTTGATTAGCTTCAGTCTCTTGAGTCCACACTAAGTGATACGCAATACTCGAGCACTCTGAGTCAGCACTTGATTACCCACTGAGGTAACTGTAGAGAATCTTGATTGCGTACCTGATTGCTGAGTCTGAGTGCTTTTTCATAATAAAGGCACCACTTTCACGAAAAGCCATCCACTGAGAAAGAACTGCATGCACGCCACGGCAAAAAATAAGAGTACCCCATGGATTTTACTGATTTCATCCGAAGCAACTGCTCCCTTACCTGGACTGTACCAGCAGGCAAAAACCTACATGAGTACTTCCTGACACACCGGTAAAAAATGTTGACTCTAAAGTAACTATCTAGTACTTAGATTCCTTTTTAAAAATATCACTCCCTCATAAAAGTATCATTGCTTGGACGACGATTGGTAGCAGCTTCTCCACGCCTCCCGATTCCTGCTGTAGACACGAGTACACGTTCCATTAGATGCAGACACGAGTACACATTACATTAGATCACATGCACATACTTGTGCTCAGTTGCATCCTACCATCCAATTTTTTCTAGACCTCCAACAACCGGGAAGATTCGTTTCCGGCTACTGAAAAACTCCTACTGGAGATGGAGGTGGCGTCAGCTCCTAGGTAAATGGACAGAAAAGTAGAGGCTTTTTCCCTACACGCTACCGAAAGTCGCTACTCCTGGCGGCTGCAATTGCTACTGCACATCTATACATGTCATAATTGTAGAAGAGGTTGTACTTGTCCGTCTTGAATGAAAGGCTTGAGGCGGGTACGGGAGATTGATGCTGTGCGTGTTTCTTGTACTTCCGCACTCAATAAGACGAGCCTGATGTCTCATTCAGGATAGGATAGGATAGGAAGTCATTCGCTTCCCCAATAAGGATAGAAGGCTACTCAGCTGCTTATACCTCATTCTATTATTTCACGTATCTTCAAGATGAAGTAGAAGCATTGACTATACTACTCATTCGTACCTTATACTTCATGTAAAAGAGAAGACAAGCCAACGGCGTCATCCATGGAACAGTCGGGCTCCATAGTAGTGCCTGGAAAAATATTACCAGAGACCACGCATACCTATTTTTAACAGTTTGAGAAATATTACAAGACACTGATTGATAGTTGAGATAGTTGCACCGGAGACAGCATGGAAATAGTTGAAATATTTAGAATGAAAACCAGAAGACACCATACATATTTGAGCATAGTACCGATTCATTTGTCAATACCGGTACCCATATTTCCAATCGACAGCCTAGAAAATCACAACAAAAAAACAACAAGAGCTATCTGATGAGTACTAACAACCCCAATCAAAAGCTCAGAAAATCAGAAAAAAACAACTACTCTCCAAGTACCAATAACCCCAATCAAAAGCCCATGGTGTGTTGGCGACATCCTTCTCCATTTCCGTGACTGCAACAAAAGTGTTCATGAATAGCCGATAAGCCGCTTGCGATACCTGCGTCAGCTGTGTGGCGGTCGTCAAAAACGTCGCGTTGATCACGTACCGAGAAAATGAAAAACTTGGATTTTCGATAATTGGGATCATGGTCGCTATATCGGTATGCAACGTTATGTGATCGTGACGGGAGCACGCAAAATTGGATGAAAATAATGGTGACGGTATGCAAAATTGGGTAAAAATAGTGACGGTGTGCAACCTTGGGTGTTCATACTATGCCCGTAACGCAATCTGCATGATGGAAATAGGATCTATCACGATGAACTCTACAGCAGTGAAGCTATAACGTCAAGGCTTTCGTGCTCTACAGTAGGCATTACGAGGCGTGAGTTTTGCACCCAGTTTCTGTCCGGTTGTCGTTTTTGCCGTACTTATTTAGATACTGTCCCCCTCTTACTTCACGTTGGCTTTAAGAGTATGCAGTCTTTGTTGTAAGCAGAGGCTAACCCAAGAATATCCGAACCAACGAAGACTTTTAGTCTCTTGGTTCATCTTTCATAACAAAGCAAAAACTCCGCTGATCGAAAAAGCAATATTCTCAGAGACGCGGATCCAAAAAGTCGCTGGCCAGGAATCCAGGACGACGCCCGAGGAGCTTCCCTTCTTCGCCGGATCTGCAAAGGGGTTGAAGATTGTCGTCGTAAAGTAGTTACTTCGTAATACTACTAGTGCATTACCATTATACTTATTCATTAATTTAGAGCTTTTCGCTCCTCTTCAATCATGAGGTAAAGGTGTTCGCTTGCTATTCTCATTATACAAGAGCATTTTCATGGAAGCAACAAAGACGCTTTTTTCTCTGTCTGCAGTAAAAGCGAACTTCATAGTACCAGATGTATTTCCTGCGCCAGGCGCATTTCCTGCAAAGGATGTCAACTCAGCTGAGATTGTTACTCCCGACGGAAATTTTGCAGGCATCGCACTAGGTCCCACTCGTTAAAGCAGGTCGAAACATTTGATTTTTGCTTTTCTTCCGTCCGCCTCCATATGTAATTCTCTAACATCGTAGGCTAAGGAAGATTCAGAATCCTCATACTTCACGTTTACGCTTGTAAAAGGGATGTGACGAGTTTGCAAAAAAATGAGGTATTTCACGGCCTTAAGCCTTTGCCCCACCGCCGTCCTGATCGCCGAGTGCGAAGGCCAATAGTGTCTGCAGACTCGTCAAACCAATCAGGGGAAAAGTTAGAACTTGAAAATTCGCAATCACCTTATCGTGATCGCCTGAGCCAACAAGAACAACTCGAGGGAGTAGACTTCTAGTCAATTTTTAGTCCAGCACAGTCCGAGTTCTGAAATCGATTCATCTACAAGCTAGTATCATAAAGAACCTATAATACTAGAAACCATTGCTCACAACATAAGAGCAATACTGAATTCAGCAATGTCGTGACCAGGTTTAGCTTCAAGCATGTGACATCGTAGTCCGAGCGCAGCTCCCCACGCTGAGCACGAGCTATCAAAGAAATCAAAAACGGCACGAGAACCGTATTGATCCCTAGGAGTATCACCACAGGAAGGTACTCGGTCACAGTCGTCCAAAAGAGAGCAAAACTTAGAAGAGACCAAAACTAAATGTGGAAGATAAGTATTTAGGCTTTTCCTGTCGACAACCTACTCCAAGTCTGAAAATGTATGGGATTTCTGGGTAAACTGAGCTGATATCCACCTCGCCTTGGATAAAGCTACATAGAGTGTCCACCCTACAGGGTGATGACTTCAGTTTCAAGATATAGCTTGCCTCGACGTCTAAGAAGGTTACAGTTTCGAAGCACAAACAAGGGCGCTCTATGATTCAGGAGCGATGTCCTCTACGATAGAAGACAAAGATGAACGATAGGTTTGGAAAAGTACAAGTAGAGTATTTATTACAGCATGAACCTCCACCATAAGTCATTGATGAAATACGGATTCGACGATCCTCCTTGATTGAAACAATGAAGGGCTATACAAATTTCCTGGATCTGTCGCGTCCTGGTCTGCTGCGCTTTCCCTTGAATTCAAGGGGCGCCACCGCAGGTCAACAGACATCGCGGGATCCAGGTAATTTCATGGTAACCCTTAATTGAAATAAGGCTCCAAGTACTTCGCCAACCTCGTTTCCTTTTCCTTGACGCATTCTCGGATGGATTCCACCACCTGATCCACGGCCTGCGAAATCACCACTGGCGTCACTAAGACAATCAGAAAGAGGAAGAGGCATTTAGAAAGAATCAGAAAACAGAATCAGAAACAGAATAAAGAGGCAGTAAGACAATGAGACTCTGATTGTCTTAGTGCCTGTCTATTCAGAATCAAAAACAGAAACCGGCATTCTTTGATCTCGAAAGTCACATCTTCTTCGACATGTTGTTAGTTTTCCCCTTTAAAAGGAAAAGGGATCGAAGACAGAGAAGATGCTTCTCAAGGTGAATTAGGGCAAGCCTTAAGGCACAGCACCAGAATGGTGCCAACAAGAGCCCGCCGCAACGCACTCACATGCATATTGCTCCATTTATTAGAAGTGATTGCTTGAATGCATCCTGGACTTGAAGAAAATCCTTCCGGATTTCATCTCGTCAGAAGCGTCACGACTTTATCTTTACAAGATAGAGTCCATAAAAAATAGATCACTCGGCGCAGGCGCTCGACAGCACTCCAGACTGATCGCAGCGAAAGGTGGCCGCCCAAAAGAAAAGACACGACTCCTAAGCAACAGCTTCGCATCTTTGGAACTCCGAAAAGTGACGAAAGCGGTCCCGCTAAGTTCCCCTGGCGCCGCTAGGCAATCTCGCAACGTTAGACCAGGAGTCATTTTTGACGATCTTGTTTTCTCCTTCTTGTCCTTTGCTTTTTTCAGGAATAATCAACCAAGCAACACTACTTATACACTCCAAGCAGGAGCAAAAGGTCAACACTACCATACGCGAAAGCTTATCAACGATAAGAATACTACAGGTAGCACACCAGCACTATACTACGCGGAGACTTACTTGTCAGCACTCTCTCTACCACAGCAACGCTACCAGAACAATGATCGAGCAGTGAGTATACTATGCGGAGCCTTTCTTATCAGCGTTACTTCGACTAAATCAACCCCACGTCATCTACTAAAACCACGCCACCTTTGCGTACTGTAAAACAACGATCTTCCATAACAGCTGCTCAGCTACTCGGTAAAGCGCGCCATGTTTATGGGCTACTCGAAGACGAAGGACCAGCTTCCGGAGCCACAAGAATGTCAAAAATTCCTTCATCCCGACAAAAAATTGTCGAATGCTCTCCGTAATGCAATTGTGGCCTACATCACCACTAGGCTCGCGCATCGTCGCCGTTTTTAGATCGAGAGAGAGGAAGGGGGAAAGGGATGGACAAATAGGGAGAGAGGGCTAGAACATCTGCAACCTAACCAAAGCTGGTCTCGTCTCCTCAGAAGTTCCATTGTGTCCTATTCTTCAGCTTTCCTCATATTTGGATATTCCTCGAGGACACTCTCTTTACTTTGTGTTGTACCACTACCACTACTTACATCAACTTCGAGTTAGTAAAAGCATTATCTACTTACTAGAACATGTGTTGCACTATCACTAGTCAGCGTCATTATTTACGTCCAGTAGCGCTAGCGGCTAAGCCATGCATAATATGAGTTTTTCGACGTCTGTAAGTCTGGATTCGAAATGGGCTAAACTCGTGCAGGCATCCGCGTAATCGCGTTGTAACTGGAGCAACTCGTCGCAACGTGGAACAACATGGACGCCTAACACTGTTATTAGACAAGGTAGCACAAGTGGTTCATCATCGTCGTGGCCTTCTCCTGAATGAATTTCTTACTATCTCCGAATCCTCCTAGCACCATTGATTCAAGTTTCTACTGAGAGAAACTCGAAGGAGATTCACAGCACAACTCACTTATGCAAATACAGCATCTCTATGAGCTCAGTTATACAAGTCTCTATCTCTATCCCATACCAGGCAGAGAGAAGTATAGTACTGCACTATCCTTAACCTTGGAAAGAAGTCCACTGGATTTTTCGATTCGACGACTCCCACATTCCTCGTCCCAGGACCTACTTGCTCAAACGAAGTCCTATTAACTTGTGCACTCCGTGGCTGTCCTCCCTGCAGTTGTCCTGCATCTGTTAGAGAAGGTACCGCCTTAAAAACCCAAGTCCTCACGCAAAGTATTACTGCGAGGATGAAGATGCAATAAAATGCTAAATGCTCACGAAAGGATCACGAAGAAGTACTTCTGACATGTTGTTGCCCCCATGCTCTCGCGTCATGCCCGCAGCCACATGATTCTTTGCGCCTTCTCCGAGCCATCTCAAGCTGAAAAAAAGAACGACAGGGATGGCGTTGTTGCGATACCCACATCCTTTTCCTGTACTTAAAAAAGCGGAGAGGACTAGGATCATGTTGAAAATAGTCTCTTGATGGTACCCTTTGAAGCCTCTGAGTGGTAGCCTCTGCAAGTAGTCTCTTAATGGTTAAATCATGGAGAGAATCCTCTCTGAGATGCGTCTCTTGCTTGCCTTAATCCTGACATCTGCTGCTGTCCTCCTAGTCCGCCTTGCATTGCCTCGTGGTCACCAAGATTAGAGTCAGCTTTCACCCATCTCGACCCCTTCTGTTCCCATAAAAAGAGTACAATGGAAGCAAAAGGGTATCGAGATGCTGAGAGGGTTGGCTCAAAGCTGACCTTAACACGAGTCTGCCAATGCGTCGCGCTGGAGGTGGATTTCAATACACTTTGGACAAGCGGACTTTCGCTAGCGACCTCTGACAATCGTAAAGGCCTTCTCCCATTCGCTCGACGCATGAGCTGTTAGACTTTGATGTGTAGCCACTGCAGTGATTCATTGGCCACTTCTTCGACGAAGTGCCTCTTAAGTGCCAAGGACTTACGTTTTGCACGGATTCTCTTTCTTTGAAGTACCTTTTTGTGGGTCTCTGTACTCTTTCATCCACAAGCGCCTCTTACCGTGCGCGTCCCTTCTCTATTGATTCTTTCATATCTAGTAAAGTTGCCACATCTTCTGTGCCTGTGTCACCTATCTAAATTGAGAAACAAGACAAACCCTGCAACAAAGCCCTCAAGATTGCCTACAACACTCTCCACCTTATAAAGCAGTGCAAAATCCTTGACCAGTGTTCTTTTCCTGCGCTTGAACGCATAAAGTTGGTCGGTGAGTGAGAACATTGCCTACAATGAAAGCATAAAATTGATCCGTGAATGAGAAACCTGGACCTACCATGCGCGAAGGCTCTTCGTTACTTGAAGACGATGCCCCAAGATCTGCGTAGTCTCCTGAAAAAAGCATAGGAGCGTAATTGCTTTGTTCGTTTTCTTCTCCTTCTGGATCTTTAGACCGGCTGAAGGTAGACAGCAGTCCTGAAGCTGGGTGCTGGTCTTCTTCTGTTACATCATTAGAAGAGCCGACGAAAGTCCAGTCGTGCACTGTACAACTCGAAACAAGTCAAAGAAAGTCAAATTGAGTCTGATGATGACGTTGAACGAACTATAACTATCATATCCTGCTCGCTAGCCTCGAACAGTCGCATCCGTTCGATTTCAGTTTCGGCTAGTAGTGAGTCCGAACTACTCTGCGCCGCTTCTCGCCACTTGTACTTCCAGAAATGGTACCGCTCATGACTGCTTCGCGGCGCATTTTTGACTGGTATATGGTGTCCCACGGGCACTATGTTACTAAGCCGCTGGGGACGCTGGCTTGACGCTTCGAATTCTCCTGTGGCTGTCCCACTAACCTTTGTTCCGGCATTCTGCACTCGGGAACTAGGTGACGACTTCACCGATGCCGACGCCGGCGTTGTGAAAACGGCATGTGCAGCTTGTGGTCTGAGGCTACTGCTTCTTGTCTGATCCACTGGTGGACTTTCGTGAAAAACTTCTCTCGTGTCGTCCTCCACTTCTGTGAATGGGGTTCGGCTGTTCACTGACAGCCTCTGACTCAAGGTGGAGTAAGAACGCCTGCTCCTCGGTACTTCATATACACTGACTTCGTGGCGGAGTAAAAGTGCCTGGCCAGTCCCTCATATCATACACTCCACGGAGTACTAATCTAACTTCTGGACGTCTTGCCTATAACACACAGCTTACTTGTTCAACAGTTACAGTTCTTCATACGCACTTCTTATATCTAATTGGAACGAGACCCTCCCCTTCTCCACTTTTGATGTTGCCAATCACTTACATCTACAAAACGCCATTGCCATACATTCTGCACTGTCCTTCTTAGTCGCCTGAAGTTCTTCGTCTTCTAGAATAGGTGGACTTCTCTGTCTCTGCCGCGTTACCTCTCCTACCTCAGGAATCTGGTCCGGAGACGAGATGTGCCCAACAATCGATGGGCCACCGCAACCACCCCATGACAGTGTTACAGTGGGCGAGCCCAAAACTCCGCTTCCAGCACCAGGGGCGTTGATAGGTATAGGAGGCGAACCGACATTAGAAGAGCCCCGTGCTGTTGAAATGTCTATAGAGTAGGGCTCTATGCTGCTGAATGTCATATAGCTTTGTGTTGCTGAAGCATCTTAAAAGCGCCATCCTGCTTCTTCTTCGCTCTTCCAAGCCTTCAGAAGAATTGACTACTAGTTCCCTTAGGATGCGCCATCTGAAAGAAACTAGATCTTCCCAAAGCCAGCGCCTTAATCGCCATGCTTCCACCATCACAATGAGGGTGCGATTGAGAACCAGAAAGCGGTGGTGGTCCAGGCGAGGCCAGTCGTGTGTAACTGTTGTTGTTCATACCTAGAGCTGGAGCGTTGATGCTACTAGTTGCTGGTAGGTGTACAGGTGCGAGAACCAGAGGCGTAGTGCCACTTTCTCTCCTCAGAGAGATCGTAGGACTTTCCCCTGTTAAAAGCGGCAGCCTCCCAAGGCCTTCGTTTGAATTAGAGGGGACAAAATCAGTCGTCGTCGAGAGCAAAAAAGGGTACTCAATTAGTCCAAATTCTAAGGAAGACTTTTCGAGTTTGAGTTTCAGTTGTCGTTTGAATCCAAGAAATTTTGACTATGGTTAGTCTTAAGTTCCTCAGAATTGAGATCCATAAGTTCACCAAAATTGCTCCTCATTATTGTTGTACCTCGTTGCTTCTCCCGCTCCAAGAACCAGTCTGCTAAAGCATCGAGTAAGTCAGACTCTACACGCACGAAGTCCAATCTCGAAAGAGAGAAATTGGTCGTGCCAAGTTCCGCAAAGAAACTGCACTTAGAGAAGCTGTGGCAATCGGCAGTAGAATGCTAAAAGAATAGCCTTAGTGGACCACAACAGACTGTCAAGAACAATAATAATTTGTTGGAAGGGCTAAGCCTTTAGAGGTAAAAACTATAATAAGTCTCTGTTTAGAGATGAAAGTCAATAGTGTCAAGACTAGTTGTTGTAGGTGTTTTTTGAAGATGTGCAGTTGTGGTCGCATATAATTTTGTCGGAGCTCGTACTGTACGTTTCAAAATTGACTTCGTGCCTACCTACAAAAGCCGCACTCTCACGAGAAATTCTCGATTGCTACACGAAGAAAGCTTTGCCTCCTGCTTCAACTCTTTCCAACGCTTATCAATGCAGATAACATAATTTCGCTTATCATCAAATTAATAAGCGCCTCTTCAATTCAATACCGCTTATTCATTCCTTCTTTTTTTGGTGCGAGCTAGTTCCGTTAAAAGCCTGCCTGCATGTCAAATATATTTCATCCATTTCCTCCCGTCATCTTAATGACCAAGCCTGTCCCAACCCTTGGACGTTGGGGGACGCCTCTTAGCATGACCGTCTTCCGCGAACAATGTCTACCCCAACTGTACTGCAAAGGTACGATAATCGACCGCAAGTACCGACGGATCCAGACTGACTGGTTGTGTGCATCGGTATAGTAGAAGGGAGCTTGATGTTTTGCGTTGGTATGCTATGTAATGCTAATGACTGATGCAAATAAAAATCTAAGTGTAAGATAGCAATTCCCTCTAGTAGTTGTCACCTAGTACAGTTGTGATTGTCTCGTACTGCGAAGGAGAAATCGAAATGAAAATAAACCACGGCTGAAAAATCAGAAGTACCGAGACTGAGCAGCGTGATAACCCAAAGAACAGTATACGTGCGCCAGAACTTCGATTCTGAATCGATGTCCAAATCCATTGGTATCCTCGAAAGCCTGTCCATCAGTGAGTCGCCTTCGGTGCCAACGAAATCGGATGAATCCAAGGTGTTAGAGTTAGGTAATTATGTTCCAAGAATCAAGACCAAGACTCTAAAGAAAAGAAAAAAATCTGAAAGCACACACTGTCTGAGCGACGTATGGAAACAAAGAGCTCATACCTGCGCAGATCTGTGGATGTGCGCGTTTATCTTTTGCTCGTACCTCTACCAACCAAGTCCAGTCTTGACAGCATCACTCATCCTTATCCTGTCTCGACAGCATGAAGATCCATGCATCGATAAGAGTGAGTTACCAGCATCTATATATCTAATTCAAAAAGGCCTTAAGCAAAAGCAGAAAAAAGTTGACCAAAGAAAGAACGCCGAAAAGTTGCCACATGTGAGCTTGGAACCCGAGATAATTCCGCATCCCAACATGCACCAGTGCATCATCTGCGGTGTCTGCTCCGACTACATCCCACATTTCTGAGCGTGTGGATTTAGAAGAAGGCACGCCGCTTGATGTTGGTAAGAAAAAGAACTTTCTTCTGTACACGCTACTAAGTAAAAGTCTAGGCACATATCAGGATGGAATTAGGATAGCAGAGGACTGGACACTTTAGAAGCAAGGCACGCTAGTACATTATTTCAAAATAGGACCGGTCACTAGGTGGGTATAGACTAATCACGGTCGGTAACATTTAGGTAGACGCGTAGTACTGCCAACGATCTTGATTAAGACGCGGCACATACTACACCAAGCAACGCGATCAAGCCCTGCGCTCCTAGTAGGCAATATTAGCTCGCTGTATTGTCGTCGTAGTATGTGGCTGCACAAGCCTTAGTCGAGAGGGTTCTGCTAATAGTGTCCACCTCAATCATGTGTCACAAGAAGCTCTACAATCTATCATAGAAGTAGTATCATCTAGTGGAGTTTTGTTCCGCAGTCTGTACTGGTTTGTTAGCTTGAAAATATCCAAACTCACCCTTCACCATTTCTCGTTCGAATCCATGCCCTAACTCCGATTCCACCTCTTCTACTTCAGTGCCAAGCTTTACCTCTATCCAATATCCCTCTAAAACAACCTACCTCGACCTCGTCAACTACCTTTCATGTAGATCGAGTAAAAAACTGCCCATAACGATACTGCGATTCGAAAAAGCCAGCCGCTTACTCTCTGCACTGGTGCCGCTGGAGTCCTCTCCATCGTCTGCCATGCCTCCCTTTGAAAGTTCCACTTTAGTGCGTGGGCCTTGTCTTCATCTAGTGGCATGATCCACTGGAAAGCCTTGATGGTTTTTCAACAACATATCAAGCACGCGCACGAGATCTAGCTACTGATAACGGACTGCAACACGATCTATTCAATACTGAGAGTAGGCGAGGGCCTTGTCGTGTGGCGTGATGCGCTTTTTATACTCTACTTGAGACACTCCCGCCGTAACTCTCGGATAGGTTTCGCTTGCTGCATCCAGATCGCTTTTATAGGTCATTCGCTCCTCCTCTGTTAGCAAAGGAGCCGCTCGCCTTTCCTCTGTTCGCCTATGATCTTCTGACGTTCCCCTATTAGACCTAAGTCCATCTCGCCCAGCATCTCGGTTACTTTTTCCCTTCAAAGGAGCAGGATCGATCAGCATGTTAGTATTTTACAGCTTGTAAACTACTCCAACATAGGGCCAAGATACTAGGAAAGGTGGATTTTCTCAAGCCTTAGCCCTAAGATCCAATCCCTCCAGTCGAGGCTCACGCGACACACTCCGCTTACGATGTAACAGTAATTCGTTTACGGAAATCGAGTCACGTCCACCAAAGGACACGCCTCCAGTACGAGATATGAAAGAAAAACTTCAAGACAAATTCTAATGACACTCTTAGGACAAACTCTAAAGTTCGTAATCGAGAACTATTTTACTACAACTACTCAAATCTGACTCAAATGGTATTTCCTACATGTGCGATACGAAATATGAAACGAAAAATCTCAAAACAAATCCTAATGACAATCTTCCAGTACTTAAACGAAAATGATTTTTTTACTCAATCTAACTTCGTTCAAATGGTCTTTTCTACTAGTGCCTAAGAGTTGCGGTGCACTCTCGTTGTCCTGTTTTAAGGTGTGTACTAGATACTAGTGTGGCTCCTACTTTTCTACTAGCCACCTCCAGGATATAGTCCTAGTCCCCTGCTCACCTACTTGCACTTGCCTTCTCGTGCGTCTATGAGTACCCCTTTCCCATAAGTGGCGTCGCGCCCGATCGAGAGCTGAGCATCAAGTGATCCAGTTCTGGCGCATCCAAGCCGCGACTTCGTGGAGGACGTGAAGTATAAAAGTCTTCATCTTTGAAGCTTGGCCTCGTTTTCGTTTGTCTAGTCCCACGTGTACTTCTAAAGCTGCTTGAGAAAGCATGCTGGGTCGTCGGACGGCCCACAGAACTCGTCCCTGCATTCTTGAGATCTGGAGTCGCGTCCCATCGGTGACGTCGTGTTACGAGGAAAATAACGAAAGATTAGACAAGGTTCCAAGAGATGATGTCGCGTTACAAGGAAAATAGCTGAGGACAAGATAGGCGAGGGGATGGCGAAAAAGTACTAAGATCGATGGATCCCTTCTTGGAAATGTAATTGAAAAATAGTACACAGGTAGAAACTCACTGAACCTGAAGTCTTATTCAGTTAGCAGTGCACTACCTTCTAAAACAAAAACCCCTTTCAAGAACTGCGAAAGTGATGAAGTCGAGGAGTCAATATAAACAAGACCTCTCTAGTACTCAACAACTGTTTCATAAAAAGAAATCGCAAAAGTGATCAAGTCCAAAAACAGTGTCACAAGCACTCCCGTCCAATGTCCTCCACTAAATGGGGCGCCAGCTCCTGTGGCGTCTCCACTCCTACCGTCCGCCAGCTCTCTCATGGCTTCAAAGCTCACTGCCATCTCTGTTTCACCCTGCAGTAGAAGGCAGCTTAGTCAACTCGGAGACGGTATGTTCTTCATTTGCACCGCATCGAAAACCAACTCCAAAGCTCTATACCACCTTCGAGCTCCACGTCTGGAGGCACGACGTCCGCTTTCACCACGTTGCGTCACCCATATATCTCCTCCCGAGCAAGTCTTGCACTTGCATCACTTGTCTCGCACCGCAAGGTAATTAGCCGGCACCTACAACGCTTCCGCGAGTCGTATTCTGTGCTCGCTGTAGCTACTCGGCATACTATGAAGCTTGAAATTACCAAGCATGGTCCGCGAACAGTGCTTATCCTGGCGAACAGGGCTCGGCCTCCTGCCTCATTGTTAGTCGGCGTTGACCAAAGCCATGCACTGCTACAACTCGATAATTGACATGTTAGTTGGTATGAAGAACAAACTTGACTCAATATTTAGTTACCACCATTTGCGCAGTCCGCATTTTTCGAAAAGAAATTTACCATAAAGGGCAATACATTCTCATGGGAAAAAACACTTCTAACGACTGAAGAACGTCTTACTTCTACTTCAGAAGTCCCACTTCCAGATAAGTCATTGGGGAAGCCTACACGAAGCTCTAGCGTAAACAGACACAAGAAGTCTGTATTGATGTACCCACTCTTGGGGTAAACTCATGTACAAACCGATCCACAAAAAGCCGAAAGACGCCACTTCTCTCGATGTCTCTCGCTAATCTCTCTTAGCTGCGTCGCTTCTCCTCATCTCTTTTACCTGACTGGATGCACTACAGAGTGGCGATTGAGGACATTGAAATGGCAGGTTTTTTCTTGCAGGAAATGCAACAAGCATAGCTTTTTTTGAAGCTCAAGCTCCTTCAGCATAATTATGCAGCTCGTTTGGAGATGCGCGGCTTTTCCGACCAGAAATGCGTCCTTTCTAGTCCTCAACGTAGTCGTCGGCCCCATCGAGCATTTTGTATCGCAAGAAATGTTGGGGATGTGTTTGTCTCGCCATTTTCTTCTTGTAGTTGGTGGGTGGATTGTGGTTGTTCTGGGTACTCATTTTCGAAAGGGGTCGTTCGGGAAAACGATTTTCCGTCAACATGACAGTAACTCCTGTTCAAACTGTACAACAAAAGCATCTTGCCCTTAACATAGTGGAAATGTTGTCCTGTGCATTTGACGTGATGTCTGCTCATTCTCTGACGGTGCTACAGCCCTAAAAAATAATTAAATAGTCTGTCCACTATGACGAGTAGGAAGTACTATCATCGTGCTGATCAAATTCATTTCATCGGAATCACCAACGCGAAACCCTTTGGTACATGCAAAGTGCTACCTAAGCGAGTTATATCACCTAAATAAGATACTTTTCCCTTCGGGTCTTCGTGTGCACAAGAACAAATTGCTCATCATATCTGCCACGTGCAGCAAATCATTCTTATGCTGAAAATCCTACTACCTCATACGAAAGAGCCGTCTACTCATGCAGCTCTTTTCCACTGCATGAAATTGCAGGTAGGCTCATCTATTCGAAAAATTGAAATAAGCAAGTAACTGACTAGAATAACGCAGAAGATACTACTGAAATGAGAGTAGCATTTCAAAGCTAGCTCTCCTATTACAGTCACTAACTCGCTTATTTTCAGTTTTTGACTACGTTCTACATGCTCATGCTGTGTCCCCCTTCGACGTTCGTCCACCTTCCACCTTCCTTATTTTTCACTCTTCATTTTTGCGCCAAGGGCACACGCCAAACGGCAAATGTAAGTGATGCAACTGTGCGTGGCTCCTTCACGGCACATACGACTAAATCTCGCTTTCTTCTCGGACACCGCGTCATTCGAATGTTTCGCGTAGAGTTGATATGAGAGAGAAGAATATTGCAAATCACGACTATGTTCGTACAGCCACGCTAAAATAACGGGAATCGGAATACTTGATGAGAGAAGAATAATTAAAGTGGATCATGATCAGACAACTGTAAACGAGGACTAAAACTTCTACAAGATCGTCACCATAAGGACCGAATCATCTGCAGTCTTTTGATCGGCTTCGCGTCTCCCGTTGCCTTGTGTGTATTAGAAAACTTACACTGGTATCACTATTTGCTGTTCCTTTTCTGTCTTCGTCTCTTACTTTTTCACCACGACATTTCTCTTCGTCCCATCCTTTAGTATGTCGCTTGCTTTTTACCATGGCCCAAGTAGCCGACTTACTCCGTGGCCATTCTAAAAATGGTATGGAGAGAGTGCTCTCTGAAGATCGTGTAAAGGTTTACTGAAACGAGAAAGACAGGCCGCTTACTGAATGCAAATACTTTTTGCATTGTTAACTGCGGTAATATCTGACTGACTTACTTTTGATACAGGTGGATGCGCTAGTAATATCTTCTCCATCATAATTCGGGTTACCGTCGCCAATGCCGAAAAAATCTCGAACAAATTCATCGACGAAAGAATTTCCCTAACCGTTTTTTCCTCTGATGCGTCCGATGCTAGTGCCAAATAATGCGCCTTGTCTTCGTAGTCTTGTGTTAGAGCAATGTCTTCTTGATGTGGGAGACCAAGCGAATTCAAACTCCTTCAGGCAACCCAAGATGAGCAACAGCAAATTGTCCTGATCTACGACGTGGCTTCTTTCTCACAGAGAGGGGCGCCTTGTCTTCGTAGAGGTCTCGTGTTATACCATTCTTAGACACCGTCGCCCAAGAAACTACTAAACTCTACTTAACTGCAAATCATGCATCGCGCCAGCCGTCGCAACGATCTCACTCACGGTAAAAGCACGTCCGAACACTTTCAGTTTTCGCTGTTGGGATGATTGGATCAGAGTGTTTTACAAGATTAAGCGCGCTCCTCCTATGAAAGTTCTCTATTCTGCTAAAGCTCCGGCTGTTCTTCCTCACCTTCACGAACTCACCATAGTATAGTATATTGCTAGTTCGGCATAATTATTTTCCATACAATCCATACAATACCGAATCACGCTACATAGTACCAGTGACGTCGTCTTATCCAATATCCAGACACGACTACGTCAGTACCAAGGACATCGCCTGATCCAAGAATCCGACACGGCTTGTTCGGTGCCCATCCTGTTCGTCAAAGCCTATATGTCGATCCTCTTCCTCAAAAGCGCCATAAACCGAGCTCTCCGCCGACGGCTCGTCGTAGGCACGACCGGCCACGCCAGCAGCTTGTATAACGGGGAAAAGCTTGCACTCACAGTACTCAAGCATCAGAGTGATAGATGAGGGCACTGGCTTTCTTTTGCTATTCAAAACAAATGGAGTCAATTCCTCCGAGTAAGAGTAAGCTTTTCCACGTAGTTGTCATAGCTTGGTTCGCCAATGAATTTCTTCCATGCGGCACGGCCACAAAATTCACTAGCAGAATCCGTCCCTCATCTTCTTGCCCAAGCGGTGGCGGAGCCAAAATCGGATAACGCTCTACGTAGCTGTGTAGCAGAGCTTCCAAGTCTAAACGCGAAATACAACTACCGTCTTGCTGCTTTGCATCGGTGATGCTTCCACGGTTTTCTCGGAGTGCTTTCTTAATATTGGCCCAAGACTCAAAGCTGAGATCCACACGAACTCTTGGCGTGTGGTTGGTCCGTGAGGAAGCAGCCGGAAAAATAATCATGTAATTGTGGACCAGTTGCATCGCCTACATTAGAAGAGAGATGGCTCGATGTGTGTTCCATGTTCCTTGTGTTCCTACACGAACGAGACGCACTGTTTCTCCTAGCTTTACGCAAACACCTGCTTTTCCAGCCCACGACATAACTTAATAAATTCCCAGACGTTTTCTTGTGCACTGTGTTTTGCGTCGTAGGCAAAGCCAAAGCCGGTCGCTAAAAAAGGCAGCAAACTTCTGGCCTCTAACTCCTGCATAGCGGTTCGAACTCCAATAACCCAAGAGAGGCGAAATTGGAATCGATGGTGTTTAGAGAGAGCAGGAGGATATTGATTGTGTTGACAGAGGATATCAGAACTGAACAATAAACATTGAAAAAAAATATGTATAGATACTATAGAGTTAGGATTAGGATTAGGATAGGATAGGGTGCCTTCACTTCGACGCGAGAGTTACGTGCAGGAGACTGCATACAAGAGCCTTAGGCTCAGGAGAGCATCTTTCAAAAATACTACGAGAAACATGCTTTGTTGAGAAAAATTAACAGAGAAACAAGAAAGAATTATGTTAAGAAAAAAATTTGATTTTTTCTCACAAGAGCAGGTAAGATTAATTGTTATGGATCTATAACTAAGTACCCCTGAAATGGCCACTCGTGACCACCGCGGCAGGTATTCAGGTTTATTGTTCTTGGAAAACCTTCTATCGTAGCGAAAGGACTCTCGAGATTATCAATCTAGGTAAAATTTAATAAGAACAAACCTGCTTTCATAACGTATTTGCTTTCGAGGTCATCTAAATCCAAGGCAGCGTCTACGCACACCAGACATGGCACTTGCTTCTCAGTGTTAACACAAGAAGAAGTCCCACCTTTTTTGTCCTTTTGCTGTGTACTATTGCTACTACTATGTTTGGTGTTTTGATGTGTTGAAGATGAGGAGCTGCTAGACGACGCTTTAGTAGCGGCTGTATTACTAGTATTGGTGGAAGTTCCTGCGCGTGTAGCAGCTGGCGTGTTTGCTGTTCTGTTCTGATGCTCGTGACCATGTTTCGCCTTAGTGCTGGAAGTTGTGCCAGTTATGTTCTTGTTCTTATGCTCGTGACTTCCTCGTTCCTGAGCTTTTTGCTCGTTCCTTGCTCGTGACAAAAAGTCGAAAATTCGGAATCCACGTGGTGGGGCGAAAGCAACAGGCTCTGTGGCATCAGGCTCTTCGTAAGCGGGTCCAGCGAGCAGTCGCATAGGCGGGTGACCCGTTAACAAAGATTAAAGCTTTCACGGCAGCAAAGACTCTTCAAGCTTTGACTTGATCACGAAGTTTCTCTCTTAATATAGTTACCTTCTTCGCTTAGACTACTAGGAAGATTTATTTGTTAGAAACACCTGTGGGTGGAGCGTAAAAAAATGCTTCTACGCAAATAAACAAAGGTGAGATTATTCGGTTTTTGCTTCACTTGTTGTTACCTACTTGGGATTTCATATCACCTGTGAAAAATACAACTACACGAGGAAAGGTGTTGAGATCATCAGGTCTTAAAAGTTTCTTTGATTACGAATTTATAAGTCGTAGAGTAGACAAGAAGAGTTTCTTTGCAAGTCAAGTAGTCTTAAAATCCATGGGCGGAAAAGCCGCCTTAAAGTAGAGAAGACGCTAACTCGCCGTCCGCTGGCCTCTTTATTTTGTCTCGCTTTGGAACTTTGCTTGTTGCGCCATTCTTTCCCGCTACAGGGACGGAAGCTTGCTTTACTTGTGCATGAAGTTCGTTGCGGCTTTTTGCGGTTTGATCGTAGAACCACAAAGTATCTCGCGGTGGGCGCGTGGCGGTACTTCTCTGGCGGTAGCACCAGTAAACGCCGGCGGTCGTAGCGACTACCGACGTCGCCACCGCACCATACAGGAGCACGCGGCCATCGCTGTTGCCCGGTGCAGTTTTTCCGAACACGGCGATGATCCGATCCATTTCTTACTGCCTCTAGCTGAGTCAACCCTGTAGCTGAGTCATATTTATCAAACCCTTTAGCTGCCCTTGGCTGTTTGCTGGCGAATAATAAGGATGGCGCAGGGCCTTGGCGCATGCAACTAGAAGAAAGAAAAACGGAGAGGAAAAGAGGCACGAGAACCACTTCGCCTGACACGCTCGCCGCGAAACCGCTCGGCCGGTTTGGTCACACGCGATGCCGAGCTTCCTCCACGCTGACGTTGCACCTGGTGTGATGTGTGGAACGGATCCGGATGAAGAACGGAAATCCAAGCCCGCTACGATGCTGACCACGCACTCAACACCTGCTCAGTGTGGACACAACATATGCGGGCAGCATGACGCTCCTTTCTGAGGCATTCCTTTTCGTATCATGCACGAGCAAAAAGGGGAAAACATAAGAACATTGACATCACAGAAGAGGCACTGAGTGATGATTTGAATCTAAAAAAATCATTATTCTAGTATACGAGAAGAAGCCATAAAACAATGCTTCATCACCCAATCACCCAGCAGTCCGAATCCGGAAATCTAATTTCTATCGCCAGCCTAACGATGAAAGAAGGACCCTCTAATCAATATTTGTTAGTCATACACTAATGATCAATATTACGATGACAATACTTCCAATACACGCTAACGCACAGTGGTCCTGACGTTCAACAAACTGTATTGAGAATGAAAGCCTGGCACAAAATTTCAAAACCCACCGTGCTTCATCTTTCACCATTGATGATGTTATCGAGAAGCAACGAGCCACCAAGGAAGCCATATTTTGCGACACGCACACGGCTCAATGAATATCAGTTCTTGGTGCTGAACTCCTCGAAAAACCTCTTCATCATATCCACATAATCATTCGTGGAAATTGACTGCGTCGTTCTCCAAGTTCCTTTCTTCATCTCGTGAGTCCGTCAACAGCAAAATTGGCCCGCGAGCGTTCTTGTAGAATAGGAAAATGAAGAGCGACGGATAAAGCACCACAGGTTCTGAGCTAGCTACTGTTTGCGTTTACGTGTCTTCGAAGACAGACGGAAACGAGCGATGCACTTTCAGCGCAAATGGATCGTCATCTAACTTTGCCAAAAAGTCGGTTATCTAATTTCACAAACCTCAATCTCCACAGGCACGAGTACCTGTTCCAATTTACAGCATTGGCGGCGATGAGCGCAGAGAAAACTAGCATTTTTCAGAAGCACAGATACGAACCAAATGAAAAAAAACGACAATGATCAATGGACCTCAAAACTATTGAAACAAAACCAGGAAAGAGTACAAAATACAGAAGACCCGAAAAATGGGAAGTGACTGCGTTGTACATGTAGTCACGAAAAGGAACGGACTTGAAAATAAAGGTGATGTGTTGGAATTCTGATTCAATTTTTCGATTACAATATAGCATGGCTGCATTACTCACCTCCCTTTTGTGCTTATTCCTACTTTCAGAAAGAAGTCAAAAATGAAAATGATTGTACAGATGAATATATCATTGAAACATAGCCTGCATAATGCATGGGATTTCGGACTTCGAAACCTTCAACTGCGTCACACCATGAGGCCTGTATTTGTACACAGGCAAAGAAAGTCCCACATGTTCATGCAAATCCTTGTTCTCGAGTCCCCAACTTGCTTTCTCTTGAAAACGAAGTTTTAAATTGTTTGCTAACACATACCTATCCTGGTCGAGAGTTCTGAAGTAGCTAACTCGTGGTTTCTGCTCGAATTATTACCTGAGGGAGAAAGTGTGAATATTGATGTAACTACCTTGCTCTGAATTTGAGAAAAGTTGATAAAAAAACTGACTTATTTTCTTCGCGTCTTTTTGGATACTTGTCCTTCAAAGCAAGTGCTAAACCTCTTTAACGTTTGTGGACCTAACAAGATCATGATCAAATCGCTGACCTACTAAATAAATATATCTAGTACCTGGCATAGTTCCGAATCTCTTTTCAAAATTCACGCAACAACAAGCTATCGGTTTGCCTGAGCTTCTTCTGAACTGGTATCCACTAGCTCCAGAAAACGAGATCGATAAATATTGCTGTCTCCTTTTCTCGCGGTCAGCTATATTGGAGACGCATTGCTCTCTTGAGTGATCCACTTGCTAGAGGCAATTTCTTGAGTAATCTACGGACTCGGGGATCCCCCTTTTTACAATCGTCTTAACACCATGGTAGTTTTTCTTTTTGGTATGCATTACAACTCATCTATGAGGAAGATGATGAAAACCCAACCCATAGTACCTGTTCTTTTCTCCGCGCGCACACGCGGAACATCCTGGATCGGCGGATCCTCCGGATGCCGCGTTACCGAGACGACCGCGTTTGCACTCTGGGTCTGATCCACCGCGCCGCTGAAAAGACTGCCATCGGCGACTGTTGTCTGCCCGGATGACACAACCTCACCATCAGGAAGAACCTCGAGTAACGTGGATTTGGCTGCGGAAGCCGTCGGAACAGGCTGTTTACACTCGTGTACAGCCTTCATCGGGTCTTGAGGAAGGCAGGTCTCCTGACCCAATCTGTCCTTGTTGAACGTATCATACTCGAAATCCTGAAAATTCTCCACAACCTGCTCAATCTCCGTCTTACGCAACCATGAGATGGCGCCATTGCCAAACAACCCTAGGAAGGCAATCCGCGAAGGAGAAAAGTCGTACAGCAGCTCCAGCTCTCCGTGTTGGCCGACTCTCGCGGAAGCGCAACAGGAAGATCCCGCTTATCCTTGCACTTGAAGTTCACGGTCTCGGTCTTCGTCTCACGCAGATGTACCACAAAAAAATCCCCGGCAAAATACCAGTTTCCGTCGAAGAGGACCAAAGGACTCACTGCGCGCGAGGACCCCCCTCACTAATTATAAGAACGCATCACTTTTTATATTATATATAACTCACTGTCGATAAAGTTCAATTTTTGAAACGGCAAAAAGATATTGCATTTTTGTATAAGTAGATTTTCTAGTGACAATTCGTTCTCTCACTCTTTTGAAAGATTCTGCACAGAGTCGCTACCCCTTTGACGCAAGCAGTGCAATTATAAGTCTGTTTCTGAGGTTGTTTGTGGCCAGAGGGCAGCCGCAGGACATCTCTCTAGGTTTCAGAGTGGGACGCAGGTCAAGGATGTTTTCAACATCTGGTTGCCTCGCTACAGCGATCCTACTTACACATGCGCATGCGTGAACATTGAAAAATTTCGGTTTCTCATCTTATAGGCAGTGTCAAATCAGAGTCAATCTGACCGACACCGATGTCTTACCCGATACAAAAAAATTTGAAACACCACGACTGCGCGGCAATATAGGATGAACTAAATTTCTAGCTCCTTGGCCCACGGTCCGAGTTTCGTTTCTCCCGAGACCGGCAGGAAAAAGGTGTCCACAAGCTCGCTTGGAACCTGTTCGACCCTCTCGTGCGCCCACTTGGCGCTGCGCTTGTCGAGCAACAGAGCTGCGACGCCCTCTGCGAAGTCCGCTTCCGGTTGTGGGCGAAGACAGTTCATCGCCATCCTGTACTCTAGCTGCAATGCCGATCGAAGTGTCGCTGTCTCCTCCAAATGATGCCGCTGAATTGCGGCAAAAGAGACTTGCAAGGAGAGCGGCGACATCTCGCGCAGTGTCGCAGCGATTTTCGCTGCAAACGAGCCGGCACCCTCGGCGTCGAGTGCACCTAAGATACCGGCTACGGAGTCAACGCTGGCGCCGAAACAACGACTGATTACGCTACAGTCAGCCTCCTTCAACGTTGGTTCGACACTAACCACAGAAGACCTTTGTAAACAAATCCGCTCTGTCACTTTTTCTACTGATTTATGCCTCCCGATCATGAATACATCACTAATAAGAACATTTTTCGCCCTCAGTTCTTGAACAGTTCTCTTCTACAACCATCGAGCCAAATTATCCTATTCAGAAAACACGCCTCTTGTATCCTTATACAGTACCTAAGGACGGTTATTGTATTCACTTCCAAGTTGTCGAGAGAGATGTGCAGAATCTTACCCTTTCTTTGCGACTGCTCCACAAGTCTCTAGATGCGTCGCAACTGAATCAGCATTCGCATCACCGCTGAACGTGTCCAAATGTGCTTTCACTAAGCCTAAATCCTTCTGCTCTACGAAATGAGTGCCAATACCGAAATTGAGGCAATCCGCTGCATTCAATCGAAAACCTTCGTGTCATCATATCAACGATTGAACAGGTGGTGACGACCAACCAAAGGGACTACAACATTATGCATGTTAAAACACACTCAACTAATCTTCGAAATGATTAGAAGACTGCTAGTATGCTGAAAACACTTCTCGTGTCAAATACATGAAGGGCATGATCGCAACAAATGCATTTATACTGTAGAGACGAACAACGCGAAAAACAGTCTACCGCTGTCTTCAAGAAACACTATGGTGGAAACAACGTAATTACCAACTAATCCAAGAAAGCGCGCGATTGCAAGTGGATCTTGATTGCGAAGTCGGGAGAGTCCCCACGTCATACCGACGTCGGGAAACAGGCCAATCTTTGTCTCCGGCATGGCAAACGTCGTCTTTTCCGTAACAATGCGGATAGGATTGTGAAACCCCAATCCGACTCCGCCTCCCATAATGATCTTGTCCCACACGCTAACGGTAACGATATTGCCACCACTACCGTCTTGTCTTTTAGAGCCGTCCATATTTTTGTTGTACTTCGGACAACTAGGATCTAATCTCGTCTTACACCGACTGCATCAAAATATGATAGACGACGCAGGGCCTGTATACTCTTAAGGTGACGATAATGTGTTCCTGAGACAGCGCGAATATCCATCGTATCCGCCTTTCGCAAAAAGATGAATGAAGCGTTAAGGCCACTTTAGCTGTAAGCGATGGAATAGCTTTTTCCTTAATTGCGTCTGCAGCAGCATTCTGCGTGGCAATCCGGTAGTCCACTGCATATTCGGAATGAAAAAACTCTCCACCAAGTGTGCGATCACCGCGTCGTAGCGCCTCTGCGAGTGCGGCGACGTCCCCACCGGCACAGAATGCTTTTTCCCCTGCGCCTTCCATCCACACAATCGAATTTCCAGGTATTGCGCCGGCCGCGCCGCGCTTTCCGTACAATCGCTCGAGCAGGCGAATCATGTTCAGCGACAGCGAGTTAAGCTTTTTCGGTCGATTCAGGGTAACCGTATGCAGCTTCGAACTGGCTCCACTTGGAGGCGTGTGTAGGACTTCTGCGGCATCATTTCCGGTGCTGAACATCCGCACCTGCTTGTTGCCTCCACTTCTCTTTGCGCCTTTGATCGGTCCCGAGGAGGAGCTGCTCGCAGTAAACCCCGCACCGTTCGGGACTCTACATCGCGAACTCGATCGGTCACCAGCAGGCACCACGTGCCGTGAGTAAAGAGCGACGCGTCGGGTAAATACTACGGAGCGTCCTGCACTAGAGCAAGTTCGCGATAAGGAGGACATGGGTATTGTCATTGACGTGAGGTACGAGACTGTCTGTTATAATACCAAATTTATGCTGGCCTTGTCTCGCGTTGCTTTTAGACTGTAGACAACGAGAGCGCGCTTTTTTTTCGAAGTTACATTGCAGAGAGGAAATCAAAACACAGCGCGCGAAACACAAGAGAGTGCAGTTATGGGATCTACATGCAGTCTTGTTCCTATGCTTTCAGCAAACACCTTCTCTTCTTTGTTGCAACGGCTAGCTCTCAGAATGTCCTAAACAACTCATTCGGGAATCTCTCACTCGCGCAGCATAATTACTTCTCTCATCAACAGACATGTGAATACATTTCATAGCACAGCTTCATCTTCTTTGTGATTGCTGTGTGCGTTGCGATTTCCTCATTGTTAGTTTGTGTTCATACACGCATCGCCGCAAAGCCTGTCACGCATGTGGCGACAACGTACAACCCTGTGACAGTGCAGCGGTAACACCTACGGAAAGCCACGTTGCTCAAAGAACGTTTTGTGTTCAATACGGCGTATCTGGGTATCTTTCTTTCCACTTTTTCACCCACGTCAGGCAGTCTAGATCAGAGCACTTGCGTAGTTTCTTGTCGTAAACATTGCTCGCCACGCCACGACGAGACAAGCGAAACTCTAGCTCAATGCTGGAGCAGCTCCCGTCTCGGCGGATGGTGAGTTAGTAAAAGAGTACAGATAACAACAATGCGAAGTCATCATTTTCTCTGGTCTCTGCACTAAACACACCCTGCACCAACCCAGATACTTACCTCATCGACCAAAAAGAACCGGGCATCTAACACATCTACAAAGAAAGATAATGCTCCAGCAAAAAAAATTGGATAATGATCCTGCACAATACAAAGAAAAATTTGAAAAGCGTATTAGATGTGGTAGTTGTAATCATAAAACGAAAAGTTTTCATCTGTAAAAATACTGAAATTGTCGTTGATTGTGGTGATCAAATCACAGGCTCAACAACTAAATGTTGCTGGGTATACTTAGAGCATAAAATCTACGGGATACTGATGACCTACATCGCGCGACCACCGCGAGGAAATGGATGCCATTTGCTCCTGGAGCCGCAGGATAGAATCACAAAAAAAGAACCAGTCACTGCCACCTCCTGCCATGCCAAGTGTACACAAAAAGTTTTCATCCGGTAACAATCCTTCCTCTTGAGCATGTTATTGTAGAAGAAGTTGGAAGAACCTACTACTCTGTGTACTATGATCCCGCCTCTACATTTGCTGCAGTGGCTTCTAGTGCTGTTTTCATGACATCAACGGTCGCTGTGACTTTCTTAAAGCGTAACTTGGGTCTAGAATGGTAGGGTAGGCGAAAACAAGTATCAGTACTAATTGGAGTCTCGTGCTGTACCCACCCCCTATCCTACTTTAAAAATTGTAGCACAAATAAGGTTGTCTTGTCATATTCTCGGCTGCGAAAGTTTACGCGCCCATGAGCAAGGCCTGCTTCACGTTCGCCGGGATGCTGAGGTCAATATCCAACACCTTGTCTAGGATGTGCTTGATGCCGTTCTTCTTGTTTGTCTCGTAGTCAGAGCGAACCTGTGTATGTATAGTTCGAAAAATATCATATGGAACAAAAGCCTGATATTGCATCTTTTTGAGGGAAGCAAGCAACATTATTCGAACAGGAGCTCATTGCGTGTTAAAAACAAGGTTGAACATACTTACTCAAAAATGTGATCCATATCTCAACGAAAAATGAAAAACTACCGTGGCCAGCTCCGCGGCCGTGCTCTTCTCCAACTCTGCTGAGGTATTGTTTTTTCCCTGCATTGCTCGCTGATCCTCCACAAATTTCTGCTCCTCCTGTGAGAAGTGTTTTAACGCACATCATCTTTTTCACAGAGCAAATCATGCTTTTCTCTGCAACAATTCAAAACAACATTTTGTCTTAGCATCGCGGCCTTTACTGATTGACATGACAAGTTTTTTGACATGCAGATCGGGCTCATGCACGTCTTCGTGTTTGGCGCATTCATAGGCTTTATTCAAAGCAGCAGTGTAGGATAGCGCGGGTGGACGTAGTTTATTGTTAGTAGAAAGAAAAGCATCTCATACAATAGCATACGAAAAATTGGAGAGACGAATGAAAAAGATCGCACCTTCATACGGAACGGGGCGAGTTCCTCCTCCGCTGCCGGCTTGACGTCCTTCATCTTAGCGGAACGCATGTCTCGCGCAGCTTTGATGATCTTCTCGGCTTCATCTTCAGCCTGCAGCAATTTGCTGATGAGCTCCTGCGATTTGCCCGCCATTTTTTCTGATTCGTGTTGAAACAACGAAGCCCAATGCTTATTTGCAACGACTTGCGTGGATATATACGAGCTCGAGCGCTTACCTATTTCTCTCAACGATTTATCTTTATGTGCAACCGAAGATTGTCCGAGTACAACAAAGAAGTAGTATGTTGAATGAGAGATATTAAACAAGTTCACAAAGACTGGGAATAGACTGTTGAAGCTGCATCTGACTCCAGTGACTCGGCAGCGCAAGGAACAAACAATTATATCCTGGCTTCTCCAGTCCAACCGATTCAATAATTCACGCAAAGAGATATATATAAGATGCGCTATGCTCAGACAAACAAACACGGCTAGCCATGCCTCGACCCTGTTTCATCAACGCCTTGTCTAGCCACAATCTCCGCATCTCACGATGCGATTCCGCCTGAGCGCGTACAGTTCGGCGTAGCGAGCGTTACTTTCCTTCATTGTTTGCGAAAAAAAAAGCAGAACATATTATCCGGAAAGTATTTCAAGTTCTAAATTCTCCCAATGGTCATCTTGATTTTGCGGCTCGAACAATATCAAAGCTGATCTCTGTTCTTGCCATACCCAGTAGTCAACGAAAAAAATATTCCTGCCGTTATCGGGGCACTTCTGACAAATAGGGGGTTTGATTGCTAGGGGTGCTCGCATTGGGAAGAACGGCGAGTTGGAGAACCACCACTAACTGGCAGCCTTCTACATTCAAGAAGAAGTCAATGAAGTCAAATAAGCAGAGACCGACATAAGACCGTGGTCGCACCAAAGAATTACGCAAAAAATATCTTTTACCACCGTGCATTGTTTTTCACCCAAGCAAAAAAAAAATGACGCAGTGAAAGTCCTCACGGGGTACCCTACGCACCTAGATGCGCCAAGGTTCCTCCCCTGCTGCACCCACTGCAACTGATATACATTCGGAATTAAGAATATACAAGAAGAATTCATTTTATTGTATGATGCGCATTCTGATCCCGCATTGATGTGGGATACACTGCAGAGAATTGTCTATGAGTAGTTACTTCAATGTTGATTCATGCAAACCTACTTCTGCGCTCACAATAACACTAGGTAGTAGACAGTCAGAGGTGCTGACTATCTCAGCAAGCGATATCTAGGTGTACTTTGTTCAGGTATTGGTATAAACAACAACAGACTTAGATAAAAAAAGTAGGGTAAAAAAACTCTGGGAGGATCATACATCGACAAGAAATAAGGTATAAGGTACGGCATTACTAGTAAAGCTTGTATGGGTCAAAAGTTGCGTTGAGGATCATGAAGGCATGGCTCAGCTTTTACTATGCCTCCATTGTTGAAGTACTAATAAATGGGGTATCTTTACTCCTCAACATCATCCAAGACATCCTCCTCGATCCATCCAACGCGGGTCTCTCCTCGATACTCTTTGTACTCTGCAACTACCCATCCGCGATTGTCTTCGTCGTCGGCAGAAGGTACCACTGACACCTGCAGAAAGATGAATTACAATAGCAGGCACATGTAGAATTGCCTTTGGCTGGAACTACTAGGGGTCCAACGAGGGGAGGACCGAGAGGTATGAACGCACTATCACTTTCTTAAATCTGCATGGTACTATAACAAAAACTAATCCGCCATCACTAGGAAAAACTACAAGAAGAAAAATGTACCGTGACAACGTCTCCTGCGTCGAGGTCGAAAAGGAAGCCTGCTGGGTCCCACTCTGTCGGCTCCTCTACTCTTCTATTCACCTTGTACTGCTTGTTTTCGCGGAATCGTGTATGCGTCATCTCAGCATCCTGTAGTTCGGCGGCGTCCAATTCTTGCTTTCCTTTTCCGATGGAGCCTTCTTTGTGTGAGGTTGTACCGGCTGAGCTAAGTCCATGATCACTCTCTGCAAATCCTCGGGTTTCTACCTCCATCTCGCGAACAGCCTCGATTGTTGCTAAATTCTTCTCGAAGATAAGGGTTGCGGGTTCTTGGAGTGTTGCATCTTTTCGTCGTCTCTTGGCGTCGGGCTCATCGGTGCTGCTACTGGCGGTTTTCGCTGAGTCGTTGTCGCCATCCTGCGATCGTTCTGCGAATATGGTCGAGGGACCCTTGTTCAACGTTTCCTCTCCAACCACTGAAAGACCATTCGGTGCCAGCGGTGGTGGTGGAGCTGGCATCATGCGCTCACCCTCAAACAACGACGAAGACGGCATCTTCGAAGCGCCTGGCTTTCCAGCAGCTGAGCTAGCAGGGCTTGACGAGGACGATGCGCCTTTCGACAGGCTGCCCCATTCGTCGTTGCCCCCTTTGCCTTTACTCCACGAGGAGGAACTATCTTTGCCTGACGAACCTTTCCCCCAGCCATCATCCTTGCCTTCCTTGCCCCAACTAGATTTTGAACCACTCTTGCTGTTCCACTGCTCATCTTTACCACCTTTAGCTTTAGCATGATCTTTGCCGCCTTTGCCGCTCGTCGTGGTCCACTCGTGATCTTTGCCACCTTTACTCCTGGCATCGTCCTTGCCTCGACCTTTGCCATCGTCTTTTCGCCCTTTTCCATCGCCTTCCTTGCCGCCTTTGCCCCACGAGGCGTCGTCCTTGCCACCCTTGCCTGATCGCTGAGCAGCAGATGATGACTCGTCCTTCACGCTCCCCTTACTCCGGAGTGCATCGTCTTTTCCGCCTTTGCCCCAGTCGTCTTTGCCTCCGCCTTTACCCCAGTCGTCTTTGCCTTCTTTTCCTTTGCCACCTTTTGTCGAACGAGCATCGTCACCTTTCGCCCAGGAGCGGTCCTCCTTACCGCCTTTTCCTTTGCTCGTCTCGGTCTCACCCCATCTCCGACTCTCTGCTTCGCCTTTCGCGGACCGCCACTCGTCCTTGCTGCCTTTTTCTTTCCAAGAGTCGCTCTTGCCTCCTTTTCCGCTGCTCCACGACTCGTCTTTTCCACCCTTGCCGCAGGCGGACCAAGAGCTAGACTCATCGCGGTCGCCCTTCCCTTCAGACTTTGAAACTCCGTCTTTGCCTCCTTTGCCAGCACCTCGAGATTCCGTTTTGCCTCCCGCCTTCGTTGTGCTACCGCTTTTGTCGAAACTCCCTTTTCCTGTTGCAGCTTGCCATGACGAGTCGCCCTTGCCACCCCAGGAGGAGTCCTTCGAGGACCAGCCGTCGTCCTTCCCTCCTTTACCAGACCAGGAGTCGTCCTTGGAGGCTCGATGCCATGATGACGAGTCTTTGCCCCATGAAGACGACGCAGAAGAACTGGATGCGGAGCCTTTCGAAGCACCCCAGTCGCCACGATTGCTGCCCTTGCTAGCGCTTGCTGAAGAACTACTCTGTTCTTCGCTGCCCTTTTGGCCGGAAGATGAGCTGTCGCCTTTACCTTTGGACTTTTTCCAGTCCTCCCACTGGTTCCAAGATCGCTTCGAATCCCAACCGGATCCGTGCCCGCCACCTGCGGCCGCAACAGACCGGTTTGTCTTGTCGGCGCCGCTGTGCCCATCGCGGGAGCCGGTCTTGTGGAGAGACACGGGTGGTGAGGGGCGCCGCTGCGTGAGCTGCGAGGTGGACTTGTCAGCACGGTCATGAGGACGGCGCACGCTTCGCTCTCGCTTCCCTACCTGGTTGCCGCGGCGGTCCCGTGGACCCGGACGCTGCAACACCTCCTTGGCGCCACCTCCCAAGTGCGCCAGGTTTGGCGGGGGAGGCATCTTGTTTTCGCCAACACCGGAAACGCTCAGTCGCGGAGCGGCCAGTATGCGTGGACCGCTGTCCTCGGTGATCACACGACGCCACAACTCGTCATCCTCCATCGCACGTTTCACGCCCTTCGCTTCCACTTTGTCCAGCATAGTTTGTGTCGGATTCAACCGCTTGCAGGCGTCGAGCAGAAGACTAAGATCGTCGCGGCGGCAAGACAAGCCGCTGCAAGCCGCTGCTCCCGCTGCACCCGTTGTCTTGTTCTTCGCAAAGGTCGACGACACCTCCTTCATCCGTCCAGCTACGTTGTCTAACACACGCTCCACAAGTTGCTCACAAGGGCCATCGATAGGGTGCAATGCCAAAGTCGAAGCAGACAATGATAAGAACTGCACCGGTGAAACGGAGATGCCCTGGAAATAATCATTTGATGAAACATTTAAAAGAGTTAAAAGGTACTGTAAGTATGCCATCCATAAGAATCTGAGCTTGAAATTTGTTTTGCTAAAATCTACATTCATACATTACAAAAAGTGGACGAGACCAGTTATATCTACAGTAATCAAGGAGGGTGAGAGAGAATCAGTACGTCGAAAAACTTTGTATCCTCCGTCGCGTCCAGCAACAGCTGTGCTGCTACCCAGGAGAGTGCGCGAGATCGAACTCCGTAAAGGGCTAGTTCGAGTACCAGCTCAGCAGTGTCGTGGGTAGACAAGCCTTCACTTTGCCGTGCCTCGAAATCGCCAGACAATAGCTCCAGGAAGTTCATGATGGTAGGATCTTCGGGGTCCATGCGAGTCAGGCCCTCCACAATGTAGCACATGTCGCGGAGTGGCAGACTCTCCTTCTCTTTGACAAAGCGTTCTGTGAGCTTGTGCAGGAAAGCGCCGCAATCTACAGATGCACGCCCGCATGCCCAAACGAACCTGTGCCAAAGAAAATGGGTTTTTTGTTATGACCGAGGAGTAAAGGATCAAATGTCTTCTACAGAGGTTTTCTTTTTTCGGTGAACTTTGCAATTTCGCATTACGACGCCAAAGTAATAAGTCAAATTCAGAATTAGTACCGCGCGAGCACAGAAACGGGCAAATCCCTGTAAAACGACTTTGCGTCACTAGCGGCCCTTTCCCCAAGCGTCCGAATCCATTGCAGATTTCTGGCAGCCTCGTGGGGTTCTGAGGTTGAGCATTTAAATTTATGAAAGTGGCATATGAAGATTATTCAAACGAGTCCAAGTGCGTTGGGGTCAAAAAGTATATTGTTAGATCACACTACTACAGATCAAGTCCAGTCGACTACAGCACATATTTCCATTTAGGGATATTAGCAATACTTTGTGAGTGGCCACTAGTCGTTTTCTTTGATAGCTGCTGGCCGGCGAGCGTGCGGTCCACGCCCGTCTCCACAACAGAGGCGAATAGCCGCAACGAAAGCTTTGCATCAAAGGCATCCATATCTTGTGATGCAAATTGTCCCGACGTTATGTCAACGGCCCAAGCCTGAACTATTGGTGAACCTGCAAACCCGAGAAGGCAGAGATGCTCCAAAACGTCACACAGAACCGGAATCGCAGATCGACCTGATTTAGGATATGGGGGTCGACATGATCTACTTGAGATATCATTCAAATACAGCAGCTTAGAGTGTGTGACAACGAGAGAGGTTGGTATTAGCCTGTAGTTAATCCTGGTCAGAACAGAGTTGAACTTCTCTGTGCCAATATCAGAAAAGAGTGAGTACTCATGGCATCTTTCGTGAGCGATTGCGGCTCGAGTATGAGCGCGACGAATTTATTGACACAAGCCCTCGAACTGCAGTCCGAGGCCGAAAGGCCGGAGGCTGTCGCTGCATCGGTAAAAGAGGTCGGCTGGTAGCGAAGCAGCTTTCGAAGTGCATCGTACTCTACCATATCTGAACTGCAATTACTGCCCCTTGCTACGTTATTGTGCGGGCTGCGGAGTGGGCGTCCGTTGTGCATTCGCACGGACGGCAAAGCGGATCGTTCCACATCAAGAAGAGGTGACAAAGCGGCGAGATGCGATAAGACTGCCCGCACATCCTCTACATCGATTCCTTGTTCGTGGTCGTGACTCATCGTCGTGGCGCTTCGGTTACTGAACATTTTTTTGCTCAAAGCTTTGCCGGACGCAGCGCCTGAACTGTTGAACACGCCTAGGTCTTTATTGCTGCTCTTTGAGCAGTCACCGTTGTCGTTTAAACCCTTCAAACGGGTGGAAAGAAAAGGGAGCACGCGTTCGACCAATTCGACGACGCACTCAGCGACTTTCTTTCCAGATGGGCTTTCAGTATCGACCAGCACCTGACTGCGGCCCGATGGCTGCTGAAACCCATTTTTGGAACTGCTCCCTGCATTCGCACTCGTCGAAGCCTTGTTACTGTTTGTGCTACTCTTTTCGTCTGTGTCGCCCGTCGCGATGGCACCATCCACACTTGGGTCCACGAGACAGAGGCGCACGCAGCACTCGAGGATGCTCACCAACTGTCGCGCGGTGAATCCGCGCCCCTTTATGCGCACCTGAGCTGTCACCTCGTTGAGAACGCGGAGGATGGCAGTCTGATCGTGCCTAGGATGCAAAGTACGCGTCGCGGAAGCAAAAACTTGGACTAAGCGTGACTCCTGTTCGATTTCCGAGAAATTCACTGCCGTAAGGAAAATTCCGACTATCGTTTCACGCATACGCACGCATGATTTCTCCTCCCGAGTCGCACAAGATCGTGGTCGCAACTGATGTTTGTTTGAAGAAGAATGTCGATATATTAAAGCGATAACCACTTTAGGTAAGAGTGAAGATCATATACATAGAAGGAATTCGCTCGAGTTCTCTGGAACATTGAAAGTGTTGATATTTATATTAGTCTATCATCTCAATTCGACAGAAATCAAAATGAGTAGAGGCAGTAGTACCTTCGCCAGTGCGTCGAGCATTTTGGTCATGACTTCGATGCGTAAGGGCGCGCGCTTGATATCACGGTCTAGTGCTTCGCAGAAATCTAGCTCCAGGTCCGAGTACCGCCGGTTGCGCCACAACTCTTCCAAAGCTCCGCTCCCGAGGTCCGCGACTTTGAGAATTGCAAGGCGCAAAACATCGATGTTGACTACGTGCGCATTTTGCGCATTTGCCTTCCCTACTGTCTCGAGCACGCGGAAGGCTTTCCGCTGTTTCCCAGCCGGTGATTCGTCGGCCAGAGCAGACACTTTGCGGAGGCTGTCCAACAAAGCGTCCCGCTTTCGCAAGACCTGCTGCTCTTCGACAGCCGACGATGCACCGAAACCAGAGCGCAGTGGTGCGGCAGCACTCGAAGTGGTGGTGCCGCCGGACTGACGGTCTCGCCCGCGTCGCTGCGACCGGCCGGACGACGACCTCCGCCTGCGCTCCGGCGACGACCGCTTATTGTTCCGCCCATCGCTTTTGCCTTGGCTACCGGTCCTTGACGCGGGTATGGTCTGCTGTGTCTTCCGGGCTTCACTGCTGCCGACTCGGTCTCGCGGAGGTGCATCGGGTGGCGGCGGCGGCGGAACTTGCGGCGGTTTTGAGCCCGCAGACTTCGCAGACTCGCCAGCAGTGATTGTACCCGCTATTCGCTTAGAAGCAGAGGAAGACCCTGATGCAGATGCCGAAGACGAAGATGCGCCAGTCTTCTGCGTCAACTGATTAGCACTAGCTGCGTTACTCACCTTGCTGCTGTCCCACGCAAGACGAATAGGTGCGCGCATCCCACTGCTGCTAGCAAGGACGCTGCTTCCACTACTCGCTATTACGGTTGACGGCGGACTGCTGCTGCTTGCAATCACTTGTGGTGATTGCTCTGGCGACTGATGCTGCGACGTGGTTGTGGAAGCAGCACTCTGGGCTTGGGAAACCACTTGCTGCACCTGCTGCGCAACTTGTTGCGCTTGTTGTTGCTGCTGCGCTACTTGCTGGGCAACTTGCTGTTGGGCCTGCTGCTGTGCCGCCGCGGCCTGATGCTGGTGCACTAAGCGTATGAACGTTTGCTGCACCTGCTGTTGCTGCATTTGATGGTGCAGCTGCTGAGCTTGCTGCTGTTGGATGATTGCCTGCTGCTGGTTGGTAATTAGAGTCGGGGACTGTCCACTTGAGGTGATGCTGTACGCTGGCGAGCCGCCGCTGCTCGCCGCGCTCATCGGCGTCATCTGGCCCGCTGCGCCCTTGCCACCCAAGGGTAGCGGTGGCAGTTGGTGACCCCACATGCGGGGATTCGGAACGACCGCGACCGGCTTTCCCATCATCCCAGCAGGTTTCCCCATGTGTCCTATTTGCGTCATCTTCCCACTGCCTTTGCCATCGTACTGCCCTCCCGCGATGCTCCGGCTTCCTTTCTTGCCACCCTTCGCCATAATTGCAACTACTTGTGTGGGCACGCCGGGCACCACAACACCCGGTGGTGGTCCGATAGGGGGGTTCGGATTGTAACCAGGAGACCCGATAGGCGCACCGCAGGGAAGGCCGCCTCGAACTAAATGTTGTGGTGCGCCCCGAGTTATGACTGTTGTCCCACCAGGACCAGTTGCTACCCCAGTAGCCCGATTCGTCAGAAGCCGCTTCGGTGGCGGAAGAACTGTTATGCCGGCACAAACAGCTGAAGCTGTGGTGCTACTGGCAGCCTTGGCCTGTAGACCTGCAACCGGGGCGCCTAAAGCCTGCTGTCCTGCGGCGTTTTCTGAAGTCACAGTGGAGTCGCCTTCGGTCGAATGCTGGCGCACTGCACCACCAAATAAGTTTTCTTCTTCTGTCTCCAATAAAGGAACTAAACCCTGAGTTGCGGAAACGGGTGTTGTCGCTACTAATGGAATCGCAGCTTCTTCTTGTTTGGCACTAGCTGTGCCAGTACAACTGGAACTACTGGCGATAATATAGTTGGTGTTGCTTTCATCCACGACTCCAGAAGGAGTGAAATCGATTGATCGGCTGGTCTTGTCCGTGCTTTTCTCCCCGCTTGTAGTAGAGTAACCAGAAACAACTGGTGACGACTGCTCTGATTGTTTTGTTGCGCTATATTCTAGAAGAGGACCACCACCTTCTTCTACACCAGCGTCAACCGGATATTCTTCAACAGTGTGCGCTTCAAGCAAATTCTCCGTGACAATAAGATTGGAAGTTTGAACAAGCCCGAAGTCGCTTCCTGGGTCCTCGGCAAGATCGCCAAGAAAAGGATTATTGTTAGCAGTTGAAGGGGATACAAACTTCGTTTCGTCACTCGAAGATTTCGGCCGAGAAACCGGAGGTGGAAAGATACCCCTGGCCTGACTCGCCGCTCGACAAGAACCAGATCCGGAAAGTAAATCTGCGAGAGAAAAAGAGCGAAACTATAACACCAGCGATCTCCTTATCCTATTTGATCTTATCGAGCGGTTTCACTCTCCTATCTGCTATATGTCGAAGGTATGCAGCGGTGCAAAATGTCGCCTTTTTTGACTTTTTTGCAAGCGTTACTGTCGTGCCTTACACTGGGTTCTTCCTAGCTTCCTGCTCAATCCCCGGTCACTATAGACACAAAGCACGCCTTCTTGGAAATTGCGTGGTGTATCCTTGCACCCCCGTTTCTCAAACCAATAATTTGTGTGCTGATACTAAATAAAATCTGCACACGCTTCCCGGGGTTAACTTCTGTTTCACCAACTTCTGTAAGTACAACAATAAATATGTAAACGTTCTAACTACTACCAAGTTTGCTTCCTTCTTAGATCGTAATACTGATATTCCTAAGATATGAGTACTAGAAATAAGCTATTGCACGTCTCGTCGGAGTTCTTTCTAACTGTAGGTCTACTGGTGTGAGTTAGATCTTTTGAACTGCATACTGGGGTGACTTGAACATGAACGTCAATGTCAATGATGAATAATACCACTTCCCGTTGAATCCGGTCTTTCCGGACTGCAAAGATTGGGAAAGGCCTCCACTGGATCACCCATAATATTTATCGGACAAGGTTAAAAGTTCAGATGTTTTGATAGGCGAAGTTGTTTGTTGATATAGAAGAAGTTGAGAGAAGTTTTTGAGTTCGTTCCACAAAATTGGTTTGATTGTTCGTTCAACAAGTTGTTATTTTTGGAGTAGGGAGGAGTAGATGTAATAGATGTAGTTCTTGAAGTTGTGTCGTTGGTGTTCGTCGCTGAAGATGCCCAAGAAAACGACGTCTCACTTGTCGTCGCCGACGTTCTGAGACTGCTACTTTTGGTCGCTCTACCTCTCTTGAAGATTTCCGTTTGAATGTTCTCTCAATGAATCCTCTATCACGCTTCTCTCGTCGTCGCTACAACTCTCAAAACTTTTTTCAGAGAGGAGAGGACTGACTGAGATGATACTTGTTCTATGTATTGCTCTACAAGAGTTTTATCGGCATTGTCGTGTTTCAATGAATACTCCACTTTAGCTTATCTTTAATCCTATTTCTATCTAACGCTTCTAGTTGTAACAAGGTAGGCTAAACATCTAACAGATCTTAGTTGCATTGATATCAGCGGACTGACATACATACTCGAATCGCATTTCTACGTCCTTCTAATGAAAATATTTATGTCGCTAAAAAAGCCATCGATAAAATTGTCACTAGGAATTAATGCTGTGTAATTACCCACTGACATACACAAATTATTTTGGTTCTTGTAAATATCACCACCTGATAATAGTACCCTCGACCGCACGCACAAACAACACACCCCACCTGGACATTTTACGGAGAAAAGCGAAGCTTTACTTTTGTTATCTTCTAGAATTTCAATAGTCGGTGCTAAAAACATGCGTATCGCGGATCTTTTGTGTTTGGGTATCTGACTGACAACCACGCGCTTGCTTTGTCTGTAGTCACCTGTGAAGCGCGCTGATTCTTTCTTTCGTTGCAAATACATCTTTTCCACGCAACTTACAGGAGATCTACGGTAGGAGAAATGAGGATCTCTTCAGTGGAACAACAGATTTTGATTTTGTGGAACGTGATCTTCATTCATAGCCTGCTGTAATATCTATCAGAATTTCTAATCAGCTTCGAATTTGATGGATCATTCTATATCCCTAGATCTGATCTTCCAAGAGCTTCTCAGTGTGTGCCTAGGTAATGACTTTTCAGATCTGGTGTCATTATGGTATCTATAAGAGTCTTTGTAATTCGTGGCACCATGGCCTCTGCAAACGGCGCAGGTGAAGAACACGATGACAGATCAAAGCATGCCTTCCTTCTCAACATGACGTACGCGAAATCCAATGCAGCGTACTAAAAAAGTGATTTGGGTTGCCAGATTGTTAAATCTATCACTGCTTGTCGGGTGGAAAAAAACGTTGTGAAAAATCGCATTGGGCTACTTCATCCCTCGACTCCGATCGCGATGCAGTTTTACAACGCGCCAAGCAGAAAGGTGAATCGTTAAAGTGCGATTTTGTGGACTACCATGGAGAGGAAAAAGCCGGCGGCAAGCAACTTTCACCTCTTCTAGCTGCAACATTCACACTGTGACGACCACAGAAGCAGCGCGCCGTCGCGCCTGTTGCATATCTGCTAAGCATGTCCACTTCCCAGTTGACACATTGAGCAAAAAAGTTGCACCCGTCCATCGTCCCTCCGTCGCTCCGCCGCACACTGCAATCTCCTGCTTTCCAGCTGCACAGGCGGAAAAACAGTGCCAATCTGGAAGAGGAAGCACCACTTCATCCTTTGTCGAGGCTGATTCTAGTCGTGAACTACAAGATAATTCCTGTCCTTTTGGGTCTTTTCCTGCGGTGCTACTTTCGCGCAGAGTGCTGTACGCATCCAAAACTGTGTCGTACACATACACAGCCCCACTTCCGAACGGGAAGATATAGATCCTCTCACCATCAGCACTCCCATCGTCGCCTCTATTGATGCTTACAGCCGCCACGCACACACTTCCACATGGCAGCGGCCGCCGCTCAGTCCATGCGTTTGTTTCGGTGTCGTAGCACTCGACTTTGTCCGTCTTTCGCCTCTCATCGACAAAACCGCCAAAGACAAATATTTTCCCTGCAGCACCACAGAAACCTGCTAATCGTCTGGGGGTAGGCAGTGGCGCACACAGGGACCAATGTAATGCAGTATCAGTATCTCCTTTCGATTTTTTCGCTTTCATGTGATCTGAGGCTTTCGCCGAACCACCTGCACCTGGCTCTGTGGCATCATAGTTCTCCAATCGCTCGAGCGCACCACACGAAACTGTGCCGTATTGCCAGCCCCCCACGGCATAACATCTTGTTCCCACTGTAACGCACCCCATGGCGTGCCGCGGCGTTGATAGTCGAGCCGCATCACCCAAGCCAGCACTCTGTCGGAGAATAGAGAAATTTGATACCTTCTGATTTTCTCCCGAACGGGAGAGCCCAAGCAGCCAGGAGCCAGCATCTAAAACCTCAGCAGAGTCGAGGTTTCCATCGACGCCTCCCCCACCGGCGGCGAGAATGGTCTTGCCATCCGCTAGGAGACATGCGCCGTGGCTGCCACGATGATGCACAAGGCTTGGAGCAGTCTGCCAGGTGGACTCAGGCTGGTCTAATGCCAAAACCTCACATTCTTGCAATGTCCTTCCACGCAATCTTCCACCCACAACGAAGAGGAACCGCTCCTTTGCAGCTTTACTAGTAGAGCTAGCGGAAGTAGCGACACTTTCACCTTGCTCCACACAAGTAGATTTTTCCTCCATCATTCGCCGGCGCTTAGCCAAGGCCGGTGATGAGGCAGATGAAGTATTTCTTAGATCGTCCGAAGGCTGAATATCATCTCCAACCCCACGACTCTCCCCCATGGTCGATGCCGGGCTTGCAGTTGACGATGACGCGACGGGGCTGACAGTGGACGACGTCCCGTCGCTGCTCGGTATTCCGTTATCGCCTGGAGCCCTAGAAATGCAATCACTCCTAGCTAAATTACTGGCTGCTATGAAATCTGCGCATTCAACAGCACGATGCCCTCGCTGCCCACACCAGTGGCAGTGCTCATGGTCAAACAGGCAGCGACCTAGCGCTCGCCTCTTGCAACCAACCTCGAAGTCATAGTTGTGAAACCGGCAAATCTCAACTTTCCGACCCTCCATAAGCGCATTCTTCGCCTCATCTCCAGCTTCTGTTGAGGTCGCATTTTCAGAACAAGGCGCAGACGCCTTCTGCTCTGCATAGCGTGCCGGGCGTTTAAGAGGATACCGATCAACGATTATCTCGCCATTTCTTCGAAACTTACTGCGGCCAAGAACGTCTTCCTTTGCTGCTGCGTCTAAAAACCCTTGCCAGTAATACGAAGCTGATACATTAGTATTTGTCGCGTTTGTCGCTTTGGACAGCGTTGCACCTGCTACGCTTGTTTCATGCGCATCTGGCACTTTAGAACTAAGAGTAACCTCGGTGGTATTTTCCACATGTGAAGACTGCAGCAGATTCTTCAATTCACTGTACATTTTCTGCGACTTCACGAAAATTCGAGTTACGCCGCAATCCGCGACCAGGAATTCAAGTAGACTGCACAGTGCTTTAAGTTCTCTGGTGCCACTTATGTCAACGAACGCCACTGGAAAGCAGGCTCCACTAGTTGATGCACTTTCATTGCAATGCCTCATCGTGCCAGAGTGTACATCTACTCCATCGCAACCTGCCCATGCTTCTTGGCTTCCCTTTGCTTCTGCAGCTCCAACAGCATCGCTAATCGGCCCATCAGCACGTGCGTGATCTTCGAAGATCAGCCTGCGCACAAAAGCCTGATCTTCTAGCACGTCGACGCGTTCGAACCTGATGTCCGGGTACTTCTCGCGAGCTTGACGCACGAAGTCTGTTGCCAGTTCCAGCCCGACTACACTACCGTGTCTACAAGAAGTACCAGAAGAGGTGGAGGCATTTTTGTCACGACTACCACAATAGGGAGGTTTCTTGCCAACGTTCTCCTCGTCTGTCCACGCTTTCACCTGCTTAGCCAACGCCGCAGTGGAGTGGCCATGCGCAGACCCGAAGTCGATTACGCGAAGATCGCCGACACTTGCCGGAACGAATTGGCGAAGATGCTTTGCGCAGCGGCGAAACTGAGTAGTGCTCGCTGAGATGACGATGCTGGCGCGTCCGGGCGTTTCCGTCTCCAACGGGCATTGCGCACGCTCCCAAGCGCCATCGTGGAGAATGAAGTGAGCCTTATTCATTTTCTTCTTCGATACTAAGTCACTAAATCCTGAGCCAATGTTTAGTATTACCACCTTGTAAAAATCAACACCAACATCTTTGTCTCTTCATCATCGCGCGTTCAGACAAATACACAGAGGACAGCACTGCAAGTAAACGGAATGGCTGGTTACTCTATCGTCGTTCTATGCACTTTAAGTATAAAGTTTTTGAGGAAGTCATCTAATAGTGCTCTGCCTTATATCATTTGTTTGAGGAACGAACTAGACTTTTCTTAGCCTGCTCGACTTACTAACCAAAGTCCAATACTGGTTTATCATTTTCCACCAAACAGATCTTGTTTTATTTTGTGCATTCATCTGCATTCGCCGATCTAGCAAACTTTAGGTCTCACCCTTTCAATCATAGAAGGTAGCTGATCTTGCCCACGGATCGTGCGCCTTAGGTCTTTTGGATACAATCTTTGGAGCGGGAGCGCAAAAGAAGCCGATTGACAGATCAATTGGTGCTTCAAGGTATCACCATGGATTTGCAATAAGCGGTGACCTCGGTGAGATCCGTCATCGATCAACAATAATTTATAACTGACTCAAAATTTCCGTAAAATGAAGCCGCTGGTCATAGAAGAAGACCAGAAAATGAGCGTCTCTGTTACGAAGAAGAAAGAGGCTCTCCATGACTCTTCATCTCAACGCTCATGGTGATTAGTGTGCTGTTATATCCTAACACCTCCTAAAGAAACCCCCGCCGGTGTCATTGGTGGCGTTGCGACCACGTCGCGCCGCCCTGTTGGTACGGCTTCAGTGAAATTGTCGCGCGACGAACCCGCGTACTCGGCAGTCATCGTGTCAGGCCCGAACCTCAGGATTTCGAAATGCCGGACCCAAGAGGGCAAACACCGTTCGTCGAACACCTTTTTCTCAGGAAGGCACTTCGATCTATCCTCCTTTTGCTCAGAGCAACATTGGAAATAAGCATCCCGCGAAGCCCAGCACTCTTTTCGTGACCCACGGGCACCGAGCGAGAATTCGCCGGACGATGTTGAGGATGGTCGTGAATCCATCTCCGTCGTAGTGGATGCGCTGGCTGAGTTTGCGACTGCTGCTGCGCTCGACGTTGCACGGCCCTCCATTTTTTGGACGATTAACAAGAACAGATGTAGCACAGCGATTATAGTGCCAGCCGCGGATCCAAAAAAATATAGATTTTGTTGAAAGTCTACCTTGGATGAGGAAAGACGCGAATCATGCAGAGCTATTTTCAAAAGATTATGCTACGGGATCTTAAGAGAGTGACTGGCCAACACTACAGCACTCCTCTCGTCTCTCGGAAAGAGGAGCTTTGGAAGACTTGGAGCGACACCGGAGGTCGTCTGCTCCGTGGCCGCAGCGTGCGTACTCACGCGTTTCCTGCTGCGCGTGTCATGTCATGTCTGCGTATGAAATATTCAGAATTGCGCATTAGTATCAAGCGTCCAAGATCCCGGTGTCTTGGATTAGACAATCCACTATCTATGTCGTGCAGTCATTAATTTTGTCACATCTATCGAATTCGATCAAGTGCAGTCACTATTGAAATTCAGACGTCAGCCAGCTACGTGATGCCATCAGGGGCGTCCCTGCTAGATTTTGTCCATGCGTGCTCTTCCTCTGCATCGCCTGCCCGCATGAAAGCCTCTATATCCCCGTTCAATCTTGCTCCACTGCGAGCTGATCCCAAAGCCTCCGATCCATCACCCTCTTCTATGTCTTCCTCGTCAGCTGTAGCGTCGTCATCTGTAGCGTCGTCATTTTCGTCACAGAAACCGTCGTCGTGTTCGCCGTTGCTAGCGTCCACTGCATTACTAGTTGCCTCGATGCCTCGCTTTGATTTCCCGGTCCTTCTATCGCTGCTATCCTCGTTACAAGATGTCTCTGGATCGACCTCTACTTCGCTCCCGTTGTCGGTCTCCGCGTACGAGGTCTCCCTTTCCTCGCGTGAGGCATCAGCATCAGCGCTAATAGTAGCCTCGTCTGCACCAGGCGCCATCGCTTGTGGTCGCCACCAGCGATGTTTTCCCGCTATTCCTGCTTGCGATACCCCAGGCTGCTCCGTCGCTCGCGTTCCTGGCAAAAATGGTTCTATGAAAACGGCTTTGAGCAGGTCTCTGTCAAAGCCTCTCCGGACTTGTCGCTCGTCTCCCCATCGGCCCTCACCGCGCCATGCTTGTTGCGACAGTTTCAGACTGAACGCAGAGTATTTTAGTCGGGCTGTCTTCTTGTCGCGTGTATGCGCCCACTTCAGGGCAGCAGCCATTCCTTCGTAACTCGGCTGCCACATGCCTTGAATACTTCGTCGTTCCGTCCAAACTCGTGGACCACCATGCTTCAAGAAAAGGTTCGGAGACTCCGAATTCCGAAACAAATCCATCATCACATCGAGCTGCTGCGCGTTCATATTTCGAAGGCACACTGTTTGACACTCGCCGGATCTGATCAAATAATTTTGAGGCTCACTGGACGTTTTCTTGACATGAATACTTCTAAGTACTCTTCACAAACAGAAGCTGTAGCAATTTCTACTCTCCACAACCACATAGTACCTGATGAAAACAAGTATCTATACTAGTTAGTTACCGCCATTCAGCTGTCATTTGTGGGTGCTCGAATTGCGAGTGCTGCATGACGATTTCTACTCGTGGATTTCGCTTCTTCCACTCGTCCATCAAGTGTGCGAAATGAAATCGGACACCGCGACTAGACCCTCCTGTGTGCGAAAACCGGATCCGCACTTTCCGCAAATGCCACACACCCGTTTGAGCATTCATCTTGAACTAGTAGGCAGAGCTCTGCAACTGCGAGAGATCAGAATTCGTCTGATTGAAATTATACGATCATAGATCTTCGCTAGGACCGCCCCCTTGTTCTTGCGGCAAAAGGCTGGTGCTGCGACAGGTAGTTCCTGGTGGCAAGAAATACTGTAGGGAGCAGCTCGATGCCCTGTCGGAGATCGCTTAACCCCACGCTGAAGGTTGCCGCTCTACACCGTTTCTCGTACTCTGATCGGCTCCCATCGCACGACGGTTTCTAATTCGTTTTTTGTAATGCTGAGTGTGCGAGGTCACTCCGGGCCGGCTGCTGCTTCATACGCAAGGGTATGCTACCATTGCAAGCAATAACGGCGGTGGATTTGGATTTGGAGATTTCAGAAAAAGTCTCTGGCCACCCACAGGGGCGAGATTCGATTCACAAACAGCAGACATTATTCTTTGTCATTAGATTTCCATCAGTTATATCAAATCTTTTAAGATATAGCCCGTTCATATTCTCAAAAATTAGAATGATTTCAAAGCAAAGCAACCTAAGCACATAGATCGCTATTCACCAACATGAAGAGCAAAAGTTACGATTGGTTCCTTTGCTAGTAGCCTCTCACGTGAACACGCATTTAGCCGCAAATGCCGGTCCATATCTCTCTTTTCTCCACTCCTTTCATGCATTTTCGTTCTGATAAACACGCTAGTGCAAATTCAAAATGGTGATGATGTAACCCTATAGACACCCGTGATCTTTCTTGCGGTGAACACAGTTTGCTAGTCTCTGGGAAGAACTGGCCAGCAGCAGACGCGCGGCCCAGCGTGGGGACGTCCTTCCACTTATGCGCTTCTTATGTGAAACAACAGCGATAAGGCATTAGTTCTGCGTTGTTCCCTCGTGCTTGTTGGCAAATTGCGAGTCAGAACAAGAATGCGTTTATCAACAACAACAATAATCCAATTTATTCTCATATGGGTGGTGTGATACTAACCTAAGAGTGATATCTAGAGCCCGAAGACTCTCCTAGGAATGAAACAATATTTTGTAGTAAGGAAATCAAGCGAGAGACATGCAAATCGCTTTGCTGGGAGGCAAAGCTACATCCATCATGCACTGCATAGCACATACTTACCATCATATGACACAGTATTCACCTAGCGAGCATGTTGCACATGTTCCATGTCTCAGGAAAACCTTTTGACGAAAGCCTGCATGTTCTAGGATTCATTAAGTATCGTGCCGATCGAAAGAACCCGTCCGGGCTTCTGATCCACAGTGGGGAATCTGCATCATCTCCCCACGACTCTGGGGTTTTTACGCGCAACTCCCCATAAAAACGCAATTAAGTCACTTCACGCTTACTTCGGGTTTCGGACAACGGAGATAACGCTGTCTCCACGAAGGAACATTTTCTGGATGTACCTGAGTTGCCAAAAAAACGGAAGCATCATTTTCGACAAATAGTTGCTTGTACAACTTGATTGGTAAAAGAGTAGAACGAAGTCGATGGAAGAAGATGGACAGACTTAAAAGATCCGTAAAAATAATGTCATTCTACCTGTCCTTGTTAATCGGTTTCGCCTTGCTGCTTCCCTTTGGCTGCTCAACCCACATTTCGCGGGCCTGCTCCAAAACCATGTTCATGTGTCGGTCGTAAGCTTTCAGTCTGTTGTGTTTGCGGACAAAGAAATGTGAATGATTTTAAACTTTCGCGAAAAAGAACACAACGGACTACAACAAGAATAGAAAGTCTATGCATACCAGTAATCAAGACGAAAATCAAAGGCGTATACCTGGCAATGACCTTGCGCGTGCTGCGAAGATTTATGAGAATTTGACCGTTGTCACGCACTGCCTTCTGGAGGAGAGCGAAGGGTCCCTCTTCAGAAATTCCGTCCATTTTGTCTAGTCTGTGGAGAATAGCGCAATAATTGAAGGCGTATTAGTTCTTATGAATGATCTCGCTTAGGCTTATCCGTTAGACTTACGTATGTCAGAGTAAAAATCCTAATTGTCGCAAGAAGTATCACAAGAAGCTTTTTCTATCACCTGCTGACAAACTACCTCAATTCGTGCATGTGGCAAAAGAATAAAAAGTCGTTAGGATTCATGTGAGGAGAATAAGCACTGTAACATGACAGTAAGGACTTCAGACAACATCGATCGTTAGAAGCATCAAATTAGGATTAGCAGCTCAGTTCTCCCGTTGTGGGTCTTCAGATCGTTACGCGCATCATCAGAAAATATTACTCCTGATATGATCCTCATGCATGTTGACCGCAGCAGACACACGGCAGTGGAGGGATTTCATTCATGCGAACCAAGGACAAAGATGTTCCTTTGATGTTCCTTTTTCAAGACTCATGACGGCCATGGAAAGCCTTAGCATTCAATATTCTAGAGATGGATGTGGATCCTTTCTCATTGCAATCAGAGTACAGAGCATGAGCGATTCCGCTACGTGACATCACCATCACCAAAACTCTTTAGATCACAGGAAGGAACCGACACGATCACATTGAAACCAGAGAGCATGTTTTTTGGCCCTCTGTTGTATCATCTTCTTATTCTTTGGTACTCTATTTTGCTTTTCTATGCCTGCGAGAAGGGTCTGGAAAAGTCAGAAAGGTTACAACCATCAGGGCACGAATCTCAGAATATCTTCTGGATTCACTAGCTCTATTACAGAGTAAGCGGGGGTTCAAAACCACACTCCGTGGTCACCGTGAAACTCATGCGGCTGGTGGCGGGGAAGAATTCATTGGATTATATCAAGTATTTTTGGGACTAGCTTACACTTGCACTGGCTTCTTGAGTAGTTTTGAAAGTTATGAATGTGAAAAAATAAAGGCGTCCGGAAAATCCTACCTTCGATTTGCACACAAAACAACAAGAAACCCGAATGATATCCTTCTCGACTCGGTTCCTCATTTTGCGATTCCCGCCGCCGTCTCTACTTTTTCAAGTCGTTTTTCGACGCGCGCTTGATACTCCATCACTTTTTGCACAGAGTTCTCGAGTCTTTCTAGCATCTTCTGTCCCTCTAACAGGAGCACCCAGAAGCTAACACCACTTGCGAATATAACCCCGTACGTGAAGCTTCGTGTTCTCGCGAGCATTCCCGGCTGTGGCTTCGCTTTTGCCGAAGATGAGGAGGAGGACGACGAGGAGCTCGAAGTTGAGGCACCGGGCTCACCTGGTAATGAAGACAAAAGGTTGGTGTAGTTGTAGGCTGCTTTATATACCAAGAAAGAATGAAGACGTGAAATCTCGGACAAAGTGTGTTATCACTGATCTGCTACAAAACAGTTGCATCTCGCCAGCTTGGTATGACAAACACAACCAATACCTACTGCCGAAGATGCTGGTGTTGCGACAGCAGGTGCACTGGCTTCGGCTGCAAAGTGTCTTATGGGTATCTGCACCGGGCACAGGCGGAAGTTGCTCGGTGGTCGTAGTGCTGTCCGGTGTGGCAGGAAACGACGCATCATCTTTATGATGGACTGTTGTTGGACTTTTGAGAAAGTCCAACTTTATCTACACAGTTTTCAGCGTTGTTGGTCTATGTTGTCGTCGAAAAAAAAGACCAGCCGACGAAACATAGACGCAATCACTTTATCCAATTACTTTGTGGAGCTCTGCTACGTAATTAGAATCAACCAAGATAAATTCACACGATAAAAATCTTGGAACAGAGGCAGTCGGTGGTAGAAAAACAACCTGACAGCGTGAAAGCTTTTCCTTTTCCTCGCTACAAAACCAACTTTTTTCCCGCACCGTCCATTGCATCTGGCTATTTTTCATGTGCACGTATGTGTCATCATTATTGAGGAACATGACCAGCTCTCGAAATATCAAGATGGAACAATTCCAGCTACGGCCAGGACTCTAGTATGACCTTTCTCACTCAACTCTCTGCCAAGGACTGTAGTACGTAGTTTACACCAGCATCCGCAAGAATTGGTTGCATAAAACACGCCGGTCCGGAGGAATGCCGCCTTCTTTACGAGGATCAAACAGAGAGAGGATTTCGTGGCGCAAGTAGAAGTCTGATACGTATGCATTGCCAAGCTCTTCGACATCTCGTAACTGGCTAGTCATCGCCCGATTCGCGGATTGCGGGTTTTTGTGTTTGCGTCTCGCCGAAACTTACGCGAGAAGGGTGATTTACAGAGGCCTCACAACACGAGGATGCTAAGCACTTACAATGAAGATAGCTCGTTAGCTCGTCAAGAGAAAATTAACGTCTTCAGCTCAATGAACTCACCACGTCCTCTTTACCCAGCTGAGCGTCCATGTGAGTTGAAGCAGCAGAGAGTGAATGAGGAGATGAGAAACCCATTATAGAAGCATAGACTATGAAACAAATGTAATGTACTTGCACCGGAATCGCCTATGACGAAGTGAGTATCTCGAAAAGAACAAATAGCTCCCCAGAAGCCAACGGCATACGAACAACTATCGATGCAAAGGATTGCCTTGGACTACCTCACTTCCTCATCCATGGTTCAATAGACTTTTGTAATTGCAACTTGCGCCAACGATATTCAGTCGTCGCTCGCGTTCCAAAAACATGTTCTCTCGCTGGATTTTCCGCTCGCCATCTTCTCCCCCATACTTCGACTTGAACGGCGGCGAATGGAGTAGCGGCTTCGGAGACACAATCACCTCAGCTCCTGTGGATGTTGAAAAAGAGAAAGTGTCTGATCATGATGAAGATTGAAATCCAAGTACTTTTGCCAAGTACTTATCCTGGAATAGACTTGTTGCACGAACGGTATTTTCGATCAATGTAGAATTTTTACCTTTTGCCAACTTGCGTTCCTCTGTTATTATGCCTCGTGGATTCAGCAGAAATTCCACTGTTGGCGAGTGGCTAAGGAGTTCTCCAGTCATGCCTGTGGTCCTATCACGCGGTGTGGCGGGTTCGTGTTTGCTGTCACTAGGAAGTGCGCCGAAAGATGCAGACTGATTTAGCAGCACATTTCTCTGCACTGTGGACGTAAACTCGCGTCCAGCGGCGTTCTGAAAAAGCGGCTTTTCGCTCTGCATGTTCCGCGTAGGCTTTTTATAAGGCAAGGCGGTGACCATCTTGGGTGGTGACGACGAACTCGCACCGGGTCCACCACCGGTTGTCAACTGAGAGCCTTTATTCGGCGACAAAGTCCCGGATCCCGCAGTCGCGAGATTTGTCTGCCTACTGCCTAGCGCTGGCCGAAAGCCGCTCGAGGTTGCGCCGAGTGGTTTGAGTTGAAATTCAGTTTGAAAGCTGAGCGGCTTCAACTGAAAGTCTCCTGGGATCGCTCGCGTCTTCGAACCCGTGCGCGAGTTCGCTACTGACGTCGCGCCGCTCGTTATGTCGATGCCCGAAGGCGGTTTCAAGCCTACACCTCCGCCTAAGTGCTGCTGAAAAGCTGCATGAGTCACCGAAATCTTTCCCGTACTAGCATTAGAGTTAGACCTGTTCTCCGTTTAATTCATCTTTGACGTATGGCGATCCTTGAAACATTCATAATATGCAAAAGCAGTATGATGCTCAAGAAATGCCAACAAAGACGAATTTTTTTGTCTCACGAGCCTTAATAGTCGTACCACTACCACCGCTGCTCGCGGACGATGCCGTCGGTCCTCCCGCCGATGAATTCTGCGGTTTACTCGTGCCTTGATTCCATCCATCCATCAAGTTCATCCAGTATTCCGCCTTCTGCATCCCCAACGGAGGCACGAGCTTGCTCTGGAAGAGTTCCCGCTCCCGGCGCGCTCGGTCTCCGTTCGGCATTTGTTTCAGCACTTTTTCGAAGGTAAATGTTGCTTTCGACATATGCGGCTCGGATGAGAACTCTGCGGCGCGAAGGCCAGGAAGCTGCAACAGCGGTCCAGGGATGTCGCACTTCACCTGACCGAAGTCCTCCATCTTCGTCCGCGTAACGTACGTCATTTTGCTGTATCCTGCTGTCTGTCCGATGAAAAGCTGTGGCGCTAGAAGAGACGATGTTCACTGTACACAAGGTTCTAGCTCGTTAGATTGATAGCAAGAATTTCGTACTTGAAATCCTTCTCTTTATCTCTCCTATCAGTGGATTCCAGAAGTATTTCATCTAGTCAATAATCTCTTTGTCTTCTATTTCTTATCATCAGCTACATCACTTGTCATGGTATTACCCTCTTTTTAAGTTGAGTTACAATTTTGACTCGCAGGATTTTTACCTGCCCTCTAATGAGCGGGAAAGAATAAAAAGCGCCACTGGAAGAAGCCAAACACTTCTTCAAATGCTCTACCGAGATCTGTGCGACAGAAAAAAAACTACGTCTCTCTTTCTTGAAAACCACAATCCAGAAGAAGAAAGCCAGAATAAAATGTCACAACCAACAACCGACTATATCCCGAGCCCGCACAAAACCGAATGCAAGAGACTCACTGCATCTTGAAGGTACGGCTTTCCATTTTTGGACTTGCCTTCCCGCCCATTTTTTCATGGTTCCGCATTGTTGTTGTTGCATGTTGTTGCAAAGAACATTTCATTACTACTCAATTGCTTACTCACCCTATTTTTAGTGGCAACCACATTTTGGTCAGGGACAAATTCAGCAGGTCATAACAACGCACATGCGGCACTTCTTGTTTCTCACTGGTTACTCTACCATCACTAACAGCAGGTCCCGCGTCGTTTGTTTCCTCCAGCATCTCCGAAGATGCGGAGACTGTCCGTGGCTTCTGAAAGTCGCGCCAGATGCGCTTGCCGTAGCGATCTGCCTTCAGAAGCGCTGCATCACCCGGAACCGTCACTCGACTAAGCAATGCATCCCCGCTTCCACCTTTGCGATCTCCCCCATCACGTTCGCTCGACGGCTTACCATAATTATGCTGAGGTCCTGCTTCATGATTGTCACTATCATGGGAAGCTGCACCTGTTTCGGCACCAGGGTCAGGCACCCCAGCGTCGGTGCTGTCTCTACGTGTGTATGCCATTGCTTCGGTATCGGAAACCGCCCATCCACTCGCAAACGCGTTGCCGAACGCATTGATGAGGCCCCAATGCGAGACCACAACCACCTCTTCATCAACGTCGGCCTTCGCAACTGCCTCAAGGATTGCTGTGCGCACTGCGAATAAGCGGTCAGGATCAATCATGTGCTCCTCGTTTTCGCATACTTTATTCCAAGCTGCCAGTCTTGCCTTCGCTACTTCCACTGACGGCGCAAACTTCAGAAAAAATGCGCTCAACTCTGTAGGATCCGGAGCCGCCTCTTTATCCTGCTCTAGAGCGTCAAAATCGGCTTGAGACACAATGCCCCAGTTAGATACGCGCGGGTGCGTCTCACGCAGATCCGGAAAAATGTCCGCACTTACCGAGAAACGTTCTCGATCGGCCATAATCGGGCCAAACACTAAGTCCGCAGTATGAAACGTCCGTCGCAACGGTGACACCAGTAACCGAATCTTCTTTGTTGTTTGCGGGCCACTGCACATTTTCTCGTAGAGGTAGGTTCCTAAACGCTTGCATTCCTCCTCCCCCAAGGGGGAAAGCGCGGGGTCAAGCAGCTTGTTTTCGCCTCCAGCATAGTCGACGACGTTCGCCATTGACTCTGCATGTCGCAGAAAGAAAAAACTACGACCCTTATTTGGCTCGTCCTTTCGCGTAGAACCATCAGAACCAGAGGAAGCAGTTGTACTAAAATCGCACGGCGCAACAAACTCGTATCCGAATTGCGGTTGAGGCAACGTTTTCCTACTTGAGGAAGATGGAGGATGGATTTGTGCTGCCGCAGAAGTGTCGCCAATCGAAGGTGACATGTTGTCCCTTGAATCTTTGCGAGATCCGAGACAAGAGCAGCTCATATAATTTAAATTTCGGTTCTAGTACTCAAGACAGTCCAACAACAACAAGAGGAGAGCAGTCTTACCAATCACTAGCTGGTGTAGTTCTTGCATACTGCGCTAATTACATGCACTAACAATAGACTGATTATATGTTCAAGCTCCGCAGGGAGGAAAAGACACGCTCACAAGCATTCAGTGGGCATTTAGTTATCCCGCACAGTTTCGGGAAGGGGCCTCTCGCACTAGTTTTCTCTAAGTCTTTCATTTACCTACGCCGACAGGGACACTTATTTCGGAGGTGAAATTGGCGTGTGACTAGATCTGAACGGTAATATATATAACTACATGGGTCTTTAACTAGAAGCCGTCAGCAACATGTTGAGCATGGACCCCAATATGCAGCAGGAAGGAACAGTCGTGATTCCACACGCAACGGCATAGTATTCTAGCGGCCTTCTTCTTCTGCTACGTACATCAGTACACTGCAGAAAGCAATCCGAACAGTAATTCAATTATCATTGCGTTCAAACTGCCGAAAAACCCAACGTGTTTGGCGGAGTGCGAGAAACTCGAAAGAATAACGACTCAGCTCGGAAAAAAAGACAAAAAATCTCTGAGCATTTGACGCAAAGCAACGAAGGAAAAGAAAATCGTATACATAATCCCAAATAATAGGCGTACAAGTACACATTGCGCTCTGTACGAAAATCAACACGTATAAACCGTGAATAGGTCAGGACTCTTTGTCCAAGTGTACAACGCACGCCAGCACCGCAAAAAGCGCTGCAGTACATGCAGTATTTACGTAGACTCCATAGCCATATTGTCCTAGTACACGTTGTGATAAAGCATGACCTCGGAACGCCAGTTGTGATAAAGCACTTAAGTTCTCAGGACCGCAACGCCACATCTCACTTTGGAGATCGTTGCGAATTGCCGTATGCAAGAAGCGTTCTGGCTAGAGCTTCAAAAGCGGCGCGACCTTGTGTAAGAGTACTTCGCGAACGGTGGCGCGCAGCTCTTGGCTGTTCGTCAAGCACAAATCTGCCAGAAGCGGGAATAGCGTAGGACATACAACTTGGAAAAGACCCTCGGCTACTATTTTTGAGCCTTCCAGGTCTGTTGTCGTCTCGATGTTAGCTTTCGGATCCGTGCTGTTTCCACTGGCTTTTGCACCAGCGTCTTTTTCAACTTCCTCATCTGCTATTGAAGCTGCTGCCGGGTCCATCTTTGGAATCGCCGCTGCCTCGATACCCTGCTCGATGCTGCTTTCGATCGGAGTCGCATCTGGCATCGCTGGCGAAGCGACCGGGCTTGCTGAGGAGGACGATGATGGTGCCTTATCAGCCTCCAGCAAATTCTGCAGGATAACTTGTGTGATGATAGGCTGTAAGCCTGTTGTTTCTCGCTCCAACTCTACTGCCTGCACCTCGTCGTCCCCTTCACGCAGCATGCTCTGCATCAATCGCTCTTTGCGCACGTAATTCAGGAATGAAGGGAATGCTGTCAAATGCAGTTCGCTGTCACTTATTCTTTAACGGAGCGGCTTTGAAAACGGTGCACCAGTTCTAGTCAACTCCGTTGGATTATTTGTGGTCATTAAGTGATCTATTGCAGCCGATGTTAGGTACAACCGTCTTATAAAGCATGATATAGTGAAGCAATCACGTGACCATACATGTATCACAGAGCGGCAGCAGGCTATCAGCCTTTCACACATGTCTGCATTGAGTCGGCGCATCGGATATAATGCAAATAGAATGCCCAAGTAGCACGTGAGCCCCTCGCGCTCTTGTTTCAGCAGACCCGGCAAGTCGCGCATGTCTCGCATGAAGCCCAAACGTTTGAGCTCTAGCCTCAGAGAGATCTTCTGGTTGAAGTCGTGCGCAAAGGAGAAGGAACCCTCCAACGATTGCAGAAGCACTAGGACTACAGTTCGGGGAATTCGCCGTGCGTGTCGCTCGAACAAAGAATGTACGCAATCGATGAGAAGTAGCTGGACAACACAACCAGTCACGACGCTCTTCGTCACTTCATCGACTCGAATTTCGAGGTCTCGCTGCGATACTCCAGAAGCCGTGGCACTGGAAGCGGCAGAACCTCGTTTTGTGGAGTGAAACAACATTATGTGAGGAACATGTAGAATGAATGTACTTTTTACCTATCCTGAACAATCATACGTACTTAGATCAAATATATACAACCGAACAAAGCAAATGTCAACATAATTGGTTTTATCAATACCACCCGTTTTTCCTGCCTTTTTCTTGATTTCGAGATGACGATGGAGCTGCATCAGTGCTGAATAGAGCTCGTCTTGGATATCTACTGGAGTAGTCTTTCCAAAAAGAGTCTGCAGCCCATTTGCAACAAGGTCCCACTGTCCTGGCGAAAACTTCTCCCCTGCTTTCTCCAGCAGTTGCTTGAAGGCCTCCACTCCGAGACGCGCTATGCTCTCCAAATTATGCGTCACGGTGTTCACTGAGACGAGTAAGGGAATAACACGGATGCGAAACGTTCATAAGGTTTTGTTGTGGATGTTTCTCTGAGAGAGACAGGAAGTCTGAAGAGTTTTGAATCCGTGTTCGAGTACGAAATCCAAAATTTTCCGTTAAATGAACATGATCTCACGTCGTGGCCGTTGTAAACGGTGATAGCGCGCAGTCGACGTATAAATAACCTTATATATATATATACTCTGTATTTTGGCTTCCTGAGAGAGACGCACCTAGGTATTGGATATATGACACAGGGACGCACGGCCCCCCCCTGTGGGTGGCCCTTCGGTTGCGTTTGCGCGCTCTTTTCCGCGCTTCTCGCGGTGGAAGGCGTCAAAACTGGGCGCGGGCGTCCCCTTGCGCCTCTCTGCGTGTTCCCAAGAGACCGCCGGGCCTTTGCTGACCCTCGCAGGCTGGAGGTCTCCGGGTTAGAAGGCCGCCGACGGCGGCCACGGTCTCAAGAGCAAGCAGGCCGATGACCAAGGGCCCGGAGGGTACAGGCCACACGGCTCAGGGGGTCCAGCCTTGCGCCTTTTGCCGCCTTCGGAGGCCTTCCACACCCGGCGCACTGCTGCGGCGGCGAAGCGCATGCCTGTAGGGTACACGCAGGCAGCTGGAAGGGAGCGAAGGAGGCCCCTTCGACCCTTTCGGAAGCCTTCCACCCCTGACAGACGCTTTCCAAGGGGTCCGGGGATCCACGGCCCCCTCCATACGCTAGGGGGGGCGCTACCCTGCACCCTGGAACGTATAGATATACAGACTTTGAGTATAATTGCGTACCTAGCACTCCTAGGAAATCCGGTAGGAGGAAGCTGAGCTGCTGGAAATGCATATCGATCAGAGAGACGCAATTCGACAGTGCCGTGAGACAGATCGTATCGTGTTTTTTGTCTGCAGCGTCTAGTTGAATATCGTCAAAGAGAGGAAAGAGTACTCCACGAAAAGTCATATGCCACGTGTCTTGATCAAAGCACTGACCGCCATGCTTCTTCAACACCTCGAAAAGACCGTTGAGGGCCCGATTTCGCACCTCCTTGCGACTATCCCCTGACAACGTCGACAGCGCGCGCAGCAGCGGAAACCAGTGAGCTGGAGGGTGGTGGAAGTTGGCAGAGATATAGATCGTTGCTTCTTTGAGATACGAATCCGTTCTGATGAATCAGTTAAATATAGGAGAACAAATTGTAACCTATAGCCTAGTATACTGGCATGCTCAGCCATTCCCTCGCCACTCTCCACGCCATCTCGTGGCACGGGTGGAGGTGCGGCGTCGTCTTTCGAGTCCGTGGTTGTCAGTGCACTTTTACCCTTATTGCTCTCCTCGGCTGCCTGGTCATCCTGGGCGATATGCGCGGCAACATCGAGAATCAACTGAACCGCCTCGAGCGATTCTACCGTAGGAAACATTAGAACGGCTAGCACGTTGATGGATTCTTTCTTTGTTGATGCTCTGCTGCACCCATGCGTGTGCTCCTGTCTTAATCTTTCCTGATTACCTAAGGTGCAAGTTGCGGTATACGACCCGAACTGAATTTCTGGAAAAGAAACAGAAAAAAGTCCCTTAACAACAGCGGACATTGAGCGAATCCGACCAGGCACTTCATCCCGTCCGCTAGGTTTTCTTGGAAGTGATTCTGCTGTTGCTCTATGGCCTGTTGTAAGACGCTGAAGGCGTTCTTTAAAAGCGTCTTCTTTTCTGGGCCCGGCTGGGGGCCAGGCTGTGTCGTTGCCCGCAAAACCTGGAACACACTGCGCCACCCACTCTTGATATTACGCGGGCAACTCTTCATCAAGGTATGGACACACGACACGACGAAGTACCTACGGAGAATGGTGTTTTCAGGAGTACCTGTCGGCCACCTTTAGCCGGAGGCATCGCCAGGATTCAAGATACAAAATACAAATACGCACGCTCACGCTTTGCGAAAAATAATGTGAGTAGGTACTTCGCGTCGTTGCTGGCTTTTGGTGTCGAGACGACGATTTCGAGAGGCCGCAGCATCTCCGACTGAAACTTGAAGTTTGAGAGTTCGTCTCGCTCCAAAAATTTGATGATCAGCTGACGCAACGAATCCAGACCGTACATGCAAATACTGCTGTTTTTATGCACACAAACCTCGCTAAAGTGCTGCGACAACACCCGCCAGATGCGACTCCAGATCAGCCGGATGCGTGAATACATATTCGCGTCAGCGACTTCGAGTATTAGAAGAATTCAGGTCCAAGCACATTTTCATATTAAGTCCAAGGAATGCAACGCTTACATACTTATGCACTTAAGATGTAGAAGAGCTGTATGTGCTATTCCTTGTTAACAACCATAATTTAATTGTCTGAGGAGACCCATGATCATACAACTAGTTTCTGCAACGAAAAGACTCGCGGCTCTACCGCGGCGTCTATGTCCACTGTCGCCGCCACATGCAAGTTCAGCTCATCCGCACTGACCGCACACAGCGCCGAAACGAAGTCCACTATCGCTCTTGCGCCCAACTTCACACTCTGACCGAACAACGTGTCGATCGCGCCAGCGCAATTCAAGTTCGCAACCACAGCCGCACTATTAGATTGCTCGACAAAGCGGTCCTCCTCGCTCATCTTTACTAGACCAGTGAGCCCCGTGCCAATCTTCCGTTTCGGCAACAACGAGGTTCCGAAACCGCGTCGACCGCTCCCCGAATCCCGAGTAGATCCATCTCCAAATGCACTAGCTGATGTAATTGATGAGTTCTGTGACGGTACTACTTTAGTACACCAAGCGCAAGATCTAACCATTTGCATTTGATTTAACTTGTGTCATCTAGTACAGACAGAGTTGATTAAAGCGTAGGAGACTATCTTTCATGGTGTGAATATTTACCTCCTTTGTCCGGCGTCCCTGTTGTTCTTGACGTCGACGCCGCGCTGTCTAGGTCGTTCCCGCCATCGAGGCCATTCAGGTCTGGAGCAAAATAGTGAGCATCTGGCTTATTCATCGTGCGGATTAGGTGGAGGCGTTCCAAATGCGAAATGCAATGCAAGACGTGAATCCAAGAGGAGCATAAGTAGTCGCCTTCTGCCAGTCCTATGTCGAGCATTGCCTTGATACACATGATATTCTTCTGCTGGATTTCCTTGACTGTCGCCAAATTCGTAAACTTAGCAAGCGAGCAGACGTAAGCATCCCGCTCCGTTTCCATGTTCAATCTCGCGCTAAAACGTACGCAATGCCTGTTGTATTGGGAAGATGAAAGAGTGATTTTGAGGAGCTTGCTCCCTCCAGCGAACTCGTTCCACCCTGTGGTGAATTATCAATCATCTTCCATTATAGTTCTTGTACTACGAACCTACTCAAGTATACCTAAATCCCTCGACGCAGAGTCTCAGAATCTGGTTTTCTGGCGGCTGTCTAGGTTCACGTCCCTGGTCATCGAAGAGAGGATCTGCCCAATGCGTTGTCTCCAGGAGCACCGACAATGTCGCAAGCATGGGCCAGCAGATAACCTCGAATAGTGGGCGCCCGACTACTTCACTAGGTAATTCCGAGGCCTGTATGAACGGTTTCTCCGGTAACAATGAAGATGATTGTTGAGATGCGGCTGGCACCATGGTGCCTTCACCTTTCACGTCCGCGTTAGGTCCCCCAGGCGTGCGCGCGTCTACGAGGGAAGCACCAGAGGGTGAGCCCGGCTCGGTTAGCACACTGAAAGACTGCGCAGCTGCGCTGTCAGATGAAACTGCAGTACCAACTTCGGAGACGAGGGAACTCAAACCTACTATCCGCTCGGACGGTGTGCTAGGTTCTGCGCCCTCAGCCGTTGTGCTAGCCAGATCGGAACCCGCCAATGACTCTACCACGATCACGCTGGTCGTCGTATCGACCTGCACAACAACATCCGACGCAGGATTTGCTGTATTGGTGGTCGCCTCAGCCGCCATCTTCGCTGCATGATCTAGAGCCTTTGCTCGCTGCTTCTCTTTAATCTGCTCCATCGCCCGCTGCGATCGCTGCACCATGACGCCCACTTCTTTGGTAAACAGCTCCATCTTCGCGATTTGAGATGTCGCGTTCTGCGACTCGAGGCGCGCTCGCTTGTCATCATCGTCGTCTAACGTGATCGGGTTCGTTGCGATGTTCTGGTAGAGTTTGGCTAGATACTCCCTGCTCAAGTTTTGGCCGTTGTTGATGCCACGATTGTTGCTCACAAAATCATCGACTGTCATCTTGTTTTTGATGTTGTCGTTATGCAAATCTGTTTGCAGCATGACTAGCGAGAAGGCCAGGACGTACGCGCAATCAGCATTCGTGCCAAACTCTGGGTTATTCGGGTTGTCGCCACAAAATTTGTCCGCAAATTTTTCGACCATCCGATCGATTTTTTGCGCCTCTCCCGGCAAGCGAAAATCCGCCAGGAACATGCGCAACGCGGCGTCCAGGTCTACATTCGCGAATGAATTCAGGTTTACCATCGCGTTCAGACATTTTTGATTGAACTCGCCAGGTTCACCCAAAAAGTCCCCGATCGCAGTCTTATCCAAACCGCTAGTGCTCCGAAGAAAATCCACGAGACCCTGTGCGTCGCATCACTTAGCAGCAAACACGGGAAGAGACCGACTCACGACTTCCCATACAACAAGCCTTCATGAACCGAAACGGGTCAGACACTTTTGAGGTATTTTGATTGATTGAAGCATAGCAGGAACTCAGTCCCTCTCTGCCATAACTTCTGTAACGAAGCCCAACTTGTAGAAAGATTCGATTCCTTTCTTCGGTTTCGCATTGAACTTTTCGATCGCCGTCTGGAGTTCCATTTTCCTCGCCTTCTGCCCTGCGATGTCGATGTTAGTCGATGTTCGCGCGAGTTGCCCGAAGTCGCTGCCTGTGCTTGCTGCATGAAACAGATTTACCACTGCTGGATCTGCGCCATTTCCGTTGTGTAGTTCGGCCATATTGGTACTTCTGACACTCGCAGGCGTACTTGGATCGGCATCCTCAACTGCTTTTCGCTCATCTACTCCTTCGTTTTTCGTCTCATCCGAATCTGTATTCATGTCCAGGCTGGCTCGCTGCACCATCGAGTCCATCAAGCCTACGAGAGACTCCAGAGCCAGAACGCGGAGCTCCTGCTCTTGACTGTAGGTAATGAGGATTACATGGTCCACCGTGGAGTACTTTCCTTGGGCAATCTTCCCGAGGCAGTCTATCATGCGCTCAAACAAGTTCTTCTCCTCGACGTCGCAATCGTAATTCACGAAGAGCTCCACGGCAACACGCGCGTCAGTGCAAATCTTGTGAAAAACAGACAGAACACGCTTCTTATGCTCGTAGCTGCTGTTGCCGCTCTCGAGAATCCGCAGGAAAGAATTTAGAAGAGAGCGAAAGTAGCTCACAACATCCCTTTTATTCAGTCCATATTCGGTCACAAATAAAAATGAAACACTGTTCCTGGTGCTCATTACGGGTAATTCATAAGATACTCTCCAAAAAGACGGCCGCCTCGGCTTTCAGGTGTTCCTGGAAGTGGCTGATGAGGCAAAGGTAGATCGCGAAGGAAAGGGAAAAAATTTTGGGTACAGATGATACGCAGTTTTTCACCAGAGCGACGCACAAGTAGGACCGCAAAGCGTGCACGAATTTTTCTGTCCCCCGAAAAGCCGGACCCGCAGAACTGACCATATGCGATATCAGCTCAAGAATCAGCCGTTTATGTTTGATGAACTTTTGATCGGCTTGTGGTCCAGGAGGAAAATCGCGCATAGACATCTTGCACAAGGATGCGAAAACGGCCAACGTACAGCGATAGTAGGGCAATCGATCCAGCTCTCTGCTGTCCAATGCCCGAACCATTGCAGCTATGCTTTGCGCACTGACGTAGTTATTCGAGGAAGAGCTCGCTAGTGTGCTTGATGATGACGCAGCCGGGACTCTAGAGCTTGTAGACAAATCTGGTTGAGCCACCACTGCTTTCGCAGAGGGGATAAATGAATAGTCATCGGGCGCGAAAGGCCGCTTTGGCAGAGCTCCACTGCTAGTATCTTGTTTTACCGCTGCCTCGTTTTCCGCAGCCAGCCGTTCCAAGTTCTTCTGCTTACATTCTTTGCTGCAAACAGGATCTCCAGTCTGAAGACAGTAGTGCGGAGCTGCGTCACGACGAAATTAGCGGTAGCTAGTTTTGCTCTATCACCCGGTATATTTTTTCAGTAATGCGCTTCGCAGAGCCAAACTAGTGAACTCGTGGAGGCGGAGGAAGAAGCACAACAATGGAGAAGCAGTCGGAGGAGAGATCTGTCGAGGAAGATGGTTTTCACTCGTAGCACTTCACGCCATGCAAAATAGCCTTAACAAACTATGCACCAGCCATATTTCCCAGGTGAACCTTTAGGTTCCTCGACGACCTCGAAAGACGACTGTGATTGATCCGAACTCTTGCTGCCACCCTCAGCAGTGGGCAAGCGCGGCGTCCCATCGCTAGTACCAGGAGCGCCACTGGCCCGCCAGTCCAGCAGCAAACGCTGTCGTTCCTCATCACTTGCGTTCGCCGGCAGGGGCGGGGCAGAACCGTGGGTATTCGAAACTACGAGATGCAAGCAGTCGGTCTCCATGCGCTGGCTTATCGTGGTCACGATGTGGATGAGCGCTGCGAGGATCACCTTCAAAGCCGCAACGCTCCTCGCCTCTTGATGTACTTTGAAACCCGCGCGAATCTAATTCATGAGGTAAAAAACAATCCAGGAATCAATGCATATCACGCCCGCATAAGACACTAAGGAGCTACATATGTTCAATCCATCCTGGCTTTTTCTCCTTTCGATGAAGCGAACATTACAACGCAATATCTAATTTTTCTTCGACGACAAACTACTTAGATCGAATACGTGGGAGTAGCGCAGTCGCATGCCTAGTAATAGGTAATACCGCCATCATGTGCACATTAGTGCTTTGCTGAACGACGCTCCGTGGGTGCACCACCAAGGCTTGGATCGCTGAAACAGCTTGCGTTTGTACGGCCTCATCTGGAAATTTTGTCGCTTCGGTTAGTGTCTCCATTATCGTCTCCACCAGCAGTCTGGATCCGTTTGGTCTTGCTGCCGTGGCCACAGGCGACGCAGCAGTTCCCTGGGCCGATGAAGTGTCGGCGTCTTCTTGCTGAGCAGACTGCGTGTCTGACGTCGGACTCGCTTGACTTGCCGTGGACTTCTTACTGCTCTCCGGGCTTGCAGCCAAAGCAAGGGGGTCGGGCCCTGCACCCCGTATCAGCCCTGTTTCAATAAGTCGCTGCATCCCGGCAAGCAGCGTCTGTATCATCTTTACCTGGTTGCCTTCTGCCAGTGCATCCGCGATACCTTGCCTCCAGATCAGGAAATACCTTGTTATTGTTCATCTTAAAACTTCTATCTTGTCACTCGAGCTCAACAGTCATCTACCTTTTTCTAGAGCAGCTTCAGGCATGAAGATTTCGTCTAATGCTCTTCGTTTTTTACAGTATCTATTCACTTACATTTCTTCACGAGTACCCATCGCCCGGCGCGTCTCCATTGTCCGCACACTGTTTTACTGTATCCAGACAGCGTTGGCATTCGTTCCTGCAGTCGACGAATTTCTTAGGCACGTGCTGTTGGATCTTCGTGACCACGTCAAAAAGCAACTGCCTTGGCGATAGCGGCTCTCCAGTCTGCTGTCCAATATTATTTGTGGTCGAAAGACTAGTATTATCTGCTCCCCGTGCGGAAGACGGGTCGTAGGACCCTCCCGACATCATCTTCTCGATGTTGTTGGAGAGCGACAGTATCGCCTTCTTGTCGATGCCAAGCTTGTTCATACCTTGCCCAACTAGCTTCGACATAGATTTTGTGACGCGGTTCGTGCTCGCAGTTGAACTCGAACTTCCGCCCACCTGCGCTTGATTCTGCACAATACCACCACCCGACGCTGCCCCGTTCCTGTTAGAAGAGGCCGGCAAATTCCATCCCTGTGAGTGATTCGCTCTAGCCTGGTTGTTCATTGACAACGAAGCCAGAAAACCTCCTCTAGGATGGAATCCGGCGACCCTTAATAGTAATGGACGATGACGCAGTCGAAGTCTCCGCCGCTGACGTACTTGTACTCGAGGCACTCGATGGTGCCGTGGTTGCTGACGGAGCTGCATTCTTCTCTTTCGCAGCTAAGCCTGAAGTTGGTCCGAATGGGGTCTTGTTCGCGGCATCTGTTGTTCCTCCTGCACCAACACTCGCCTTCCCATCGACCCCGTTGTTTGCAGTGTTCACATTCTCCCCCGTTGTTTCGACGCTGCCTTCTTCCGGCTTTTGACTGGTGTTTGCGACCGCTGTTCCTCCACCTCGTTGTGGCGAATTTTTGGGACTTTTCGGAGACACTGATCGATCTGCTGGTGAAAGATCCGTTTGGGCGGGCAGCTGATTCGAACTCCGTTCCGGTGGACGAAAGCTCTGGTTCGTTGACAAGTTGGGCGACGGACTCGGTGGCTCGCTCATCTTGCTGGAAACAAGGTCATCCTTTATTGACGCTGTCAATCAGAAATGTCAAACGTCGAAGAGGTTACGAAGGTGAGAGAGCCAGCAAGGTTATGTAATCTTCGGAAACATAATCGACGAAGTCTTCTTTTTCGGACGTGGGTAAATATCTGCATACGTACTTGATCGCCGGCAGAGTAGTCGCTTTTTTCCATGCTACAGATCGTAACTCTAACAGCCTATAAAACTGCGCTCAAGCTACTTTTCTTCTATATTCACAGGCATATCGCAGGTGGAAGCTCCCACAGTGTCTTGGACTCATTAATACCGCGCTGTGAAGTCTCATACAAGATGGGATATTAAAATTTCGAACAGCAGCGTGCCTGTCGCCATTTTTCAGCTACCTCAAGCTGTTATCATTTGAAATACTAAATCCTTCACGAGACGTATCACGCGTGATCACAAAACCTTGTTCAAAGTCTTCTCGACGTTGAAGTATCGTCCAGATTTTCAGTTCTGAGCAAAGCATTTCTTCGAAAGCCTTTATCCACAGTACGCATTTTGTATATTAGACATGAAAGTTTATTTACCTCCAAGGCAGTCTTGAATTTTCTCTCAGAATAGGGACGAGTGTTGCGGCATCTCCATGAGTAAAAAGACATATAATTGTTAATCTAACGAAAAGGGTAAGTTTGAATAAAGGACTTTACAGCTGTTCTATTTTGAAAATCTCGAGTAAGCAAATACAGAAAAATCAGTTCACTTTGTGCAACTTTGAGGTAAGAAAATTCATTTTCAAATCTATGCTTAGACTGTTTTACAGTATTCTTCTACGTTTTCTTTGTGAATTTGCTTACTTCCTTAGCCTAATCCACATCTATTCAGCATTTGCATTTCTATGAAAATGAATCCATGTCGTGATATGCTACGACTCATGCAGCGAGAAAGAGCTTCAAACGAGCCCCAGTAAATTATTCTGTACGGAGAAGTAAATAGAAAGATGTTCAGTAAACACACTGTTCTGCCGCATCGAACAGAGAGAATACTTCTTACGACACTCTTCACCTAGACAAGGGTACGTGACCGCTTCCTCCTGCGCCCAGTTTGTGCGAGAACCATGGGACACTGGAGTCTTCGGCCGGTAAGCAGTCGTAACGCAGTAGATTCGTGTCCACGAGGAAATCGTCTTTCTTGCCAAGGCGTTCTTGCGAAAGCAGTGGCGGCTCAGTCTGCTTGATGCTGCCACGGCCACCAATCGGGTGCTGCGGGCTTGCAGCCAATGCTGACCTAATTGATTTCGATTCGATGGAAATTCGAAGGGAAGTAATTGATTTGTGATTAATATTGGCGCTTGGCCGGATACATAACTCTGAGTCTAGATCCTACTACATGACCACTTTCATTCAGTTCACTGTGTAGTGCGTGGAAAAGGTCTAGATTCTAGAAGTAAGCACAGCAATAAAAAAATAAAAACAAAGTAGACCTTGGAAACTCTGCGAAGACATGCGGAGCCGAAACTGGAGTTTGTGCTCGGATTACGTGCTCCATCGCACGATAGTACATTCGATTTAAGAGTGTGCGGGCGTAGGCGTTTGCCTCGTTCTGATACAGAGCGTCGATCTTCTTCTGCGTTCGCGATTCGTGCCTCTTTGCGTACGCGTGGCGCGCCTTTTCCACCAAAGTACCACCAGAGGGGACACGGTTCGCGAAGTGCATCCTGATTGACATAGACATTTCTCGTGATGCTTCGACCCTAGCGCATAATCAACAGGATACATAGGACGAATGTCATCCAATGCGAATTATTACTTGGAGAAACCAAAAAATCTGATTCACGACCAATTGTGATTCACTTTATTCATAACTCAATTACAAACAGAATAGGTTCGCAGATCAGTATTCTGAAGCAAGTACCCCTTCGGCTTCTTCACCTTTCGTAGCTCTGCCTGCTGCGTTGGCTCGTCGTCGCCGATCAAGCTGGCTCTTGATGACCTGAGCAACAAGGCATCATTTTGTAATGGTGGTTCATGATTGGCTTGGATTGAATGGTACACGAAGAAATTGGTTTACTCCACAAGAGAGCCGAGATCATAATCAACATACAATTCGTGCTGATAAAAATCATAGCAAAGTACTCTTGCAGCGACGTTGACGCTGTGTTCCCTCCTGAGCGACTGCCGCCGCTCACAGAGCCTACACGCTTCTCCCGTTCGTGACCTAACTTCGGAGCCAATGCTAATGTCGGTAGCCTCTTCTTCGGCTTGGGTTTATACATGATGGTGAAAGGCGACGAGCGCGCAGGTCGCAAGAACGGGGACTCCAAAACCATCGTTTCGATGCTTTGCGCCAGAGACAGAGACTGGATAACTTCTTTCGTAAGCGACATGCCGTTCATGCTTGGCGCAGTCATTTGGGTCTCAATTTTGGGGGGCGACCCAGCAAGTGTCGACACCTTCATGTCCCACGTCTGATACCTGGAGTATGATAAAAATCAATTTGTTGGTCATTCAAGAACCCATCTTCGGCATTATCAAAGGCACATCTACTGCTGCCTCGGAATCGAGGTCACCTTCTTGTATCTATAAATGTAAGTACTTCGCTTTGACATTCGGGTTGTTTTGCGCCGACATGAATGACACGCGGCAGAAGGTGTGCATTTCTGGATACACGAGGTAAAGTTGCGACCCGGTGTAGAGTACGGGAACGAGCCTACCCTTCAAAGGACACCGCACTCCCGCAGCTACTGGTGGCCCGCTGCTCAAGATGTCGCTTGTTCCAGACATGCGCTCACTTGACTCCAAAGCTTCACTCCGCCTTCGCTTCCGCATCTGCATGTGGTCACGCATACTGCCAGGCCTACTGAAAACCTCTTCTGGAGGATCCAGGGCGATCGTCAATGCCCGCGAATCCGGCGCAAGCCATTCAGTATCGAATGGCTCGAAACTTAGCTCTGACAAATCGCCTTCGAAACTGATGAAGAATTGAGTGAATATTATTTGTTACTGAAGATGCTTGTCGAACAAGTATTAGTTGCCTCATTTGAATTATGACGGACAACTATCTTCAAAGTGTCGCATTTGGCGATCACCGTCTACTATGATTTCTTATCGAAGTATTGTACAGTACCTGAGGGAAACTTGCGTGAATTTCCCACACCAGTCCAGTGGGCGCTCTGCTTCCGGCTGGAAGAATTCTAGGACTCCTAGGTGCGGGCCTGGAAAGAAAAACAACTCCGTTTGGTCAGCCACGAACTGCTTCAAAGGTATGATCTTCTTGGAACCCACAGTGAGCACCCATAGTGTGAGGAAGCCACCCGCCGACGTCGCCATGAAGTAGAGCGTGGAGCGATCCTTGAACTGCAACTGCGATATCCGTCCCCAATTTCCAGTCTGCCGGACGCAGCAGCTTTCGCTCGGTTCCAAGTAGTCGCGGGACAAGTCCCAGACGACTGGAGGAGGCGGCGGATCAAAAAACGGCACGTAATGCGCAGTGTGCTTGCGGTTTGGAGGTGCAGGCAGATGGTTGTCCGGGATACGAACGTCGTAGGTCCGCAGAGCCCCCTGACCATGACGCGACACTAGGGCGAAGCGGTATCGGTCCTTCTTTTTGGCATGTCGCCTCAGCACCGGAGGATTGGCCCACCACACAACCAGCGGACCGCTACTGCTAGTATCCGTTCCTGCGGTGATGGTTTCAGACTCAAATTAGAGACATAAGTCATCAACTACCTTCGTCATGCTCCCAGGCGAAGCCCACGCACGCAGAAGAAGAAACGGAGCGTGAAAAGCGACAGCGAGAAATAGATTTCAATGAATCAACTACAGCTACCTTTCAAAGTACTGCCCTTAATCTTTTTCTCGCGTGTTGTTCTCGAGGCTCTCCAAAGGCTGCTCGATTCGCAAATACGCGCGCACGTACTGCAGAGTGACATCGGTCCAGAAAACCCATGTATCCGTCACAAGTAGTAGAAAACGAGCGTCTGATGGGTGAGGTACGATACGCCGAACCAAAAACGCCTTTTGCGATCTATCTTTAGGGTTTAGTTCACTCGAAGCAAGTCCGGTACCTAGCACAGTTTCAGACGAAGAGGACGAGGCCGCACTAGGCGCTGTGCCGATTGGACGCTCGGAGGCTGCATCCACGCCGTTCTGGTCGTCCCCAACCGCATGAGGCGAGGGAGCAGCTTCATTGTGATTTCTAGAAGGGGGCATCAGATCACCAGCACCCCGACCCGCCTCTAGTTCTCCCGAGAAATCGACAGCGCTCAGCTGCTGTGACGTTGTGCTGCTCCGCATCTTCCCTGGGCTCGTCGCTGCTCGACCATTCTTCTCGCGCCAATCCCGGCGCATCTCCATCTCTCTTCGCCGCTCTACGACATCGCTCTCACTCTCGCGGATATTGCGGATATTCTCCCGGACCCACAGCTCGGCAGCAAAACATGGATCAGGCGGCACACGTGCGCCCTTGCGCTTGCGGTTTCGGTCCGCCAATTCCCGTGCGGCGTCGCGCTCACTTCGCTCGATCGTTGCTGCTAGGTCTATCGAACTGTAGATTGTCTGCGTTGCGATGTCCCAGAGATAGAGCTTCCCCTCGCTAGTCGCGGAAACAAGCAGTCGCCCTGAAAGGAGCAAATATATTATCTTGATCAGTTCATCACAAATAAAGACATCATTTCTGCATGTTTGTAGCGGGACAAAAATTTTGTCATGGATGACTTGCGTCATTGATCGGTCACCTTGAGTGGCCGTGAAATTACGGCTCTCACATGCATTGCCTGACTTGCTACTATCATCAGAAAAAATCTGCGAGTACCTCACGGAGGAAGGATCGTACCAGTTTCACGAGAGAAAGGAAAATTCCTTGTCAACTTCTTGTCCTTGGAAAGTAAAACTAAAGTACTTGATGACTGATAAATAAGACATGCGAAGATTAGATTCTCCTCTAAAAATACCTGATAGGATGCAGGCGGCTGTCACCGGCGCGGGGTGTTCGAAGCCTTTCTCTGGTTCGGTCCACTCTGGAATGTGCTGATCACTCCCGGCAGCCGCGCTGGCGGGATGACTCTGATAGAAGAGATCTCGCCATCCCTTGTCGGTCGGCGATCCCCTGTCCGATGCGCTAGGGGGTGCGATGGTCGATGCGGAATGCATGGTGCGGGAGCCGCGCTGCGGCGTGCTGCGCACGCTCTGCAGACTGGTGTTGTGCACGCTCGTTAGGCTCATCATACTCGCTTCCGGCTCAAAAACTGTGGCTTTCGAAGAAAACTGTAACGAAGTCTGATCCATCGAACTTCGGGAGTGCCGCTCACCACCCTGCTTCGACGAGGAAGGATCATGTCCAGCAGCAGCTGCTTGCCTTTCGTTGTACTCCATTAACCGCCTGCCTGCAGAGGAGATGCGGGGTGGCTTTTGCTTTTCCAGATTGAATTTCATGGGCTGGTGTTTCTTCCTCCGTGTAGACTTCTTAGGCGTGCGCTTCCCTGCGCTGTCGGGATCGACGGTCTCCACGCTGGTTGTACTAGCGTGGCGCGCATCCCCTCCTGGTCCGAACAAATCCTCGTCACGAATATCATGTATGAAAGGTGACAGGTCCTTGGGTAACACATCAAATTATACCCTCCTCGAAAGTACATTATGATACTGCGACCACGACTGTGGCTGTGCACTAGTGTAAGAGGAAAAGAGAAAGACATTCTACCACAAAAAATAAAAGAAGTGCATGAACCAAGTAAGTCAGGGAATGAGTGAAAATGAATTTCTATCAATACACATAACTCGCTTAGCTATCTAAGTGTCGTGCCCCATAGAATGAAACTCGTCAGAATCAGGATCGCGCGCTGCTACCGCTTTCAAATGCGTATCGACTTGGCGCAGCGTCAGCGATACGGGTGCTCCTAGCAAAGAATTGAAGAGGTCCGAAGCTTGCTGGTCGTGGTGCACGGAGTATCCTGCGGGAAAGACCTGCACGCACTGCTCTTGTCCTTGTCCTGCGACTCCGAAAGTCCATTTTTTAGGCCGTTCACCGTCCCGGGAAGCGCCACGCTTTCTTTTTCCCGCTCCGCCTCCGCCTGGGGAGGTGCGAAGTGAGCCTCCTGACTGCCTGGACCCCATTGAGTCGTGACTTTCGAAACGGACCGTCGGTCCGGAATGCAGAATGCCGCCTTGCGCAGGCGGCGCCATTGTGTGGTGGCCCTCACTAACCACGACTTGCTCTGCAACGGCATGTTCCTCCGTATCAATCACATCTTTTTTAGTCGCGTCCACGATCTTCTCATTGGCCTCCACGACTCCTAAGTCTGCGGAAGGGACGACAGGCTCCTCCGCATAAATGACCGACTTCGCAGTCCCCTCTGCGGCTTCATCTCGCGGAAGGTCAGCAGAATCATCTTCACCCGCAGCGAGTGCATCAGCGCCTGCGCCTGTACCAGCGTCGGCTGCATTTTCCTCGGTACTAGCACGATCCTTGTGGTCAGCTGGCTCCACGCCCACCATTGTCGATGAAGCAGCTGCCACCTCGCTGTGATCTTCGAGGATTGGCTTATTCTCATCCTCGATGACAGTGGATGTGTTATGCGACGGGGGATTCATCTCCACTGTCTTCTGCGAAAGACCGGTCGCGCCAAGCACATCTTCCTTCTCCACTGCGCTTTTCTGATCCTTGTCCTCCCCAACTGCACTTGTTTTACCCGGCGGGCGAGCCCCCACTTCTCCACTACTTTCCGAGTCCGTTGCCTGGCGTGCAGCAAACTTAGCAAGGGCCGGGTGTATTGGCGGGAGCGCTGCCGCGAGTCTCTGGTTCTCCTCTTCTGTTTTCTTTTCCACTACCTTCTTCTGCGAGAAGCCAGCCAAGACCGGACTGATTTCTGGAGGGTTTTCCTCGAGCCTTCGCAGCTCCTGCTCCCGTCGCTTCTTCCGCATAGCGAACCCCGCCAGCGCTGGATTCAGTTCACTGCTCGTTACTGCTGTATCTACGCCAGTAGCTCCGTCTTCGTCCTCCGCCGCTTCCATCGGCGCGCTGCTCTTGTCAAGCACGGGAGCAACAGCACCACCACCACCTTCAGCAGCAGAGGCGCTGCTGTCCTCTGGTTTTGCAACACCTGTAGACGAATGCTCGCTGACTCCAGGAGGAAGATCCTCAGGCACACCAGCGCTTTGGATGCTTTGCACCATCTCCGGCACGCTAATGCTCAACTCTTCGCTCTGTGTGGACAGCACATAAGCTGCTTGAACGGAATCTCGCGCCAGTGAGTCCCGCGCCAGCCGGTCAATGTCTTCTTCCTGTTCGTCCTCCTCCTCTACCGAGCCGAGCACCGTGCCTGCGGCACGCCGCATTGAGGCGGACGACGTCGGCGGCTTCACGCTGTTATTCGCGTGCTCTGCGGGAACGCTAGAGGCGCCGTTTGGCTGCACCAAATCCAAAGCGGACCCTGCCCCGGTTCCTGCAGAAGACGGCTTGCCGCCGCTCTGCTTACTGCTTGGGCGACCACCACTTGGTGTTTGGATGATCTGGTCAGCAAACATCCCGCCCCATCCCCCCGCGCAGTCTGCAAGGCCGCCGAACTCATGTAAAGAAAGAGCATCACCTAATTGATTAGATTTCTCAGATCTACGCGCTAGCCATGCAATTTAAACGAGAAAATTGTGAGTATTCATGACTACAAAACATTTTTGAATTCGCCTACTTAGAAAAAGACAAAACTTCCGTACCACAGCTACGAACAGTTTTTCACATTTATGCTGAGCCTTAAGCAGAGGATGAAGCTGCGTGCCTCCCTTCACTCGAGGTTTGATCGCCTTGCCACTCCACACCGTCTTATCCCGCCAATACGCCACCCGGTCACCGAAAGTGCAGTAGCCGACGGGCGCGTGGCCCAGGGGCTTGTCCCCGACATCAGGGGCGGGCCAGCTACCATGCGGACCCCACTCGACACCGGAAACAGTCGAAACAACGGCTGAATCGTCAAAACTCGGCATCCTTTTCAACTTGGAACGAGTTCATACGGATACAACCTATTCCTATTAGCAAAAGTATATAATAATAACCAGCCAAAGTATATAATAAGCTAGGCGCAGCGGCCGCGTCGTTCCTTCGGTTGTTTTTTGATCACTGGGCAACCAGTTTTTCAAATAAAGCGTCTTGAAGTGTAAGTTACTGACAAGTGTGAGCCACAAAAACGAGGTAGAATAAGCGGTTGTCACACTATTCAGTTTCCACGTTGATAACTTGGCACAGTATCCAGATCAAACCGACGTAGCCCAACCCGACCGAGCACAATGACCTAGCTGATGAAAGGAGGGGAAGAGAAGCTGCCAAAATTGGAGGAACTAACTAAAGACCGATAGAAAAATGTCGGTTGCGCCACAAGGACAGATGTGAACAAGCCTCTCGACAACTTGCTCGCTGCGTTCCGAGCTCGTATTGTAAAATGACTGACAAATCACTCATCTCCAAGAGGCTCGGATATTTGCCATGTGCCTCCTTTACCGATATATCAAATACATTTATCACGCTTATTTACCGATCCTGGGTTCTAAAACAGACATAGATCCACGATCAAGTCCGAATCGGAAGCTTAGTAACACGTTGCAAGTCTTTTTGAGACGCGTAACGCAGGCCGCAAGCGAGGACGAAGGCATCCTTCTCCCTAAGATGCTAACACAGGTGTGCGACAACTGCATACCGTAAAAATGCCCAAGTGCGAAGAGAGCGAGCGGTTCGTTGTGTGAAGAAAACATGGACACATAGAGTATTATTGAACCTACGTTTTGGAATGCGCAACTAGCAGATTCCTTTCTCTATGAAGCCACGGAGTCGCGTCAAAGTAACCCAATAGCGCCCACCGCGACACGCGGCTATCGAGTCTACATTTTTTACTCTAGGACTAGGACAAATATTCTCTATGCCCGCGACAACCTTGTTAAGAGAACCGTTATTCTACGGATGGCTCAACACTAAAGAACGTACTACAGATGAGTAACTCGACATGCTATTGATGTTGCTATCTACGAAGGATCAGCGTCACGAAGAGTCTGTGCGCTCAAAAACAGTTCAACTCGAGAAGATTTTACCTCTCCTGTCGATTTCTATCAGTCGCATTTCAATAGAGCAACATGATAGCTACGAAATAACAATCAGGTCAAAAGACAACCAATAATGTACATGCTAATGCTTCGAATATCATACATGTTTCATCATCTGCAATACCTAACCATCAAAATAAGTACTACACCTACACACACACTCAATCACGTTAATTTTTACACATCTATGCTGATATTCACTAGGTATCGCATGCAAAAAGGGGATATCAGGAAGAAAGGGCGAAGCGGCTGTCGCAGTGCCACGTCAGGTCAGTGCGCCTTTGCACCCGTCGTCATCTGGGGTAATCTTCATGTTCTGCGGTTGTCTTGGACTTGGTGCTTTTCAATTGCATGAAGGGATAAGCTTACAGGAAGAGGGAAAACTATTAACCGGTTGTTTTACTTGGTGCTTTTCGACTATAATGTTGCACGGGATAAGCCTAATTTTGTAGAGGTAAAAACTAACCGGTTGTTTTATTTTGTGCTTTGAGCGTCGCTGGACCTAAACCTTCGCCGTTTTACGGGCAAAAGCCAATCAAGATTTGCAGCACAGCCTCATACTATGTTAAGGGGAAAACAAAAATTGCAACTTGGTGCTTTTCAACTATAATGATTACTTCGTTGCAATTTTTGTTTTATATTCGACTGATTCGCCTTTTAGCAAGTTTCTTCCCACACTTCTATTTGTGGGCAGCCGCTGTCGGTCATCGAGTACTCGAGACAGGGCCAAAACATCGGGTCACGACGTACCACCGCCATTCTCTGCCTGCCGTCCATGTCGCGCAAGAGCAGCCGCACGACGGCCTGGGACCGTTTCTCGCGTGCACCCAGGGTGTAGGATTTGGAATTGCTTCTGTCATCTGCAAATCGAACAACCGGTTGTGACTGAGAATCTTCTGCCGCAGGCTTGATGAAGCTTTCAGAAAAATTCCTCTGCTGGGATCTCTTTTGCAACGAAAAGCTGGAGGACGGTGCATCTTCTGGTTTTTGGGCGAACTGCGAAACACGACTATCAAGCAAAGAGTTTTGCGGCTGCAATCTGGGCGATCCCGTGTCGCTCGATGCGAAAATCGAAGCGGCAACGCGCAGGTCATCGAGCGTGCGCGTAGTGACGCCGTTTACCTGCGCGAGGAACATGTCGCCGACCTTGCCAAGCGCACAGTCCGCCGGCGATCCGGCGCGGGTGCGCACAATGTAAAGACAGCCCTGCTGCGTCCCTGACACTGGAACGTACGCAGGCAAATCGACCACCAGTAGACCATGAAAAAGGACCATTCGGTGACCGCCATCAGACAAGCGGAACCGCGGTAGAAGACAGGCCCGCCGCGGCTCGCCCCTGCGATAGATCTGCACCGCAAGCCCCTTCTGCTCCAGCGTTTTGCGCCGTGTCGTCCACAGAGCACGCTCAATATCCGTCACGCAGCGCAGATTGCGGCCGCGCAGTTTCGCGAGGATATCAGTGCGCTGCGCGGGCGATAGAGCGTCGGCTGTGCTATCTCTTGTGCTATTCCCACGACTGTTCTCACTGCATGAATCCAACGCCGCGGCAAGAGTGCCGAAATTTGTGAGCGCTGGCCGACGGCTGTTGCAGTCTGCGAGACTTGCGGGAAAATTGCTGTCACTCTGACTGTTCCCCTGAGACGTAGTTGGCCCTCCGAAATTCTTCTTTGCGGGAAGAGAACAAGCCGGAGACACCGTACCGGCACGTGCGACTTTCAGTGCTGCGACACCTTGCCCTGCGATTTTTCGAAGAAAGGCTTGCGGTGGCTTCAACCGAGAAGGCCAGGACTCCAAGGCTTTTGGATCAAACGTGGCCAGACCAGCGTCGAGCACTGGGACACAAAATCGCGTGCCGAAAGCGCATGCCGCAACTGCTTGCTCATTGCGAAGGGTTCCCAGTGCGAAGCGAAAAGACCCCACCCCCGTTCCATGGAGCTGTTGCGCGGTAAGGCCAGGGCCTCGTGGCGACTCGCCGGGAGACCTAACGGTGTCTGATAACAGCGACACGATCGAACCTGACATAGAGGGACCCGCAGTTGTGGAACCTATAGAAGGACTGCGATCTTTATCATCGCCCAATGACGGAGAACTGACGATCGGCAAAGCGGGTGAGGCAGCCGAGGACACAGCTAGACGCAACATCGGTTTGCCAAGATTTGACCCGCTCGCAGCATTCCGGTTGCTAACACTTAGTTGTACATTCGAACCCCGAGAGGAGGTGTAGCTACCGTTGTAACTATCGGCTGCCGAAGCTTCTTCCGTCGTCGGGGCCATAATCCAATTATGGAATTGGGCGCACGGTATCGCAAGACAACTGCACACTACAGCTTCTGGGAATCCTGTCTTGGACAAGCTCCGGGCACCACTGCCTTCCTCGCTTTCCTCCGCGTCCTCCCCATCCTCCGGAGGCGCTGCATCGAGCTCCTTCGCTTCGTCTAGTTCGGGAACCGGGACGAGCATCGCGCAGACCATCGGTGGCGGCAAAACGCTACGGTCCGCGGACACCTCCGATTCCATTAGGGAGCCACCGGGAAAGCTAGAGGCAGCGGCGCTTCGTTGCTTCCCGCCACGGAACGGATTTTTTGCTTCCGCGGGAAACTGAGCCGCAACAAGGAGCGCTGCGCGCAGCCGGTCTTCCATTGCCACGGTTCGGCACGCCCTAAGAGTCTGCCGGAACTGCGACAGCGACACCAGTACGCCACCAAGAATGTCATGATCGATATTTTCCAGTTGGGCAGCCGTCATGTTACTTGCTTCCCATCGCGGAGGGTGCTGGTACTGGCTCTCAGCAATGCTCTCTTCGCACGAAAACTTCGCGCTTTGCGTCACAATAGGCTGCAGCTTGTCATTAAGCCCCACGAGGACGACGTCGTCGCGAAATAAGATCCGCCGCGCGTCCGGCGTGTCCCACGCTCGCTCGAGAGGCCGCGAAACAACATGTTGGTAGTCCTCGAAACTCGCGGCCTTCGAGCTCCCCAGCTTCTTTCCAGTGGAGCACGTTTTCGAACTGGTCTCGGAAGAGGCGGGTGTCGCTGAAACAACGGGTCCGGCCGCGCTTTTGATGGCACCTCTTTGGCTTGTTTGCGTACTCATGCTATTTTCCAACGCCGCCTGGATACTATTTGCGATGCCTCTTTGATGCAGCGTCGTGTAGTACTCAGTCACCTCCTCTACCAGCCGCGTCTCCGACCACTCGCCGATTTGAAACAGCGCAGGCTTGCAATGTCCTGGGCCCACCAACAACGGGTCGAAACGAATGAGCGTGAAGTTTTGAGTGGGATGCACGAAAACTACACATCCATTGACCGCTACAAATTTGGGCGGTTGCGGTTTCTCCGCGGTCGGCCCGCTGTTTTTCCGCGGCTGACCAACTTTCGCACGACTGAAGTTCTGCTTTGCCTTCGCGCCTACCGGAGCTAATTGTTGTGCCTTACCGATTTTCCGGGTTGCTTTGTTCTTTCCGCCTCCCCTGCCACCGCAGATCCGGCTGCGAGCTAGCTTGCCTCCGCGTGGTGCAGCCTGCGGTCGCGATGCCATTTTCTTCATCGGCCCCGTTTTTCCTGAACTGGCCCCCGAAGCCGAGTTCCGCTCGTCGCGGCCAGCGGTAAAAGTCAGCTTCACAGTTGCCAGAGCCTGGGGCACTACCGTTCGCGCACACAGAACCATGTTTCCTGGTGGAACAATCACCCCGACGCCGCGGCGATGCGGGCAGGAACCTTCAGTACATCCTATTGCGAACTCCGGAAGCATCTGGAAGTCTACCAGCGCAAGTGTGTGCTTGAAGGCCAATTCGAGCCAGTGACTTTCCTCGGCTGTGAGCGGTGGTTGCGTCTCGTCCTCCGTTTCATTTCCATTTCGTCTTGCATCTTCCAACCAACTGCTTGTCCCGTCGCCTGCGCTACCGTCTCGCTCATCACTATTGTCGTCGGCACTCTCTGATACTGATTCGGATACTTCGCTACTAGCGTCATCACTGCTACTTTCTGCGTCCTCAGAACTGCCACTAGGGTGCCTTCTGTCTTTCTTTCTTGAAGAGCTGTGCTTCGAGCTTGGAGGCAGCAATGCGCCGTCTTGAAGGGGCACACAGTACTTCAGAACGATGTCTTCCCCCTCTTCGTCAGACACGAATCCGTGTTGCTCGATAAACGCTTCTAATCTACTATTTCCTCTCTTGTTCTTCATCCGCGATGCGACCACCGCAGTACGACCTCCTTTTCCTCCCGCTGTCCTGCCGATAACTGACGCACCTTGCTTGTTGCTCAAGCCGCCTATTGCAGCGACCCCAGGAGATGAGCTGCCGCCTTTGCCACCATCTCCAGCCGCGATGTGGTCCAGCCTTGCTCGGCGACAAGCCCAGTCGCTCCCACCTAAACGGCCCTGTCGTTCCCAAACGACCGGTACCTGCCACACACGGGTCATTGGACCGCACATCGCTTCCCGGACGACCCGGGCGCTACCGGATACTAGACTCGTGAACGACACCAAAAAGCGGTCGCCGTCGCGCACTCTCGCCATCGCCGCCTCGAACTCTCGCAGCGTGTCGCAGCGCACACCGTCTACCTCGTAAATGACCACGCCGGCTGGCAGAAACGCTTCGAAAATGTGTCCCGGCTTCGCGACCATGACGCCGCGCCTTGGAATGTGGTGCCGAATTGCGACCGCTTGCGAAACGTCGTGAAAGCAGCCGAAGCTAAGCTCGAGGACCGCTAAGGGAATGCAGATTGCGAAGAGGTCTTCAACTGGTAATTCCAGATTCTGCAAGAGCAGCCCGCTTCGACACACGTCTAGGCGCACGCTCTGGCCCACGTGCGCGTCCAGCATTTGCTCCAGCTTCACGAAGGCGGTCTGACCCAACTCTAGCATATTCTGGCCGTTCAGGCGTACAAGCGCGTCGCCAGCCTGCAGCACGCTTTGCGCGACGGAATCCGGCACAATCTCGTCCACAATCAGCGCTCCAGCCGTAGCATCTACTTCGCTTGTAACTTGGCGCGCTATGGAGCCACTGGCAAGCACATCCGGGACATTCCCAGCAGCCCTGCCGCCACTAGCTGCTGCGTTTTTAGATGACATAGTCGCATTCACGAGTTCCCCCACATCATCACTCGGAGAAGCACAAGAGTTGCCACTGATAAGATATTCCACGTCCAAGATCTGATCCAGCCCACTGTTCACGGCCGCTTCTTCCAGTGCTTCCCAATTGAAAATGCAGTTCAAAGTGCCCCTTTGTGGCGGATTTTCTTGGAGAAGCGTCTTTAAAGGCGTTCGTCGAACATCGATGTGAGTCAGACTTTTCCCGCAATAATTGTGCCTTGACAGTGGCGAACTACTTGAAGCTACTGCGTTACCCAAACGACCGGAAGAGTTTTGGCGCTCAGCATGTTGCAGCAAAAGTTCTGGCCCTTGTTGCGATTCTATTTTGTCGTTTAATCGCCTGCGCTTGTTAAACGGCCATGTTGCATGGTCATCGTGTGCCTCGTCCTCCGCGACACCATGATTGACGGTTTCGGCAGCATCTTTCCTCTCATCCGCACTCGATATTACCAAGGATTGAGGTATGCCTTCGCTCTGTCTTTCCTCAAGATGAGGTCGCGCGTCTGGATTGGCTGACCCACTCCTGAGGAGACGCTTTGTCTCTGCATCATACAAACTTTTGATATGGTCCACGACCTCAACCACCCTTGTCAGCGGCAGGTAGTAGCTGCCTGCGCCACTGTTGGCAGCGGCAGTGTTGAGCGCAATCACTTCACCCGCCACATTCAGTACCGGACTTCCGCTGCTCCCGGACGAAGTATTTGCCGCTGCGAGAGCGTAAAATGTATGCACATCCTGGTCGTAGTCTCCCAAGCAAGGAGGATTGCGATTCACCTGAATATGTAAATAATGACAGAATGTAGTTTCCTTTCCCCGGTGATATTGCTTTTTGAGTTGAAAAAAAAATGATGCTCAGTAATCATGGCATACTCGTGGATACCTCGTGGATTCGAGCACAGAGCAGAAGTAAGTTGTTCAGCCCGAGGAAGCGTTGCGGTTCTCAAAACAAAGAACCAACAGAAAGTCTAACACAGTGCCTGCTAGTATGGCATTTACAATTCAAATTCAATATGCCACGACGAATCCTAGCTAAAACCTAGTCGATTGACATGCAGTACCTTCGCCACCGTCCCGCTGAGAATTTGGCTGCGTTCTTCGTCGTCATTTCCTACGATCTTTACGTCCACTCCCACCTTCAACCCCGCTGCATTCAGCACTAGCGGTTCCCGGATTCGCGTCACCCGTAACGCTGCCAAGGGGAAGAAATAGAGCGCGAAGTCATGTAACGGATCTGAGTAGATGACTTCACAGCGCACTACTTCGGACTTTTCAAAGGAGGCAAATACGGCTGCCGGACCCAACGTGGCGCTGTGTCGGTTGGTGAGCAGCAAACCAAGACCTTCCTCCTCGAACCGATGGATCATGAAGCCACTTGCTTGCGAGGTAGCCGGCAACCGATCCTGGAAGGCCCTTGTATGGTTCACTTGCAGGATCACCGTGCATCGCTGCCCACGCCGCACCGCGTATTGCCAATCCATTGTAGGAGCCTATTAGTGAGTAGCTGCGGATCAAAGCTTCTGTATGATTTCTCACCTTACACTTGCGTATCGTGTCTTTGCGACTCAACCAGTTTCCTCTGCGTCTTACACTGATCGATTTCCCTGAGCCCGCGTCAAGGAGAAACTATTTTCGTCTTTTTTACTTTGTTATTCTGCTCGTGCGGCACGCTTAGTTTTTGGCGATGAGCTCCTGCTAACGTTCCTTGTTGTAATCGTCGACTGGGAGGGGTTGAAGCAAGCAGCTGTATATCAGAAAACGTCAACGCATGCTTGGCGGGAGAGACTCTAGGCCTATCAAAATCTGTCTTATCCTTTGAACTTCACATTTCGTAAACTAGAGAGCTACAAAATGATGACGGAAATACGAAAACTCTGGTATGTATCACAAACACAATCGTAACACGAATGATGCAAATACACCTCGATAGAATGGCCCAAGGCTAGTGGTTTCATCCCGGGTCAGCATGGTATGCCCAGACGATGAGAGAACAACAAGTCAATAGTGTTGTTTTTGTACACACATAATGAATTACTTAAGTACAGTATTTTACGACAGCGTTGTAAAGGACTGATTGCCGATTAGGAATGTGAAATCTACACAAAAACTAGCTACACAAAACCTACAAAAATTGAGGATCAGCATGAAAATGTAGCACAGGTTTCGTCTGTTACATACATGTACCAGTGGGAACTATCAAAAAGGGAACTAGGTAGTGCATAGTGATATCAGAGAAGGGGTCGAGGATAACATACAGTGAGCAAAAATTCAAAAATCGCAGAGGGAAAGCTTGAAAAACAACATGCTGGTTCTCACTGTCGACGGGTTTCGGAGTGAAAACAAGAGCTTCAGAGATAAACTATAGCACAGGTTACCTCAGCATCAGTCTATGGAATAAGTTCTCTTCACACAAGCGCAGCATCTTCGAGAAGTTAGATACGTAGCTTCAAAGAACAAGTGGCTCATCATTATTGTGATTGTCCAGAATGAAAGCATCAATCATGAATTCTGTTAAACTGAACACTTGTCCACATCTCAGTTGCCAGAGTTCGTTCTCTCTCAGGACAGATTCCACTCGTTTCGCCGTACTTCTTCCATCGCCATTATATTAACTGGTGCTCTCGGTCTATGTATATACGAATCGGCAACATTCGAGGTCGAAAGTCAGGGCTTCAAGCGGCGTCAAATAGACTCCCAGGGCTTAGAGGAAACGGCCGCCAGAGTCCTGCAGAGTTTGCGGGGGAGCCGCTAATTTGGAGACGGTTCACGCTCGCGGAAAAAACCCCAAGGGCTTGGGACCGCTCCCAGGGTTTTGGCTCTCAAGGTAGACCAAACAGCGGAAAAAACCCAAGGCTTCAGCCTCAGGGTTTGCCCCCTCATTTTTCGCCTCAGGGTTTCAAAACTCAGGGCTTTGACATTCATATTCGCGCTCTCATTCTTAGCGTGTCAGGGTAGACCTCCCCGGGCGTCCTCAGGGTTTGCGCCTCTCGGGGTTTGCCCCTCTCAAGGTTTGCCCCTCTCAAGATTTGCCCCTCTCAAGGTTTGCCCATCTCAAGGCTTGGAACACGAACAGCCAGAACGAACCCGCCGAGGGAGGGCGAGAAGAGACACACCACAAGGCCGCAAGCCATGCAAGGCGGACGGCGTGGCTCCCCTGAGCAGGTTCCCAGGCCGGGGAATTTGAAACCCCCTAGAGTAGAAGCGCCGCCGGCGTCCTTGTCCGCGGGCGGGCTGGCGGTCCTTCCCCCTTTAGGCCTTTCGAGACGTCAACAAGATAAAACGCGCGCCGCGTGCGCTTTTTGTCCTTGCAATGGCTTCCAAAATGCAGGAAAAACTGAACGGCGCAGCAATTCGCTGTCGCGCCCTGCTCGCGCGAAGCGTCCCGCGCCGGCCACTTTGCGGCGGCTGTAGCCCTTTGACCTTCACCGCCCGCCATTCTCTGCTCTTTTTCCAGTCCCTTGCAGTGTTGCCCCCCTTTCTCTGTCGTCTTCGCCTTTCCTCTTAGCAACTAAACACTCGGGTCACGACTAGTAAAGGAATTTACCTCGTCGGCCGTTCCTAGGATACAAAGTGAGTCCAAGAAAAAGTAGGGAACCACAATGCACAACAAAACAAACCTTCTCCATACGTACTCCCGTTGAATAACCTGTGTCCTTCGAAAATGCTCAACTCATGAACGTTGACAGACACTCCGAATGAATGCTTGCTTTTCTCTCACTCCACAGATTTCTTTTGGTTCTGCAACATTATTCGCCTCTTGCACACAACCCTAGCACGATGTCATTTCAGATCTTCTCTCTACAGGAACGACAGGCTTCCAAAATTCATAATCAACTGATGACGCTGACGCACTTTGTCCTTGAGCTGGTCGGGCTAAAATTAAAGCAAGTTTTGCGGCCGGCGCTCCTTCGCTATTATACCGCTCCGTGGCGAAACACAAACAGATAACACACACGCAGCGAGAAGCACACAATTTCATTCTCGGGAGCATATGGCCCTCTCCCAGGCTAGAAGAAGACCCGCAGTAACTGAGCTTTAGCAAACTCCTCGTCCGTTTGGCCCCCAACATACTTCTACGAGCCTCAGCGCGGTCTACTCAGATTTACGACTTGCGCTCACCATTCTGCGACTTTGTTTTTGCTAGACTATGCGAAGGCCTACATGTTCTTCTAGAGAAATTTGAGGAACCATCTTGGATCCATATTTTTGGAGTCTCCACGACGCTCCTGCACACAGCACGTAGAGCCATCCGCGTGGTGTACGTGTCTTTTGCTAGAAACAAAGTGAAGCAGTTCGGAACAAGTTTCAGCCATGTTTTCAGAGTCTCCGAGCCGTCAAGAAGAACCTGAAAGAAGTAGAGCCGCAGAGCCATACCCGGCCAGCCTGTTGAAGTCTGTATATATTACGCAGCTGTTTTTGGGCGATGAAGTAAGAAAGAGAAAGTAAGGGAAAGCGAAAGAAAAGAAGTAAAGAATGAAGCTGTTTTTTAGGTTTTGCTGAAGTCGTGCAACGACGAAACAAACAAGAGCGAATGGCCCAAACTTGATGGCGGTGCGCCATCGGTTTCTTCGAATGATTTCCGAACCTTTTAAACACGCACCACCCCACGCCATATAAAACTGACGAGCCTAATAGGTTTTGCTTTACCCACGAAAATGCTCTGCCATCGTTCCACTTCGGGGACGATTCGTCTGATCTCTTTCGAGCTTCATTCTTTTGCTTAGTCTAGTCGGCAACAACTAGCCTAGCCGTGTACAGCTGGGGGCTGTTCAAGTCATTGGCTCTCGAGTGAGTGTCTTCGTGTAAAAATGCGCACAACTTCGCTTATTTTCTTGAGATAAGTAATCCGCTCGCGTAGTGGGTGTAGGCAACCCACGACCGGGGGACACAACCCGGCGGCGGCAGATTCATCAGCAAACATTGAGCGGACCCTTCTCACCAAACGAAAGATCAAAAGGAGCACGGGCACGCCGGCAGGCTTTCGCTCGAGTCTCCTTGGATAAAAGACACTCTGCAAGACATTAGTCGCCACACCCTCTCCAATCGAAGCGTCTGGCTTTCTTCTGCTCGTCGCTTTCGTTTCATGCAGAATCCAGAAGTGCAGCCTACTACCAATAGCGCGGCGCCTTCTCCTGCGTCTTCTTTTCTCCAGATGTTTAAAATCGGCAGAGAAATAAAGGAGAACACAGAGACACTGCTAGAGGGGTTGCGCCGTTTCTGGCGTTCCACCGCGCAAGCCTTGAGGCAAATAGTTTACGCCCCAAATCGCGGCGCCTTAGACGTCCAGACCGGGCTTAGGCGTCTTAGACCAGAAGTAAGACATCTAAGCGAGCAACTTCTACCGCCAGAAAACATGCGCACGCATGACCACCGCGAGACATATGCGAACCAAGAAGGAGAGAGGCAGCAGTTTGTAATGGTCCATCTCATTGCGTGGAATACGAGCGACGAAGAAAGCCGCGGAAGCGTATCAGCTTACCCGGCTAATTCATAATCAGAACAGTTTCGAGCTTCTCTTGGTCGCAGCTTGGTCTTTCGATCAAGCAAGGTTTTACTGTCGAAAAGGGGACTACTTCCCCTACCGGTACTAATATACCAAACCCACGAGCTTAGCTGCGTTCTCTACGCTAAATTTGCTTGGCGCTTCGACTCTCTTCCCACGTACTGCCACGGGTGCTCTCATGAGTCCAACGCGCTAGGCCTTGCGGCAGCCGTGGAGGGAACCGGCTCGAGCGTCCTGACCTGTGGCGACAGCAGTAGCGCAACCACCCAGAGAAGTGCCAGACGTCATCGAGAAACTGCCGCCACTGGCGGCCAGAGGTCAAACCATTCGCAGAGTTACGACAAGAGGACGCCGCGCCCAACTGCGTAGGAGTACCATCTGGCAAAGTGTTGGAGATCCTAGGAGGCAAAGCGCTCCATGATCCTACGCGGCCGCATCCTGGTCCGATTGGTGGCGGGAGGCCGATCTCTGCCATCAACATCATACGCAGATGGATTGCAGCACAGCCTCAAGGCGGGCCGTCGCGCACTGGTCTGTGGCAAGCTGACAGGAAGCCCGACGGAGGAAAGAAGGGCGCAGGCGGCAAGAAAAGAAAAGAAAAAGGCGACGATAAAAATGGCGGTAGTCGCTCGTTGGTTGCACAAAGGAGAAAGGCAAAAGCAAAGGCGACGCCATCGATCCGAAGAAAGTGCCATAGTGCAGCCTTTGCGGTGGCCAACATCCTGGCGCTAAGGGTTGCCCGTCGAAGCTACTCGACAAAGAAGAAAGGGCGAGACTTTTCAAGCAGGGCGATGAGTGCAGCCTCGAACCGCGCGTCGATCAAGAACCCACCGAGCAAAGCAGCACAGTGACCAGCCTCGAAAAGAAAGAGCTACAACACCCTCACACACTGCCGCACTGGATGGCCATCCAGAGGAGAAGAACGACAGCCAAGCCTGCGAGGAAGTCCAACCAACAGCCGAAGACATCCAGCGCGGTGCTTTGGCAGGTCTAGCGAAGGCAGATCTTCTCGCAATCAGAAGTCAGAACGCAAGCAAGCCCTTCGGCCAGTATTGCTTCTAGTGACGACAGCCCTACGACACGAAGTGCCTCGCTGAAGCCGTTTGCTTCGCTTCCAGATTGTGCGCCCTCGTCTGCAAGTTCGGAGGATGACAAAGCTCAAGGCCTTTACGATCAGTACGCCGCCAACAACAGACGCAGCCTCGTGGTCGTGGCATTTCATCAGCAGCCAGCGCTCGCAATTTCTGAACTTTCCTCGCCAACAGCTCAACTCTCTGCGCCACACCTCATGGTCACATCTTCGAAACATGACGACAAACAGTAACAGAAATCAGAAGCGCAGCCTGCAGCGGATCAGCCAGTAGAGGAAACAAAGAACACAACAACCCACCGGAGAAGATTTCAATCAGAGGCGTTAGTGGTAGAAATCGCCTCGAGTCTTGGCTGAAGATTGGCGGGACTTTTCTCAAAGTCCAAGGCGGTCCGTGCTCCGGGAAGTCGCTTTTAGATCAGCGCTCCCCCAACAGCTTGAAGAAAGACAGAGACACAAAAGGCGAGACTCTGCGCGAGTTCCCGGGCCCGCCGGTGGCGCGCATGTCCTTCAAAGACGACGACAAGGGGGAAACTTCCCCCGACTACGCTGTAGCCCGTGCCTATCGCGTTGGTGGTGGTGCTATTCGCAACAAGCTGCGCCCCCTTTTGTTCGTTTTTCTGCTTCTAGTGATGGCCTTTCCATGCCTTGCCGGCTTTCCAGCTCTCGAGCCCCAACAGTTCACGCCGACACACTTCGGCCCCGGATCAGGGCCGCAACATGTAGGCGCCTACTACTCCACTAACGACAACGACAGCGCTTCGCGTGAAATCTACACCCCTCGCGATTATTTCGACGATTGCGCTGTCGCTGCTCCTCTCACTTCGCCAGCGGAGAGGACTCTGATCGGCTCAAACCCGTCCCGCGTCTACATTGCTGCTGCTTCTGCAAAGGCTACGCGCGAGGCCGAGCGGCCTGGCAAGTTCGACGAACTTAAAGCAGCAACCGAGAAGAAAGACGAGGGACGAGCTGAGTGCAAGCGGCTAGCCCCATCTTCTAAGGAGTACTCACAAGCAAGGGCTTCGGGCTGCGGCGAAGACAGAACGCGCCTGGGCCGAGGAGAGACGCAAAGAAGCCCCGGGCATTCTAGTGCAAGAAATCGCCAACCATTCCGCAACCATTTGGCGCAAAGGGATCCGCTTCAAAACGGTCCCAGGAATCATCTACGAGCCACAAGCCGGCCCAGAACTGGAGCGCAAACGTCGCCACCTGCTTCCCAAGATGATCAACGACGCCCCAACTGAGTTCGACGCGGTTCGGGGCGACGCGCATGCCCGTTCGTTGGATGATTGGGGACGGCCTCGCAAGGGAAGCGGCCCACCCAGCTCACTAGTTACCAGAGTCCTGCGCTTTTAGTAGATCAAGACGACGAGCAGGCGCCTGGGCGTTTCATGTACAACCGCACGGGCATCAATGGCATCACGATGCCGCATCGTTTTCCTCAGCCTACACCTGCAGACTTTTTGGAATTTGCGACGCCGAACGCTTTGCATTTTTCGGGCGATCTAGTGCAGGGCCACACCCAAGCCGAAGCGTCGCCACTCGCCGAGGAACTGCACGCCTTCGCTTGGAACAAGCGCAAGCTTGAGCCGCAGACGATGGGCCTCGGCCTCGGTGGTTTCGATTTTCCTAGTTTCTTTCAAGCAGCAGCGCACGGAGACACGGCCGCGGGTGATCTTTTCGAGATCATGAAGAATTTCCTGGACGACTTGCACGCAAGAACACGAACACCAGCGGAAGATGGTGAAATTACTCCGGCAGCGATCAAGGGGCATGCCCGTAGATTAGTGCCCACCTTGAAGATCGACGCTCGCGAAGCGCGGTAGCTGGCTGCTGAGCTGGGACAAGGCTAACTCCATCAGCGAGGACGCGTCTCTTCTTGGTCACGCTGTTCGCCGCGGCGTTCCTGTCAGTAGAAAGCGCAGACTGATGGCGCAACAACTTTCGGAACCAAAGCCCACCAGCGACGTAGTGAGCTTCAGGCGTCTGGAGCAATGGCTGAACAAGTTCTACCCCTACTTTGGGGAGTTCGTCTTGCCGTTGAACCGCTACAGCAAAAAAGGGCCAACTTTCGGGAGTGACTGCCCGAACGACAAAGGAAGAAAGACAGTCGATACGCTGCGGAAGAACATCGCGGATGTTGGGCCCCCTCCTCCTCATAACGCATGGAAGTGGCACATCTCACGCGATCCTTCTGACGTGTGCGCAGCACACTGGTCGACCCAGACAGATCCAGAAGAACGACAGAAACCAATCGCCACCGACCTTGACGACAAAGCCCGCAAGGGTTGCGGAATATTCTGGAACATCGCAGAGGCTGGAAGGGTTGCGAGATATTCTGGAACATCACAGAGAAAGAATTCGGCGCAGTCCGTTTCGCTATGCTAGGCCGTCAGGGCGCCACTCGTGGGCCACGCGTTGCTTGCCATCCATCACGATCATCGCAACAGCGATAACATCGAAGAACGCGCCAGGGATCGCCTTCGGCGAAGTCGATCTGGTAGGCGCGTGCCGAAAAAGGCAAACAGGTGGGCGCCTGACATCTTTCAAGAGTGTGGCGATACATTCGAGCTCTCGCTTACGCCAGGCGCTGATCTTCCAGGTCCTGACTTTTTATCTCGCCACCTTCCTGGAGCTGATGACGCAAAGCGCGAACTTGGGCGAGCAATAGCGGACGGAGTGCCCGTTCTTGAGCTAGTAGCGCGCTTATACGGCATCGAACTCGACGAAGAGTTTTTGCCTACGCTCGGTCGTTTTCGTGGGGCTCACGCTGAGCGAGCACGCAAGGAGCGCGCGCGCAACGACTAAGCAGCTAGCACCTTCGAGAGCAACAAAAGCGAAAGCGGGGCCTTCTTTTTCCAAGCCTGACAGACTTATAGTAGCCTCTCTGTCGCTTGCGGCAACATCAGCGCAGCAGGCTTTTCTTAGCGGCGTCGCGAATAAGCTGCCCGCTTTTCCTGAGCGTTTTCCTTCAACAAGTAGCACACGACTACGGAGGCAGCAGAACGCGCTAGAGCCTGCGTCTCGGCGGCTCGATTGCAAAGCGCAAAACAGCACAGCTCCGACTTCCATCTAACACGACCCCAACGGAAGTCTCTGCCCGTCACTGGAGTGACTCTCGCGGATTCAGATACGTCACCGAGGCGAGGGGGCCGCTCTCTTGTCGTGATGGACAGAACAAGAAAGACGCCCGGCCATCGCAAAAAGTGCTCGGGCATCACAGGGCCCCCAAGTGCATGCAGTACGCCACTCGCGGCAGTTCAGCCGAGACTAAACCGAAGGGCTTCGGGCTTGACGCTAGATATCAAGGGGGCCCATTTTATGGCGATGGTCTACCCCCTTTCGACGCAAATGGAGACGCAGTAGCGCCGGCGGCGCCTCTTCTGAGCGGGGAGCAAGTTGCCCACCAAGTCGAGGACGTTGGCCCGGTAGTGCAAGAACAGCATAGCAGCCCCCTCTCTGCTTCACAGCCTGAGAAACAACGCCCATCAGTAGAACAGCCCGCCGAAGACTTACTGGCAGCAGCAGAAGAGCTACCAGGGCACGGAGGCAGCAATAATGCTACTGGTGACGATTCGGGTTTAGTGTGTCCACCTGCGGACGATCTAGAGCAAGACCTTCAACAAAACCCCACGCCGGGGAAGACAGTGGGCCGCATAGATATGGGAAGCATTGACATCGGCACGCCGGAGTTCTTAGCCGCACAACCGGAGTACGTCGATCAGCGTGGGAGGCGCGGCTTGTTGAAGAACAGCTTCGCCTGGCTTCCGCTCGCAGATCATCCAGGCAGGAAGATCTTGCGCAAGCAGACTCTCGACGGGTTCGAGTGCTGTTATCGAATTTTTGCACCGAAGAAATTTCGCGCCAAGGTCTTAGAGTGCTCCCATTGCTCGCCCCTCGACGCTGGGCATCAAGGTCGCGAGGCGACGCTTCCTTGCAAGGATCGGGCGGCGCTTCTCATGAGAAAGAATGCGACGGCAAGCGCGCTGCTTTTTGCATGGGGATGGGATTGACTTCGTTGGCCCTCTAGCGCCTTGCATGGGCTTCGTGTACATCCTTGCCCGCATCTGTCGCTTTAGCGGATGGACTTTCTTGCGGTGTGTCACTGAGGCGACTTCCGAAGCAATGGCAAAACTCCTCTGCGAAGGCGTCATCTGCTCGCGTGGTCCTTTCCGCGAGCTTCGTAGTGACAGAGGGCCGCACTTTATTGCGCGGACAATCCCCAAAATGGGCGAAGTTTTTCACTATGTATCGGCCACATACTCGCGGGAGCGCCTGCGGCCCCACTTCGCGAACACTCATCGAACGGGCGCGCAGACTCCTCAGCGAGTACCTTCGCCGCCCTCTGTTATAAACAAGAGGGCGAGCAGATTGGGCGCAGTACGTTATGCCTTCCCAGTGGGCTTCTCGCTGCCACACGCAGACAGGCCGCCTCGGGCCTTCGCCGTTCGAAGTCGTCCACGGCTGGGGCCCAGCTGCTGCCCTGCGACTCTCTACCAGATCCAGCTGTGAGCACTTCGAGCTGTGCGAATGGTTGCCAGAAACGCACGACAAGACCCGCGAACGCGCCGAAGAGCTGGCCGAGGCCTACGCCGATCAAGTCCAGGATCATGGAACCCAGGCCAGCGACCTCGTCTACGTGGCGCGCACGGCACTCGAGCACAACGCCGGCGCGCCGCATCGCTTGCAGCCTTTGGCGCGCGGTCCGCTCCGTGTTGTGGAGACCTACAGCCAGGCGATTTTAGTCGAGTCGGCTGATAACGCGGCCACGACTAAGTCGCTTAAGGTGAACGCCTCGCGGGTGGTCCCTTTGAAGGGTTACCACGCTGGATGCGCATAATTCGGCTCCCCTTCATGTGTATGATACTTGGCCGACCTTGTCACGCACAAAAGAAGAACTCGCGGACAGATTTGACCTCGGTCAACTTTCTCGCCAAAACCTTGGGCCGGCTACGAGACAGGGCGGAGCTCACAATCGGGGGAAAGAGCAAGAAGAAAACTCCTACCTGATTGCTCGCGTTCAACATCACGCGCAAACCTCTCCCGGATTCTTAACAGAGTGCTTTAAACTTGTTTAGTCGTTTTCTTAGCCGCACGCTTCTCCACAGGTTTCTTTTTGATGGTTTTCAGCCTCTCCTGTAACTTAACTACAGCGGAGCACTGTTTTAGATTGCTCTGGCGTCACGTAGTGCATCAGTTGCCGACAGACTACCGCCCCGGCAGGACTTCAGCCCCTTCCGTTCATAATTTCCCGCACATTCTGACGCAGTTCGTAGGCTTTTCGCTTCATAGCTGTGAAAAAAAAAGAAGCTTCACTACACCACGCGCGAGTGCTGAAGTACAGGACGCCTCCGCACTGAGTAGAACGCCACAAAGACAAGACAAACTGCTACGGGAAATGACATAACCGGGCCCACCTTTTGCTTGCAGCAGGTTCTTCTCCTGTCTCTTCGCGTCGCATCGCAGTAGCATCCTAGTTCAGAAGTTTTGTCTAGAGAAGTTTGGAACGTGCCGTCTGTAGATCTCGAAACAGGAAGGGCATACTTTGGGACGAAGCGAAGCGCATAAGTTTACACAGCAGGCACATGCTTCAGTAGCGACTAAGTAGTTTTGCTTGAGTCGTTTCACTTGTATAGTGTTGCCGCCTTATCGTGAAAACTAGGCGGCAGGGTTATAAAAGTAGTTTTAGCTCAAGGAAGTTAGTAGCTCCCCTGACGACTGGAGGCAGGGCTGTGAGTGTCTTTTGCTAGAAAACGAATCAGCTCTGAAAAAGTTTGCAGCCATGTCGTGCGAGTCTTTGAGCCGTCACGGAGAACCTGAACGAAAGAAGTAGAGCCGCAGCGCCATACTCAGCCAGCCTGTTGAAGTCTGTAGGTATTTTGTAGCTGTTTTTGAACGAAGTAAGAAAGAGAAAGTAAGGGAAAGCGAGGGAAAAGCAGTAAAGATAGAAGCTGACTTTTAGGCTTTGCTGAAGTCGTGCAACGAAGAAACAAGAGCGAGAGACCCAAGCCCGACGATGGTGCGCCGTCGGTTTCTTCGCATGATTTCCGAATCTTTTGAACAGCCTGCACGTCGTACAAAACTGACGAACCTCGTAGGTTTTGTTTTACCCACGAAAATGCTTTGCCATCGTTCCACTTCGGGAGCGATTCGTCTGATCTCTGTCTGATCTCTTTCGAGATTCATTCTTTTGCTCGGTCTAGTTGACAACAACTAGATTACCCATTTACACGTGGCCAACAGCCCCCGGCACTCAGTTCTTTTCGTATGCTAGTTGGAAATGATTGTAAATTGGCGCACGCTCGTACTCACGGGTGAGGTTCTCTCCAAGTGCCGCCATCTCCGCTCTCCAAGTCAGCAGCCGGATTGTTCGCGTCCGAGATGGCAGTCCGGATGCCCGCGACGTCTTTATTGATTCCCCACTGGTACATCCCGACTGGAGCATTACTTGCATCGACCGCTCCTACTTATAGTTGAGAGCAGTACGCCCAGCGTTTCTCATCATTAGCTTTTACTACGGGTGAACGCCCTTGTTTCTTCCCTCTCGGCGAAACGCATCTCTCTCCTTGCAAACCGGAGGACTTGCCGCCGAGCATTCTATTGACGCGCCGGTTGTCGCACTTGCGCTCCGTGTCTGCTATGTATGTCCCATTGCCGATATCTGCGATATTATCGTAGATCTGACAGTCCTTTACTTTCATGAGGCAGCGCGTCCCTTCTTTTGCAAGGCTACCACCTGAGTGAAGTGTTATATGCGGTAAAATTGTTACATCACGACCATCCACCGAGTGCGTCCAAACTCTACTGACCCTCAGTGGTGTCCTCCTCTGTTAGAGTCCTGGCGCGGACGGATACTATCATTGCTCTATTCGCATGTTCATTGGAACGATAGTACTTCGCAGGTAAGCGAGGCAACTACTCGTCTGCGTCTTCCTACATTTTTCGACGCTGTCCAGACGAGAGTCTCTCGGGAGCAAAAACATTGCTATTCTTTAGTCCACAAAGTGTACTTAATCAAATCGCTATATTCAAGCGGTACCTAACAAGTCACTCTGATGAAAATTTTATTTCAAGACGAGAAGTGTAATCACGTTGTTGCAGCTATAGGAAATAAATGACAAGGGGAACATCTAGACAGTCGGTACATTGCTCGCCAACCAGCATGCCCGTGCAATCCACGCTGGCGTCTGTCTTCACATTGGAAGTTTCTTCACTGTCATCCCCGGATGCGCACGAGCATTCCACTCCATTTTTACCGCACACAAATTGACATTCTGTCTCGGGTACAAATTTGCCTGTAGCTGGATCCTTGCAGGTACCCCCAACTCGCGTGTTGAATGGTGAGTTCTTGATCGGCTCACATCTGTAGTTCTCGTTCACGGCAAATCTAGGCGCTTGGGGACTTGCGTCTGAGTTGCGTCCATCTTCAGGCACTTCGGATGCCGAGGAGGGTACTCCGACACCGCCTGCCGAATCTGCTTGTCGTCCTGTGATGCATGAACACAAGTTGTCACATTTCCAATATCTCGCATTATTCTCCAGAAATGCCGGATCAAGCTGAACTGCTGGATTTGCCGTGACCTCTTCGAATGTTTTACCTACCTTTCTCTTTGCTTGCTCCCATTGATCTGAAGCATATTTTCTGAACGGCGTCAACCGTGACTCCGTTTGCTGTTCTTCTTGCCCTACTTGGCCAGAATTCGCGGTGCTATCATTGGCGTTTTTTGTGGTGCCCCACAGCGTCCACGGCAACCAGCCCGCAAAACTAGACTTCCCCGTGTGATGGAATCGCATTAGAACACCACCTCTGCTCGAAGAGTTGTCGCTTCTACCGCCCCCGCGCTTCATTACCATCGTGATCCTGAGGATTGAGTTTCAAAGACATTGATGTGGATCGAGAAATCACGTAATCCTGTTGAATCAGTCCATACTTCTACATTTCTGACGAGGATCATCCCAAATTTCTTTGATTTTGACCGAGACCAAACGGAGTCCATTCATCTCCATGCCAGATGAAAACCAGACACTCTGGATTGATGCAAAATGATGCCGCTCCCTCATATCTTCTAGACCCGTGGCTAAAGTGAATCCTGAGGGAGGAAAAAAAACACGAAGGGACCCGACTAGAGTCTAGAGTGGCGGAGTCTGCTCTAAGAGTGGCTGGCTTTGTTGTATGAACCTCAATTGTTAACGGTCAAGCAAAGTCAAAACATGAAAGCCAAAGAAAAGCCAGCCGGACTGCTCCTGACTGTGGTGCATGTTGCTGGCGATTGGTATGGCCAGAAGGCCCCCGGCGTCTATGCATTCCTAGGTTCCTGAGTGTGAAGGCCGCAAACTCCATGAGCCTAATAGCTTGGCACTTTTTTGAGTCTCATGGTGATGAAAATGATGAGCAAGAAGGCCAAGGCCATAATCCTGATCAAGCTCAGAACAGAAGAAGGTCAACAAGGCGAACCAGATCAGCCACATGACTGAACAGCAACAACATGCGCGCCCTCTCATTCTTTTCATGTTTCAGCTCAAGCCGGTCGGGCTTACGTTTTAAGGGTTCACGAGGTGAGTCAACTTTTTCAGCCGCACGCACAGAGCCCGCGCCCATAAACAGCAGGCCACTGAGCTATTAGCCCCGGATACGCCTCAAATAAGTAGAAACAAGAGCCCAAGTTTTGGCTTGTTGTTTTTTCAAATTTTGGCGGTCCGGTTTCTAGTCGGCTTCTGGCAGCGTTCCCGCGAGTGGACAACCCACCCGGCAAAAACCAAGCAAGAGCAGAAAAGCCAACAAGCTCCCGCCTGGTCTCGAGCGCCTCACAGAGTCGCCCACAGAGACAGCAAAAGGAAGAAGACCGCAAACAAAACTCGCACAAGAAACGGCATAGCCGACCCTTGCGAGAACGGCCGACCCTCCCACCCGAAAGGGCGGCGCGCGCATTTGGCAAACAGCCACGCGGAAGCGCTTGGGGACGGCCTTGGCGTCCATCTCGCACGGACCGCTCCCAAATATTCCAAGGGCCTGGACTTTAACGCGCGGCGAGCCATTCTGTAAAAGTCCCCCAGTCCCTGCCTCGGCGAGGCTGCTTGCTGGGAAATATCAGCCAAGTCCCTCGCCAGGGTTTCCCGAGTGTGACGCACCGAGCGAGGCCGTTAGGTTTTGCATGTTTTTCATGTGTGTCGCAGTCTCTCAAGTTGCTGCAAGGATCAGGGAGCACTACACGCATGCGTTGCCATTCATCATCTTATCGATTAAATTCCATGCGTGTCATCCGTCTATTACACTTTCTAATCGGGTGAACGCTGCAGAAGCCGAAATATTCATTTTGTCAACAAGACGCGAAAATGACAAAAGCACGAGTCAACAATAGTACGGCTCTTTCCGATGCTGACTCACTTGCAGGTCGGATCCGTCTACGTTGAATTCATACTTCTCATGCGCGTGCTTATATTTTCCGCCATAAAAGCTCGTCCGGGCAAACGGCGACGACAGCGCCGCATGATTGAGGTCTCCATGAAACCTGCAGTGAAGTCGACGAAAGTTAATCGAATACTCCATCAACAATTCGGAACAGAATCAAGGATCCGCTGTCCCTCTGGAAAGTATGGAAAAGCTGATCACACGATATCAACTCACCAGATGCACTCACAAAACGAGGTAAAATAAAAAAACATATTCAAAGAATCAAATAGATTAGTAAATTTGTTTAAAGCGAGAACCTTCTTTCCTTCCCAAACGAGCCTGAATCAAAAATCGCTTTGTATATGTCCTCCCCGGTCTCGTCTTTCAACGCTCCCGCACGCTTCTGCCCCGCCATGCCGAATACATCGACAGCCAAATCCTGTAAGATGCTCGCCATTTTGCCGGAAACTCTCCTTCTGCCAGGAGATCACTGCAAGTCTTCTGGTGCTGGAATGTTATGGTCACTGAAGACGTGTTCGAATAATAGATGATGTGGTCTTATGGTCGTCTTTTTCGTGTTTGGTCTACTACGTGTTTCCTACTATCTACTGCAGTTCTCGCTACCGCAAACCTCTAGCTACGTTGCAGGGCACGCCGCTCTACTCAATCGGCTTGTTCCTTGAAGGGCGCAAGTGTGCGATTTCTTTCTGCTCGGGTACTGTTGGTGGCGACTAAGATGGAATACAATACATGAGACAAAGATGTTTTTCACCAATCGGAGTACGTAATTGAGAAATGCTTCTTCAGGAGCAGGCTTTACTTGACATATTAAGAAACTCGGGTGTTAGCGCATTCATATAATATCGAGTGCGATTTATTACTATTTTCTTACCAGCATCAAAGTGAGGGAGTCAATATTGGCGCGTCTTCCATTTTTTTGTGTTGTGTTTCCTTTTTTTTATGCCTTGATCAAAGCTCATAGATAAAATGTCACTTTAGAATGGATCAGTACCACTAATTTAGGAAGCCGGATGTTCTTGTTCTAATTGATGTTGCTAAGCAAATATTTACTAGACCTACGAATATATCAAAACTTGTCTCTGAGAGTAAAATTTTAGCGACCGTTGTGGGTTGAAATCTTGTTGTGGATGATAATTTTTACACTTCTGATGACGACGCGTTTTCAAGAATTCTACGTTTCGTGTAAACATATATTTGAAGCGCTTACTTCTGCTACGTGAAGCTCTGCTGAAATTCATCGATCATCTTGGAACAGTTGGATTAGTAATGAACGAGTCAAATGCTTACAATGAGAGTTCCGACATTCTAAATTATATACTGCAAATTTACGTTGATGAGTAGTTTTACGTGGAAGCAAGAAATAGTGGTTAGACCTTTCTTCATGGATGTACCTACTGTGTATTCTTCGATCTCACAAGCACAGGGGGGATTATGCTCTTGGACTTTACACATAAGATCCATCTCTTCTCAATTCTTACGTACAAATTCCTAGGGTTGTTGGGCAGAGTGAAGAGGTAAACGGACGAACATTCCTGGTCGTCCAGATCATACACAGAAGGAGAAGCATACAGAAACCGAAAGGAAGAAGGATTCCTTAGATACATTACGAACGCGAGCGCGCACCGATTCGACGATCAATTGCAAATGAAGATGAAAGTTTGTAAGTACTTCGCGTGTTCTTGCAGTCGCGGTGCTCTCTCTCTCTCTCCCTCTCGTTATTTCCCTGATCGCTCACTAAGACGACGTAGTGCTTAGTGATATTGCTGCAGTTGGAAAGCCTCCGAGATAGCAGACAGCATCGTCTTTTACTCTCTTCACACCGAGCGTTGTGACGAAGGAAACGAATCACCACGATACACCTGACGATCGTTTTCAAGAATTTCTCACGATGAACGTAGACGTGTTAAATACAAAAATTGCAAGGGCAATAGAAGACAGAGCACAGAAGGAGCAGTAGTTTGCTCAGGCAGCCAAAGCGATACGCACTATCGGCTTCGCGCCACATATGAATATGTCTTTTTCGTTCTCGATGTTCTTCAATCAAATTTGGGAATCGCAGTCAAGCGTCTTTGTGGTCAAAAGGAGTAGAAGTCTAAGGTAAAAGTTACTAAGCACGAACAACATCACATATACAAATTGTAGAAATAAAATCACAAACGACGTCCGGTGATGCAATTTTCATCATTAGTGGCATCTAGCTACAGTCACTCGTCTTTTCCTACAACAAACCCTGTAAAAATAGTTCATCTGTAAATGTAATTTTCCACTTCCGTCAGCACCGAAAGCCGATCGTGGGAGCCTGTGGAACCGGATCTACAGAGATGTACTTGTGACTCTGATATGGGTCCGCCGGTTCAGGTCGGACGCAAATCTTGTAGCTTCGTGACCCATCCTGCTGCCCGAAAAGAGACTCCGTCTGCTAGTGGAGATTGTACTTGTGTAACATATAACTGGAGAGATGTATTAAGCTCTGATCTAGCTTTGATACAAGATAGAACAAGAACTTGTCGGCCGATTATGCTTTGAAAAAGTAGGAATATCGTGAAGCTGCAAGTAGATGTAACATTTGATAGTGATGCCGTCCTCCGTGCACTACAACGAGAACGACAACACAATCATAAGCTAGTACAAATAATGTCGTTCCTGCTTACTGATAGTACCTGATCAGGGTTCCAACAGCTCGTCGCCGCAGATCGCGCGGTATCAGGCGCTGGTGTCGGTCTAATCCGTGCAGCTGAAGCATTTTTCTGAAAGAGAAAAAGAAGAAAACTTTTCGTGTATCCATAAAATTTTCTCAAGCTTTTGGTGCAAAAAGAAACATTTGAAAGTCAACAAAATTCCAAACAGGGCAGACGCTTGCTTTCTACACCCTCTGCAAAGAAACAATGGATTTATCTTCATCTTCATGTCTTTTCTATTAGCACTCTAGCTACCACGTCTGGATCCGCGAGCAGCGACGTCTCCGAAAATCGACGGCCGCTCAGTGAGCCTTTCCGTGAGCTGGCGGCGGACGCTGAGGAACCTCTACGCGACTTCCGCTGTCTGCCCATAGAACTGCTTGTTGCCCGTTCATACCTTCGAGGACTCTGTCGTTCCAACGAGGTGCCTGTCCGCACTGCTTCAGTTGCACACGCACCTGCATTCTGTCGTACAAGCGCGGTCGTCGCATGTTTTACCCCTGGAGCGGCCAGTCTTGTAGTTACAAGTGCATCGTAGCTGTCGACACTTGGGTAACCGGAGCCAGACGACCCGCCGGTTGTCATCATGGTGGACGCTGCTGACGCTGGTAACCCGCAGGCGTGGGTGACAAAATTCGACGGAAGCGCCTGTCCATGCGGATGCCTGAACGATTGTGCTCGCGCCGCCGGATGCTGGTGGTCTACATCGAGCGGCTGTGCCATGCTTTGCGGGGGCTGCGCGACGGGGTACATGCTGCTGTAACTGCCGTTGGACAGCGCAGCTGCATGCCCTGACACGTCGCCCTCCCCGAACGCGAAGGGCGCGGGTCCGGGGGGCGCGACGTAACTGCCATCTAGCGTAATGATGCTGCCGTCGTTTGGTGGCGGTTTGTAGTAAGGTATTGGCGCTGGCAAACCAGTTAAACGTGCAGGCGAAACCGTGCCTGATCCAAGAGGACCCCATCTAGGCGGGGACCTCGCGCCATCAGCGAAAGAGCGATGCTGCCCATTTGATTGCAGAAGAGTCGCCGTACTTCGCACGCCAACAGCGTTAGCAGCAATTTGCATAAAACCAATCCCGCTAGCGGTATGCACATTCGGATACGCTGACTGGAGAGCGAGCACAGATTGCTGCACAACATGATGCTCCTGTGGTGGAAGCATTACTGTCGCCGCACTTGGAGCAGCGGTGCTCGCCGCTGCAGGGTTGTACATTCCGCTTGTCATAGAATCGCGCGCCGTCGCTGCGCCTGCGACGCGACCTGCCGCTTGAGTCCGTCCATAAGACGTTCCGTGGCATGGACCGCTGAAGCGTCTTCTTCGAGCAAAGCCTTGCCCCACTCCTGTTTCGTTGGTCGGTGAGGGTCCGCGGGTACCCTCTCTTCCCGTGCTTCGCGTCGCTGTCTCTCTTGTGCCTGCAATTCTCGGTGGCGGAGCGTACCCCCCGCGTGGAGATTTGGACTGTGTGCGACTACCCGTCTCACAGGTACTTTTGCTCAGCCTTCGCGCCGCGCTGCTCGTAGATCGAGATCGCTGACGAGTCCTTGCCGTCCCAAGACCATCCCCGCTCAGTCGCGCAGGGATGGGACTGCCACGCCGAGGCGGGTCTGCACCGAATTTCGGAGACACATCTCGCGCCGCGTCGCTGTTTCGAACGGGAGGCGGCGGCTCGGCCGGATGACACTGCGAACGCGGCTGCTCGTCTTCAGGAACAACTTCGAACTGAAAAATGAGAACAAAAACTAGATAAAAGAGTGGTTTGCAGAAGCCACAAAACTCTGTCTGCAACCATACTCTACACATCGAACAAAAAGAATCTAATTAAGAGCACCTGCAAATAGACATCACAAGAAAAATACTCAAAAGGTCATCTAAGTACCTGCTGGTTTGTCGGTGATGCTCCTGTTGGAGAGTTATAATCGGCTAACGCAAAACTCTCGTTGCCGACTGACAAGTTCGGGAAGTCTCTTCTCGTTCGTCGACGATTTGGCGCGCTCTCCTGTCGAATGTAGCCAAGCGCATTTCCTTGTTCCTGAAGTTTTTCAGAGATAAATTCAAGCACATGTCATGGATGGGTTCATGTTTCGACGTCGGTATTCATTTGCCATTTACGCAGAAACAAAAACTTGTTTGCTCCTCCAAACTGTTGAAGTCTAGCGCAAAAACCTGTCCCACGACGTGACCAGACCGCACAGCCGGGACCGTGCCCCTCCGCTGATTCTTGACGGCGTAGGCAGCCTGCATCGCAGCCGTACCTGATAGATTGTTTCACGCAGGAAAATAAGTACATTGAACATTAAGGCACTTCTCAGCTGCGCATGAGAAAATGCTTTATAATTTACGTCTAATACTCCAATTCAAATTTTCATTTTGAATACTTGGCTCTCGTGCGACGGCCCCGATAGCGGCTGCGGCAGCCTGCAGTGATGGCGAAGCACCCAGCGATCCAAGGTAGTTCGATACTTCGAGACTCGTTTGCTTGCTGAAAGGTGTGCACTGCTTGCTCTTCCCAAAACTGAAGGGCGAAGACTCAAGCGACTTCCCTTGGGGACTCTGGATACCGCCAACGAGACCCAGCTGCAGCATCGGTGGCGATGGTGCGCGCTTGACCGAACCCGAAAGGGTCGCGCGTGGCGTGACTGCCGACAATCGCGACATCGGCGGCACTAACAGGTCGCTCGCCGATACGCCCACAATCGAAGAGACGTTACAGAGACTACTGGCCTCCGGACCCACGCATGGCCCGTCGCTTGGATAAGACCGAATTCCACCAGAGTTGTCCACCGAATTCAACGAGGAAATCTTTGTGGAACTTGGGGACGATTTCGGGTCAATGGTCCGTGTTGACGGCGCACTGGGATTTGGCATATGCGCTGTCGTTGCTGGCGTGAAATTCAGCGGATGTTCTACGACCGAGTTGTAGATGTCTTCCGGACTGCCACCCGCAGTCGTAACAGTCGCACTTCCTGGCGCCCCGCCCTCTCGCAGCGTGTCGACAGTATCGTCTTCGGGCGACGCGGCAAAATGGAACTTTCCTGCACGCTGCTTGCCGCCATCACTCTTCCCGCCCCAGGGCTGCGAAGCTGGAAGGTGTTCCGGTAATGGCAAATGTTCCGCTGGTGGAATTGGGATTCTGTAATTTGCATCAACCCGTGGAGCACAAGCGCGTTGCGCAGCGAAAGAAGAGCAGTCAGAACTCAGAGTGCCCGAGCGCACGCGCTCGCCACTACGAGCGGCCATGACACGTGGTTTCAGGCCGCTCACATTCGTCTTCGGCGAGCGAGTACCACTCGCCACTCTACCACCAGGAACGCCCGCCTGTCTACCTTCCGTTGCGAGTTCCGCAATTTGCTCGGGTGCCCGCGGCGAGAGTGCTGCGGCGCGACGCTGCAGTATCCTCGCGGTACGCGCGCTGTGCTCCGCACTGCGAAAAGGGCCTCCTGGTGCATAGCGTCCAGTTTTTGCATTCACGTTCTCGTGTGTATACGCCGTAGCACCACGACTCTTTGGCCGCGGGCGCGCCAGCGCCTCTAGGCGACGTTTGTCGACCGCTTTCTTTCGTGCCGCCATCGCCTCCGCTACTGCGGTCGGACTTGCTCGGGTGTCGCCACGGCTGGATACAGTTCCCGTCCCGCCTCGACTGGACACCGAACCACCATGTGTCGTGGAACTCCCGCTAAACTTACGCGCTGGACCGGCAATTATACCTGCGGTTGCACCTTTAATGGCGAACCTTTGTGAGGCTCCACCTGCCCAGTCTGCAGCTGTAGTCCCGCTACCGCCTACAGGCCACGCAGGAGCAGACGAGACATGCTGGCCGTGCACAGTGCCGAAAGACGCATTAGTCGATGTGCTTACTGTGTGCGCGGCTGCCTCGTTTCTGTTGTATTGCTTTCGCGCACGACTAGCTGCTGTCTCTCGGACCGCTGTACTCCCGCCAGCACGGGGACCTCCTGCACGAAAAGCATATTTCGGTACAGCTGTAGTTCGCGAAGCTACGGATTTACCGCTGCTTGCTTGCGCCATGCCTGGAGTCTGTGGCTTTCCCGGAACCATATTGCTCCCTTGTTGTTTCTGCTTTTTGCGCGTCTGCAAAATCCCGGCAGAACGCATCCGCTCGAAGTCTTCTAAGACAGCGGAAGCTAGGGTTTCCGCACGACTCACCCGCCGCACGAGACTAGCACTTTGCTTCATCGGGTCAGATCGTAGAGAACTCCCCGACTGGTTCAGAACATGGAGAGACCCATCAAACTTGCCGGAAGAGGAGATGGAGCGCTGCTCGCCCAAAGGAACCGACGCGCCCACCTGCGGTGAGCCGTGGACCGTCGTTATTGAAGATTGCGACCCTTCCTGCGCGATTGGAGACTTTTGCATTCCGCGCTCCGTCTTGCTAGGTTTGCAAAGCACGCCCGTTCGCGCCGCTGTGACCGCGGGCGCGCTGGCATCCTCAGGCTCGATTGGGATCCGACGCAGCCAGGCACCCATTGCTATGCTGTTCACGCAAATCTCTTGCACCACGTCCTCGATAATGCTCTTGGAAGTTTCTGCTTCTCCCTCTGAGACAACGGAGTTCGTCCTATCGTCGACGACCCCACCTGCAGAGGCAGGCACTTCAGCCTCCTGTGCAATCCCTTCTTTGGCCATCGTTGTTGCCTCGGCCTCGTCTAATGCGCTTTGGCAACTACGCATGATCTCATCGAGTTTCTCTGAAGACGTCCGTGATACTGCACCAAGAGCACCATCTCTTGCAACGGGCTGAATTTCACCGTCACAAACCTGCAGCTCGCTTAGTGACAAGGACCGCCCCGCGGTGTTGTCCGCCCCAAGCAGCTGTCGCATCTCGTCGAGAACCGTATCGCAGAGAGCGGACGCGCCGCTAGGAAGCATGATCTCTCCCGACGGCAGAGATCGCGACGCTGCAGGCTGCATCGCAGAACCTGTATCTGGTGCTGCAGAGTTTGCCTCTTTCTCCACCTCTGTAGATGTCGGAATATCCGCAAAGTCCTCTGCTGCTGCATCCGGAGAAGCGAACGCAGATGAAGACGCCGCGACAACTTCCAGCGCCGTACCACTTGCGCTAGACTCAAGAGAAATCAAACTCGACAGCATTTTGATTCTTCGGTCGTCTTCGGTCTCACACGATAAATCCGTGTTCGAGATCGCGGAAGCCTTGGTGGGATCCGCACTACCATCGCAGACAATTCGACTGCCATCTGCGGCCTGCTCGAACGGGGACAGCATGCTCTCCTCGATCCTATTTTCTGGTTTCCTTGGCCGATTGTCTGCGACAGCGACCGGTGATGCTGCAGTCGGTTCCTCAGGACGGTCCGTTGACGTCGGTCTGCCAACGCGATCACTTGTTCCTCCGCGGCTGCGTCCAGCAGCTACGGAGGGCGACAGAACAAAAGTGGATGACAAAAGCGTTTCTTGTTCACCCTCGACCGGAGTGGGCATCATCGAAAATGAATTCTCTTGGGCCGCAACGCCTTCACTTGCATCAACCGCCGGACCTTGCCAGACGGACATTGTTTTTGAAGACCTCGACTCCTGACGTTGCGTGAGCAGAGGGTGAATCATCAAATTGTCATCTATCGCGCTCGTCTGGTACTTCGTTGGGACTTGTGTTACTACTGGATTAGCTTTCTCTTGGAGCTGCTGATCCAGGAAACGTCCCACAAGAGGCAGCTTTTGTTCCGACATACTGCTACTGCAGGTAGACCTCCTATTTTTTGCACCGTCGTAAACGTGGTCTTCAGGGGTGTAAAAAGCTGGCGCAGACGCCGTGTGCTCATTATCCGGCGATACAAAGCGGGAAGACGTTGGTCGCACCAAATGCGGTGGAATTTTTTTTCGGTGCACGCCTGACGCCCCCCGTCGCATGGTGATGTTCTTGCTGTGCTGCTGCGCCCCACCACGATGGACGGAACTCGTAGAACCCTCCTCTAGTTTCGTCGACTGTGATGATGATGCTACAGTCGTCGATGCTAACACTTCTTTGTCACCGGTGCCAAGCAACGAACCCTGGCTAGCAGTGGCTGCTGCTAATTCTTGTCTGCTGGCACTCCCGGAGCTGCTTTGTTGTAGGCTTCGCTCACTACGGAAATGCAAGTGTTCTCGGCTCCGGACGCCTAATTCATTGCGCCTTATGCGGTCTTCCCACTCCTGCAATCTATCAGCTACCACGTTTTCATTGTGCGCTAACGACTCGCGACCACGCCATGCTCCCGCCTCTGTTTTACTTTCATTTCGTTGTTCCAGGGACTGCCCTAATGAAGGGGCTGAGAAAGACTGCTCTTCCTGGCTTGGCCCAAGAGGTCTAGTGCATTCGGCGGCCCAGGTGGCACCGGAGATACACGCTTTCTTATAAGCGCGCAGGAGCGCGTCCCGAGCGTCTTGTCGAGCTTCATGCAATTTGTCACTCTCTCGGCCTTCGCTAAGCTGTAGGTCGGCTTGTAGGTCCACGTCGAATTGGGTTTCCGAGTCCACCTGTGGGTCTGTGTCCGATGCTTGATTAGACAGAGACTCTGTTCTGGTGAACGCGCTCAACACTGGCACCACCCCATCGAGTTCTCCGTCATGCATTGGTCCCGCGCACTCGATCACATGCTCGACATTCACACCCTCGTCCTCCGCATCGGACGGCGTTTGGATTTGACCGTGTTCGGGAACGGGGCACAATGGCCGTCCGACCAAGATATCCTCAGCGGAAGCGCTCCGACTACGTCCAAATTGTCCTTCTGCCGAAACAACGCCTGCTGCTTCTTCCCGAGCCGCAGGAGCAAGGGCAACCTGAGAGAAAGTGGATGCTACATCAAACGTAGGCTGCTGATCTTTGTCAAACATATTTCTATAAATCAGTCTTTTGCTACAACATCACCTTTGCAAGGAGATGATAGAATATTAAGAAACAAGAAGGTCGTCGTGCAGCTTTCAACGATAAAAATTCAGTACTTACGCACTTAACCAATATGAAGTGTTACCTTTTGATCTGCCCTCGCCTCTCCAGATAATTCGCCTTCCGCATCAACAAAAATCAATCGGCGTTGCACTGCGGCGTCGTCAGGCGCCGCTTCCCCGTCGAGCACCTTCCATTCGCTGCTGCAGAGAACTTCCGACGCTGTTGGAAGTTGCGTTCGAGCTTTTGAAGCCGAGAGCAGACGTCGCGGTGGCTCCTCGGTGTCCAGGGCGACTGATGTCGTCGGCGAACTCAGCGCCACTGTGTCCGCGCCGTGTTGCACCGGAACTGTCATTATCTCGCTCGACGGGGTGGGTGCATCGCGATTTTGGTTCTCCGGAAAACAAAACTAAAATAACTACGCTAGAAGAATCATACAAAAAGCCGAATATAAAGAAATCAGTTCCATTCTCTTTGAACACTGACAAATACTGATAAAAATAGACGAAAAAATTTCTTCTTCTTCGACTTGCGGATTGAATCATAACCGAGGTCGCGACGCTTTTACCCGCTCGCCAGACGCATTATGAACATGATTTTCTAAGTTTTGATAGCTCTGTTGTAGTAAGAACTCGAAAATATACAGACACGTACACCGTCATCATACAGTAATCAAAAAAACACGTGCTTATTTACGAAAACAAGTTCTACTATAATCTACGAGGACAAGATTGTTTTCGTTATAAGAGAGCAACAGCGCGCGCATCATCTACAACTTGTTTATCCATGTGTAGCTTCTTTCTGGGTTTTCTGCTCAAGCCTCTAGAGCACTCGTACAAGATGTTGATGAAATAATCAAGTAGGAACGCCGTCCCCCTTTCATTCGGAACTAAAAATGATGGCTTATGTGGTCGCTTCACTCCGAAAGTTTTCGAGATGTTTCGCTCTAAGAGAGAAGGCAGGCTTCGTTTTCTCTCTTATGCTTCTGCTCCATTGCTCCCTTGCTTCTTAGCCAACGCTGGTCCGATACTTGTTGTCAGTCGTCTACTCTTGAAATAAGCTAACGTATTAGGACTCAGTGGTCGTGGTGCGGGAAAGGTCGCTCCAAAGACTAGTTCTACAAGTAGGAAATAATACTCCTGCTCTCTATAATTCAAACCAGCTTCTTCTATTTCATCATGCAGTCCATATTTTCAAGTGCGAACAGGAAATAGCTCAATATTTTGGATGGCGGCTTGCCTTTGGTGCGACAAAACCAGTTTCTTCGAAAGTTCAGCATTTATACATAGGTATTCAGCTCCGAGCTGCACAGAAGTCTACGTATGACAGGGACTCCACAGAGTCAACATGTCTCACGGGAGCGTAGCTGGTATTAAACAACTCCGCAGTCTCAGTTTTCACAGACAGCAAATTCAATATAAGTCCAATGCGACAAAGCACGATGATCACGGTTGTAGCAGACAACAATTTCAATGCAAATTCGAACCTGCAGACAAAAATGTTATTTGAAGTGAGTCATACGATGAATGAGACTGAGACAGATGAGCTATGTCGAATAATCAATATTTTTACTGCACATGTTAAATTTCGTAGATATGCGGCCGCGACGAGAGCATGCAAGAAAGCGAGTGAAACTATGCAAATTGTTGTAGCAGCTCGTGCATCATCACGTTTTCGCGGATTTCGACTGGCGGAGGCGATTGGGGACAGCTTCCTCTTGGTCACCTCTGCGCTCCTCCGTCACTGCACACCGCTCCTTCGCAACTGCTTCCCGCACCTCGACTGGTGGCCAGATTGCGCCGACTTCCAGCATCTCCAGGCGCTCCTCATCCTCCATCACCTGAGCTTCCCACGCTTCGTCGGACGACACGAAATCTGAGAAAACACTGCCAAACGGCCCAGGTGAGTTATTTCCAACTACAAGTACAACCTCCGAGGCGAATTGATGCTCGTCTCTACGTCGCCGCGCTTCCGCTGCCTCGTGCTCGATACGTACCTGCTCACTCCAAGAAGGCTGTTCACTCGCAGTTCCAACACCCGAAGACTCGGCTCTATGGGCATCGAGAGCGAAATTTTCACCAAAGTTGAAACTCTTACTGTTTTCTTGCACTTCATTCCAAAGTGCAGAAAAAGCACTCTTGTCGTCGGCGTGACCTCCTGAAATATCCGTAGCCCATTCGTCACCCTGAGATGTATGACTAGTTGCCCCCGCACCATTTGAAGCTTTCATCCGCTTCTTTGCTTCAGAATTCCAATCTGAAGAGGACGAAGATATGTTGCTTATACGTGACCGTCGACGCATCCAGCCAGGTGGAATGAACTCTCGATCACTGCGAAAGGCAAGAAGATTCACATCCCAACGCTGGCAAAACTCGTGGTACTTCGCATTGTCCCGCCGCTGAAAAGCCTCTTCGCACTCGCGATGCAAATCCCAGGAATACACTTCGTCCAGTGGTCCCGCAGTAGCCGGATTGCGTGGCGGCGGCAAGCGCACAAGTTCGAACGCGTGCAGCGCATCCTCGTAGCCGGCGCGGAGAAGCTTGCTGTGAATTTTTTTGATTATCTATCGACTGAAGCGGAAACCCAATAACATTCTGATAAACTACAACAACGACCCAGATTGATTTCTTTCATATTCAGTGTAAAATTCAGAGCTGAGAATCCCGCTAAATTGTACATGTATCTTGGCTTCAGCCCGCACTTGGAGAGCAGTGATTCGTTGCGAATGAGTTCCGGCAGGGAAAGGCCTCTCGCGAGAGGGTGACTCAGCAGTTTGCCCACAGTAAGCTTACCAACACCAGGGACGCCTCGAATGCTGTCTACGGCGTCCCCATGAATTGCTAAATACTCGCCGATGCGGTCGTGGGGGACCTGCCACTTTCTTTCGATCATCTCTTTCGTCATGAAGACTCCTCTGTAATACGACTCTTCTGGGGCTGTCGTGTATGACGCTGTATGAACGTTGATGCCCGGCGCAGGAGGTTCAGAGAACAACGAGGTACTACTAGTCGTGTCTTTACTGCTCTGGTCCGGGTCAGGCTCTGCTGCTTCGTCTGATTGTGCGGTAGATCTCCCTTCGGGTGACGATGCCGCTCTCCTTTTTCCGTTGAGGGAGTTCGATAGTCTTTTACCCGAGGAACTGCGCTTCAGATTCACCCCCGCAGCATCTGGCTGCTCTTCCGCCAGTACGGGGTATTGAAAGGGATCGTACACGCGACAACCGAGAGAAACCACCTGCAGAAGGTCCTTGTCGCCGGACACAACGGTAGCGGGGGGCGTATCCTGGTCCTCTGCTAGCCTGTATTTTCCGTGACTATATTTCGTGGCGAGTTTTGCAAGCACATCGTCAGCCTCCAGTCCTCTCGGAGCGATGCGAGACAGCCATCCTCTACTCCAAAAAAAGTCCCGCTGTAAAATGTTCTTAGAGGAACGTTATCCTGGAATGCTAAGAACATGATCAAGCATGTAAAGAACCTAAAACGAAATGTGAATGATGCGATGGAAAAATGAATGGTTGAGTTAGGTCTTCCTCTGTTGTCATTAATCAGAGATTGATACTGGCCTTGAGCAAGCCTATGGAAGAACTAATTATCACGCGTCGTGTCTCGTCTCATCATGATAAAAGTAGGGCCCATCTATATTCTTAACTTGGATGCCTTCTCGCAGTCCCATCTCTTGCGGTGGACGTCCAGTTTTGTAACCGGTCTGACCAACCCCTTTGGTGCGGCGTGTGCCGTCGGCGCGCCAGCTGGGAGCGCCAGCGTCCCATATCGTAACCAGCTGCGCCGACGGCGACTCCCGTGTCGCGCGCCGATAGATCCCATCCAGAAAGTAGCAAAAATTGGGTACGAAGCTCGCCTTGTCCGCAAAATACAATCGGGTCGCCAAGAGGTGCCCATCAACCAGCCAGATATTCCTCATTCCACATGCGCACGAGAAACAAGCGCTCGAGCATGAACGGCTACAGCGTCTCCGGAGGCGACAAGTGCTGTAGCGGGAACGGCCCAGATCATATTCCCTTCTCTTTCTAGATCAAGAAATAGGCTCTTCTCTGTAATCAAAAGATTAAAAATGCGGTAACAACTTTTACTTTCTTATGTTGACACACTATAATCAAGACATGGACTACGATCAAGTACTGAAGAGGACCCTATGACAGGATATTTAATTGGGACAGTCGAGGAGGAGCAGGGGGCACAATCACAACTTAGAAGAACTTCACAATGTCTCGTGACACGAATTAAAATTTTCGGGTCGTGCAGCTGCTCCAACAAAAAATTACAACTCTAATCTGAAACCAATGAGCCAAATTTGCAAATACTTTATGGGAAAACGAGTATTGATCGTCTTTTTCGATCAGCTGTTGCGGGTAAGCAGGTTCCACGGAAAGGGACTTTGAAGGGACAATTTACTTGTCGTTAGACTTCAACAGAAAAGCACATCTCAAGCTTGGCCAGCGGGACTTTGCTGGGCCGAGGGCCGTTATTGATCTATTAAAACTTTACACACTGACATCTTGATCTTTCACCTAGCTCTCCATTTTTACCATCATACCTCTTCTCTACTTTAATCACCCTCGCGTTGATGTTTCTTGTTGAGAACAACTTGGAAATATCGAATGACGTCTCGTTATCGTTTCTACTGTTCGTATAAGACTGGTCGTACTTAGGACTTAGAGCCTCAAGAAGTTCATTTGGAAGTGACGACTTCTAATATCTCACAAAGTACCTTTTCACTTCATTGATGATGCATCATGTGCATCCGCACTTAAGTGCCTATTTTGGCTAGAACATAGTGTCTGTCTCTGTGTCTTTTCCATAGAAATACTTTCTCATGCTCCGGCGACGCTCGCATCTTTCTCAGTATTTGAAAATATCTGAATGATGGCAGCGCACAGATCGGTCACGCGTCGAGTCGTCGCGCGACGGAGACCTCTCGAAACTTTGCCGCTCGCTCTGGCGAGTGGAATTAGACAAGCATTTTTGCCCTATCTCGATGCTATCTTCTTCTAGTAAGTGCGTGGACACACTTTAGATTTCCAGCTCGAACGAGGATGCCCCAACTCACAGAGGAGCTGCAAGAGCAGAACAACTCGTCTGACCGTAACAACTGATCTGAGTGGTCAAAAGAAATACCATAATACAAGCAGCACTGGACATTCGGTTTTCAAAACTAGCTTCGGCAGATGCTGATCATGCATTCTGCAAGTGCTTCGGGTCGTTCCGTCTATCTGAGGGACGCCATCTTCTGAGACGGCTTCTGGTTCCTGACGGGGAGGTCCGTAAAGATCCCATTTCTGAATGTCTGAACAAATTTTGTTCACGCGATTCGCGAGGGTTGGTACAGACCGCGAAAAGTCTAGAAACCGCGAAGGCGATTCCGCAACCTCCACTAATGCGGCGCCACCTGGTACGGCTTCATCTTGCTGAAAACATGTCCCCTTCTCCGCTCCAACGCTCTGGTGATGACCTTCCGGGTTGTCAGCAATATTTTTGTCTGTTGCAGCAGTACCGCGAGCAGCGCAATTTGCACCTTCTTGATCATGATGTACTCCTTGTCCTTCGAATTCATCAGTTCCGATTTTTTGTCCTTGTTCACTTTCATCCTCCACACGAGTGTTCCCTTTTGTAGCTGTCTTTTCGCACACCTCATTAGTATGAATTGGCCAAATATGATACTCTGCGTCAATCGTGAAAGGATGTCTTGCCAGCGACTTTGAAATCAAGCGCTCCAGATCTGCGCTCAAGGTTACAATCAACCGGCGTAGCAGTAAGCGATCTTCATCAACAGTAGATGAAGTCGCATCGCTTCTGGCGATATCCAGGGAGTTTTCTGGATTCTGTGTGGAACGAAGATCACGCGCTATAAAATCCGTTCCTTCCCTGTCGTCTCTATCTTTGCAAATCAAGTTGCGCCCACACATTCGAAGTCGACAAGGCAATGAGGCAAACGGACACAAAAACTGCAGAATCCGACTTCTCACTTCGTCGGGAAAGCACACACCTGAGGGCATACAGTCAACTACTGTTGCCGCTTTTTCGCATGTATCACCGGCGTCAGCCGCAGATATCATCGCCCGGAGTCGGTCAGTGGACGAGGACATTATTCTGTATTTGAAAATACTTCTGCAGAAACTTCCATATATTCTCGAATGAATCAATGACGTGAAGCTATTCGATCCCCAAGAGGCACCAGTCTGAATCTGGGTTGCTGTCATTAATTTGAATGTGCTATTAATCCACTTTACTCTCTCGAGAAAATTTTCGGCGGAGGCACAATCATATGATATAAAAGCTTTCTTGAAAGAACGTTCATCCCATCATTTTTGGGTGATCAAGCCTCCCTCGCTTCGCGCATCTCTTGCTCTTGCCTCAGAAACATGTGTAATTCTAACTTGTCATCTGTCCGGTGAGAATGTGTACTGTGAGAACCACGAGTGTTGGGCCTGTTCACTAATGAGCATATACCGCTACAGTTTTGTTTTGTGCCATGCGAAGCTTCGACCAACTTTAATCAAGAAAACAAACGTTGGAGCCAAGATTGATAAGGCTTTTGGTGTTCTGTGCGTGACTTTTCCCATGAAAGTATTATGCTTTTGTTTAGATGTACACAATCTACGTCACAATACTCGTTTAGCATCTAAACTACAAAAAGAAGAGATAGACAAATCGAACAAACCGCAATACTTGTGCAGCGACATTGACGACGAGACATAATTACTTGTCACCTGATGCCCATTTTTGTGCCTATACTCTAGCCTATGCAATTACGAGGAAGCACGAATATTTTGCACAACCCTTGGTAAGCTTTGAGTCCTCCAAGGCTTCGGGCGCCGAGGAATAGCCCAACTATGTAAACCAGTGTGTGCTGAACGAGCGTGACCTTCTGTCCCACTTATCCAACAAGGCTGTGTCACTTTTGCCAGCAGAATACTACTTGAAGCGTTCTACACACGAGTCGTGCGCTAGGCGTCGTCTGCGTATTGGAGTGGTCGACCTCTCAAGCAACTTCGCGATTGGAAAGCCACAAAGGCGCAAGATCAAGCAACCCCGCATATGCAACTTGCTCGCGTCTTTCTGAATCAAGCCACGTATACTCATCAAAAAACAGCACCTTTACCCCTACTGCATCTTTTGCAAAGCGTAGTGGTTTCTCATCGTCAAGCTTTCCAGCACTCCCACCACCAATGTTTGTTGCGACCCCAGTCGCAGAAAGTGGCCTGTCGAGCGAACCAAGCGTGCAACGCCCTTCACGCGGAAAGCTGTCGGACAGTGCAGAGTGAACGTGAACGTATACTAGCGTGTTCTCTTCCGCGACCCAGTACGCTTCGGAAGGAGGCCAAGCTCCCGTGATATGCGTCAGCGCTGTGTCCTGCAAGATATTTCGAAGTGCGTCCGTCTTCCGAGATTCGTGCAGGGTAGAGTTTTTATCAGTGCCGACTAATGTCGGCTTATAACTGGACGAACTATTGCTGGAATTGAACCATTTCCTGAGTAATGGGTCCACGTCGGCTTCGGTCTGCAGTGTGAACGCTGCTGCAAAGCCCTCTTTTTGTGCATTTACAGGTTCAAAGCCACGCCGCGCGAAGGACGCCACTACCGTGGCTCCTCGTCCGAAAGGAACGGTGGGGTGATCTAACCGTCGTGCTACCCGGCGTGTGCACTCCTCGGCGCTTGCTTCGAAATGCAAACACGCTGCGCGCTGCGGCCGAAAACACAGATCTAGCAGACGCGTGCGATCCGCTACCAGCTGGTTGCAGCGGTCTATCACCAATAGACCTTTCTTGTTTCCCCCGAGCGCGGAGGTCGTACCTCTTGCACTTTTCTTGCTGCTGTCGACTTCCTTGAATGCAGCACCGACTGCATTTTCCAGCGCGGCACGGCCTAGCTCATCTTGACAAAGAACGCGAACATTCAAATCGCCGGTGCTAGCAGCGCACTGGCGTAATCGGTGCACGAAAGTACTTTTGCCCGATCCGGGCAGTCCAACAAGGACAAGTATGTCGTATGGAATATTACTTTTCCCACGCTCCGCAAGAGTTCTTGCGGGCGTTGGCTCTTGTCTCTGACCACCCGCTTCTTGCACATGGCCTGCTGAGATCATCGCGTCCGCACCAGGTGCGTGTTGTGCGTTGCTGCAACTTATTCGCGCGGCTGATGCAGCGCTTCCTTCTTCTTCATTTCCCGTGTTTTCAGATCGAGCTGCCGTGTAAGGCTCATACGAACGGCCTGTCTGGTCCTCGAAGTCAGTTACACTCTCGACCAACACTTGCTGGCGGTTCCACCTGCCCCTCCGATAGTAGTCCGGACCAGTCTGGATATGATTGGCTCTTACATACTTCGCCATAGCGCTTGAAAGGTCTGCAGTCTCCCCAGCCGAACGCACAACAAATCCTTCGGGAAGGATATTTCTACTCGCCGCGGCTTTTACCTCCTGCACACCTTTTGTATTCTTGCCACCAGTAATATCACCAGTAGCGCTTATTTTTTCGTTTTCGTTTTCTATGTTCAACTTTGCATCTGCTGTAGTTGTTTTAAATTTCAGCGAGGAGTCGACATCTCGCTTTGTTCTATCCTCACCGCTACAAAACATGGACTTCGCTTCCTGAACTAAGAGGCTCTCTTCGGCTGCCCATACCCGCATGCGGCGCTCTAATTCGTTGAGACCGAGCGCAGGACCGCGATAGCGCACAGGGACAAGCGGTAAGCGCAGTTTGCGTGCAATCTGTTCTGTTTTTTCCCAGCTGAGCCACACACCGTGGAGCCGCACAGCAAATAGATAGAACGGAAAACACACACCGCCCGTGTACTCAATCGAGTGACGCGCACACAGGTTCTCGCCATAGAGCTCCAAAGAGGCGGGGCATTCCCGTTGCAGCACGCTCAAAAGCGGCTTCATGAAGACCTTGGCTTTATCACTGCTCGATGACGCGCTCTTGGCACCACCGCCACATTCGATGAGAGTCGTTCGTAGCATGCTGCGGATGGGATCGAAGCTCTCATGGGATGCCGGTGCCGCGTGTGTTCTCGCGAACACTCTTCCGCCATCCTTGATGCAACAGTTGCCTCCGTCCAGTTTTTCAGTGATAATGATCTCCTGTATGCTCGCGTCCACATCTCTATTCTGCTGGGGCGTGGAAGTTACAGCGCCCTTCGAACTCTTGGAATCTTCAATAAAAATACGCAAGAACTTCGCCGCCTGTGCATGCGATAACGCAGTGTCTGTGCTATCTCCGAGCGACGGCGAAAACGGCAAGTACGGTGTGCTGGGATACTTCCCTTGTGTCTCTCCAGACAATGCTTCAAGATCCGCCAACAAGCTGTCCTCTTCTTCCTTCTGAAGGGATTTCGTTCGCTGCAACGCCGATGGTTTCCATTTCTTCAATGATGTCACGGCGGGCAATGCGTCTGTGGTTGCAGCACCATCATGCAGTCCACTTTCCTTTGTATGCGCTTCTTCATCATGATCCGCGCCAACATGATCATCTTCCGGAAGTATCGCCCATAAGTGCTGCGCATAACTGCGGACGAAACGCTCCTGTTGGTCAGTCTCGATGCTTCCCGGTCGCTGCGCTCGCAGCAGACGCACCGCTTCAGCAGACTCCGGGAAAGCAAAGGACTTTGACGCGGCGCCAGTTCTAAGTTGCTGTCCAGTAAGGCCAAAGCGCAACATGCAACACGCTGCCAACGTGCCTGCGCGACCCTTGCCACCGCCGCAGTGTAAAAACACATTCATCCCACTGGCAACGATCGCCTGAATGCGTTCGAGACACCCGTCGATTTGCTCTGTTGAAGACGGGAAGTAGTTCGGTGTCGGCACATAGAGGTTCGTTGCAGCAACGCCGAGTTGCTTGTCGTTTCCGTCCTCTCCTTCGATCAACAAAGTCACTCCACCCTTTGGATTTTTGCCGTCTCTGCCATTAGCGTGCACTGCCTTTTTCTCAGCCTTTCCCGCGCCCTTCCCTTTACTCTGCGTCCCATTAGCGGTTTCCCGTTGGAGCGGCGCGAAGCGGCTTGGCTGTCGGCTCGAGGAGGAGGAGGACGAGCAGGCCGCGCCCACTATCTGGGCCATCTCTGACGACTCATCTTCGGGTACGCATATACCCGGCACTTCATTTCCGTCTGGCAGTAGCGTGCTGACACCTTCTGCGAACCATTTTTCTGGCAAGGGCGTTTCCTCTGTAAGTGTGATAACAAGCTGTACGTCATAGTCGTGTCGCAGCGCGTCGATGTGTGCGCGGGTGTAAGGAGTTGAGCCAACCAAAACTCCTGGGTAAAGTTGGGAAAAGTTTCGCATCATATGAACATTCAAAAACGGTGAGTCGACGCGTGCACGCGGATTCAGCGGGGCTCCATTGAAAGCGGAGTGTTCCTCTTTTTTTTTGTTCCTGGGTGGATGTACGTCGGACTTGTTCGTCTTCATTGCGATTTTTTCAGCACTCGCTGCGCTGCTTGCTGCATCCACTTGCTCGCTTTTTTCCTCCGTTTCATGTTTTGGAACGGCACCATTCTCAAGTACACCGAAAACCCTTTGTTCTTGCCTCTCTTCTTCGCCCTCGGCCGGAAGATCATCTTCAGTTTCCGCTTCTAGTGGCAACAGGTCGGCTTCAGAGTAACAAGTAGCTAACCACTCTGCCTGAAACTCGAAGTCGATCATCTGTTTGACGCTTTTGCCACGTGTCCAGAACTGCGTGATACCCTGTTGAAATTCGCTCCGTACCATCTTCATACGGTGCTTTAAGCAGCCACATTTATCGTCGTCCTTGCGAAGCATCAGTCCCTCAATGGGAACGGCGTCCTCCCCTGGCGCGAAACGCGACAGGCACGGCGCGTTGTTGCCCACGCCCATAAAGGTTTCGAGCACGTAGCGAATACTTGAAAGCTCGCCCTTGAACACCACGGGCACCGCGGGAATCCCTGTCCCCTGCAAAGCCGCGTGAAAACGTTTTCGGCTAAGAAACTTGGTTCCGTCCCACAGGTCGAAGGCGACAAAGTGTCCCGGCATGCGCCGATAGTGAACTGAATGCTTCAAGTAGCACCACTCGCCATAAAGGACGTAAGGTGAGTTGCCATTGTTCTGCTCAGCACCATTTTTGGTGCTGTTATGATTTCCAAGCAAAGAAAACAGAGCGTCTCGGTGCTCGTCCACCCACGTGTCGATAGTGGCAAACTGAGCACTGGTCGTACTGCAAACTTGATGTCCTCGATTTTGGATTCGTATTTGCCAGTCCTGTAGAGAAAAGCCAATATTCGCACCATCAATTTTCTCCTCCAAATACACTTCCCCGTTTCGCACGAACAGAGCCTCGTCCTGCTGCTTTGCAACGATGTCGTCATCGGTCGCGGCACCCAAATTCTTCAAATGCACAGTGCGAGGATATTTTTTCGCAAGGAAGTCAGTTGGGATGTCCGCTTGTCCAGCGCTGCTCGAAGATTGTAATTTCTTTTCGCACATTGTCTTCAGCTTCTGGAGCGTTTCTCCAGCTCTATGCCCGAGAGACATTTTTTCCAACTCCTCTTCCACGAATTCAAGACACGGCTTTGCGCCACTGACGCGAAAGAGGGCAAATGCCTTCAGTTCGATCGCCTCCGCATCAGTGCTACGAATCTCCAGAACTTGTTCTGCGTGCTGGAGTACTTCGGGGTAGCGATGTAGTCTCCCCGCCAGTTTTGCAGCGGTGTGGTGGAACAGCGCACGGAGCCTTCGACAATGCGGCGCTAGACTACTTGTTGCAGCTGTAGCCGAGATCTCATTTTTTGATTCCGCAACGTCAGTACTTGTAGTTTCTTCCTGCATATTGAGAAGAGCGTTCACTGCGGCCACCAGATCGCTGGAAATACTCTCGGAGACACCGCGTTGCGCAGCCAAAGCTAACATTCGCTCAGGGATCAGACCTGCTGATGTACGAAATAACTTGCTGTACCTTCTTGACGAAAAAACACTTAAGTAACTGCGACTGTAGAGATATTTAATCGGGCCGGTGCGATCAGAACTGCAGACGATCAGTGAGTTCTCATAACCCGGAATGAGTTCAGAGAAAATCCTCCGTAGAGAAGGGAGGTCATCATTTCTCGCACATAGCCGCTATCTTTACCATAGACATGTTGATTGAAAATGTTTATCACAATCCACCAGCAAAAACGAGTTGTACAAAAGAAAAATTGATCACGGATAACTCCTTAACAGAGAAAAGATACTTGGAGCTCTGTTGATTTTCACCCCCGCCGAGCCGTGGACTAGGGTATGAAGGTTCTTCGGCACATCATGCAGATCGCCGCGGGCACCGAAACCCAAAGTAATATGGAAATCTTTTTTCGGCAATCCAAAGTATTCACGGAACGCTTGTGCTCTTGGAAAAGACACCACAACGAAGCTGCACTCCCCGACGCGCCCTAGTCCGATCGGAAAGAACGCGTCCGCGTCAAATTGTAAGTACGGCTCCGCGTCAATACTCAAAATTTGTGTCTCATGAGTAGTGGCAGAACTGCTGTCCTCCAAGGCAGACGAAGCCTCATCGTGCACTCCTTCATTTTTCTTTTTGTACGGCTTCGCCACTTCCTGCTCCAGCATGGAGACAAGCTCGGGACAGGGTGTGCCATGAATCGGGATAGGAATCTCTACGCTGGAAATCACCGTGAGGTGAAAACGCTCGCCGTCGCGCTTCTCGCGATTCTGTCGTTGAGATAGCGCCACTTCAGGCGCGAAACGCGCAGCAGCTTCGTCGATAGCATTTCCGACAGCGTATAGAGCTCCACGTATAGCACGAAACCGCACAGCATCAGACGACGAAGGCGCGTGCCGGTCGTCCATTGGATGTTTACGCGACATTGCGATAACGGGACTTAGATCCGTTTCGAGCATTTTTGTCATCTCAATATGGGACCTTGTCTTTGACTGTCAGTTATGATGTTCCTTGGTGAAACAATGAATGAATCCAGGAGCAAGGTGGATTTCAACTTACCAGGACTTAACTTTTTTAATGCCTTTGTGTGATACTTGAAGAGTTGCGTCGTGTTCAGATACTTGAAGCATTTGTTCCTTGCTGTGAATACAATGAATAAGATACTGCGGAACAGTCGTTGTGTTACTACTTTCAAAATGTTCAAAACCTTAATATTGTTCTAAACCCCTGTTATTCTTGAAAAGTAAAAATTCCCTTCGGTTGTTGATGCAGGCGAATAAAAAGGAACAGTCGCAGCGGCCATATCAGCTGCGTTGAGAAATTTCTACAACGTTGTAGACTATCTCTTTAGGCCCAGAATTGATCAAAATGATTCTCATGAACATGATTGCTGTTTGTCGGAATTCCCTGTGATCATTCGAACCCTCGTATTTCGAAATGCGACTTTGCAATATCCAAAAATATCTCAACAACTGGAGAAGAGTAAAATTTCAGTTACGAACAGCCTGCTTACTTCTGAGGACCCGTGGCACCATACAACGTAAATAGGATGTTATTTTGGCGCTTGCCCATCCTCTTAAAACAAATTCACTTGATGAAGCACAACATGCGTATATAGAACATCAATACATGAAACATATGACAATGTCATCGCTATAAAACACTTTTTCATAATCTCCGGTGACGTTTAACATGCTGCATGTGGAATGGTAATGCGCGAGCATCCCAGGCATGATCTGCACATTCGGGAGGAGGTTTGGAAAATATAATCGCAGAAGACTGAGAAGGCGCACTATTCTTTGAGTCGCCCCAAATCCGATTTCCCCGATTGCGCTAGAAACCAGATCCAATGTCAGCCGTTGCCGCGAGTTAGCACGATGTTGCGACCAGCGACTAATCCGAGTTAATGTTGCGAAGCTAATCGGTGTTAACACAGTGTGCTGCAAAACTGGGCGATCACGTATCCGCGAACGTTACACTGAGCCCTGCATCAGACAGCACCTCCGATTCACTGCCTCCTGGACTCAGTCTTAGAAAAGCAGGTGCTTCTATTTTCCCATAGCATCAGAAAGTGGAGTGCACATTGGCAACACAGTGACTAATTCGATCAGTGTTAGAAGTTAGGATCGCTACTAAAAATAATACAAAGTCGAAGTCGCATTCCGGCTCAACATGAGTGGTCTGGTGACTAAAACAATAAACTATTGCCCAATATCAACAAAGTTCAGATGAACTTAAGAACATAAAACGAGATCCACTTTCGGGGTCTCCGGAAGCTCATCGTTTCCTTCTTCCGGAAGGTCTTCGGGAATGAGATCCAAGGTAGGTAAAGAGGCCTGAAAGCGCATGGCGCTGTTGTAGTTGAGAAAGCTTGCCCGCCGGTCCGCTTTCCGCTTGGCTACCCGACTGTGGCGTGCGGCGAGGGACTTTCGAATTTTCTCTTTCGCCTTTTCGCCCGTTTTCAGCAGAAAGGGCACCACGAAGTACCACAACACCGCGCTGAACGCGAGAAAAGCCTGCCATCCGAGAACGTCAAAAATCAGCCAAGAAAAGCTTTCCTGGGCAAAGCTGTAGAATAAAGAATTTCAATGAATATGGCGATATCCAATCTCATCTTTCGAAAACAAAGGGCCTCCTTGCTCCCATCATATATAGCGCACAGAAACTTCATCGGTACAGGAGGTAGAAGACGCGGTACTTCTACTCTAGCCTTTTTTTTATACTTCATTTTTATGGGAGTACGTAGACCAAAGACCCAAGTGAATGACAACTGTATATAGATTACCATGTCCAGTCGATCGTAGCATTCACTATCGAAAACAGGTTCGCCATAAATTCGGTTTGCGCCTCTTGTGTCCAGCGGGAAGAGTTTTTCGGGAGCAAGTGCGAATAATGGTAGAAAAACCCGGTGGCTATCTGTCAAGTGTCATAAAATTACGAAAATGTATTTGATGAATCTTCAAGTGACGAGGAACGAATTTTACGCTATTCATCTATACACAAGCCAGCCTCTCCCAGAGAAGCATAAAAGTGGCGCCATTCAAGTATGTAAGGTATTCGGTGTTGTACGTCTCTGAGTTCTCGCCTTGCTTGGAGAGCGCCCATAAGAATATGCGTGCTCCCGACCCAACAGCCAAAGGCAGCTGCTCCAATCTTTCTCACACGATTAGACCGTGTGAGAGCGCTTCGTTCTAGCTGCGACAGCCGCGACTCAAGACTGGCCAAAATTGCGAGAAGCTTCTCTCGCTCCCCGAGGATGGACTCCTCGCATCCCCTAACACTCCGGAAAGCTGTCGCCATAGTTTCGGGCCCTAAGCTGGTCCTATTGCTAACTTGTCATGTGTCCGCTTCATGGTGCGATCCTTACTCGATCACTAGATAAACTCGTGAAATCAGTGCTGGAAAAGAAGACTCATTATAAGATTGAGACTCATGACGATGATGAATGACTCAAACAAAAAAGTAGAACAGCTGGATGCGTGACCTTAGAAAATATTGCGTCTCAGCATCAAATCAGACGCAAGAAGCGCGAGCTTCAGACCTGCCTATCTCTGTTTCCCACGCCAGTAAACCAGTACATTTTTGCTATAGATGAAAAGTGGCAATTGATATCTGAGAATCAGAACAGTGCACAACAGGAACTACACATCCTTTTCCCTAATAGACTAAAGACCAAGGTCCAGCACGAGGACCACTGGATCCCTTCGAATGTAAAATCTTCAATTCGGGCATTTACTAGCTCCGCTAAACTGTTATCAACGCACTTCTTCTTTTGGTCGCCATTGACGCAACAGTGTTATCGCGTGTTTGCTGCATGGTACAAGATGTGCCCATTTGAGAACAACAGCATTGCAAGTTGACTGGGAGCCTTGCCTGGCATCATCCACGCAAAGGCGCACAAGCTCATATTTGAAAGTCACAAGAATTCACGAAAAGCCATTCATGTTAGTAGACGGAGCGTGCGCTAAATCAAGAGCAGCGCTTTGGTCATTTTCTTTGTACGCGCACACGCAGGTTGATTTCGTGCGCATGACGGCCCACGGTGGTTGCTGGCAATCGGAAAATCAGAGGGACGCCGCGCCGCGTGACGCTTCGCACGCTGTCGGGCGCATGGTATGGGGGGACACCCGAAAAAGGCAACTCGATGCCCCGTCGTCCCTGGCGGCCGTAGGCCGCCAGAGGGACGACGCGCCACGTGACGCTTCGCACGCTGTCGGGCGCATGGGATGGTATGGGCGGACACCCGAAAAAGGCAACTCGATGCCCCCTCGTCCCTGGCGGCCTACGGCCGCAAGAGGGACGAGGCACCACGCCAGGCTTCAGACGCTGTCGGGCGCGTGGTATGGGCGAACACCCCAAAGAGGAAACGCCATGCCCCGTCGTCCCTGGCTGCCTACGGCCCACGCAACATGTGCTAGAGAATAAGAAAAAAGGGAAACGCCTCCGGATGCGCCAACCTTTTGGAAGAATATGACGAAGCGAAACCGATAAACAGAGCCGGGAAACCCTTGCGGAGATTTTTGCCGGAGACGTTGCGGCGGTCTTTTTCTTTTGCGTCTTTGTTTCGTTGGTGTTTGAGAGTATTCGAATACCTTGCGACTATTTGGAGAATATTTGGGAATGGTTTTCGCGTGACCTCGCGAAACTCTTAAGCGAAACCGTTAAGGGACAGAGGTTGTCCTGGGCCGTTTTCGATATTTTGCCACTTTTCTGCACCGTTTGGCACGCCAGTCCCTATATCGCGGGGCCAGTTCATCTCCCTCCTTTTCCCGTTTCCTTATCGGTTTCGCCTCCGTCTTTCCGGGCTCTGTTCAGATGCTTCCGCCATTCCCTTATCGGTTTCGCCGCTCGCTCGGCGTGCCCGTCTCCTCTGCAATCCCTCCGGCTACCGATACAAACCGAACGAGGCGACAGGCGACACCATCAGACACGGGCTCGCCCTCCTTTTTAAGAGTCTGGAACAGCATTAACGGGAAGGGCTAAACCTGTGCGCCTGTAGCTCTCAGAAGTGCGCCCGGTATAGGTAGCACACGCACACGAAGAAGGCCAAGGGGATAAGCGAACATCTTCCGGGAAGACCGCAGAAGCTTGGCAAGGCGCCCTGCCTGGCGCATCGTCCCGCAAGGCAACCCTCTGCCCCCTCCGGCGTTTGCGCGACTGTGAGCCCATGGCGTATAACGAGCCTGCGCCGAAGAGTGCGCCCCCGGACGGTGCCCAACCTTGTAACCTTGTACAGGGGGGCGCGGGGCGCGGGGTACAAGGGGGGCGGGGGAATGCTCCCAAGAGACAGCCGCGTAACTGAAGGACTAGCCCAAGCCCCATCGACCCTGGCGGCCGCCGAGGCCGCGAGCGGGACGATGCGCCAGACAGGGCGCCTCGCCAAGCTTCTGCCGCCTCGAAACCCATACCCGCACGAAAGTCGAAACCATTAGGGGGCGACATTTCGCGAATTCGAAACGGCTAAGGGACTCGCAAAACGGTCAACAGCCTGGCCCTTGTCGTTGTTATATGCTTTGGCTTTCTTCTTACTTGCGGCGACCAACGTCGCGGCGTGCCGCAAGGCGTGGCGCGAGGTTTCATCGAAACGCCGCCACGTGGAGACCGATGCGGCCTCTTGTTTGTGGCCAGTCTTTTGGAAGATAGAACACGACAAAGCAAAACCGACAAGGAGACCCGGGAAACCCTTGCGGAGATTTTTGCCGGAGACGATGCTGCGGCCTTTTCCTTTTTTGCTTTGTTCATATTTGAGAAAGTTGGGACTTTTGTCAGACACGACGCGGCGGCCTTTTTTTTGTTTTGGTAATATTTGAGAACGTTCCAACTTTTGTCGGAGACGATGCGGCGGCCTTTTTCTTTTTTGTTTTTTAAATACTTGGGATCACTCGAATACTTTGCGAATATTTGAGAATATTTGGAGAATGTTTGGGAATATTTGCCGAATATTTGAGAGCAATTCCTTGAGTGCTGGAATGGTTTTCGTGTGAATATTTTGAAATAAGGCGCAAGACTGCGCACAAAGTTCGCGCCGTGCGGGAATCAAACCCGACGCGAGGGCTTGGGCGTGCTCGTCGAGTTCTGCGATGAGTTCTCCTCGTGGGGCTATCTGAGCGAGCGCGTGCCAGTACGCTTCTCATTAAAAAGAATAGCCCCAAATATTCGCAAAGTATTTGAATGCTCTCAAATATTAAGAAAACAAAAAAGGAAAGGCCTGCCGCATCGTCTCCGACAAAAATCGCCGCAAGGGTTTCCCGGGTCTCCTTATCGGTTTCGCTTCGTCGTATTCTTTCAAAAGATTGGCTAGAGGCGGGAGGTCTCATCGGTCTCCACGTGGCGGCTCTTCGATAAAACCGCGCGCGCGCCTTTCATCCATCTGCTTCCGCTTCTTTCATTTCGCGAGACACGCGAGCGAGGCCGTCGCCGTCTTGTGTTCGCCTGGCTTGGCTCGTTTTTGTTCCAGTTTGGTCGTGTTCTGCGTCTTCTCGTGTGCTCTTGCCGCGTGCCTCATCTCTGTGCCGTGGCGCGCCGTCTCTCTGGCGGCCACGGCCGCCAGGGACGAGGGGGCAGAGGGCTGCCTTGCTGGGCTGTTCGCGCTGGATTATGAGGCGCACACCACGCGCCCACCAGCACAGCGTGGCGCGTCGTCCCTCTGGCGGCCGCGGTCGCCAGGGACGAGGGGGCAGAGGGCTGCCTTGCTGGGTTGTTCGCGCTGGATTATGCAGCGCACACCACGCGCCCATCAGCGCCCACCAGCGCAGCGTGGCGCGTCGTCCCTCTGGCGGCCGTAGGCCGCCAGGGACGAGGGGGCAACGCGTGACCATCTCGCCCCCCGCCCCCCTTGTACAAGGTTAAATATTTGCGCGATTGTGAATCCCTATAGCGAGCCTGCGCCGAAGAGTGCGCCTCCGGACTGTGCCCAACAGTGTAACCCTGTACAAGGGGGGCGCGGGGTACAAGGGGGGCGGGGGAATGCTCCTCATAGGCGGCCGCGTAACTGAAGGACTAGCCCACGCCCTAGCCCACGGCCAGCGGGACGATGCGCCAGACAGGGAGCCTTGCCAAGCTTCTGCGGCCTTCCCGGAAGATGTTCGCGATTGGAGTTATCTCCCTGGCCTTCTTCGTGTGCGTGTGCTACCTATACCGGGCGCACTTCTGAGAGCTACAGGCGCGCAGGCTTAGCCTTTCCCGTTAATGGTGTTCCAGACTCTTAAAAAGGAGGGCGGGCCCGTGTCTGATGGTGTCGCCTGTCGTCTCGTTCGGTTTGTATCGGTAGCCGGAGGGATTGCAGAGGAGACGGGCACGCCGAGCGAGCGGCGAAACCGATGAGGGAATGGCGGAAGCATCTGAACAGAGCCCGGAAAGACGGAGGCGAAACCGATAAGGAAATGGGAAAAGGAGAGAGACGAACTGCCTGGCCCCGCGATCTTGGGACTGGCGCGCCAAACTGTTCAGAAAAGTGGCAAAATATCGAAAACGGCCCAGAAGCACCGCCGTCCCTTAACGGTTTCGCTTAAGAGTTTCGCGAGGTGCGGCCTTCCCGGAAGGTGTTCGCAATTGAAGTCATCCCCTCGACTTTCTTCGTGTGCGCGCGCTACCTATGCCGGGCGCACTTCTGAGAGCTACAGGCAAACGCGTTTAGCCTTTCCCGCTAATGCTGCCCCAGACTCGCAAAAAGGAGGGCGAGCCTGTGTCTGATAGTGTCGCCCGTCGTCTCATTCGGTTTGTATTCGTAGCCGGAGGGACTGCAAAGGAGACGGGCACGCCGAGCGAGCGGCGAAACCGATAAGCGAACGGCGGGAGTATCTGGGCAGAGCCTGGAAAGACGAAGGCGAGACCAATAAGGAAACGCGAAAAGGAGAGAGACCCCCGAAACCGATACCCGCACGAAAGCCGAAAGCATTAAGAGGGGACATCTCGCGAATCCGAAACGGCTAAGGGGCTCGCAAAACGGTCAACGACTTGGCAGATTTTTTGCGAAAGTTTTTGCGGCTTCTTCCTTGTTGTGTGCTTTCGGCTTTTTCCTATTTGCGAAAAAAAACGCCGCACCGTGCCGCAAAGTGTGACGCAAGATTTTTTTGAAACGCCGCAACGCGAGGCCCCTCGAAACCGATACCCGCACGAAAGTCGAAACCATTAAGGGAGGACGCTCCGCGACTTCGGAACGGCCAAGGGACTCGCAAAACGGCCAACAGCTTGGCAGATTTTTTGCGAAAGCTTTCGCAGCTTTTTCGTTGTTGTATGCTTTGGCCTTTTTCCTATTTGCGACAAAAAACGCCGCAGCGTGCCGCAAAGTGTCCGCGCGAAGCTCTCAAGTGAAGCCGATAAGGGACAGCGACTCCTGGGCCGTTTTCGATATTTTGCCACTTTTCTTCACAGTTTGGCACGCCAGTCCCTAGACCGCGAGGCCCGTCTGTCTCTCTCCTCTTCCCGTTTCCTTATCGGTTTCGTCTCTGTCTTTCCGGGCTCTGTTCAGATGCTTCCGCCATTCTGTTATCGGTTTCGCCGCTCGCTCGGCGTACCCGGCTCCTCTGCAATTCCTCCGGCCACCGATACAAACCGAACGAGACGAATGGGCTCGCCCTCCTTTTTAAGAGTCCGGGGCATCATTACAGGCAAAGGCTAGCCCTGTGCGCCTGTAGCTCTCAGAAGTGCGCCCGGTATAGGTAGCACACGCACACGAAGAGAGCCAAGGGGATGACGCCAATCGCGAACGTCTCTCGGTAAGACCGCAGAAGCCTGGCAAGACGCCCCGCCTGGCGCATCGGCCGCCAGCGGGGCGATAGGGCATGCCTTAGCCCTTCAGTTACACGGGCGACAGTTTGTCTGACGCATCCCCCCGCCTCCGGTTGTACCCCGCGCCCCCCGCCCCCCTTGTACAAGGTTACACGGTTGGGCACAGTCCGGAGGCGCACTCTTCGGCGCAGGCTTGTTATAGGGTTTCACAGTCGCGCGAACATTTAACCTTGTACAAGGGGGGCGGGGGCGAGATGGTCACGCGTTGCCCCCTCGTCCCTGGCGGCCTACGGCCGCCAGAGGGACGACGCGCGGCGCTGCGCTGGTGGGCGCTGATGGGCGCGTGGTGTGCGCCGCATAATCCAGCGCGAACAGCCCAGCAAGGCAACCCTCTGCCCCCTCGCCCCTGGCGGCCTACGGCCGCCAGAGGGACGGCGCGCCACGCTGCGCTGGTGGGCGCGTGGTGTGCGCCGCATAATCCAGCGCGAACAGCCCAGCAAGGCAACCCTCTGCCCCCTCGTCCCTGGCGGCCTACGGCCGCCAGTGAGACGGCGCGCCACGGCGCAGAGATTAGGCACGCGGCAAGAGCACGCGAGGAGAGCACACGGGAAGACGTAGAACACAAGAGCAGCCAGGCCAGAAGAACACAGACCGACCAAACTGGAACAAAAACGAGCCAAGCCAGGGGAACACAAGACGGCGGCGACCTCTCTCGCGTATCTCGCGAAATGAAAGAAGTGGAAGCAGATGGATGACGGAGGCGCGCGCGGTTTCATCGAAAAGCCGCCACGTGGAGACCGGTGAGACCTCCCGTCTGTGGCCAATCTTTTGGAAGAATATGACAAAGCGAAACCGATAAGGAGAACCGGCAAACCCTTGCGGGGATTTTTGTCGGAGACGCTGCGGCGGTCTTTCTCTTTTTTGTTTTGTTAATATTTGAGAACATTCGAACACTTTGCGAATATATTATAATACTCGGAGAATATTTGGGAATATTTGCCGAATATTTCAAAGCATTTCCGTAGGTGCTGGAATGGTTTTCGCGTGCATATTTTAAAATAAGACGAAAGACAGCGCATCCAGTTCGTGCCATGCGGGAACCGAACCCGGTGCGAGGGCTTGGGCATGCTCGTCGAGTTCTGCGATGAGTTCTCCTCGTGGGGCTATCTGAGCGAGCATATGTCGGCACGCTTCTCATTAATAAAGAAAGCTTTAAACTTCAGCGCTTTCTTTTTTAATTTTTGCCTTCACTGTTTCCGCTGTCAATTTGTTTTGTGTTCACTTCAAGGAAATAAGCAGCTACTCACATTTTTGGCCACACTTAACCAGCCCGAGGCACGTACCACGAGGGCACGGCTTGGCTTCCTAGTGCGCGACTTTACGCCACACGCGCGAACATTAAGCACGCACCTAATTCGGAGGCATCTAACGGCTCACATAACGCGTAGTGTCCTGTTGCTTGCAGTTTTGTGGTTTCGGTTGGGTCTTAAAAGCGTACTAGCTCTATACCTAGGCTTGTCTCTCCCTTCGCGCGGTCAGAGTATCTCGATACTCAATACACTTGCACTAATGCTCACACGTGCTTTTACTAATGGACGCGCTTCAATGGTCAGAGCACGGCTGTTGAGCCGCAGTCCTTGCGGCAGGTCCATAGTTACAGAGTATATGACACAGAAGCCATAGATTAGGTAACTGTGTGCCCTTGTGCATTGGTTTCGATTTCCCGGCAATACAGCGTAGTACTGAACTGCCAGCCATCGACCGTCGGACTCCAGCGCGCCGCGTGTGAGCTAAGAGATAAGGGGTTGCCGGAGTTTCCAAATACTGCATGTCGACCATTGCGCCGGATTCGGTTTGCCTGGCTACTGAAATTAGTTCGGCATATCCCACTACTCAAACCTTCGACGTCATCGCTGCAGACCTGCGCCGTGCGCTTGTTACTCGGATGAAGCGCTGTGCTATGCGCGTAGTCGAGAATGAGTCTTGTCCTCCACGTTCTCTTACTGCTTCGATTATCAGAGTTACCACCTACGCCCTCCGTGTAATCTAACGCTTCTTGAGCGCGGAACTCGCTTGCCAAGTTTTCTGGTATATATAATTGGCCAAAAGATGAGCATCGGCGTGCAGAATCTATAAACTCGGAGACCTGACTCGAGTATTGTCGCGGAGTTACAAGGTCATACATCGTGCTCAATTCCTGCCACCCATAGCCTCTGCCCAGGTCCCATTGCCTGACAGGCGGATTGGTAATGGTGAAAGCCCCATCTTCTAAATCCCGCACTAAAAAACCGTAGACATGTCGCACACGCGCTTGCCAGTCAGCATGTGGCAATCGGCACAACGGTTCGCCTGCGGCGCTAGTCAGTTGCGCTCTCGCTGTTCCGGTTTCATTGTCGACATTTACGAGATAGAGTCGCGGTCGAGGTTGGCGCGCTAATCCGTACCGGCGCCCTGGGTGAATACCATCCAGCCGCCTTCGCATGTACTGCTTCCATTCTTCCTCATTTCCCAGCTCTACCCTGGGTGGGTAATGTGAGAGCTCAATTGCTTCAAGAAAAGAGATCCCTGCCCAAGCCGGTTCTCCCTCCGGGGAATATAGTCCATGACCATTATTACGGTTTCCGCGGGCTGCAGATGCGCGATTCGTGGCAACAAAGCCAAATCGTGGACCAAGCACGTCGTCGCCAGGGATGTCGTGTCCCATGTTAGAGTAATATATACTAAAAGTAGCTGCCAGGGGTATAGTCTAACAGTATATCTAGGAACCGCATAACATCGGACGCGCCCCCGTGGAATAGTGCTTCTCCGACTTCGGCCATAGCGTTGGCATACCCTGGCCTCTGATCATTCAAGACGCCTGCGGCGTACAGCATGGCTATTACCGCTACCCCACGTCTCGCATCAAGATTCCGCGAGGGGTCTTCGACGCATCCGGGGTTCTCTGTTGGCCACGAGATTACCTGGATGTGTGTCAACATGAAAATGAGCCCAATGCTAATACTATTTTTCCGATTAGATTCTCAAGTGCCTGGTGCCGTGATCTACCAACTAGCTTCTAATTTCCGTACTATCACGTCGGTAATACAAGACACAGCGTGACTTTTATCTGCTGATAATTCTTTGGGTAAAAGGTATAGCGTTACCCTACCACTGATGTGGTTATCCTTTCAGCCCCTTCTCGCTGTTTTTTGGAATCATAGCAAGGTCATTACCCGCAATGTATATATAGGCAGCAGGTGCTGTCCACTCACTACATACGCCCTCGCTCGCCTGTGGCGTGTTGCTCAAGATGCAAAATGTTCCATACCCTCAGAACACGATCCTTCACTCGTCTGCTCGTTTTCCAGAATCAAATCGACAGACTTCGCCCGCCATAATCAACTCTTTATACGGGATCCCTGGTTGCAAATTCTCGCTAATTGGCTTCAGGGGTTTGCTACTACCGCCATGCCACCTTTTCACTTCCTGCGAATACGCATCCAATACATCACTTGGCATCCCCCTCGCCAACAATCGGCCCCGGATGTCGTTCGCCCATGTTTCTGCGGTAGCGTAGCCACAAAATGCGCTTACCTCTTGAGCCAAGTTTCCTGCCAATACATCTTGCGCTTGCGATCCCGTCACCCCAGTAAGTAGATACTGCGGAAGCAATTGCGCTCGTTTCTGGATCTCCGTATTGGTTGCCGAGTTCGGTCCGCGCTTTGCCCATGGGACCTCGCGAAATTGCTTCGGCTGTGTAAATGGATTATTTTGCAGTCATAAAGGAGTGCCGCCATCATGTCCGATTACTGAATTTAGCTTGCGTCACTGGCTAATTAGCACATGCCACTGCTATGCCTATTACCTGGCGCTCATTTTGGCCAAGGGCCCACTCTCGGATTAGCGGCCACACAACCAACAGGGCTACGGTATCAATTAGCTGGAGCCTTTTGATCGGGACCAATGACGCAAAGCGCGCGCCCTTCGACTGATAGCATAGCTGCTGCACTCGCCAGTTTTCCTGTTGGTGTACAATAGGCAAATAACTCACGGCCTAGGTGTCATACTATATCATGGGAGTTCAATGTATATCCGTAGACTGTGTAATACCGACGCAGGCCAAAAGTCCGCGTCTTTTGTGCACAGGTGCCACGTGTCGTTGGCAATCCCGTATATCACAGTCATGACCACATCGCGCGTTGGCTTGCCATCCGCATCAACTGGGCCAACTGGGAACTCAGGCCCGTAGTTCAATTCCGCAGTAAGAGACCTCGGCGACAGGGCGCCGTGGTTATAGGAACTTCCCCCAAAGTCCCCTGCTAGGCCAGATTGTGGTGGCGAGCGATTGCTTCCCTGGCTAGCGGGGGGCGTCCCGTTACCAAATGAGATACCTGGCCCGATATTCACGGAAGTTTGACTGTGAAATCCCGCTCCGGGTGGTAGGTGGCCAAAGCCTATACTTCGGCGCTCCGGGTGCCCGTTCTGAGGGGGCGGCCCCTGCGCGTTTACAGAGATCGGCGTGACTCCACCGCGAGCATTGTTCGTAGAGCCGTTGCAACTGGCTTGCAGGCCCAACCCGTGTTGACTGCCGAAGCGCAATGAGTCTGGACGTCCTGCGATGGCCGAGACAGAGCCGGCAAGAATTTTGCTATATTGCGAATTGGCCATAGTATCATAAGCCGCGCTTGCCGGGTTGCGACTAATCCAGTCGGGTTCCTGCATTCCGTAGGGCCGACTCCGGGTCTCAGGAGATGGGTGCGGTGTTTTCTGCCGACCATGGACACTTTTATATCTCCATGCCTCCGGTTGCGCTGCGACCTATGTTATGAATACCGGGCGAGCCATACAAATTACACGGGCTGCACGCCTCTCGAACACGATGCCAATTGAGTACTCTATATCCATTACTGACGCTAGGTATATCCGGTACCTGGCCGCCGGGGGTATACGGTATGGAGCCGGTTCCTGCGTCGTCCCTTTCCAATGCGAACGAAGGCACCTGATATTGGGATCCAATATTTGCACCGCGATCAATTAAATTCCTACCTTAGTGCATTCCTTGGAATCTACATCCATGATTCCAGAATTACCTCACTCGCCAATTCTTGCCGCAGCCGGCGACTCTCCGCTTCCATTGCCAGGATTCGCGCATTCTCTTAGAGCAGCCACAGTCACGGTGTATACAGATGCCGGCAAGATACCCGCAACACCCCAACGCCGACACCCGCATACTCTCTCAGGGTTCTCTACTGAGTGACTGTTGCTAGTAGTCTAGCCATAAAATCTGGCATCCGCTTGCTGTGCCTCAGTATCCCTGGCCATGGTGTCTTGTCTACACTTCGCGATCTTTTGCTCGTTACTCTAGATTCTTGGCGCTGAATAGTCAGGCAATACCTAGTAGGTCCGCTTGTAGCTAATCCTGTTACGCTTGAACAAATGCGCGTAGCATGATACACATCTACAGTGACTGAATTGCAACGCTATGGCCTAACCGTATTACAGATCCAGTTCCAGACTGCCAGGCTCTTAGTTACACGATCTCTGGATCACTTTCCTACTGCGTGGATTTCATGCCTTAGCATCCGGGCCGTCGGATCCTGTGGCATCTCTTCGTCCTTTCTATTCGACCTCGATGTGTATCCCAGAAATGCTGCTACGTTCTCGGTGTTATATTTACTGTGACCCAACGGCGCGACACGGTCCATATAGATAACATTCATGCACCTGGTACATCCCCAATTCGCATTCCTTGGATATCGCGAATCGTTCTACCCGCTACAGCATTGACCTTGACGCTCGCTGTTCACGTATTAGCATTTTTCTCTAAGTTGCGGCAAAAGATTCACACCTAGGCTTCCACTCACATTCCTATTACCCGCGTCTTTTGAAATCACCAAGGCTTGCGAACACGTTCCCTATCTTTTGCCTCATCAACCACCCCGCAAGGCTTTTAAACTATTTCTCGTTGTATTAGATGCACTGTCTTTCACCCTGAGACCGAGCCCGAGCCTCCTATTGCCGCCTCTTGTCTACTCTTCTAACGCCACACCCGACTGCAAACTCTCTGCTGGCGATACCCGAACTGCCTTACTCGCTTCCGAGTACTGGTATCCACGTAGGTGCTCAAGTCCCAGCCCCTCGCCGCGGCTCTGCTCTCGATAGCATATGAACCTTCCCAATTTCTACTCACCAAAATTCTCGCTTCCCAATGTTGGGGAATTCCTGAGGGCCCATGGTTTTGTCCTTCAACATTGGGAAGCGAGAATTGTTGGCTGGTAGAAT